TTCGTGTATTTTACATATATTTTAGAAATGGAGACCTTAAAAAGCCTGCTGGTGGTCCTCACGGCAGGCTTAGCGGCGTCTCCAAGTGGGAGGAGCTCGCTAAGGTGCTTAACATTGATCCCACCGAAAGTTCGAAACCGGTGGACAAATGGAAAGAGGTACAACAATAATCAAAATTATATTATTATAAAGGCTTCCCATAAAGCCAGCATTTAGTTAATCCATTCAATCGAGACAATTTCGATGTTAAATGCTACTTATACAAGAGTTATCTGTGATTAATAATTTACTTGCTTTACATTTGCCATTGTATTTTAATAGTTAATAAGCATGTTTTCTTTGCACGTAATAGGTGTGGAGTGACCTAAAAAACAAATACTAACTGGTGGTGGTTCAGCTTTAAAAGTTTGCATCACCAACCTGGAGCAGTGAGTCCTCAGCCTGATGGGGCCCGAGGCTGCTACAGGCATGGTCTCAATAAATGAAATAGTTCCTGTGCCTCAGGTAATATTGCTTTTGTAATGTTTGTGTTACTCATAATAAGCTTATATGTAATTAAATTACTCAATTGTGAAATGCACACATTAGCTTTAGCTTTGCTTAATGAATATTTAAAGTCATATTACATAGATAAATACAACATAATAATATGTACATTAATACATAAATATGACATTACAAACTTTAAACTTTAACATTATATACACACCACATACATAACATTTTGCTAGAATTTTATAGTTATGGCATGATTTAGTCAAAACAATTTCAAAATCTTTTTAAACTAATTTTGTTGTTTCTTATAATTTGGGCTATATTACAAATACTCTGACTAGATGCTCTAAAGTGCCTAAGGCTATATTTATAAGAAATTTCCTTTATTTACAGAATGATTCAGCACTGGCTGCCAACTTTGTAGAGTTGGAAGTGCCACCACCAATACTGCAGCCTCGGTCACCCACATCTGCCCAGTTACCAATCAATCAGATGGACATTCACAACAACAAAACAACTTAACAAATAAATTATTTATTTGTATATATAAGTATCATTTAGGAATTGTGTCGCTGTCTTTGTTTTTGTCTATCATATCCTCATCACATTCTTCCATGTGCAGATTGTATTTAATTAATTATTGATGTTAATAGAGAAAGCAATGGTAATCTGTTATAGAGTACATAGTAACATTTTATTATTTAAAAAATTGACAACTGTTTAATAATTACTTACCATTTATTTTTCCTTACTAACACTAGATGTTAAGTCAAAATAATTTATTTGTTAGGTTTTATCATCAAAATTTTGTTTTGTTTCATTCTTTGGCAAATATGTTAGTTTCTTTGTTTTTGTGTATTGTATCCACATCACATTCTTGCATGTGCAGATTGTATTTAATTATTTGATGTTGATAGAGACAGCAATGGTAATCTATTATAGAAATAAAATTAGAACTTAACATTTTATTATTTAAAAATTTGTCAATTGTTAATTAATTAATTGCCATTTATTTTTTTCTTACTAACACTATATTTTAAGTAAAAAATGATTTATTTGTTGGGTTTTTTATCATCAAAATTTTGTTTTGTTTATTCTTTGGCAAATTTGTTACAGTCTTTGTTTTTGTCTATTATTTCTTCATCACATTCAATTTCAATACTCAATACTTTATTGCATTCCATAATGTATACAAGGCTGGTAGGCAAATTACAGAGAAACAATTATGGACCGTGTCGAGCACAGCAAGTTAGTTTTTAGAGGAGAGGATGAAGCGCTTTTTGTTTAAAAACATAATAATATTGAAATAAAGGAGTAAATCTTATATTTAGATATTGAAGTAGATATTATTTATGAGTAGATTTATATTAATTTTGTTTATTATTAATATTTTTATATTTATTATTAATAGATATTTTCTCAATTATAATTTAGGTAATTATTTTATATATTTATATATATTAGCTGTAATTTATTATTAACTAAATAGTAACTAATTAAAGATATTGCATGGTAGATAAGGTAAATAGATGTATTAGGTACTACTTGGTTATTCTAATTATTCTTGCATGTGCAGATTGTATTTAATTATTTGAAGTTGATAGGGACAGCAATGGTTATATAGGAATAAAATTAGTACTCAACATTTTATTATTTAAAAATGTGTCAATTGTTAATTAATCACCTACCGTTTATTATTTATTTCTTTTTATAAGAATTTAAGCCAAAAATAATTTATTTGTTAAGTTTTTTATCTAAAAAATTTTGTTTTGTTTCATTCTTTGGTTTTTCATTATTTTTAAAAATGTGTTACTGTCTTTATTTTGTCTTTATTATTATCCTCTATTATAGTAATAAATATCATTTATTATTTCATAATGTTGTAGTCAATTGTTAATTATACTAACCATTTTATCATACTAACACTAGATTTTAAGTTACTAAATTATAAGACACTGGAACTTGTTTATTACAGCTTTATTTTTAGAGTGTTGCTGATTATATTTCTCTTAGAAGCGAAATAGGCTAACGAATGTAATACTTATACAATAAATATGTAGGAAATAAAAAAAAAAGTTTTTATTTATGTGTATATTAATAAATAAAATTAACGGACAATATGCACTATACTGGCTACGCGATCACGCATTCTTGCGGAAAAGACTCCACCCTGGCGAAAGCTTCGTGACCTGTGGAAACAAAACACAAACTATGAAATTTGCTGAGGAATAATACGCTTTTAAAAATAATCGAATGAAACATATAAAATAAATTGTAACATTGTCACTTCAGTGGTATTAGTTGGACCATTTTTTCTCTAAGTAGCTTTCCTCTGTCATGGAGGCTTGAACTTAGTAAGTATGTAGCATAAATTATACTCACATGAGAAATTTTCTTTTAGAAAATTAATCTTGTGAGATTATATTTATTATTATATTTTGTAGTAATTAAAACAGCTTTCCCTATACAAATTGACTTTAAATTATCATACATAAAATGAAATTATAAACATTGATTTCATTTAAATTCTACTTATTGATTTACAAGAAAATAAAGGTAGAAAATAAAGTTGATAAGGTACCTGTGGGTTCCATAACCGCTTCAGGTACATTAAAAGTTATGCAGCACACAGAAAGCCACTATCATTAATGCACACGTCGGGTTTGTAGTGCAAAACTCTGTTCTTGCACACACACCTCCACCTATTCTTCAGGCGTCTGAAGGTGTTCTCAATTATAACTCTTTCACTGCTGTGTACCTTGTTGTATGTGTCTGCAGCAGAACCAGGGTCTGGCTGAGTGTATGGAGTCATCAGCCACGGTCTTTGTGGGTATCCAGAGTCACCTGCAGATACAACAAGTTTGCATTTGAAATAAATGTCTAGAATTACAATAGTGTCTGTGACCTTTAGTTATAGTTAACAGTTAGTTAGTAGCAGATAATATGAGCATATTACATAGTTAACCTATTTTATTTACATGTAGAAACTTACCTAGCAGCCATACGGACTCTTCACTTTGGTACAATGTCTGCATGTACTGGTTAACTAGACTGTTATCCCACACAAAGGCATCATGGCTGGCACCGACATACTTATGGTTAAAAGTCTATTAGGAACTCCAACAAAGTATAATGTCTTTTCTATAAACAATATTAAGCAAAGTTACTTGAAGACTCCTAAAGGTAGAGAAGACACATTATGCATACATTATAATTATGAACCTTTTGATTGTGTAGATTGTTTTATTCAAACTATATTTATTAAATTCTATAATGTATATTACCATTTGCACATTTAATTGAATGATAATACTTGCGGCAGTAAAATAAGTGGTCAATCTCCATCTTTGGCTTAACAATTTTGAAGTGTGGCATTTCACACATGTTATAGAAACTATAAAGAGAAACATTCATTATTAATTAACAAGTTATCCCCTAGCAAGTGTTCAAAGCATAAATATGATGTTAGTTTAAACTGCGAATTACCTTGTTTGACTTGTTCTTTAGCTTCACGCGTCGCTGGGAACTTCACAAAGTTTTTTAATATGTTCGGGTGGTTGAGCGCTTCAGTCACTAGGTGGACAAAGCGGCTAATAGCTTCTTGCGAATAACAATTAGCCATGCCAACCAACCTTTGGTAATCAATCACCGTTGGCATAAAATAATAATGCGCAGAGTACCTAAAACCAATTAAAAATGTCTTTAATGAATCATTGTTGCCATTGTCATTAACTACCTTTTTATTTATGTAGATGATATAATTGACTTACCTTAGTTTCTAATGAGACTCTTTGATAACTTCTTAAATCATAGAAACTTTTAAGCCTCTTTAATCAGCCGGTATCGCTGAATAAAGTGGGTGTCCGAGATTTCGAGAGGACTTAATAATTTTCGCCGCAAATGAAGGTTTCGACGCTCTTCTTCGTGGCGATCATTTTCAGCAGCTTCTGCTACCATCCTCCAGGCAAAATAACTCCTCGCAGCCATTTAATATTAAAATTAAAAATCGCACGAAAACAATTCGCTACGTTCCACTAGGTGAGTTGTAAAACGTAAACTTTGAGAGAGAACGAATCGCTTTACTTTCTTATAATTGTCAAAATTGTAACTCGTACTGCCAATTTGGCGAGAACTGTCAAAATGTCTCGAAAACTTTTTATGATTACGAGAAATTTTACGCTGGTGCAACTCGTACTGCCAAATTTAGTTTCTTTTCGTTTCCGCTAGGGGCGCTGCTAATTTATGAATGAAAATCAACGTTTCGAAAGGACGTAACGTTTGCTGTCAAAACTCATACTAAGGGTACTGATTCTGATGACAATACATGACAAACACTGTAGAATGTCATTACAAATCCAATATGGGGACATCCCCAAGATGGGCTGGCTGTTTAAATTTTTCCCCGTATATAGAGTCAAACTGAAGGGTCGCTGTCAGGAATACGAAATAATAAGACTAAAAGTACCTATATACTAAAACACATATGTTTAAAAAAAACACGCTCTCTTAGTTCGAATTTAAAACCTCAAAATAATTCGTACATTTAGTTTGATGATTCACAAGTTTTTCCTTTGTCCAAAGTCTTCATTAGATCGTAGGTAAACATGAACATAGCATTCATCAGATCAACTATAAATAATTGGGTAGTTTCTTAAGTCAAAACTAAATTAATTCCACGTTAAAATACGATAAAATATTAAAAATAACTATACCATTTCACAGCTAATTTAAAAAAAATACTATGACGTCGTAATTTAGAGTTTCATACTCATGGAAGAGTAAGTACTTATAGTTTTTGACTATTGAATTTGGCTAGTTGGATTACTGTTTTACCGAAGCGCAATAGCGGTATAATCTTCTTTTTTAAAAATACTGTTTTAGCATGAATTGTTTTTTAGTTTTTAAACGTTTTGAGGTAGGAACCTTAAAATTTTGTTATTCTGAGGCATACTTTTGCTTTGTAGTGGCTACAAAACTTTAAAACTAATAAAAATCAAATAAATGATAATCCTATGTTTATAAAAAAGTCTCTTTTATTACAACATCATGTCAAAACTATTTTTACACACAAAATAAATGAAAAACATAGTATACAGAAAACGTAAAAATAAACTTTATTGAATTTAAAACATAACTGTAATGTTATAGGGGAAGTAAATGAATTGTTTAAATAATAAATATTATCGCAATGAATGTTTCTCGTAGTAGACAGATAGGTTGTACAAGTGAGGCGTCGGCCCAGGTCACTTGCTCAGTCCGCAGCAGGGAGCTATGCCCTGTCACGTGCCCTGCGAGCGGCGCACACGTTGGCTAAATAATCATTTTGGAATGTTACTCGAAGTCTTCATTTCTGCGGCAAACAAACATTTTCTTCTGTTAAAATGTTAGTCCACGACGATTAGCGATCGGGTGTGGTGCGAGAAAGGCTCTTGTTAATTGACCGAGGATCGTGATGCGATGGGCCATTCACATCGCGATGGGCTCGCTAGGAAGCTTCAGCTTCTTCAGCTAGTATTGCTAGTATTGCAATTGTATACAAGCGTAGCAGGCAATGCGACAAGCCTAAAGCGTCTCAACGACATTGTGACTCGACTCGAGCTTGGAGCAGGAGCCGGTAGCAGCCCACTGTATGTGAACAGTCCATGGGAGAGCGTTGCTACTACTGTAATAGCGATCTTTACGTGACTAGCTAAAATGGTACTCATTTCAATCGTACGCTATTGCACATTACATCCGCCGTAAGTTCTAGTCGACGCTACGATGGCTGTCAAGGGTCAGTGTCACACGGTATCTATAACTCCATTCGGAATGCGGTCAGCGAGAGGATTCGACGTGGTCGACATGCAGGAGAAGCAAGAAAAAAGGCCAATAGTTGTCTTATCGTTTATTGATAATTACTGGAACCGGTACAAAAGAACGAAATTGAATTATATCTCTCATGAAAATAATACGCGTCCAAGTAATGATCACCTACATCCTAGTGGTTGATAACGAATATAAAAATAAAAATACATGAACCCCCTAAAGTTACTTGAAATTAGAATGCAAGCTACATACATATTGCTACGTCTCGTCTCTGCATTTACTTACTACAATACTTATCAACTTATAGACAATTCTCATTACACGACGACTCGAGAGGTGTATCCAGCTGTTGGAGTTACAATATCACTAATTGGCCACATGGTAGTAGTTATATTGATAAACAGAACAGCCCGTGTGAGTAATCAACTATTTAGGAACGCCTCTGCTTCTGTCGGTGTGTTAAACAGCGATAGCAGACCCGACGGTTATAGCAGACGAGCCTAGTTTAGTCCACAGTACAGACACCTGTTTGTTCACATGTTACTTGATACAGATCAGCTCCCGAGTGCTAACGCGCGAAGTCGCCGGCGCCGCCACGTCCTGGCGTCCGACACATAGCTACCGACGTAAGCCAGACTTCCACTAGGAACACTTCACACTGAAGCTTATTGTAAGCGTCAAAGTTAGATTTAGAAACAGAAGGAACACAAAACTTCCTCGGACGAGACAAGAAGCGTCATAAAAGAACTGTCTCGATAGAATCTCCACGATTAGTGTTAGGGTTAATGTATCAGTAAGCGCGGCAGTTCTTGTATGGTCGCGGCATGAAACTAGATGAGTATATCGAGCGGTAGGGAAGGCACAGAGCGCGACGCTGCGTGCGTTCCGTAGCGCGGGACGTGGCATGTAGTCGCGTGAGGGAGCCTCTGTATCAGTGTGCGGGAGTGGGCGCTCGGTCGCGCGCGGCGCGGCCCTAGCGTTTACCGTTGTTATACGAGAGACTCCGCAGCGGCGCCTTGAAGTTGGCCGCCGCCTGCTGTTGGATCTGGTACGCGAGCGGGTGGATCTTGAACCCGTACAACCTGCCGACGACAAGGTTACCTTGGTAACTATCAACATCACATACACAGGACACTTAAATGGCATTCATAGCAGCGTTCATACCTAGGCACGAACTGCGAAGCGGGCCGCTTGGGTCTGTACTCGGGATGGACCATGAATACCATGTGCGGGAAGCCGGTCCCGAAGTAGGCGCCGTCAGTGTGGTGGTGCCGCGAGGACTTGGGCGTGTACACGTCCATGCAGCGCGGACAGTACAGCTTCACCATCGCCTCGCCGGGAACGTCAGATAGACCTGCAGACACAATAAGCGTTGTAAAGAAACACTGCGGCTCTTTCAGCTCCATGATCAGGTCGACTGAAACCTTTACAAAAGCATAGCTTTAAAATATTTAGGTAATCACTAAATGTACAAACAGATTAATCGCCAATAGGTTCATATCAGCTCTGGCTTGGTGACAATGGGATCACAGTATCATTAGAATATGCGGTCGAAATGCGAAACCTTGTTTTGGGGGTCGGTCAGAAATACGTAGGTACAATATCTTATTGTATACTCACCTAGTGGAAGCATGGCTTGGCATTCACAGTACACTCGGGGGCAATGACCGAAGTCGCCGGCTTGGAATTTTTCTAACATTTGTCCAATACCTCTGCAAAAAATATTTATCAAACAATTACTACATAAAAATAACTTAGCAGAAACAGTCCTTGATTTGACCAGGGGCTATGGAAAATGTAGGAAAAGTAAAAGTAAGTATAGCACAAATAGAAGCACATTTTCTGAACGTGACATTAACTTTTATCCATAAACCGGGTATTATCTGAACTCGTATGTATGTATAGATAAATTTGCAGCTTATATGTATAGTATTTGACACCTTTACGCTCGTTAACGTAACGTCGCGCAATGTACGATTTCGCAAATCTAGGTAGATAATAATCGAAAATCAAAAAGTTAAAGATGGTATATCTTTCACTTGTATCTTCATCTTGAATAATAATAGCAGTTAACAAAACAAAGCAAACATATCTAGGTCTCACTGCCCTTCCAAAAACATAAGGCAAAGATTTTCAATAGTAGGAAAGGGAGCGCATGTTGCGACCTCTAACGTTAACGTGCCTTCGTGTATTCGAGTGTCTTGTGCTCGCACTTGGCATCCAAGTGCTTTTTAGTGATGGATTCTTCTACTTCAGGTAATATTGTTTTTATTTAGTTAAAAAATTAAACCAAATAAAGTTTTGATATGATAAAATATGATCCTAAAGAAACCCTTTTTAATTAGTTTTCATAACTTATGATTCATAATGTAATTAATTAAAGATAAAGTACTTAGCAATATACTGCAAGATGGTGAAAATTGTTTAGTAGTAGATTAATTTTTGTATTCTATTATTGGATACAAGTTGACATATTATGCGCTTATTTGCGCAAATCAACTTTTTTTCGTAGTTTTGTTACAGGTGCCTGTTTACAACGAAAATCGTTGTTTGAATTTTGGCGTTCAATTTGAACTCAAATGATTGACCTTTGTGACGTTAACATTAGGTGCTACATTCTTCAGTAGGCTGCGCATCAAGATATACATATATTATAAAAACAAGAACAGATATCTTATTTAATGAAAAACGCAAAAAAATTTTGATTGAATGAAAACTTAAGGCCACCTGGTGACACTTGACAAGTATATTACATACACCTATCTCTATATAGGTGTATGTAATATACTTGTCAGGCATCATTTAACTCTTTTGGTGATAGATGGAAAAGTAAGTAATATCCTTTAATAAAATACAAATAAAAAATATAGTAATGTCTTTAGACCCATGTATAGCATGCTTATTAAACTGATTTGTTTTTTAAAAATAATTTTGATTTTAGTTGCGAAACAAACTTTCTTTAGAAAAACATGTGCAGTACAGTTTCAGTATGCGCATGGGTAACCACACATAGAGATTTCCAAAACATACATACAGCAATCAAGACTTGTAATAGTTATAACACTCACCTATTTGTTAATATGTAGCGAGCATGTATCAGTCCATAGAGGATCTCGGAGGCTTGCTCCACAAGATCAGACTGATTTGGGTTGTCGTCAAGATCATCATCTGTAAACAACATTACAAATATACATATTATGAGACTAAGATACTTCAAATACTTCCCAGAGATGGTGGAATTGTGCAATAGCAAAATTTTTTTTTAAATCCATGATCTTTTGAAATTATTGACATACCTGGCTTGAGAACTAAAACCACTGCCAAGACAGTGAAATCAATGGATTGCAATAACAATGTGATAAGATGAAGTCCCATAAAAACTGTAGCTACTTACTAACATGACATATACAAAAAAAATAAGGTTCTGGTTCTATATTTATGGACCCAATACAGAACACTTATAAGAGCAGGAACAATGCAATACCAAATGAATCTATCTGTTCCTATAAAGATAAACTGGCTTCATGTAACTAATGTAACCAAATATATACCAACATTCTTTCCTTATGTATTATTATGTGTGTATAATTATATACCAACATTAAAAAAATTTGACCAAACTCATTACACTCAAAAGAGAGTAATAGTAATTACTCCTGTAAAGTTGTACCATTTGAAACTCCTTACAAGCCATAGACAAATTTCAATTATTTCTTTATCAAGTGTATCAATTTGTTTGTTGATTATGTTAACAAAGAGTGGTTATTTATTACATGCTTCTAAAGATCAATTTTGGTCATTAGTGGTAATTGATGTCAAATGCCAAATGCAATTAGGTATTAGCTAATTGCATATTTATCTCTAATGACACAGATATAAAACAATCACAATAAGGTTGTGAGATGGTGAGATTAAAAAAATGAGGTTGGTTTAGATTTTGAAAGTAGTTCTAGTATCTCCTTTGTTGATTTCAATGCTTTTTATCACTGTAAAGTAAGTACAAAGCAGCTAGTAAAAAATTAACCTAAGGTGAAAATTTATTGTATCGCATATTGGGTGCATGTACTTACCAGCCTCCAAGTCTAGGATCATGTCCAGAGCTTGTCTGTAGTGAGGCACCTGCTCATTTAGTCCCGTCAGGTTGAATTTATCGTTAATATAATCCTCGTCCACCTAAAACAGTAACATGTTGGATCAATATCCGTAGCCATCACCACCATAAAAAACTACACTTGAGTGACATACCTCACAAAAGAATTCATTTCCCCGGAGCCCGCAAAACCAAGAAATCCACGTAACCTCCTCCGAGCTGCTCATTTTCCTAAAAAAATAAAATAGATAAACGAAAACCGTTTCCGTTCCGAGTTCCGCACATAAAAAATCCAACGCTTCGGAGTCCACACAGTACAACAAAATTCTAAGCATTCCAATATTTTCACCTGGTTTTTCACTATGTGAGTTCACACTGAATTCTTAATGCAGAATTTGATGTAAAAGTTCACTATGAATACGCAAATTAAACTGAAATAAATGTAGTTAAATGATGACAAACCTCACCTTTTCGTGCCTTGATTAGCCACGCTTGACGTATCGCTAGAGGTATCTTGGGATGAGGGAGAGAGAATTTCAATTAGGTTTGGGTGACATAAAATATATCCAACATTGTCTATGGTCCGTCGTAAACTTTTAATGTCATTCATTCGTTCATTCTTTGGATTTTTAAGTCTTTTAAACACTGGCTTTTTATATTTTATTGTGGATTGAATATTTCATATTAATATTTAATCCTAAATATTTAATAAGACCGATTACGCTGATACAATTTTAATAAAGCTATGCATTGGATATATTTCATAATGTAATATTGCCAAATTTTCAATTATAAATGATCAAATTCAATTTTAAATAAGTAATCAAAAATATGTAAATCCAGATAAATCGTATCAGTATTGCATCTGAGATTGCATCACGAATATAAATATTTTTATCGAAGCGATAAGTGAAAATTAGCGAACTTTCTACCCACTTTTCTACAGTAATTAAACTAAATATTATGGAGGGTAGAAGGTAAATCATTAAATCTAAGCCAACAATAAGAATACTGATATCGCTTTGGGAAATTAACCCGGTTCCTTGCTTTGCGAATGGCACCGAAAATACCAATGCGAACAAGTCGGATCTTGTTCCGAAGTTTTAAAAATCCCGCACTGCGTAAACCGCAACTTGGAAGGTGGTAAGATCGGCCTCTACTTATTTATGCGACCCCAATGCAGTGATCGGCGTCGGTGAACTCTCAGGGCCGGCCATAATCCGAGCTATGGTACAGAGCGAAAGGAATTGCTACACGTTTGTGTAAGCACTCATGCTCGTAACGGAGGCCGATCGCCTGAGGTTTCTCTTTGAGACGCCAAGGCGTCCAAAACTTCCACCCGACGCATGTGCTTACTGCCTTACGCAGTGTTTTTACGGACACGGTAGTTTTGGGATGTTCCTGTTTCAGATCCAGCGAGAGTAAACGCTCGGGCTCGGTCTAAGGACCATGAAGAGTGGAGTATAGGGTTGCGGTGAGCCCTGCTTGGACTGAGCATCGCTGTGTTTTTTCTCGTATCATTATGTTCAGGGAAGGTATCAGCGGCGGCGACCTCGTGTGACCTTAGTGCAAAGTAACATCATCAGTGATGCTTCGTGACCCCGAGAAAGCGGAGCTTCCTCAGGGTCCAGCCTTTGTAGTACGAAAGGTTTCGGGCACGACGATCACTGGACACCGTAATAGCTGATCTACACACGGCGAACAACCAGTACTGCGCGTAACGTTCCGAGCGTGCCTCAAAAAGCCCGCAGACAACCACAGATGGGGCCTAAAATATAAATGATGGGCTTGCGACTGCGAGGTAAGCACAATTATTTACAGCGGCCTAGGCCTGGGGTGGAAAAAGGAAAACCGGGGCTTTTAGGGAATAAGAGTCAGATAATAATAAATAAAATAATCGTTTGGATAAATGAAAGACATAAAATTATTCTGTTGTAGATATATTTATAGCGTGCATTTATATGTTTGTCTAATCCGCAAAAGGTTTTCAAGGATCATCAATATTATTAAAAATGTAACAAACATATAATAGGTCTAGGACATATGAAATTGCCGTTTTGCATGAAAAAATTTAAACGATTTTTTTGATTTGAAATGCGCTGAAAATGTAACACTAATCAATAAACAATTAATGACTACTTTTGGAAAAAAAATCCCACGTTTTTAAAACAAAATAAATTAGCCTAACAAAAACTATTTTGATTTGAAATGGCCAGTACTGCAGAACGGCAATTTCATAGGTAAAGACCTATTATGTTATAGGATGCCAAAGAAGCAGACGGATTACCTGATGGTAAGCATCAGCGCTGCCCATGGACAACTGCAACAACAGAGGAGTTACGAATGCGTTGCCGACCTTTCGGGTATGAGGCATTGGACGTCACTCACACGGCGAAACACAACGCTGTGGTTGTTTCACGCTGGTTTTCTGTGAGACCGTGGTATCGCTCCAGTCGAACTGACCAATTCGTGCCGAAGCATGGCCTCTCCCACACTTAAATATTTTTGTAATTTCTTTGTAAAATATTTTCGAAATAATGTTGTAATAAAAGTCATTTTTTTGTAAACAGTATTATATTTTGTATCTATTTTATACATTTTCTAACAGTATGTTCCAAATGGTTATTTGTATGACAAAAGTAGGCCTAAGATTTATTCAAGTTGTACTTAAATAATAATACTTTTAAACACTACTTTGGCTGTGACCAAGCAAGAACATAAGTAACAACTAAATTTTATAATAATTTATATTATAATGATATTACATCAAATATTATCAACATTTTACTTACACTTTACAGTATAAAAATATTTAAATTCACATGAATAGAGATGACTTAGAAATGTGTATATGTGTGATATACCATAGACAAACTTGCACTGTATTACACAACTTCAGAAACATCCTCTCCGTTCCACTCAACTAAGTCTATTCTGACAGGTAACAGCACAGCTGTTTGAGCAAATCATGATTAGTTATCTCTTCAAAGGTGCTACTGTTTAGAATAGATTTATTTTCTTTTATAAATTTTAATGCCTCCATTTTGAGAAAGTCGGAGTCATGCATGTCAGCTATCATTAAAATATCTAGTGCATTGTCTGGATTCAGGTGTTCAGAAAGAGCATACTCAGAAAGTTCCCAAAGGCCTTTTAAGTTGAACCTATCAGCCAGCATTAATAGGTTCCCAAAATTTGCATTCTCTAAGTCTTTTACTGTACCCGAGTAAATGTACTCTAACATGTACCTAAGGTCTTCCCCACTCACATCAATTAGTTTCACATAACTGTTCTGGCTCTCAGCTGTGTCCCCCTTTAGCATTGCCTTGAAAACTTCACTGTGGGATGTAAGTATGACTCTATGGATTGGAAACTTTACTCCATCTGCAGATTCTATAACAAAATCAGAGCCAATGGGATCAGCAAACAATGCACTGCAATCATGGTTGAGTTTAATATTATTAATGACTTCAAGACTAATATCCGTACTCTCAGTAAACGGAAATGAGACTGCTATGTGTAACTTTCTATCTTTCAAACATTGTATGTCTAACTCTGAAAAGTTGTAAGTAGTGAGGTAAGTGTGTGTCATCTCACTGACTTGTCGGAACTGAAACTCTTTCAGGTAATGTTGTAAGTACACTGTTTCTGCTTTTTTGTCAACTATAAACTTGTTTCCACAGCTCAGGGCTACATTAAAGGAAGTCACACCCTGGTTGCGGATAAATAAATGTAGGAGGAATGTTGTACCAACTTGCTCTGTTTTGAACGAGAACCAGTAGTCTGGCACATCTTGCGTGTAAGTGCCGCCGATGTCGTAAAAGTTGGGACGATAGAACTTCTGATAGATTTTATCCAGTCGCAGCCATTTCACTTCACGTGTCTGGCAGGGACGATGTCCATTCACCACATCCGGAGGCTGGATAAGAATTATTGCACAAGTATTAGTCATTCATTTACAGGTTTACAAAAACGGGTGACTAATAATACTTACAGCTGCATTAATTTGATTAACACTGGGCTCCAGCACCGGCAAGTGTTGTTCGAACATGGTGGTTTTATATGATGAGATAGACAGTAATTGAGAAATAAAAGAAACGGCTCTAAAATTTTACCCACTTACTATCAACAGAAATAATTTATATCACAACATACCTACTCAATAAATAATGTTAACAACTGTCAATGTCAAAGTCAAACACAAAATCTGTCAGTTTTAACCGGTTTTAACCTTATAAAACTCGGTTGCCATTCATGAAAGAAAAAACCTTATAAAAACTATTCACAACAAAACAAAGTAGCTAGGCTTGGTCAATCTTCAGTCATCGATTACAAAACGGTAGTTTACAACTAGTCAAATACAATACTTTTATCCAAATGTCAAAAACTATACTTTTCTATGTTTGTATGAAAAACTAAGTCATGATGTCCAAGCATTATTTCTTAAGAATTAGTTAGTAAATATCGAAAATTTAGTATATCGATATCTGCCTTGATCCATTGATGAATAAAATTATAGTAATTTTTCAATATTTTATTGTATCGAAACGTCGAATTAACTTATTTTTGACCTAAGAAACTACCTAATTGTAAATAAAGTAGAAAACCAATTATAATGTAACAAATAACCAACGTTAGACAAAAATAAGGTTTCTAGGCAAATTAGTTTTATAGCAATTAATTAAGTGGCAACTTTGCTTTTAAGAACGACGGCTGTCACGATGACAATTTGACAGTGCATGGATCTCGATTGTTTTTAGGATTTTTCATTACACTAATCCGCAATTTTGATTTGGATAATTACCTAATGCTATGACAATTACTGAGGCTCTAAGCCTCTATCAGAATGGTTCTAAATGCCGCTGTGCAGATGTTAAGGTAAGTGAGAAATCCTTGTATTGTAACCTTGTTTAAAATTAATTTCGAAATTCTTATAATTTTGAGTGTGGTCTATAATGATTATAATTTCTTGTACTCGACAACAATGCAAGTAAAGACAGCTTTAAAACCTCTTGCTCGTTTTCGATATAATTTACTAGTATCGAGGAAAAAGATTGACCCTGTCAAGTGAATGCTCGTCATTGAATGACACATACAGTTTTCTAGATGCAATCAACAATGTAAATAGCAATTGTAAACATCACATTCATGATATTCTTTTGTTGTAGGGAGGCAGACGAGCTGAAACAGAAAATATCAAAATTTAAGAGTGGAGTTTCTATGCTTCAAGAAAGAGGTCTTTGGGCTACACAACAGCAACTGCAAAAGGTAAAAAGTGTTAGCCTTATTTTCGTATTCTCCAATAACTGCGTAAGTTTAGGTATCTATATTGACAAATGAATATATTTGCAGGTTTATCAAAAAGTATTGGTTTTGGATCTAGACTATGCACTGGATAAGAAAGTGGAACAGGACTTGTGGAATGTGGGCTTTAAGCAACAGATTGAGGCCCTCCAAGCTATTTCAAAAGACAGAAAGGTACTTTAAGCTTGTTTACCTTATTACCATAGTAAACAAATCTATATTACTTTAAAAACACAGATAATAAATATGGTATCAATTGTTTGGTGATATGTCTGAACATGATTATAATATATATAAAGTCTGTGATTTATTTTTTCCCTAATTCCATACAGCTCATTATATCATACTGTTGAGTTTATGATGCTTTACTAGCTAGTATGGAATAATAATAGGCTGACAATTGTGTTGTTTTAGAATCCCCTCCGTAGTGAAGGTCAGGCTATGCTGTCATGGGTGCTACAAGCTGCTGCAGGATTCTACCTCTGTCTGTTACATCAGATCTGCACCACCTTTAAACTGGATTTACCATTCAGGTAAATTAAATTCATTTGAGTTTTTTATCAATCATGGAAAAGTAATATCAGTTTCTCTTTTCTTCAAATCAAACATCAAATGCATACAAATTGAATGATTACTTCCAGATGTTATTCTAACATTATAAAACTGTTCATTAAGGCTTAAATAGTAGAAATGTATTTTAGTTTCCAATGTATACAAAACTCCACTTTTCATTTCTTTAATCTACTTCAGGTTTACTTAATGAAACATGACTTTTTATCTAATTTCTCTGTTTCTATCAGACGGCGTGCCTCGCTGCTAGGACTGGTTGAAGGCTGGGGTGCCGGGGAGACGGCAGTTGGTGCTCGCCTGCCGCCGCCAGCATCTGCGCGCTACATCTGCCAGCACTGCCTAGTGCATCTCGGGGACCTTGCGCGGTATAGGCAGCAGCTACGCGTCGCCCATACATTCTATAGGTACATTTTTTTTGCTACCATAGAAGCAAGATAGTTTATTTCGAAAATTACGTAAAAGACATGCTAAAAGTATTGACGAAATTAGTATTTAAGTTAGACCTAGTTTCATACCTAAATTTGCAAATAGTAAATTATATGTTGTAGGATTAGATTTTTTTTGCATTTGAAGATATTATATGACCACCCGAAAAATAAGCGAAACCCTAAGAGAGGAGCACCCGTCATTAGTTTTAAGTTTCAACCTTGTCAATTTTCGCGGGTCGCGGACGACGAGTAAGGAAAGCTTGCCGCCCGACCAGATCCAGACCAGAAGCCCTAGCTTCACGAACAAATACCTAGCTCCACTGTTGCCTGTTTAAGGATTCATTGAAATAAAGAGTTTGTAATAAAGAGTGTTGTGTATACCGCAGACACGCGCTGGTGGTGTCGGCGCACTCGGGGCAGCCGTACAACCAGCTGGCGCTGGTGGCGTGGCGGCGCGGGCGGCGCCTGGGCGCGCTGTACTGGCACGTGCGCTCCCTGCTCGTGCGCGCGCCCTTCCCGCCCGCGCCCGCCAACCTCGCGCGCACGCTGCGCGCCGCCGCCGCCCTGCCCGGGTAAATAACCTCCTGCACTAACTATATTCTATTCTTATGTCATCTTCATTGTGAACGTTTTCTTTCCCTGCTAGACATAAGCTAGCACACCTCTCTCCACGACCGACTGCTGTGAGCCACGATGCAAATACTAGCACTCCATCTTAAATAAGGAGTGTTCAAGTTTCACCACAAAGACAATAATCGAATGCCCATACAGTTTATTAAAAAAAAACGGAAATTAACTTCAGTGTAAGGTTTTAATTCACCTATATAAAGAATAAAATAACTTCTATATATAATGATGTACAACAGCAGTGACCCTAAGGACCTACCAATGATCCCGGGACTGACAGACGGCGCTGCGCAGGCGCAGGCCCCCATCCCCGGCCGCCTGGACGCGCATTCCTACGTCAGCGAGCTCATCCGCGCCATACACTACATCCACACCGTAGAGGAGTAAGTTCATAAAGCTCACTGGCCACTGTGTTTTTTTTGATAACACGGTCGGGTCCCATAACATGTATCAATGAGACCTTTTCGATGTATGTATTTGCAAGCTATGTTTATTTAGAAACCACTGTCATATGATGGAGGAAACCTTCGTGAGTCAATCTTAATTTATAATTTAATATTATAAGTTTAGAATCGCCATCTTAAGCAATTATGGGGATTAATTCTCAAATCTTCTCCATGTGAGAAGAGGCGTTGGCCTTTCACCCATGATGATGATCATGATGACTGTTACTCACGGAGCAAGAACAAAGAGGAGATGAGATGATTAGATTTCTCCAAAAAACAATAAGATCAGGGTAAAACTTTTGGAAATTGGGATTTAGGAAATTTGGGGATTGGAGTGGAAAGGGGGGAAGGGATCACACACAACAGTTTTTTCTGCTATCACGATATCCTGTAAGATTGGTCCATATTTGAGAGTTAAATGTCATAGAGCATAGATGATTTGGCTGACTCCTTTCTGTATCTGCTCTGTGGTATTACTGCCTAACAAGTGTGATAAAGTTAAAAGTGTATAGAAATTGTTATAATTCTATATATCTTTAAGATATGATTTTAATAGTTACATGACTTATCCAGAGTAATTCCAAGTTATATTAGATCAAGACCACGCACACGATGTGTCAAGTTTTATCCCAAACACAAATGCAGATAGGTTGAAAATTGAATATATTATGGAATTAATACTATATTATATCTTTCCTTTCACGGGATCACAGGATTTTGGAAGGCGTACGAGGGGCCGAAGCCAAATCCCTGATGCACTATAAAAGTGCACCCAAGGACAATCCTTGGTTGACGCAGTACTATTATGCAATATGGTTATATATGGTTATGGGTTTGGATGACTGTGGACTACTACTAGTATATGATATACATTGTTTGGTGGTTTTAGACTGGACACGGCGGCAGCGCTGGTGGAGTCCCTCAACTCTTCGCTGACCGCGCTCATCGCCACCGACAGCTTCGAGTCCATGACTCTCATCAAGGTAATAGCTAGTAGTTGTTCATTCCCAGTCGTTGTTTTCTAGCAAAGTTATATTATAATGGCGCCACTATCGCCTTAGGTTTAGTTCACGTTTAAGTGGCGCGTTGTGCGGTGCGCTGTGCGGTTCCTCATACATTGCTCGTGATGTTCATATGTTTGTGTTTGCACGGACGTTGACACGACTTGATGCTGTAATATATGACAAACGATATACGCGCCGCGCAACGCCGTGTACGTAAACGAGACCTTAGCTACAATTAGGCGAGTTAATTTAGGATGTTATTTGAAATATCAGACGTACCTATCAAGTGATTTTTTATGTAATAGGTCGGCAAACGAGCAGACGGATTACCTGATAGTAAGCAGTCAGCGCTGCCTATGGACACCCGCAACAACAAAGGAGTTACGAGTGCGTTTCCGACCTTTTGGGGATTAGGGATTTGAAGATTTAGGGACTGGGGGAGGGGAAGGATTGGGCTTACGGTAACCTCACTCGCACGGCGAAACACAACGCAGTGGTTGTTTCACGCCGGTTTTCTGTGAGGCCGTGGTATCACTCCGGCCGAACCGACTCATTCGTGCCGAAGCATGGCTGTCACACACTTATAATCCTGATTCTGATTGTACTGTTATACCCCGACTCTGTTAGACCCTTAAGAGGATCTAAGCATATCGATAGTCTATATAACGCGACCAAGCGACGCTCCCGCCAGGCCATTCCCGATCTCAGTTACAAACGGTTGCCAAAAGATTTCAATTTTAAGTGTTTATAAAATGTGTAATTAATAAACATTTTAGTTTTATTAATTTGTCTCGTCAAAAAAAGACAATATGATAGTTTCCAACTAGTCAAATTCAGTACTTTTATCTAAACGGCAAAAACTTTTCTATGAAATTTGTATGAAAAACTGAGTTATGACGTCATAAAATTTTTGCGTCAAAACCTTACTTATTTCTTAATAATTAGCTAAAAAAATCTAAAACTTAGTGTATCGATCGATCGATCGATGAATAAAAGTATAGTTATTTTTCAATACTTTATTGTATTGAAACGTCGAATTAATTTTTGACCTAGGAAACTACCCAATTATCCGAGGCTGTATAACAGCATGTTGCCGGCCTTTTGGGGATTTAGGAATTTAGGGACATTTGGTCTTTTTTGCTTATTACACTGTTCATGTGTAGATTCACGTCAATAATGTACATATAAAAACGAAATAATGTATAAAAAGTATCGTGATGTAACTCTGCTTGTGATACAGATGGCGTGTGTGATGATCTGGTTGGTGCACTCTAGCACGGAGGAGGGCGGCGCGCTGAGCGAGGGCGAGGCCCGCGCCGCGGCGCTGGCGTGCTCGCTGGGCGCCGCCAGTCTGCTCGCGCATCTACTGCCCGCATACACCGCGCCCGCGCCCCCCGCCACTGCGCTGCCTGCCTGTCAGTACTTTGCCCCTTCAATATTTTGTTATTTTTAACATAATAAAACCAAGATATAAAATTAACAGTTTAAGATATATAATTTAAAACTTTAAAATATAAAAGCACGCAGAACAGTTTTATCTCTCTGACAGCCCCCCAACCTAGAGAGAGGGAGCGCGCAGTAAAAATGGCGAAGGACTAGTGTTGCCAGCCCTCGCTTAGTAGGATTTCATTCCTATTATTATTTATATATTTAAACCCCAGGTGTTTTATAAGTAAGAGTCTGACACCTCGCCTAGTGCAGAGCGGGAAATCATTGGATTATTTTCGACTTGAAAAAGTATAAAACTGTGTGATTTCAGTGAAGGTATGGGTGTCGTGGTGCGAGTGCCAGCGCGCCCTGGTGGGTGGCTCGGCGTGGGGCGCGGCGTGGGGCGCGGCGTGGGGCGCGCTGGCGGCGCTGTGGCCCGCCCTGGCGCACACGCTCAATGCGCTGCAGCCCGCCGCCGCGCTGCTCGCAGATACTTGTCAGTATACACAGCGTATTATACTAACCTATATATCATCAACCTATAAGTGCCCACTGCTGAGCAAACGACTCTTTTCACATGGAGAATGTTTAAGCTTGAATCACTACGCTACAAGGCAGATTGGCGATTTCAAACTTATAATGATCATTTATTTATTTATTTAGCTACTAATTTGGTCTCCTATGTTGAAGGCATTGTTGAGGAGGTTGATACGCGTGTCCAAGTTGATGTAGTCTACACCGACTTTAGCAAGGCTTTTGACGTAGTAGATCATGACATGCTCGTCACGAAGCTTAAAATGTATGGCGTTTCAGATCCTCTTCTGAGTTGGTTTCGATCATATTTCTCTGGTCGATTCGATCATACGCTCAGGGTTGTGATTGATGGCTGTTCTTCAAAACCGTACACTGCAAATTCCGGAATCCCCCAGGGTTCTCATTTGGGTCCGCATTTATTTACTCTGTTTATAAATTACATTTACAAATGCTTCTCAAATTCGAGGATATTCTTGTTCGCCGATGATCTAAAGGTCATGCGATCTATAAGGAGCCGGCACTACTACACAGTGACTTGGACCGGTTGACAGAGTGGTGTAGACACAACAAAATGTCACTTAATGTTAGAAAGTGTCAACATATAAAATTTTCAAATAAACAAAGAAGAACCGTCTTCAAACGAAATTAATGGTGAGCGACTTATCGAAGTTTAAACAATGCGAGATCTATACTCGGAATTTTAATTCCATTCCAGATTTGACAATTTCAGTGTTGCAACGTTATGACACGTAATAAATAGTGACGTTGCGAAATTATTCGAAATGGAAATCGAATATTTCTGAATCGATTCCTCTCGTTTATAAATTTACTCTCTTAAACTAAGTTTATCAGGAAATAAAATATTTCTGAACCGATAATTTAGTTTTGACAATTAATTAACGATCTGAGACTTTTCTTTTGTAATTGTGTGTGTAATTAATAAAAAATGTGATCATGAAGGAACGTGACAAATAAAACAGACATTTTACAAATTGTCGCCGTCATCGCTATCGCTATCGCCGTTACTCTATGTAACATTTATAATGAATTGTGTCTTTGATATTTATTGTCAATAAACATATCTAGCTTACTAATTTTTTCCTCTTCTTTGAAAACATGGGATACACATTTAGACCATTCGGTAGCCGTAATTTTTTGAATGCCTTCCTGAAACTGATTCACTGATTGTTTATCGATTTTTGTGTTCATCACTACACTGTTATATGTGGTATCATTATTTCACAAAATGACAGTGGTCAATGTCAAATCAGGAATCGAATTAAAAGTCTGACTATAGGTGTACAATTCAATAAAAAGCTAAGTTTTGTCGAACATATTGACAAAACTATTTTAAATTCTATTAAGATGCTTGGTTTTGTAATCAGAGAGTTTAAAAATTTAAAAAAAAAGAGGACGTCATAAAAATTATTTACTATTCTCTAGTAAGAAGCCATCTAAAGTATTGCAGTGTGGTTTGGGCGCCTGTTTATAAAGTTCACATCAAACGCATTGAACGGCTGCAGAAGCGGTTCCTAGGGCATCTTACTTATGCCAGTAATATGGGAAACAGGCTTAACTCGTACCATGAGCGACTGAAGCATTTTGGGATGGTGTCGTTAGAGAAACGCAGGGTTATGCTCGATTTGCGTTTTCTTAAGAAGTTAGTGACAGGCTCTCTTGGCTGTCCCGACTTGCTTAGTAGTAGGAAAAAAAATACTGTATATTGTGCTTTCCTCAATTTTGTAGATGACAGTGTGCCGTTACCAGAAGACGAAGAGTTGGCAGGGTTCCTGCCGCTAGAGAATGCTATGAAAGGGCTCCGGTTCCCGAACCATGCGGCCTGGGACACATACGGGGGCAGAGTGCCGGATCTAGACGAAGAAGCTGAAGACAATAATACCAGGTGAGTCTTATATGCGAGCTATTTTCCTATAGTTGTCAAATGAGTTGACTTTGGTCAAAACCAGCCACATACTACACAATAGAGATACAACGAATACATCCCGCTTTTAATATGAAAAATTTAATTCCATTCCAAATTTGACAATTTCAGTGTTGCAACATCATGACAAGTACTAAATAGTGACGTTGCGAAATTATTCGATATGGAAATCGAATAATGGCATGGTTACAATTTTACTAAACACTAAAAAGTTCCGTTCAAGCAAAGATCCATTGGAACATTATTTGTTTTTCACAAAATGACAGTTTTCAATGTCAAATGTGGAATCGAATTAAAATTCTGCCTATAGCTTCCGCCCGCTGCTTCGCCGGCGTGGTATGTTGATAAAAAGTAGCCTATGCCATACTCCGGTGTGATTTCCCTGTGCCAAATTTCATCTTGCCAGATTCGTCCAGTTGTTTTGGCGTGATTGAGTAACAAACATCCAAACATCGTAACTTTCGAAATATAATATTAGTAAAATCAATGTTATATTGTTTAGCCCTGCGGGGGAGGTACCGGTGACGTGCCTGAGTGGTTCTCCGGAGCTGGAGCACCGCGTGCGGGCCTATCGTCTGCTGCAACTTGGGAAGAAACTAGCTGATCAACATCCCGAACATCTCTCATACACGTGAGTTACCTACATCATACAGTTATACTTCATCATCATCAGCCTATAAGTGCCCACTGCTGAGCGAAGGCCTCTTCTCACACGGACAGGGTTTGAGCATTAATCACCACATTTGCTCAAGGTGGATTGGCGATTTCAAACTTATATATGATAATGAAGTAGACGAATTATTTTATATTGAATTTACATTTTTATTTAAATGTTTAGATTGTGTCAAAGAAACAAAATTGGTACATTGTCAGTGCAAAAAAAATTGTTTACTCTTTAATTATAATTAATGTTGTGTTCAATAAACATGTGAATTATTTTGTTCAGTGGGGACAGTATTTCTGTATGCAAGTAAAAAAATATTGGTTAAACTACTACTGAATCAGCAGCTATTGATACTCTGTTATTGTTTCATATTGAAATCATATTTTTCATTGATTTTGACTATACCGTACCCGACCGTGACCCGTCAGTGCAGTAGCCAAGCAACTTAAAGTCAAAATCATTTATTTGAATTATACCCATAAAGGCACTTTTGAATGTCAAACAAAGGTCAACAGGTCAGTGCTCTTAGTGAAGCTATTTGCTCGTTCCAAAGTCTGGATTCCAATGGAGAAGAACGAGCAACTTGCTTGCTGTCTCTGTTCTAATTTTTTTTATACGTCGAAATAACTCGACAGTTTTCACTTCACAGAGAAGAAGACGGCAAGATAACTTTCACAGCGTCGTCTGTGGGTGGCGAGCAGCTGAACGAAGCCCTAGCGGCTCTACGCATAGCGGCGGGGGCAGCCACGTCCAACAAAGACTCCGCCCCGGAGCCCGAGGATGAGAGCGATGACGAGCCCACACAACCCCCACCACCCATCGTCATATCCGAAGCTGACTTCCGGGAGAAAGGTGGCTATTTCTATCCTTGCTCTATATTTTCTTTATAAATCATGCCCACATCAAAGATAAAAAACTTTTTGCAAAACGTGTAGGTAGAATAATCTATACGTAATATTATGTCTATACTTATTATTAATATTATAAAGTTTGTTTGTTTGAACGCGCTAATCTCCGGAACGACTGGTTGAAATTGAACCATTCTTGGTTTGTTTGTTAGTCAATTTCTCGAAGTCTCGAAGAAGGCTATAAAACATCACGCTACGATCTGTAGGAACAGAGCAGCGGGTCGAACCGCGCGAGAGTAGCTAGTATATATAACCCATAGCGTGGCAAATGTCGGACTATGTCAGTTAAGCTTACAGAAATATATCGAGAGGAGCGAAACTGGCGATTGTTGTAAATAAGGAATATAAATGCGACTAATGCATGTGGTTTTCAGTCCGTGAGAAGCGCGTGGGTATCCTGAAGCCGCAAGGGTCGCTGGAGCGCGCCAGGGAGGAGCGCGCCCTCGCCACGCAGGACGACCAGCTCGCGGTATGTACGCTGGGACATTTGTAGGTATATACGTACATTATATAAGAACAATAGGTACCCAAACGCCGGCGTACGCTTGGGGTCTGATGAATTAAACACTAGTGCTGTTCATACGCGGTAACTGGGCCTGCGGCGGAACCTATTGCAGGGTCTATTTCCATACGGAAGAACTGTGTGATCAACAAATTGATGTTCTGAACCTGGGTGTGACGTGTATATTTGTGGATATAGCACCCACGGCACAGGAGAAAATCATTATGCAGGGAAAGTTTTATAAAATAAAAATCCGTTTTTTCGAAAAATTCGTTTTAAGGGTCAACAAATAATTTGGTTAAACTTTAACTTTGGTTAAACACTAGTGTTACACTGTTCTCACGTAATGGAAATATCTAAATTATGTAACAATGCATTGTAAAAAGTGATTGAAAAACAGTACCTAACCATGGAGTTTCTTGCTCGTTCTTATCCATAGGAATCTACACTTTGGAACGAGCAAATCGCTTTACTAGAGGACAGACGGACAGACTGACACATATAAAGTTAAACCTTATGATATCTTTTTTGCTTGACATTCAAAAGTGCCTTTTTTAGTCTATTTGAAATAAAGAATTTGATTTGATTTGAATTGTTCTTAATATCGTGGAATCAAATCATTGACAGAACACTAGGTAACAATAGTTATTTAAGACAATCTGAAAACAGCTAGTCACTTGTTGGAGTTTTATTTCCTTCTCTCATCCCTGTTATCGGTAGAAATATAAGCCGCAGTAGGATCTATTCCATAATATCACAGCCAATATGGTGGTTGCAGGAGGCTGATGTGTCAGAAGACAGTAAGTCAGAAGACAAGAAGGAAGCGCGCAAGCCGCGAGTCAATATCGCGATGGCAGCCATCATGAGGAAGCAGGAGGAGACCAATAAACAGGTTAGTTCACAGCTTACTCAAGGAGATATATTGCGTTTTTTCCTTCGTTTAAACTATATCCTAACAATGACAATGAATGAAAAAATAAATAAACGAAATAACTTAGTGTGGGAGAGCCACGCTTCGTCACGACCGGCTCGACCGCAGTGATATCAAAGTTTCACAGAAAACCGCCGTGAATCAACTACAGCTTTGTGGTTCGCCGTGTGATTGAGGTTACCGGAGGCCTAATCCATTCCCTCCCCCAATCCCTAATTCTCCAAATCCCTAATCCATAAAAGGTAAGCTACGCACTCGTAACTCCTCCGTTGCGGGTGTCCATGGGCGGCGCTGATTGTTTACCATCAGTGTGTTTGCTCGTTTGATGTCCTATCACATAAAGCAAAAATTACACATTCAACGCAAAATTTCCTAATGAGAAAAATGATTGTGTTTTAATGTATGTTATTTTCTTCAGGTCAAATTCGTAACGCCCCCGCCGACACCAGACTCCATTCCAGACACTACAGAATCGAAAGATGACAGACCTAAAGTGATACAACCTAAAGCCATCAAGTCATTAGCCAACTTACCGCTCGGTAGAAAGACCGGCGGCATCCTCTCACTCAAAGACAAGTCTGCCGGCTACCCACACCTCGTACTCAACACAGAACCTGAGCCACCCAAGAAGACAGAGAAAGAAGAGAAGAAAGACATCAAGCCGAGTCCGTCCAGCCAGAGCTCGCAGAACTACGTGCAAAAGAGACAGGAACACGCGCCCTCGCCCAACTGGAACCCTCAGAACTCGTACCCCGACGCGCCCAGGATGAACTTCCAGAAGAACTATGGCATTCAGAACTCCGGGCTCAGCTACAACCCGAGCTACCCGGCGCCTAGCGTCAACAATCAAGGAATCAGGCTGCCGGTCGTCAATCCGAAGGAGATTGACGTGAGAACTGCAGCGCTACAGAAACAGAACTCCCGCGCGGAGCTGTTCCAGGACGGACAGAAACTCAACCACAACTACCAGATGTCTGGCGACAAGAAGAACTTCCTGAACGATCTGCCTCCTCGGTTCGCCAACCAGTACCGGTATTGGCACAACGCGCAGGAGAACCAGTTCAACGACAACAAGTTCCGAGACGACAACTTCAAGCAGAACTCGTTGTTCAATGGCCAGCTGCCGCGCAGCTGGGGCTCGCAGCCCCCGCAGCCGCCGCAGCCCCCGCAGGCCGACGGGTACCAGCCCCCCATGTGGTGGAAGCCCGACCAGACCAACAACTTCAACGCCAACTTCCAGCAGCAGATACAGCCCAACTTCTACTCGCCCCAGCACCTCAACACTAACTTGCCGAACCCATACCAGAACCTGTCGTATAACCAGCTGCCGAATAACATGGCCCAGAGCAAACAGGAAGGGTTCAGCCAGCCGGGATACATGCAGTCAGCTATCGGGCAGCCGCAGCTGCAGACCCTGCAGACGCTGGTCACTTCGCCCAACTTTAATTCATCGCTGAACAGCTTCTCGTACGCGCCGACGGTGGGCTATGATTCCTCGCTGTACCCGCAGTTATCCAATAAGTTGGGCTACCAGCCGCTGCAGATGAAGGTGGAGAAACCCCTGGGCTACCAGGGAAACAAGGAGCTCATGGATATGAACACGCTCGGCTTCGGCGGCACCGCGCTCGACATGCAGCAGCGGAACATCAACTTCAATGATCCGCTGAACAACGACATCGGGAATGTGAAGAACATGGATCAAATCGGGGTGAGTTGCTAATGTGGTTGTTCATCACAGGTTGGCACAGTACAACTTGGTTACAAAACTATATTTTCTATAAGTTATGTTGTAACTTTTATGAGACAAATTAAATTAAATATATGAGATATATTTATGAGACAAATTAAATTATCAGCTTGCTCGCGTAACTGTTGACTGATGGACTGCGTAACTGTTGACTGGCCTCATATTCGTATGATACATTATTATTTTTACATATATGTAGTGTTATGATATTAACAGTTACACTAAACCGGTGTATGTTTGTACAGAGTGGTGAGGGCGCTAGTGGGGCGGCGCCAGGCAGTACGTACTCCTTGTTCAGCGGGGCGCCAGACACCAGCGCCTGGGGCTCACCTGCGCATGCGCAGCCACCGGTAATTTATTATTATTTTTATACAGGGTGTAAGGGACAGCCCTCCACAAATTAACAGGGTGCATTCAGCTCCTTATTCTGAATCATATTCCAGTGAAAATTCTTTCAGGAAAATTTTCAATTTTTTTTTCGTTTTTTCAGTTCCTACACCTCTATTTCAATGTATAATTACATTATATGTATGAAGAATAACATTAATGTAAATAACACAGCTAAAACAAAAAAATACGCAATGGTTGTGTGAATTCTCTAAAGAACTACGCATGAAATCAGCTGTTCAATTTCTACCTAGCGCGAGTCGTTTGAACTCACCGCACCGCGGTCACGGCGCAGCGGCTCGGCGCCCCACCTACGTATAATACCTACGATCCCGTCCAACGTACAGAATAGCTGCGTCCCTTTCTATCGCCCCGCCTCCGCGTCTCCCCGTCTCCCCGATTCTTTGCACAATGTTTGCCCGATTGAACCAGTGTTGCCAATTTTTAACTTTTGTTTCCTCAGGTAGTAAACGAAAATGTTAGAACTAGCGAAATTTATCTAAAACTTGAGAACTCCTTTGCATTCATAATTACGTTGATGAGATTTTCATTAATCAATTAATGAAAATCTTGTCGCGCACATAAATTGAATAAGAAATAAATAAAGATTAGTCTAGTTTTAATTTTAAAGCATTTACAAATACTACCTAATTTATTAATTGATTGTTCTTTTTAAGCGATTATTGGCTAGTTTTTAAACTACTTACAGATTTTTACATGGCTTCACAATAGCCATGAATTGATAGTCGAGCCAGAAATTAAACACAATCTCCCTGGAATGGAAGCACAGCTTTCTATCACACTGCACTTTTATTATTCTAAATTAACTAAACAATGAAATTAGAATTAAATTGATTTAATCAATTCATTTCTCTACAAAAAATAACAGAATGATAAATTACGACTATGCATAATTTTTTATTTTTTACCCCGAAATTTTGTAATTTTCGTGTAATTGGCAACAACAGATTTATGTTTGTGTGTGTCTCATCACATGCAGTCGCCATTGTGCCTTGCTGCGATGTTATTGTTTGTGTACCGCGAGCGTGTGTCGGCACGGATCGCTCGCGCATTCGGCTTAAAAGTTTTGTTATAAGTAGTGTTGTTAAGTTTTATTAGTTATGTAGTGTGTGAAGTGTAGTGAAGTTTTGTTGTAGAAATTGTGCGAAATTACTACCTAGGTACGTTTAGCGCGCGTGATTATGGGGAGATGATAATGTGTTGTAGTAGTGTAGGTATCCTGACCGTCGCCATCCATCAGACTCCAGGATAATTACTGGTGACTATCAACGCTTGCTAGAAAACCAGCCCATTGTTCCCAGACAAAAAGGCGCCGGAAGACCAATACCTACGTGGATTTTGGAATTGGTTAGCTAACGTAAGGAGACGCTACCACTTACCAGTGCTTTCCTATTTAAACGTAGTTTAGGTAGGTTTGGACCGCAACCGTGGCCAGCACGATCCCCAGACCTAACCCATTTGGACCCCTTTTTGTGGGGTTACGTAAAAGAAAAAGTGTTTGTGAGTGCGTGTGCAAGTGAGTACGAAATGCGAGACCGCATCACAAATGCTTTCTAGAGCCGGAAACCGGAGCGATTCTAAGGTACCTACGCATTTTTCTTTTTTTATCATTTATCAGTTACCATGTTATGATTGTTAGATTTTTTTTGTAAGTAATGCAGCTATCTTTTAAATAATAATTTATTGTTATTAAAACGTGGCGCGAGCGCGATTATTACATTGTCTTTTGTAAGTAATGCGGCTATCTTTTAAATAATAATTTATTGTTATTAAAACGTGGCGCGAGCGCGACCGTTTGTCTGAACGTAAGGTCGCGGCGCTGCCCATAGTGTAAAGTAATAATACTAAAAGCGCTGCCGTTCGCTGCGTGCGTTTGCGGTGGTAGCGATACATTGCGTGTAAGGTAATGAAACAAATCGGTTTAATTGGATTCCCATAACGTTCCTGAAATAATTTCATGTACCGGTCAACTTAAGACGATATACTGAATCCACCCTATCAGTTTGCGGAAGGCTGTCCCTTACACCCTGTATATACTATATAACGCAGTCCTTTATAAAGTTACTTCTTCAGTCATTTACTATATCCCACATTATGCTATTGTCGATTTGGAAGACGGATCTATATTTATGTTGCAAATATTTTTTTACTTTTTGTTGGAATTATTTGTTCAAACATGATATCGCCTCGGATGGCGGTGGTCATCAGTGAATATAGTGTGTGTGTATGTGTGCGCAGTCCCTGTGGTCGGGGCCGGGCCCGTCGCCCCTGGAGCGCCTGCTGGAGCAGCAGAAGCAGCTGAAGGCGCCGCAGTGACCGCCGCGACACGTCTGCTCACTGACGTGCAGTGCCCCACGAGGTAAAAGACAAGAGCGAGAGACTAAACTAACTCTTGCTCACTATCTTACAAAAATACATGCCAATATTTCGGCCCGTTACATAACTGTCACAGTAAACTGTCGAATTGTTCTACAGCTGGTTCCGATTACTACGTGTCGTACTGTAGAAATATTTGGAATCGATTCTACGCTTCCCAATGCGTAGTCGTTTTTTATAAAAATTCTCCTTGATAATGATAATAATAATATGCTGTTGTATAAAATTGTAAAAATGTAAACATGTATGTATAAATTATATATATTGACGGCGACAAGGAGAACTGATTAGTATTTTTGTCCAAGCGCCGATTGTGGCCAGTTTTGTAGGAAACTGTTGGCTCAATTGTATAAATATATTTTATTAGCATTGTTCGTGGTTATCGTGCATAGAAAGAACTACCTTATTGTTAGATAAACTAAAATAAATGAATTTTAATGATGCTGCGCATAATTTGTTGGCACTTGAGCACAACACGGGAGCATCGACGATTGGTCGTAATTGCCCCGCGTCCTTAGAATTGCCAATATATCGCTGCGGACTATACATAAAATTATATAAGTGTAAAGACATTAAATAATGTAACTCAAGCTTCACGTTACAGGCGTAATTTTGAGCAAACTTTATAAGTATTTATTGGCTGTGGCCCACAACTGCTAGGTAATATATTATTTGCTCATATTGTTTGCTGATGATTTTAAATAAGCCCAGTCGCCAGTATTAACGTGGTTCTTGCATAAAAATACTATGTTGGTCGCCATTGTCGGGCATCGTAAAAAATATTTTTATTCTTGTACACTTGCATATTTTTGTATATTGTCTGTGGTATGCCGCGTCGTGTGAACTGATACAGATATTGTTGGCCTCCTTTGTAAATGTCCAATTGTACAGATTATATATACTGCTTTATACATTTTCTTAATATTTGGAAACTGATCTTTCTTAGTGATTTAGTTTAATAGTATTCTAAATTGTAGATGCAATTCTTATTTATTGTTTTCTTGTGGTTTTGCCTGTTTATTTGTGTGCAGTTGGATATTTACAATGGCGTTATTTTAAGCATGATTTTGTTGTGATTTTAAGTGAAAGTAAATTAAAGTAACCTTTGTGAAACAATATTTTGTAATAAAGATATTTTTGTTATTACAGTCCTCGTTTCAATTGCCCCGGCGTTTACTGTCATTTCACTTCCAGAATTTTCATTAATTATTTCAAATTCGTCTCCAAAGAGTATTCAAATAATAGCAAACGAGATTCATAGATTGCAGAGTTTAAAAAATCTAAATATAAAACTGAAAAATTTCGTTTCGTTCCTGTGGAGTCATCGGAGGGCAAAAAGATTATCCCGCCAATTAAGTCCAAGGTTGTCGGTTGTGATAACACACACACTCCAGTTACACGATCACAACAGTTTTGGACCTCAGCAGTTAGTCAGTGCTCAGCTCTTACTCATATTGGTAATGGTTGAAATTTTTCCTTGTTTTCTGGTTCTTTTTCTTCCCTGTGGCACCTAGCCTTTGTTAGGGCACTGCCCAAGATTCCAAATCGTTCTCTACCCACCCAATTCTGCCCAATTTCAAGTTCTTCCATTCCTATCTGTGGTGCTTGAGGCTTGTGTCTACAGGCAAATCTCGCACTTGCCTCTCTTAATGCTTTCTTGACCCTCATTAGTTATCTATCTACTTACTTTCAATTCACTATGCACCAGTGCAAACCATAGTAAATCCCGCTGTTCTTCCAATATAATTGTCATTTTCAATATAAATCATCACACTGACTTTCTTCATTGATGCTATGTTTACATAGCATCACAGACTGAATGAAGAAAGTAAGCACTACCCACGGAAATCACAATCATCTTTTATTCAAATGAAACACAATATAATCAGTCAATAATTTAATTTTTATTTCTTCATAGTAATTCTAAACAAATTATCAGATGAAATACATGTCTAAGGTGTAAAAAAGCGTACTATTTTTCTAATTGCATTATACATAAATTATTTACAATATCACTAATAAATATTTGAGTAAAACAAATAGGATTTGAGACAAAAACAATACTATTCTGACATCTCCAATCTACAACAAGTTTATCTAGAAACAGGTCTAATATTTACTTTAAAATTGCATTACAGAATCTCTTTACAGGCTAGTAATGGGTAGTCAAACAAAATAATTTGAATACAAAGCAAGTAAAGCTATTTATCGAGTTAATAAATAACAGTCGTGCGAACACAATACGCTAAGATATGTACAACAAATTGACAAACAATAGTGCAAACTGGACCGTATGTTACCGCCATCGCGCACCGACACTGCGCGGCAGGACCGGCAGTGCACGCTGCGCAGTGACCTTAAACCTAGGACGTAACCCCACAGGGTACGTAACTCATGTTAACATCTCATACAAAGAGCTTGCGTACGCGCATGCCTTCTGCACCAGTTATTTCCTCAAGATAAATATATGTGCTACTTTAGACACGAGGAAAATCAACAACCACATTGGTCATCGGTTGGATTTCGTTATATTATTAACCTGTATTAACAATTGAAAGTAACCTAAAAACATAATACATTGTTATGAAGGTCTAAATTACACTAAAGTAGGGATCTTATAAATCATTCACAACTTTTCATAACCGTGTTTACTGATACTTCCCGGGTTATTGTCTAAAACAACTTAAACATGTAAGCTGACAATACCTAGGGAAGCGATACAAAATTAATTCCGTCTAAAAATTGACTTGGGGTTGCCATAAAAATTGTATACACAAATGAGCGTATGGTAATATGACGTCAGTCGATAAATTGGTGCAAGTAAAACAAATTCGTTCTGTTTGACTAGTCGAGTTGGCTGGCGGAGCGGCCGGTAACCAGACCTACGCTTTGTACTCGCATTGGCACATTTCATTACACGCTACTTTGTAAATAGTTACCATTCGTCAACAGTGTACCTACCAGCGTAATGAACACTGGGAATCACAAAAGAACATTATACAACCGGTATATTGGTTTGAAAAATAAAAGTGCAGCTCCATTCATAGATACAGGCTTACAAACACAGTTGCATGTTCCAACGACATAGGATGTATTCATATTAATTTTCACTAATGGGCTAGAATCAAACCAGTCAATTACAATTACATTTTACTATTGTACACTGGAGTATGTGGCAAAACCTGTTCGAGATTGTAAAAAAAGCATTCCTCCTATTATAGGATTAAGTCTCGAATAATTTCATGTTGCTATGTGTCAATATTGCTTGTATATCCTATGACGTGCAGTTTAATGTTGTTAACCTGTATACTAAGGGAGGACCTCTTCAAAAGTTACAACTTGAAAGCGCATAAACATAATGTTTATAACCTGGAAAAAGTTTAACTTGGCGAAGTAAAGCACCCTTTTGCACCTTACTGCCGGCGCCCATGCGATGAAAGAATTACGTTAAAAAGGATCATATTACACATTTTAAACTAAAAGTTCTACTACGTTTACTATACCAATTAATAATTTCCTAAAATTTTTACACGAAACCTTTCTTTACAATATTTAAATGTGTGCAAATTTTCAGTCATTTAATTATAATAATCTTTGACCAATAAATGTTTTATACATATCAATATTTATAAACAATATTTTGTTGTGTGAAATTTAAGAATAATAATTATTATATTTTCACAAATTCACTCTCATTGCTTCAGCAATCATCATACACCGTTTATCGACACATGACAATCAATAAAGAGCTCTAGCACGGTTTCAATAGAAAATTGGTCGGTATGGGAAGTAAAATTGTTTTGTATTATTGAGTCAATTAGTCTGGAGAACCTTGTTTAGTTAGATTGTCTTCATAATTGACAAGCATTTACATGGTATGTTCATTGTTCCGCGCTAGAACTCTGTAAGTCTATAACTACACATCGACACGCGATCAAGGCCTCAGGGTCAACACGCTAAATGCTAGGAAACAGGAGACAATAGATATTAATACTCGGTTTATATCCATACTTCGGTAGTATATTTCCAATTTAATAAAGCATTGTCATCGTAATTTTGTACGAATTTATCTGGCAAACTTTAGCAAGTAATGTTAAATTTTCCTTTATAACCTCATATTAAAGATCGAGTCTCCCGTATCCGAGCCATCACATTTATAATATACAAAAAGGGGATATGTAAACGAATTGCTATAATCATAATTATAATCAAATTCGTCAGTCCTAACGTTGAGCCGACTGACTCAGAAACGTCACATTTACAAACACAACCAATTTATAATGTCATGATTTACAAGATTTCAATTCTACCGTGAGGTTTTTTTTTAAGTGCTGGCAACATTTTTAATATCTGTCAAGGAGTTCCTTGTCTTGTCAATCATCAAACGTATATAATCTATTGGAGATGGGATGCAATGTCCTAAATATAATTATTTTATTACTTTTCTCGAAGAAAAGATTAACATTGAAACAGACAAGAGTCTACTTATAGACAAAGCAGAACTCATTTCAAGCCCTAGGTATAGAAACTCCATTATCAACTTTAACAATTCATGTGTTTACTATACAGTGGCAACTATCTATGGCCTATGGGGTTGAGGGATGAACACGTAGGAACACAATAAACTAGTTGCGGAACCAACATTCGTTGAGCAGATTTTCTAGAATATTCGCCAAATTTATTTCAACTTGTAAAGGAGTGACTTAGTTTATATTAACGTATTTCTATTACATCCAATGTTCTCGATCGCTATACGCAGGGTAAGGTCATTTGATATCTACGTTGAACAAGTATACTATACCTTATGTATATGGCATTATGGTTTGTTTCGCGTCGTCTCACGTTTGTCGCTCCACGCTGAAATTATAGGTATAGTCGCGGTCGAGATCGAAACGCGTGCGCCGCTTTATAACGGGCAACTGTGTCTGGAAATAAAGATATTTAATGTTTTTAGTAACTTTTAATAAAATCTATATCAATATTATAAAGAGGTAAAATTTGTAAGTTTTGTAAGTTTGTATGTAGGGGGTAAAACTACTTTAAAACCGCTGATCGGATTGCCAAAATTCTTTCATTGATAGATAGCTACAATGTTCCTGAGTGCTATAGGCTATAAAACATCACGCTACGATCAGATGGAGCCGAGCAGCGGAAACCGCCTGAGAGTAGCTAGTAAAATATAAAATTATATCCGTCAATTAAATTCCTTATTTTATTTGTTTGAAAATTAAACGCATTATGTAATACAAATTTATGATCAAATAATCCATTAACACTATCCGAACCCAATAACACTATTCGACTTAGGTCTAAAATTATCGTTTGTTGTATGACGCGAATGAAATCGCTGACATTAATAATTACGTTCAAGCATTACTAATTATATTGTTAGAACAAAAGATTACAGAGGAAAACTGTTGTTTAGTGACATTCATCCTGTCATCCCTGCGCACTACCAAAATACTAACAAAAAAAAACCCGTGAAATCAAATACTTCGATTTGTTTTTAAAAGAAAACTTACCACATGATCACTAGGCAACCCTCTCAACTTAGGGTTTAATACAAATGGCACTCCTTCCATCCCGTTGTAGCCTCCCAGCGTCTGATACATGGTGTTTCTTGGTAGCGGTGCGGGGCCTTTCTTTCGACCATGTGCTACAGGAGACGTCGGTCCAGCGGGGCTCCCATGCGGGATCGGAGACTTCGCTGAGGGAGGCCGCGGCGCCGGCCGGCTGGGCTTGATGTTGTATGAGGGACTTAGTGCTTCGTAATCGTGGTCGGTGGTAAACTCCTCGATGTTAGGATACGCGGTCGGCGACTGCTTGAGATTCAAGTTGTTCAGCTCTGAGACTAGAGGCGATAGCTTTGGTGGCCGTTCTGGTACACGCAACCTGTAAGTAGACGATATGGTTTACTTTGATAATTTTAATCTTTTACAACAAGGAGTTATGAATCAATACACCTCAATCTATTTCAATAAATTTAAGTATCTTTTGAGACATACTGACGTACAAGGGTATACGAAGTTACCCATCGTCACGTTAGCAAGAGTATAAAAAATTGGGCTCATATTTTCTGTTTGTGCTGAAACTGATTGACTAAAGGTATAACGGGGAACAATGAAAGTATTGTCATGAATCGCAAGGCAGCATTCAATGGGCGATGACGGCTGGACAATAAATACTAAATAGATTTGTCGCGCACACAATGGCGTGTGTTTGATAACACGTTTGGTTATGTTAAACAATTATACATAAGTTCAAGTTAGATAGATATCAATAAATGAAGTTTAATACTAGTTATCATTCGTTGTCTTTATAGTTAACTAGTTTCTGCTAGCGGCTTCGCTTTTGGACTTCGGTAATAACTAGATCGTATTATGCCAAATGTTAGTCAAATTATAGTTTATAGGTTTAGGTGGTAAACTCAACTCATGTCTTTTTATATTATAGAGGTGGTACGAAATACATACAAAGATTAGTTAAATATAGTGTTAACTATAATAACATAAAATTAAGTAAATACGTGATTGTAATTGTTTACCTTTAAGTCAATTACCTAAACCGACAGACGATAGTAACAATTAAGTAATGATTATTATTAAAGATAACTTAAATTCTTAAATATCTAGACAAATATCAATTATTTGTTAACTAGTAGGCTCAAAATTAGGCTATATGCAAACACAGATTTTTTTTTTGTTATAACGTAAATAGTATGGCTAGAGTTGCGTATCAAGTTTCTGTCAGCGATCAAGTGCGTAAACCACAAAAGAAAACACCACGACTTAGTACATCTGCTCTCGACGATGCATTAATTTACTTCAAATCTTTGTGTAATTCACGCTTGACAGTTGCCAGAATTCACATCCGAAAGGGTATATAAATGTGACCAATTTTGGCACTTAATACATAAACAATAAGGTTCAAATCCTAATCGTTACTAAAAGTGCAGGGTTAATTAATTAGACTTTATTGCAGCTGCTTGATCACGAATGTTTATACTGCTTTAAGAATTAAGATAAACGCAAAACACAAAGACTTGGAAGGGGAACAAAAATACGCAAACAACACGATGTTTTGGGAATTATGTTACCTACATAATTATGTATTTATGTTGTATTAGCGGTCGCCCGCGGTCCACCCGTGTGGATGTCGATTTTGCACTTTTTGTCAAGTTTTTCTTTTTCTCTCCTTACATAACTTCCATGAATAATTCAAGACCAAAATTAGCTAAATCGGTAAATGCATTGTTGAGTTATAACATTACAACGAAACGTAGCATTGATTTTTATATGTATTAAGACAAAGGAAAGTATTTGTTTTACACGCTATATTTTCAAACGACATCACAGTATACTGAAATTAGAATCATCTTAGTCGATCAACAGCAACTCATGGCTCAGACAATGCTATGTTGTAGCGCACTAGCGCAGACACAGCAGAATGCTTACAGCGAGTTTCCCTTAACGCAATTGAGATATTTATGACGTTTGACTTGCTCCAAGTTAACCAACCATCATAGAGCTAAACGTAGCTACGTTCACTACGCTACTTTTTTATGGTATTTGTCAGCAAACGAGCAAATGGATTACCTTATAGTAAGCAATCGGCGCCACCCATGGACACCCGCAACGCCAAAAAGTTACGAGCGCGATCCCAGATTTTGGGGGATAAGTCGGATATTTGAAGATTGGGAAGGGATAGGGCCTCCGGTAACCTCACTCACACCGCGAAACACAACGCTGAGGTTGTTTCACGCCGGTTTTCTGTAAGGCCGTGGTATCACTCCGGTCGACCAACCCATTCGTGCCGAAGCTCTCTCACATTTAAATTAAAGCGCATTTTTTTTTCTCCTGCGCAAAAAGTTCGCGCTAATATTGGAAAGACAATATTTATAGCAAGTCAACAGTAATGCAGTGCTTACCTCCTGTTAGCTTCAGGCGTGATGTTAGTGACCACGTTTTCGTACTCGTTGTGTGTGGGCGAGTTGTCCGCGCTGCCCCCGCTCACTTTGTAGCACACCATCTTGCCGTTTATTTCACTGCAACAAAACAATTACACCATTAACCTCTTGTCTGCCGTTATATGACAAACAATAGAAAACACGTTGTCTCGCGTGGATCCGCGCTCCGGACCACCCCATACATCTTTACTCAACAACGCCTGGACAAATATTGCTAATTCTTTTTTTGTTTTGTTTGTTATTGTCAGAAGAAGGTTCCTATAAAAAATATAGAAAAGTAGAGGGGGAAGATTAGGAAAAAGTGACCCTTTGATAGCGAGATAGTTGGACCCGTGCGAAGCGGGGGCTGGCCGCTAGTAAGTTATTAACTCGTGCTTTACATTATGTTTTTCTAAATTAACGTCTGACACGTTAAAGGCAGTATTCGAAATTTAAATTTTCGCAATTTACATTTCAATATCAAATAGTATGATGACAAAAAATATATTGTTGTTGTTGCAACACTACTTGCATGTGTTTACACAACTATAGTTTTTAAAAATATTAACTTAATTGCAAAAAGCCTATGAGTGTATTACGAGGAGAGACCTCAATAAGGAGAAAGTTTGACGCTAAATTTGAGGTTAATGCATTTCCCCCAAAAACTGTTTCATCACAATCTTACAATAATAGAAAAAAACATTTTTTGGGAAAGATCTAAATAATTTTATCTTCTTTCATGTATACATTCTGAACACATTCTACCTATAAATTAAAGTTATTTAGTTAAATAAATTGCATAAAGGAATTCTGGTTCAGGAAGATCCGTGGTCGAGATTCGAACGTCATGCTTACCCAGTTCGGCCAGTTAATAGATACGGTTCACCATTACCTATATCACTTAGTACACGCTTGAGAGGCCATGAAGGTCTGAGAATACGACAAGTCTGGTTAAAAACTACTTCGAAAGCTACAAAGCTTTATATGTGACGTCAAAGAGCCAACTGAACACAACATTAATGGGGTCCAGACGGGCCAATAAGCAATAATATACCAGGGCCTCGGCATAGAGCAGGAGAAGGAACGGGGGGTATTAGTCGGTAAGTCTGACACTCCCATCTCGCCATACACTGGGCGAGAAAAGTCATTCGGTGGTCAAAAATAGGAGGCTGGTCTGGGGTGTTCTGAGATCAGCACGTTAGGTTTAAAGGATAAGGTTTTTTTTGTGAGGAGAGAATCATCAAATGATTTATCCCGTCCAGGGTCGGGCGGGAGGAAGCTTACCCCGCAAACCTGGCTGAAAATCAGCCCTGTAGGGCGTAACGCTACGCGCCATACGCTCGGGGGAAGGATAAGAGAGGTGTTGTAGATTATTTTTCGTTGGCATCTTAATAGATGCCTTCGCCCATGAAACTCACCCGGCGAGTATAAACCCCTGCGGGGCCTGCCTCATCTTGGAGCAGACGATGATGTCTGTAACTGGGGGGTAAGCGTGGGCTGCAGCAGGCCGGGAGACGCGCGTGCACAGCCGCCGCTTGCCAGCGCGCCCCGCCACGCTGTATCCTGGCGGTGCTGCCTCCCGCTCCCCAACTATCACTACGCCGTCCATCACGTATCCAGGTACACCTAATGAAGGAATAGTTGTGTTAATCAGAATTCTAATATCTCAAAAATCTTAATACCTAATATTAAATTGGAACATTATAAACCACGCAATTCAAAATTACGAGCCCATTTTGGCGCTTGTCGAGCATCATCGAGCACATTATGTGGGGTAACCGCTAACAATACTATTTAAAAATTTTGCGCCTAAATCTGCGTAAGTAGATTTAGGCTTAATATGTCTACCCACAAATGAATTGTTTTAATATGTGAGTGAAGCATTAAACAAAGAAAGAAACAACATTAAAGATGAAATGAATAATATCACGTACGTACGATTTAAGTACTCGTAAGTGTAAGACTAAAAAGTCTGCGTTGGCGAATATCATGTTCTGGTGTATTTTCTCGTGTCGTACTACTGACTAAATAAATAAGTAGTTAGGCGATGACCTGTTATGATCTGTAAGTCCGTGAAAATAAAATACGTTTAAAATAAAAATGAATATATTCGTCGATCAAAACGAAGTTAATTACATTTGTAGTGTTCAACAAATTGGAGGGTTAAGGAAACCTTGTAAAGTTACTATGTTTACCGACTAATCGGCTTGTAGGCTTGTATAACATATGGACGCAGTGTCCACTCGGTGACTATCTGACTAATACGACAGTTCAACCACAAAGAAGGGCAAATACAGCTGTTAGCCATACATTTTTTTTTTATAGTGGCACATTGTAGAGGCCATGGTACAAAGCGAGAGGAATTGGTAAGCCGACGCATTTTGCTGCGTCGTCGCCCGTCATACTCGCAAATAAGGCGGACTTCATGAGGGATTTTTCTCACGTATCAGATGCCGCAAGAGATACGAGGCACGTAAACGCGGGTCTACTGTCAGCAAACAAGGGTAGCTCGCCGCCGGACCAAAACCAGAGCCGAGCGAGCGTGAGGCGTGTAGTGTTTGGAAGGCGCCTCGAAAAGACAATTGACCAATACAAATGGGGAACAGTAGGGCCAATGTTTAGCCAGGGTTGCGGGTCAAGCGCAATAAGTTGCCATGGCCTGTGCCGAGAGCAGAAGAAAAGGGGGCGTTTTAAATCAGTAAAAGGTCTCTCGCCATACCCTAGGCAATAGAAGTAACTTGCCTATTTGCCCTTCTCAAAAGAAAAATAAAAAAGGGGGTTCTAAAAATATTATATTATCTATTAGTAAAAAGGTATCTCAATTTGATTCATTATGTATGAATGATATTGCTTTATTCACAAGCCATACATAGTGATTGATTAGAACATGACTTAACAGATAAATTATCTACCAACATTCTACGAACGTATTATCTAAACTATACCATAATAATTATATTGATAATAGGTGGATGAAAATCCGTGATAAACGTTAACATTTTCTAAGAAATTAGTCTGCATTTATATCAAAAAGCATTTAAAAAAGTACTAAGGAACTAAAAGTACCTATAATATAATGTGAGTTGTTAACTTTAGTCTACCGCGAGTCCAGTCCATCAAGTGATGAATAAATTAAAACGCTTTGAGTTTTTTTATTTTTAACTACATAATATGTATATTTTATCTATAATTTTCGTATATACATATGTTAGTTTATATGTGTATGTATATTATTATATTCACGCTTTAAAACGTCATGGTAGGCCTTCTGGTAGATATAAGTTTTGGCGTACATCGTTTGTAACTCATCTATACTAATATTATAAAGAGGTAAAATTTGTAAGATTGTATGTTTGTGAGTTTGTATGTAGGGGGTAATCTTTGTAACCAGTGGTCGGATTTCCAAAATTCTTTCACTGATACATAGCTACAATGTTCCTGTGTGCTATAGGCTAAAATAAAACATCACGTTACGAGTAAATGGAGCCGAGCAGCGGGTGATACCGCGTGAGAGTCGCTAGTTTGTTAAACATGTGTTACAAACTTTAAGTTGTACAATGAAGATAATATTCATTCATTCTCCCAATTTAATTGTCAAAAACCGGGTCGATGGTAAATAAATATAATTGTAAAGGTTTAAAAGAACCTGAGAAAAGCTTTAATATTATAACGGTTATATTAAATATACTACGTTAATGTAATGACAGATATATTAGATAGATGGAAAAACTTCGTGGGAAGAATCTATGACAATATGAGCGAGGATCGTAGAATCAGTGCCAGCATACTAATACGCTGACGTCTTGTATCTATATTGTATACCTGGCCAATAGTAGATAAACTACAAGCCGTTTATCATACTAATACCATACATAGGTACATAATATGGGTAGCTTACAGAAGTTTTTAAAAGATGTCATAAACGTTCAATTCGTTTAATAATAAATAACTGGTTTAATAATATATACTCATATTATAAAGAGGTAAAATTTGTAAGTTTTAATTTAGGGGTAATCTTTGGAACCGCTGGTCGGATTTCCAAAATTCTTTCACTGATACATAGCTACAATGTTCCTGTGTGCAATAGGCTAAAAATATCACGCTACGATCAAATGGAGCTGAGCAGCGGGTGAAACCGCGCGAGAGTAGCGAGTGACATATAAAGAGATTGACGAAAATGTGTTACTTATTGGGTGTCAGGGAGGGGCAAAACCTTAAAGGCCGTGGCCACCTCCAAACCTTCAGCACCATTATTAACCTTCAGCATATTATTTGTCGAATAAATGTGTTTTCTTTCTTTCTTTCTTTCTTCTTTCATTATAATTTAGACAAAGATACGACGTCTTAAATCCAAAGAAAGGCAACATTTCTAAAAGTAAAAAACATAAATGAAGCTACATGGAACTCCATTTCCTGGGACACAATAAGCGCGTATTATAAATCCATTTCCTGGGAACAAGCCGGCAATCTAGTGACAATGAGGCAGTGACCCACTGGCGTAACTGTAAACAGATTTAAGCGTGGCTGGGTGCTGGTCGCCGGTCGCGGACCATTACCATCATTGAGTAATCATCGGACAACAAATTCGGCCTTCGTATCAACTTTAATGAAAGTGAATAATACCGTTCTTGTACTTGTCACAATTATATTGACTTTGATTTGGTGGCATTTGATCTTGATTGCCACTTTTAGTAACGTTTATAAATGGAGTCTATGAATAAAAATTAAACTAATAAGAAACGGTGAAAAGACATGGTGTTAAAATAATGAAAACTGACACGTATCCACTAGAGAACTTCTTTATTAATTTACGGCACACAGGGCTTTGCCCTTTCATAGATAAGACGCGATATCACCATGGAGAGCTTTCATAATTCATTTATCACATTGACCTATTTATCTCTACGGCCAGTATTTTATCTTGCTGTGTAAGCCTACGGGGCAAAGACAAAGCGACGTTCTGCCAGTAACATGTCGTATCTACTCGATAATCGATTTCGAAACTATACGGTGTTAGATTACACGTTCGTACAAACGTACATTACGTTTATTTATAGACCCTTCATATTGAGTTGACTCAACTAAACGACAAATTAACAGAGAAAACCACAAATATTTGGAATACGAAATAATTACTAGTAATTACTTTTGAATAAAGTATATACTTATATGCATTACCGAACACATTCAGATACTAGTACTTCCTACAAATGTGTTATATTCCTTTAAATGAAACATGGGGCACATGTGAACAGCAAACTTTATTCTAGAAAGAAACCAGCTTATACCCTAAACCCCATGCCTCCTTAACGAGACCATTTCATGGCAACCTCAGAAGTACCACAGAAGTATTCTCTTTGTACAAGGAGAATATCAAGCAGCGCGTATGTGAAGACAGTAATAGTGTTGTGTGGACGTGAATTCGGGTGGGCGGCGCACAACGGGTTGTTATAATTAATAACTGTCTCTAGGACTATAATTGTACCACATTCCATCATCCGTTTTAAGACTTACACGTATGAGGGGACTTTAATGGGATTATCAGTGGTTTAAATGAATTAAGGAATGACGCAGTGCCCGTGCAACGCGTCACTGAGGTACAGGATTTAGGAGTTATTATGACTCGGGAAATGTCTTTCCGCGACTATATTACGAAGATCTGCAAAAGGGCATTTAGAAACCTTGGCTTTTTTCTGAGACAGGAAAGCATTTCGCCAACATTGCAGCAGTTAGGGTCCTGTATGACGTACTAGTCAGGAGTCAACTGGCTGGAACATCGTGCTTTCATATAGGATCCGCATGAGGTGAAGTACTCTGTGATGTTGGAACGCGTGCAGAACAAGATTACCAGACATCTCTTCTGGAAAGTGTATCGGTTTACCCGTTATACCCCCTAATGCATCCTACTTTATTTGTGTTTGGTAGGGTGGAATACAATCAACTGAAAGTACGACGGGAATTCTATCTGGTGGCGTACCTAGGCCTCGAGGCCAAGAGTACAATCCAGGAGTGCTGCGGCGCCGAGTCTGCGTGTCCCGGACGACTATGTGTGGAGACGGCGCGGCCCGCCACAGTCGGCAGTGCTAACGGCGAGGACCAACCATCTCGCTAAAGCACCATTGACCCGCACAATCCGTACCATCGATAAGCTCCACGGTCAAATTGACTTTTGTTTTTTTGTTTTTTTTTTTATTGTTTATTCTTAGTTGGTAGACATAATATTTTAGGTTTTTTCTTTAAATATATTATTTATTCTCTTATTATTTTTTTGTTTTTTCTATGTTTGAAATATTTTACATTTTACTTACAATGCTGTAAACCTACTTAATTGTCGAATTTGGAAACTCCTGTAATGATAGGGTAGGTGTAGGAAGATTTTAGAAATACACAAGTACTCAGCTTTTTTTTGTTTAGTTGAGAAGTTTGAAAATGAAGATTAAATCTCCATCCTAATTACGTCCGTGTAATCTATCGATTCCGAATGTCTCTTACACCCTCATGGGTTAATATTAATTGAGAACATTAAAGAAAACATAAGTCAAAACAATTCAAAATAACAAGTTACAGTTGAACATTAATGGTATAACACGACTCACCCTCGGACTTGGACAAACAAATGTAATGGCTTGGTTTCTTGCCGAACAAGCCATTTTGGCGCAACAGCCCCGCGTCAGCATCTTCATCGTAAGTCCTGCTGACGGGCCAGTACCCTGTAGGGCACTTGGCCACCGTCTCCGCAATCTGTAAGGAGAGCAGGGGCCGCTCATCTGGCAGCGCACCACCAAGCGCGCTCAGCACCTTAGACATCTTCGGGCTATGTCATCATAGGCGCCAGTCAGTCTTGCCAGGTGTCCCCCTTCTTAAGTTATCAGTCTCTTGATTATAGCACCTAGAACAAAAAATATTAAATCAGTAAGTACGAAGTCTGATTTAATTCAGTTGGGATTAAACTGTGGTTAAGAAACGTGCAATACTTTAACCGTGCCAATAACTCCGTAACTGGGAATTTATTACAAAAACATTTTTATACTAAAACAATGGGCATCCACAAAGACGTCGATAAACTTAATCAAAGTTCGCGAAAACTATAGATTGCAGCAGATGTGACTAGACGTCTGACTAGACTCTAGTCCCCAGACGTTTAACACAAAGAAAATGGCGAGACAAGGTGGATGAAAATGACAAGGGTCACAGACCTTCAGCTGAACCACAAACTAAACGAGGTCTACGTCCTATGACAGATCGATCAAGCTACAGACAGGGTATTAGCCTATTAGGTAATAAAATAATGAAGAGGCTGAATATAAATTATGACTGTAAATTTTTTTATTTGAAATCATGAGCATTTTGCAATCGATAATGCCTTACATAGAACATCAATATTATGTAGAAAGAGTCCTGGTTTCAGAATTTCTATCATATTGTCTGATTCAATTTATTAATAGATGTCTATTTCTTACTAAAAGTAATTTTGCTAAAAACTTTTCAGCATAATCAGTAAAAAAGAAGCAAAGTGGAGTGAAAGACGAAACAGGACGGGCACGATATAAAAAGAACTCCATTTCTTATAATGTATTGGAAAATGTTTGCGTACATTGATCCGATTAAGCATTATTGTAAACCTCTTTGGCAGCGAGCGAGTGAACTTTCAGCTACTTATCGGCTTACATTCAATTGAGGAAATTGTGAGTCGTGACTGACATTGCCCCCACCCTTATGTAGGCAATCCAAACGCTTATATGTATTACAACCTGTTTTGAATACTAACTCAGGATATTGTGTCTGCTTGGTTGATGCAACGGGTTTCCAGAAAGCCCATAAAACCTTAATATTTAAGCCGGAACTTAATCCTCAACTCCAATTTATCGATGTATTTAATTGAAGGAACAATCACAAGATTCTATTAGGTATATGGCTATAGTTATATAGTAAACACTTCCACATGTTCCGAGTCTAGAGGGAATTAACATGAGCTATGTACCTACGTAGGTACATTTATATATAAAAATGTAGTGTGTGCACTAGTCTATGCTTTTCAAACAATGCTTATCATTTTATTAGTAAGTGATATAGATAGACTAACATGTTGCTCTTGATTAGAATTACAATCCCAATTAACGCATACTAGATATTGCAATCATATGAAAACACGACATACATATTACATATACACGTCACATAAACATTTTCGTTAATTACATTTTTTGCCAAGTGAATGGGACAAGAAATCCGTTGTTCTTGATATACTATACTATACACGTGAGTAACTGACAAGAACATTGTTGATTTCAAGTACGATCATCATAGAAGATTATATAGTAGACATTAATCAAGTAGTTCATTAATAACAAATGCATATAACACTATTATAATGAATACTTGAGAAGTACTTGAGACAAAATAGCAATTTTATACTTGATTGTGTAAAAAAAAGTCCCCTGCTATCCGACAAAAGAGCACTGAGTAATCAAGAAACAGTTATATGGGAAGCAAAAGAAACAACCACTAGAGATGATAGACCTCAGTCATCTCCACGATTGCAGTACACAAAAAAAAAAGAATTGAAACCATAATTGCATTCTTAGGATTCTAAATAACCAGGCAATTTTTTAACCGAACTATTTACTGTCTTGTTGGATTTTTTGTAATGATTTCGAGCGCTTTAACTTGGTTTTATGACTATTGATTGTAGAAGTTTAAAGCCTCCGTCAAATTAGGTCCGCAAAGTTGACGCGTGTCGTGTTTATTTAAATATGCTAAGTACATTTATTTATGTTCCGTGCTCCATCATTATCCCTATAACTTCAAGATCGGCCACATTTCGTACATCGTAACCGTTATTTTATTACCGTACCAAAATACTTGATCGTGTTACTCATTTTGCACTAAAACGGCCTTGAAGTTACACAGAACGTTAACCTTGGCCGTATGTTACGCTCAAGTAAAACCTGATAGCCGTATACTTTTAATTCACAGCCCTCAAATACACAAACTTCGTAGTGCAATCAACATAATAGCAATGTTGCTATTATATTGATTCCGCTTTCGAAAAAGTCTTTCAGACTCATAGACGCATGGTAGTCGTCATACATAATATCTAGTTTTTTTTATGTTTTTCATTTTCGCTTGACTTCACTTTATTTGGCCGGGTATAGGAATCACCAATTTTTTTGCCGGGTAAATATCACCTATTATTCCATCGCCCTGGCTATGGGCGAGAGGGAGTTTCACACTAATGCTGACTAAAACTATCCCGATCCTTCAAGCGCAACCCCAACCAGTTTCGTCACTACTCGTTCTCATAGAACTTATTGAATTATGAATCATAGTTTATTTATTTAAACATAAACGATCAAATGGAAACCACACTTTACTGGGAAAACCAGCTAACGCAACAGAATAATATTATTAATTCAAATCTTTTACACTTTTATAATAGCGATATCATACGCGTTACAATTTAAGACTTATTTATTACAGCTACAAATTGTTTTCTTCTGTTTTATGACGTTCTTTCAAGCACTTGTTGACAAGCGGCCTAAGTGTGGGGTTTATTTATTCCAAACAATGTACCTAATGTGGGATGAAGCACTTCGGCAATGAACAGTTATAAAGTGTCTGCTGATGCCAACGAAGCGAGCATTAAACTTTACAAAATTTGAGCTTTTGAATAAGAAATATTAATATTATCTTCATAGTAATTTATTTAAATATTGAAGAACAATTACGTCACAGCAAACGCGGAACCTATATAATGCGATTATTTCTGATTCATTGGCGAGTAAGGACAAATTCAAAGAAATACCTACGGCAACTAGGTATCTGAGAAAATATCGACGAGTACATTGTACAGAAAAACAAGATCAGACAGTGTGAAATGTGTTCTCTGTGATGGTAACCACCCGGCAAACTACAAAGGCTGCCAAATATACAGAGATCTTCAAAACCTCAAGTTTCCAAAGGCACCGGATCGCAGAAAAACCAATATACCTAAAAAACAGAATATCTTAACAACAGAAAATCAGAAATCGACGGACAAACAAATACATAGCAACCAACATCAGACTTACAAAGACGTACTTACCAATAAAAATGAAGTTAGTAATACAACAATAGAGACAAAACACGCTAATCAACCCGATATGCATGAAGTAATGACATTGATGAAGCAAATGATGCAGCAATTGACTACCCTGACAAACTTAATAATAGCCCTCACAAACAAGCTGTCAAATTCGATTGCTTAAAAATTGCCCTATGGAATGCCAATGGGCTGTCACAACATATCCTTGAGGTTAAAACATATTTAGAGACACAAAAAATTGATATTCTACTAGTTACAGAGACACATTTTACTAAAAAAAGCCACTTTAACATTCGCAACTACAAAATATATCACACAATGCATCCCGATGGCAGTGCACATGCCGGAAGTGCGGTACTAATAAAATCTAACATAAAACATCACGAAGCTGTACATTTCTGCACAGAGGAAATTCAAGCAACGAATATTGTCATTGAAGATTGGACAGGACCGTTCACAGTATCTGCTGTTTATAGCCCTCCTAAACATAAACTTAAACTAAAAGATTATGAGAAGTTCCTTTCCACACTAGGACACAGATTCATAGCTGGGGGAGATTATAATGCTAAGCATCATAATTGGGGCTCACGCACTATAACTGCGAAAGGTAGACAGCTACTAATGGCCATCGAGATGTTAAATCTTAATGTTGTTTCACCTGGAGAACCCACGTACTGGCCTACAGACAGGAATAAAATACCAGACTTGCTCGACTTTTTTATAACAAAAGGAATTTCTAATAAATTTCTAACATGCAGAACGAGTACCGAATTATCCTCTGATCACTCTCCTATAGAAGCTATGTTAAAAAAGAAAGTCACGGTTACCCCTAAGCCATGCAAATTGCATACCAATAAAACTAACTGGAACCTCTTTAGGCAGTTACTGGTGGAATGTTTGGATATAAAAATTCCTCTAAAGACAAACAATGACATAACAGAAGCAGTTGAACATTTTAATACCTGTGTACAACAGTCTGCTTGGCTTGCTACTCCAGTTCACAGAGATCCAGAACACAAACAAAAATGTCCCTTATCCGTTCGAGAACTACTAGCTGAAAAACGGAAGGCTCGAAAAAAGTGGCAAAAGACCAGATATCCTGCTGACAAAAAACAACTCAACTACTTGCAAGCAAAGCTAAAATCACTACTACAGGATAACGATAACCAAAAGATGCAAACCTCCTTAAAAAATCTGAACGCAACAGCAGGAACCAATTATTCTTTATGGAAAATCACAAAAAATCTAAAACGTCCTGTTTCTAATCAACCTCCTATCCGTAAGAGTGGCTCAGAATGGGCTTCCAGCGATGCAGACAAAGCTGACACATTTGCTGAGTATCTTAACCAGGTTTTCATACCAAACCCAGATACGGGCTCTTCTAAAATTAATGAAGTCACCCAATTATTGAACCAAATCAATCAACTAGATCTTCCTATTCCCAAAGTCACAAAGAAGGAACTAAGCACAGCAATTAACGCGCTAGACCCAAATAAAGCCCCTGGATATGATCTCATAACTGGCAAAATTTTAAGAGAGCTACCAAGAGAAGGCATTCTGTTTCTAACTTTTCTCATCAATGCTATCCTGCAAAGAGGTGTGGTTCCACCCCAATGGAAAGTAGCACAAGTGATAATGGTTGCTAAGCCTGGTAAAAACCCAGTAGAAGCACAATCATACAGACCCATTAGCTTGCTGCCCATACCTTCGAAAGTCATGGAGATACTTATCTTACGTAGATTGCTCCCGATTATCGGTTCGCATAAACTTTTACCTGACCACCAGTTTGGCTTTCGACGGGGCCACGGTACCATAGAGCAAGTGCACAGATTAGTGAAACATATCAAGAACGCTTTTGAGTCAAAACAATACAGTACTGCAGCCTTCTTAGATATAACTCAGGCATTTGATCGTGTGTGGCATGACGGGCTCCTGTTCAAAATAAAACGGGACCTGCCTATAAATTTCTACATACTCATACAATCTTATCTAAGCGATAGACACTTTTTTGTAAAACATGGTGAGGAGACAACCACTTTGCATACTGTTAAAGCTGGAGTACCACAGGGCAGTGTGATGGGTCCAATGCTATACCTGCTTTTCACAGCCGACCTCCCAATAACCGAGGGCGTAGTCACTGGAACATTTGCTGATGACACAGCTATTCTTTCGGCAGACACTTCATCAAACGTTGCATCACAAAAACTCCAAACTAGCCTCGATCAAATATCCAAATGGCTCAAAGACTGGAGAATCAAAGCCAACGAAACCAAGTCTGTCCAGGTGACGTTCACCAACAGAAAAGAAACATGTCCTCCTGTCACTCTAAATGGCATACCTCTCCCGCAAGAGGACCATTCCAAGTATCTTGGTATATACCTGGATAGACGCTTGACATGGAGAAAGCACATATTTACGAAACGGCTGGCCATGGAGCAACAGATACGCACAATGCACTGGCTATTCAGTAAGAAATCCCAACTCTCAATGGAGAATAAACTGTTGGTATATAAATGCATAATAAAGCCTACATGGACATACGGCCTACAACTTTGGGGCTCAGCGGCGAAATCAAATGTTGAAATCATCCAAAGGTTCCAGTCTAAAATGTTAAGAATGATAACAAACGCACCATGGTATGTCTCTAATAGCAGACTTCATCACGACCTCTGTATAAATACCGTAACGGAAGAAATTTCAAAAAGGACTGAAGCGTACAAGGTTCGATTCACAAATCATCCAAACAAGCTAGCAGTAAACCTGATGGACACCCAAACAGTCGCTAGGAGACTGAAGAGAAAGATACCGCAAGACCTCATTTAGGAGGCTATATGAATAATCGGGGCAGTCATTGGATAGCCTGCGTGCAAAACTATTACACTCTCGAAAAATATTGCTGAATATCTGCATGATAGATTGCAATTATACCAACAAAAAAAAAAAAAAAAAAAAAAAAAAAACATTGTACAGATGTGCGAGACAGCTGGGTTTAGGTCGTATTGTATATATACACTCTTCTTAAGACCTCAAAACTTCGTGCCTCAAGGAGCATATAAGATGCGAAGTTGATGGACCCACATTTTTACTGTTTCATGATTCTTTAATTATTAGTCATATTAGCTATGCTTATCTTAAAATCAAGTTTGATCATATTTTACGGATCTCATAAGTATAACAAAGACGAAAAATTGTTCCTTGGTTATTTTTTGACTGTCTTGGTTTTACACATGTAAGTACAACCTGTACATTGAACCTAACATGCATTGGCAAGTTGTGTAAGACAAAGCTTAGTAGGCAAATAATTGATGAAAATCATTTACTCCTTACATATTCAAATTCTTGAAATAGTCACTACAGTTTAAACTTCTAAATACATTCGAAAATATTTATTTACTCTAGCAATTTCGGCTATGAATCATAGATACTAGCCACCATTTTGGTTATTGTAGAGTACTGTCGTGTTTTTCCATTATATTTATAAATAACGGTTTATGTACATTCCATATTATTGAAAGTAGTATTGCAAACATTTTAGCGATAGTTTTAAGAGCTACATGACGCCAATTTGAGGACAATAAACTTTGTTAGGAGCAGAGACACAACTTGTTAAAATAAGACAGTCATGTTGGTGGTCTCTTGACTTTCTTCAGGCTGTGCTTTAGGTGCGTCATTGATGTCAAAACATAGAGGTAGGTACTTCAGTCGGCAGATAGAAATAAATCAACATTGCCACATGATTTTCACTGAATCAAAAAAATCAAGGTTTATGATGATAATTTATTTACCTATTGGTCAGTGGAGAGTCTTAGGGGATTTTTTAATAATCCTGTTCTGTATTTTTTTTTAGTTTTGCTACTAGTTGCTCTACCACCACATACAATTTACTTTTTCCTGTTTGCAATAAAAATTGGTACTTTGGTTTAATTGGAAATGACTGAAAATAATAAATGAATAAGAACAAATAAGAACCACTATACACATTGTTATATTTTATAGCTGTAAATTCACTTACAACGATTACCTACAAGTTGAATAATTATCAAAACAAATGTAAATACCTGATAGTGATAACTAATATTTTATTTATTCAAACATTACTCACTTAAGCGAGCTATCTAATTAGTTCATTTTTATTTTTTTAAATGAACAGCAATAAGCTGCCATCAAATATTAACAAACACCTTTTTTTGAACTTAAGTGAAATAGAGGACTACCTATAACTACAGGAGAACAGAATTAGACCATGTAAAAGATAAAATTGCAATATGAAAATATATCTTATTACAATTTAATGGCCATTCAAAACACCCTTTGAAAATACACAAGTGGATCTTGGTCAGCAGCTGGTCTGTCTGTTGTATGCTAATTGCTAACTAACCCAGTTATTGTTCTAACTGTACAAGAAACCCACACCACACAGATATAGCTATGACTCATCTATTATCATTAAACAAAAAGAGTATTCATTCAACCTCTATGTTATAAACTTTTTCATTGTTTCTTTTCTTTATGATTATGAGATAACTTCTCAGCACCTGGATTAACTGGATACAAATCTAAACATAATTGGAATGTTGCCAGCATAATAAAAAATATGTTTATTTTGTTTTGAGAAGCTATACATTTTTTTTATAGTTTTCTCTGTTATGAATAGAGTTCAGTTCTATTGTAAGACCTTTACGACCAATTGCTACAATTGAATAACATGCTTCAGAATGTTGCCTCATGTTTGCAAGGCTGCAATATATAATATGTTGGATGATACTGTCCTTTATTACAAAAGAATATTTATCTTATATAGTTTCTTATAGAAATGTTAATAGATGAAATATTATTTAAACAATATTCATTCACCAAGTAAAACAGGTTATTTTGTGTAAAAATTAGTTAAAAAGAGAACAGTGTTTGCTTATTTACAAAGTAATGTAGAGAATCAACAATTCCTTAGGTAGTTGCTCATTATAACAACAGCTATTTTGTGAATGCAAACATTGAGCAACATGGTGATAGCAAGACTCAACTATTTTTGTCACTGTGACTCAGATAACTGTATTTGCTTAAGGAAATAGGACCTATCTGTAGGTTTATGAATCATTTACATTCTAACTTTAAAGTATTATGCCCTTTCTAGTCACAGAGTTCTACTTACCCTTGACACAGACCAAAAACAATAGGTGTTTTTTTTTAAACTATGACAATAGCTTTCCTAAGCACCTGATGATATAACAACAATAATGAGAAACTTGATTCCAAATAATGCAACTACGAATTCAATGAAAAACTAATAAGAATCAATTTATAAATTAAAACTTACATGAGGTTGTTGTAAGGTAAAAACAGTGAAGTCAAAAACACTACACACAAAAGTATCAATTAAAATAGAGGCATTCACGATCTTAGGGCGACCGTATCGGAAATCCTATCAAAATACTTGGTAATCCACGAATTCACACGGTCACAAATACACTCGGTAAATATTAAACTCAAAATAGGAATTTCAAAACGGCTGAATGAAAACTGGTTACGCGATACGACTACGACCGACTTGGCAGTATTCCATATGATCAGTGACGGACAGACAGTACACACACAGCGCCTTCGATGCAACATTAATAATTAAAAGCAATTGGCAAGCGCCTGGGCGACGAACACGAACAATGACCCCCGCCAGATGATTCAATCCATAATAAACGCAACAGTTAAGATAAACTCACCGTAGTCATGACATCACGCGAACAAACTCGGGAGCCTAGACCTCTTTCTTGCTGAGCCGAGAGGGTCCAAACAATGAAGCCACAAAACAAGATTGAAAACTATAATAACTCAATGTAAATAACACAAAACTTCACACCCGAACTTTTTACTCCTTAATTCTGGTTAAAATAGGGTTATTCTTTCTACTAAGCAAATTAATATTAAATATTTATTTTTATAAAAAATATTTGACAACAAAAAACCGTTCACTCATCTTGGAATCGGCGAAATAACTGTGTTGCCATATAACGAATATAAAAATCTACCTTCATAAACTAGAAATAATATTTTTGTAAAAAATTACTAAAATATACACGAGGTAAAAATATATTACTGAATCCATGCCGTGTCGCGCCAGAAGCCTATAGGTTTTATACATTTTTATTATAGTTACGCAAACACACGTGGCTTGTTGTGTCGTTAGCCTTGCTGCTGGCCACGCCTCAGTCAAGAGTGCTTGTAGAGACATTTCTTGTATCGTGTCGTGACAGAATATGGACGAAAACCACTGACCTCTATATTAACGCGTTGTAATACATATTGCGTTTATTATAGAGGTCAGTGACGAAAACCTAGATGTTTTTAGTCAGACTTATGCTGACTAAAAACCCCTGTTCCTTGTCCTGCTCTGGGCCGAGGCCGTGGTTGTTAGAGCAAGAGTATTGCGACCTTTTTTTAATCTCTATGCATTTTATGATAGTATTTTGAATTTTCTTTTTTTGAGTTGACAAGAGAACGTCAAGTAATAAATATGTGTTCTGCCAAGTGTGTTTTTACTAATATCCTATAATATATCTTTATGAATTTTTCTTCCAAGAGCTACTCTGTGAAGGAGTGTACCTACGTAGTATCACACTCCTTCAGGTTATGATCACCAGCGGAAATAGAAAGTACGATCATGAATAACTCTGGGAGCAGCGGCAATGGTACGCATATACAATCACAATCGTATCCATCCCAAGGAGTAAGTATGAGTTTACCAGCAATAGAGAAACTTGATGGTAGTACTGATTATAATACATGGAAGTTCATGATGGAACTTTATCTAATTCATGAAGACTTGTGGGAATACACTCAAACAACACCAGCTGCTAGTGATGTTTCCGGCTCTAAAAGAGATCAGAAAGCGAGGGCAAAAATCTGTTTAATGATTAAACCACATTGTTTGATACACGTACGTGAATCGAAGACTGCAAAAGCGGCATGGGATGCCCTGAAGACTGCCTTTGAAGACAAGGGCCTGAATAATCGATGCAGACTTCTTACAAAGTTGGTGAGCCTGAAACTAGAGCAATTTTCTTCAATCAGAGACTACATAACTGCCATAATGACAGTAGCGCAACAGCTACGTGATCTGGGCAAAAAGGTAGATGATGAATTACTTGCAGCGTTGATGCTACAGGGGTTGACAGAGACTTTCCAACCCATGAGGTTAGCAATAGAAAACACAAACATAGAATTGACTACAGATTACGTCAAAACGAAATTACTTCAGATGGAGGATACTTATCAAGCAAGTCCTAGTACCGTGACAACCGCATTACAAGCTAAAAATAAAAGTCAGAAAGATAAGTCACACAAGAATATGAGTAGATCACGTGTCGTTAAGTGCTTCATATGCAAAGAGAACCATAAGGCTAAGGATTGTCCGAAAAACCCTATTCAAAAGAAGGATGCCTTAACCTCATTAGCGTTAGCAACAGCAGCACAAGGACATGGAGAATGGATTCTCGACTCCGGAGCTTCTAACCACATGACAAATCGGAGAGATTGGCTTAAAGACTTTAAGAAATTAGACAAATCAATTGTAATAGCTTGTGCAAATGGAGAAACTGTGGTTGGTGAAGCAATTGGTAATGTAGTCAACGAGGATATGGACGTCTCAATTAATAATGTTTTGTATGTACCTAAATTAGCTACAAATTTACTCAGTGTTAGCACAATTGTAAATAAAAACCTTGTAGTTGTATTTGAGAAATCTGGCTTTAAGATAATCAAAGCAGATGGATGTAAGGTTTCCGGGGAGACCTTGTATGAAGGTACTGCAAATAACGGTGTCTATAAAATACAGTATTGTTCACAGGAAGTAGGTCTAGCTTCAACCGCTGCTGACGAAATAATATTGTGGCATAGGCGAATGGGACATCTAGGGGTACGGAACCTAATGTTACTTAAAAACAAAATGGCAGATGGGGTAAGTTTTTCTAATACTGCTTCTAAGCTAGAGTGCGAAGCGTGTGCAGTAGGAAAACAGACCAAGAACCCTTTCAAGAAAACTGGTGCCACTAGGGCAAGTGAGGTCTTAGGGTTAGTCCACACAGACGTGTGCGGACCCATGAGAGAGAAGTCGTACGGAGGCTCACGATATTTTCTCACATTCATTGATGATTTCACTAGAAAAACATTTGTATATTTCTTGAAAAGTAAAGGAGAGGTCTTTGAGAAGTTTGCCGAATTCGTAAAACTTACTGAACGTCAAACTGGAAAGAAATTTAAAATTATCAGATCTGATAATGGCAAAGAGTTTGTCAATAAGCGTATGGATGAGTTCTGTAAAGCAAAAGGGATCTGTCACCAACTGACAATAGAGTATACACCCGAACAAAACGGAGTTGCTGAGCGAGCTAACAGAACTATCACTGAAAAAGCCAGGACAATGTTAGAAGAAGCTGGTTTAGGCAGAAAATTGTGGGCAGAGGCAGTCAACACCGCCGTGTATTTAAAAAATAGGTCTCCAACTAAAGCCTTGAGAAACAAAACGCCCGAAGAAGCTTGGACTGGAAGAAAAGTGAACTTAAGCCACCTCAGAGTGTTTGGATGTAAAGCTTATCTTCATGTTCCAGATCAGAAGCGCACAAAATGGGATCCTAAGGGCACAGAGTTAGTCCATGTTGGATATGGCGAAAACGGTTATCGCCTTATTAACCCTACGACAGGAGTGTTGCACAGAGGTAGAGATGTTATATTTTTTGAAAACTCAAAAGTACAGCTACGTGCTCCCGTTAATCAAGCCGTCCCGCTACCGCTGACGGATGTTACGGTTGAGTATGATAGAGTTTCAACTCATCATGAAGAGCCAGAAATTCCTGAAGAACCTGGAAATCCAGCTCTTGAGAATGTTGAGGTTGAAGATGAGGTTTGGGAATCATCTGACGAGGGGAATGAAGCAGATCCTGAGGATGGTCTTGTAGAAGAAGGTAGAGAGCTACCAGTAAATGACAATGGGCCATCAGATAGAAGATATCCGCTTCGAGAAAGAATACCAAAAGCATATCCAGATTTTGTAACTTACCAAGCAGTCAAGGCATCGCCAGACCCTTTAACTGTTCAGGATGCATTATCTAGAGAAGATGGAGACAAATGGAAAGCCGCAATTGAGGAGGAGCTGAGAGCCCTCGAGAAGAATAAAACTTGGACGTTGGTGAAGCAGCCAAAGTCGTGCAACATTGTTGATTCGAAATGGTTATTTCGAATTAAAGAAGAGGCGGGGGGAAAGACTCGTTATAAGGCACGACTTGTAGCAAGAGGATTCAGCCAACGGAGAGGAGTCGACTACTTTGAAACTTTTTCGCCTGTAGTCAGACATAGCTCATTAAGAGTCTTAATAGCCTTAGCCGCCCGTTTAGAGTTAGGCATAGATCAAATGGACGTTAAAACGGCATTTTTGAATGGAGACTTAAATGAAATCGTCTATATGAAGCAACCAGAGGGGTTCGAGGTAAAGGGCAAGGAGAATTATGTCTGTCTTCTACAAAAATGTTTGTATGGACTGAAACAAGCGCCACGAGCGTGGAACGCAAAGCTTCACTCTGAACTTATAAGACTGAAGTTCAGAAGATCTGAAAATGAGCCATGCGTTTACACCCGGTCACAGAATGGAAACATAATGATTATTGCTGTGTATGTAGATGACATTTTGATATTTTGGAACAATAAGCAAGAGATGTTCAAATTCAAAGAAGAGTTGAAGTCTAGATTTGATATGAAAGATCTCGGCAAAGCTGAGTTAATGCTGGGAATTAATATTGTTCAAGATGTCAACAAAATTAAACTGCATCAGGAGAAGTATATTGATGGACTCCTGAAGGCATTTAATATGGAAGACTGCAAACCAGTAGTTACACCAGCAGTACCCGGTCAACGGCTAGAGAAGCCTACACATGGAAGGAGACCAGATGAGAGAATTCCATATCGAGCACTGATAGGTTCGCTCATGTATGTAGCAGTATGTACAAGGCCTGACATTGCTCATGTGGTTAATTATCTTAGCCAGTTCAATGAATGCTATGAGGAACAACATTGGATTGTAGCAAAGCGAATCCTCCGTTACCTGAAAGGAAGCAAGACTCTTGGGTTGACATACAACAAACAAAAATACCCAGAAGTTGTTGTTGGTTACGCGGATGCCGATTATGCAGGAGACGCTGATCGACGTTCATATTCAGGTTCCGTGTTCCTTATTCAAGGAGGTGCAGTTTCTTGGCAAAGCACGAAACAACGAACGGTGGCTATGAGCACAGCCGAAGCAGAATACGTGTCGCTATCAGAAGCTGCAAAAGAAGCTGTCTTTCTCAAAAGGCTGATTGCAGAGATGACTGGTAAACAGGAAGAAACAATTCGGATTTTCTCAGACAGCCAGTCAGCAATTGCTATAGCCAATAATCCTGTACATCACCAACGTACAAAACATGTTGATGTGAGATATCATTTTATACGCAATGCTGTTGAGTCGGGAGCTATAAAATTGGAGTATCGGGAAACAGATAAGATGGTAGCAGATGCTCTGACCAAGGCTCTCCCCAGAGGCAAGTATGAGTGGTGTGTGAATGGTATGGGATTGCGTGTATAAAGTAAAGATGTGTGTGTACATATCATATGCATGAGATTAAGGAGGAGTGTTAGAGCAAGAGTATTGCGACCTTTTTTTTAATCTCTATGCATTTTATGATAGTATTTTGAATTTTCTTTTTTTGAGTTGACAAGAGAACGTCAAGTAATAAATATGTGTTCTGCCAAGTGTGTTTTTACTAATATCCTATAATATATCTTTATGAATTTTTCTTCCAAGAGCTACTCTGTGAAGGAGTGTACCTACGTAGTATCACACTCCTTCAGTGGTAACTCATTGCACTTATCCCGCAACTCCGGGTGTCTCTAACCATAGTAAATAATATACATACTTATATGAAACCAATAAGAAAGGTTTCTGGCGCGACACGACGCAGTATTTCCTCCTTATTCCAAAACCTTTCTACTCCACAGCATTTCCTGCTTTTACAATAGCTATGTGAACAAAGATAGGGACCCTGTTCTAAATATTTTTTTAATATCACAATTTTTTGCTAATGATACAAATATTCTGTTCTGTGGGTACAATACTAAGAAACATGGCAACTTTCAGAATACTTTATGGCAAATTTAAAACCTGGCTGTATGATACAGCCTGTATCTAACTTTTATTTTGTCAGAATATATGTATTGTAATTTTTAGTATCACTTTCTATTGACATTGTAATGTACAACAAAGTAAGAAGAAAACAACGGAATAATGGACATATTTTATTGTATTATAGCAATACATAACATTATCTATACAGACTAATACAAGGCAAAGGCATTCACAGTTATCAAAATATCACTAATGTGTTACTGCACATTGCCGAAGTCGAAACGTGTACGCCGAACTAATGTTACTGCGAACCAGTGCAGCGCGGAGAACAAAACTCATTTGTCAACAAAAATATCCGTAATAAATAAATAACAACTTATCAAAATCTGTATTACATTCAAAATAATTTCTTTAATTTAATCTAAACATTTTGTAGAAAAAATATCTTCAAATGTTCTAGTAAAACGAGGCAAAAGTTTTCTATAGATATCAATAAATTAATGACATGCACATACGGTAAAACGGGGTGAATAGAATTTGAGGGGTGAATAGACACATAAGAGGGGTGATTAGATAGTAGGAAAATTCGCCGACATCTATTCACCCCTTTCGTGAATCTATTCACCCCGTTTTACGTATTTATTAAAATAGCGAATATTGATCAGTCATTCGAAAATGGTAGCTGTTCTGAAGACACGAAAGCAATTGTATACACACACATTGCTTTATTTGTGTAAAAAGTTTAGATCATGCTTAGTGATTTGATGCAGCAAGCTAGGATCTAGGGACACTTCACAAACGAGTTGTTCATAAAATTTGCAATAACATCACTGATACTTCATTTAAAAGCTTTAAATTTACTCCTCAACATGATGTTCCTAGTTGCATATGAATTACATGATGTTTTTATATTTTACTTTCATTAATCGAATGTGTATCAAGATTCTGTACACCTCATGATAATGTTTATTTTTGGGAAATATTAATCACAATTTCACTAAAATTACTGATTTACACATTGATGAAAGAGCCCTGTCTACAAGTATGTTACTCAATGATATAAGAAAGCACGTTATTCCAGTACTTTGAAGGGTAGTGGCGTAGTATCGGCGGTGCCTGCTGACGAGCTGAAGTAGGGCGACACGTCAGACAGATAGTTTCGGGGCAACAAGCCAATAAGAAGTGCTATCTTGGCGGCTATAGGAGCTTTCTCTTCATCATCTATTATTTTGTCCTGGTCTGGCATCACCTAGAATTATAAATGCAAGGTTAAATATTTTCCTTTAACAGAATTATATGAAGTTTAACAGGCAACAAATTATTCTGTTAAATACCTTATCCACAACATGCTTTTGTACCAATCCATCTGCGCCTACATAGAATGTGGAGAATCCATCGTACCAACTGTGAAACAAACAAGTGAATCAATATCTAAACCTACCAATTACAACAATTAATTTTATAATATAATTGAAAAAGAGATCAGTATTAGGAACCGACTTATTACTAACAATATTAAGTGTTTCAGGTAACATTGGATAATTTAATACTTTTTAAATTAATAAAATATAAAAAAGTGTTTGAAAATACATACAGTTCCTGGTCTCGGAACACCTCCTTCATGTTCCACAGCTTGTACTTCCAGAACATGAAGAATACTTTCAGCCCGGAAATGCCTTTAATGCGCCATCTCATCCTGCACAAAATATTGATGGTTGGTGACGGCCAGTACTATAGTTTATCAGGGAAACAAGTAAGTTAAAATTCGAATGTTTCTTGTTCTATTACTTTTTTGAACCGAAATTTGTACACTACAAGCCTCATAAAGTCAAACATGTAGTTGCCAAAAGTAGCAGATCAGTTTGTTTCTTTTCATCAAACCTCATGACATTTCATTCAACACTAAACAAGGTATTTCACCCTTGGTTATTGCTTTACTTACTTGACAGAAGAGTCCTCGGGATGTGCCGTTATCTTCATGACTTCCAGCTTGACATAGGCAAACTTTAAGTGCCCCACTGTACGTAGCAGCGCCACCTGCTTTACGAAGTGAAATAGACCTCTGTGGAATAAGAAAAGCTACTTATTTATTTTATCCATTTTACGAAAACTTACGTATATTTATGTAACATTGAAAATTCACCAGGAATTAGAAGCAGGGCGAATGAAAACTGGCTCAACTGCTAGTATGTAATAGGAGTTTATTAATATCCAAACTTAAATAATAATTCTATTATATGTTATCTTTATTATATATATTTAAAAGCTGGCCGCTAGTTATATCATACATTATTGATGAGGGTTTTACTCACACAGATGTGGTGCCCCGAATGTTGTTTACAAAAACCATATTGGGATGGTAGATGGAGTAGTCTAAAGGCTTCACAAACAAATTTGGCATCTGTAAGAAAACAAATTGTTAATATGAATGTGTTGTGTTGGAACTAATTGTAGCATTGGAAGGTCACTCAACAATTTTATGGCTACTGTTTTGTTTGAAAGGAAATACAATAATTCTGTTCATGATTTAATTTAACTGTATAACAATTTGATCTTGGTGATATGATTGAACACATGGTATACTTACTGTGTCTGAGAGTGTGTAGTAAACTTTCATGAGTTGTTCTTCATTGGGCTTGCCGTCACGGCTGAGTTCCGTGACAGGTGCGCTTATAGGACTGGACAGCACGGTACCGCGGCAGTACGCGATTGCGTCACGTTCAAATTCCGAGAGGCATGTTGGTTCTATATCCTGAAAACCAAAATGTTACTAAATTACATCAATTATATCTTTCAAGTTTCCAATGAATTCAGTAGTATCTGCAAGTACTGAGATCAATATCAATATCTTTTATTTTTATTTTGGTATTTTACCATATTATACACAGGTATTAAATCTGATGTTTGCAAATAAACAAATTTAAATTATCTTTTTATGTATTTACATGAGTTGTTCTTCGTTCTATAATATAAAATGACATGATTGTTTAGTTAACCACTTACACCATAGACCATAGTTTGATTAAATAAAATATGACTTAAAGTTAAGTAGAAAAAAGTTCAAGTTAAAATAGCGAACCTGATTAATACTCACATTACTATATTTAGTTAAGTCAATATCACTAATATTGGTATATGGAACATCAAATGAGTATGGAGGCATTTGCCTCTCTATGTAATCATCTGATGTTAGTCTCAGGGTCTTCAACTCCACATCATCGCCATAATAGCTATTTTCATCAGAAGACTTTGTTTTCTCATAAATGGATGTGGACTCCTGGTTAGTGAGCCTGCTGATAACAGCCTCTTCATGACCATAGACATAATCAATGTTGCCGTCTGTGCTACATTTTGGTGCAAGTTGACAACTGGATATGCGTCGGCGATTTAGGAACTGGAATAAATCACACAAGTGCCATGAAATACCAAGACAGTAATTGTACAATTGACAGTAATTAATTAATTGAGTAATTGGATTTTTTTTAAATCCTATGATAATAATGTAAAGTGTTTCAATATAATATTTTAACATTTCAATGTAATTGTTGCAAATGATACCTACATATATATATAGAGAAGTTTGAGTTATCAGTGTACATTTAATCAATCTTCATTAGACGCATCTATATTGATAGGCGCTCCACTATCTTATGTTTACTACCTCATGGGAACACACAAAGTATTTATACATAAAAGCATTGTATCAAATTCTGTTAAATATTTGAAATCAAAAATTAAACACTAGTAACAGTATCAAAAAAGTTTATTAAAAATCAATCTTAAACAGATAACAGTTTAATCTCTGGTAATAAAAACTGCCTATAAAGCCCAAAAGATAAGTAAATAATGCTTCTAATAATATTCTAACCTAAAATATTTCGTAATAAATTTGAAAATATATTATGAATCAAACAACAGCAATATCGCTGGTTAGATGCCAAGATCTAGGCAATGTAACAAACGACGTAGTTTGTAAACAAATATCAGACCATACTAATTTAAATATTATCCTTAAAATAATATTTTATGGAAATTGTTTTAGCCTTGGCACTTCCCAACATGGTATCCCTGTAGAAGAGCTAGGATTTTTATTAAAAATTAAGCTATACGGCAAAGTAACTGTGTTTATCAGAAAGTCTATGTTAGTAGTACCACGTGAATAGGTAAGTCCCATTCCGCATATTCTAATTGGTTCAATGTCAAGGAGGAAAATACTGTTGGCGTTATAAATAATGAGTATTTTTCATACATTATGTAACAATTTTTAAACAAAAACTAACTTAAAATACGAGAGATACATTAATTACTACAGAAAACAATGTAAATTACTTACTTCTTCCAGAAATTGTGTCCGCAGAGGGATTTTTCTAGACAAGCGGCTTGAGTGATTTTTGGTGGACACAATGCCATTGATAGGCAATATTCTTTGAGAAATCGTACGTAAGCAAATAGACATTTTATTTATGCACGTTAATCACTCTATATAGCTTGGAATTCTGTAATTTTTCGAAAATATGTCGCAAAAAGGCCCGACATAGCGCAAAGAGATTGACAGTTGTGTTTATTTTTAATTTTCGAACGTCTGTTTTAGCACAGACTTTATTGGTTCAGCTTTTCACATTTATTTAATAATTATTAAATTTTTAAACATTTTAAAACGTCAGAAATATTCATTTCTTAGTAAAATTTTAGTAAATTGACTATATAAATATAATATAGCGAACGGGAAGAGTAAATTGTAAATGGATGAAAACTATTTAAAATTGGTTGTCATCTGTGGGTTAATGCAGTCTGTGCTCGTTTAGTATGTCATGTGGTCAATTTGACATTGACAGACCATGGTCGTGATCGATTTGTTTGGAATGTTTCTGAACGTCTGATTTGCGTAGTAAATCACGAATTTTGAAAAAAAGCAGTACAAATCACGAATTAACAAGGCTGATTTTATAGAGACAGACTACAGACTTAGAGGCTAATTGCTATGAACCTACAAAGAGCTTGTCAGCGAGTCTACAGCGTCTTGTTGAACACTAATGTTAACACGGTTAGTAATATTTCATCATAATATATTATTTTTAATCGTGCTTGTTGACGATTTAATGGTATTTACATATTTCTAGCTCTCACGGCTCAACGAAACATAAAATATCTCATAATGAAGAGTAGTAACAGTGAATATTACACTCATAATACTAGGATCACTTGCTACTATTTTAGTCTTTTCATTTATTTGTACTTCTGCTTTATGACCTTCAATAAACTCTCATGCTCTTTTATATAGTGTTGATTTTATTTCAGGCAATGCCATGTTGTTATTCAGTCCGTCTAAAACATTCAAAAGAAGAGGTCAATGAGCATAGAGCCAAAGTGATGGCTAAAGGGTTACCAGAAAGGAAGCCTCTGCCAGGAGTGAAGAGCATCATACTAGTTGCTTCAGGAAAAGGAGGGGTTGGGAAGACCACTACTGCTGGTTAGTATAACTTTTCTCAGAATCCACAAATTGTATTCCAGTTAACACAAACTTAATTTATGATTTTCTATAAATAAATTCCACAATATACAGTATAGCCTATATTTTCTTCTATACCAATATTTATCATTACATGGTAACAGACACAAATTTCTATGTCAACCCAGTATCTGAAGATAAATAAAACTTAATGTATTCTCTAAATCAAAAGCATAAAGTATTTTATACAATAAAAATAAAAAAAACTGATCAATTTTGTGACATCATTAATTTTAATTATGTTGCTATAAACCACATAATTGTATAAAACATGTTCTTTCTTTTGCAGTGAATCTCGCATGTGCCATGAAGGTGATAGAGCCTGATAAGGAGATTGGTCTCTTGGATGCTGATGTATTTGGTCCATCAGTACCCCTCATGATGAACATCAGTGGAGAACCAATGCTGAATGATGATCACTTAATTGAGCCATTACTAAACTACGGTGTTAAATGGTATGAATTAGTCAAACCTGTATCAAAATTATATGTTACAAAAAATTACACTAATAATAGTTTGTCTATTTATCATAGATATTTTTTGACTTGACTGGACATAGAAATGTTTCTCAAAAAAAGTAGTTAGTGAAATTTACATAAGTTACCTTATCAATCTGGTCATTTTTTTTATTTACACAACTAATTATTAAGTAATACTTAACTTGATAATAACTTCATCTTATCACTGTGTTGTAATAAAAAGTTATCTGAAATATTATATAAAGTTAGTAAGTTTCTACTTAGTATTCCAACTTTTTTACTGTTATATCAGTGATCAATGAAAAACCCATGTCTGATTAGTCTGATCTGACAGTATCCAAGTGTGCAAGTGGCTTCTAGCTGATGATGCAGAACATTTCAACATGGTCTCTGAAAACATTAATTTTCACATTGCAGTATGTCTATGGGTTTGCTGGTATCTGGTGAAAATGCCGTGGTGTGGCGCGGGCTGATGGTGATGCAGGCATTAGACAGACTGACGAGACACGTGGCCTGGGGCCCGTTAGACTGCCTCGTGGTAGACACTCCTCCTGGCACTGGCGACACACATCTATCACTTGCACAGAACTTGCCAATAGATGGTAAATAAGTTATGTTAAATTTATGAATTTCCACAAAAAAAAAATTTAATTGATTAGAACACTAATTCATTACCCTTGCATAACTGTGCATCTGTATTCATTAGATAAAATCATTTCACAGGAGCATTAGTAGTGACGACACCCCAGTCAGCAGCGCTACAAGTCACGAAAAGAGGAGTGAATATGTTTGAGAAACTAAAAGTTCCTATTGTAGGCATGGTGGAAAACATGTCACACGCCATTTGTTACAAGTGTGGCACGAAGAATTTCGTCTTTGGTAACGAAACGAAACAAACTGCAGACCAAATGGGACTCGAAATAATCGAGAGTTTCGAAGTTGATCATAACATGTCAGAGTGCATAAATAGCGGGAAGCCAGCAATATACGCACTGCCCGATAGCATACACGCAGAAAAATATAGGCAGTTAGCTAACAAAGTGTTCAAATATATAGAAAATAAGGACAAAGAACAAGCAAAGGCGAAAGAGTAGACACACAATGTATTGTGTTCATCTGTAGTTGTTCAATTATTATAATTATACAAACAATTATACAAAGAATAAATGTTTTACAGAACTGAGTCAACATTTCTATTTATTAACAAAGTTACCAGTGCTAAAGAATAGTGCCTACCTACTACTACTATTACTTGTGTCCTTCATTCAATGGTGGGATTTATTTGAAGCAATATAGCAGCTCATAAATAAAACATTGTTATTATATAAAAATTTATTCGGAACAATCTTTTTAGGAATCTTTATAACTATGGCCAAACTGAAACTTAAGAAAATAAATAAAAAATAATACAAAAATATGTGTCTTTTAAATACTTTTGATAAATCAAATAATTATTTCGTATATGACTACATTTTTATTATTTCGTTAGATAGATGAAACACAAAACCTTTGAATCGTGATACCAAAGTTTCACTTATGGCTACTGGAATATTCAAATTCATAAAAAGAGCATTTGCGTTTACATTCAAAGATCCGTAGTCGGTATTCAGTCAGTAAGTACAAAATATATATAATTTATATATAAATATTTACATTGAATCACAACAATTAGAAACAAAATGGAATGAAAAAATGTAACGCGTAAAGAGAATGAAAGCAGGAGTCCGATCAGTCTGAGTCGATACACTTATAGGAAAAGGGGAGGAGGTCCGCTTAGAAATGATCACGTTTACGCGGGAAGGAGGGTTAAATGATTTGGCACGCTTGAGCGCAGCATTGATTGGAGTGCTACAAATATGCGCCTGACACGCATCATAAAGTGATTGTTTTGTGTCGCCAACCCGAGCTGTGGCCTCGCACGACCAACACTAGTGACTCATTGTGATGCCTTGTGTTGAAACTTGTAAATATTTCTACTTGCGTTCGTACAATAGTCAAAGTAGCTAGCTCTCATCATGTCAAGTACGTGCTTTTGTAATCCTACAAATAACGCAGCATATACCTAGAAGCATCGGCATAGCATGGAGAATGACATGACCGTATTGCACATTAGTTTCCCTTTTTATAGTTTGGAGCATATTAAAGTAGCATTACCATACAATGCTGCAACCATGCTTACTGCATCTTCGGATTCACAACACTATCTGTTCAACAGTGGGTACTAAATTACTAATATAAAAAATTGACGATATAGAAATGATGAATGTGCTTATATAAGTTCATTATCAAAATGTAGATAAGGTCATTGACCGGGCCGTTACCTATTTGCTTACCGTACTTCATTGATCGACCAAATACGTGCACTTTTATATAAAATTTTGTGTTACGACACCAACTGTTGGTTTGCTATGGGCAGTTTGCTGTGCTTTATAATTATAAAACAAATAGATAACAAAGTTCAAATATATACAACCTCATTTTGTAGGACTAGAATCCTTATTTTATTTTGCTATATACTATGTATTTGATACATGCCATTTTGCACTCCGAATTCGGGCGGTTTCTCAATCAACCTAGTACCATCTAATGTTAACACAAATATATGCACAAGTATTCGTCCCACAAAACTTACTACACAGGGTGTTCCAATAAAAAATCAGTAACAATAAATCCGACACAATCAGACGAAGGGAAGTTTGTACGAAATAAAATAAATAAACTTCGCAACTTCCAAAAGCGTCAGATTATTTCGTACCGAGACATCTTAATGGAGCGTCCTGAATATTAAAGTAGGTAAGAGCAAACTGCCCATAGCACAACAGAAGCGGATATGGAAGTAAGCTCAATGTTCACAATACGCCGACTAGTCAGATTGTCACATAAAAACACCAAATTATATGAAATTTTTTCTTTCCTCTTGCACCATAACATCTTATGATTAAAATATCAATAGTCTTTAACATGTGCATACATTGTACACACCGATCGCTTTTCTACCACTTCTTCTTGTGTTCGTCCATACTGACTCCGCCCGGGCCCAAGTATACGATCATAAGAAGACCGCCGATCACAGATAAGGTCTGCAAGGAAATGATAAAAAAAAATCAACACTTTATACTTTGCAAAATATCCTAAATCGATATTGGTTTTTATGGCTATTGATAAATGTGAAAAGAAACATAAAATGGGACAGTCAATAAGATTGCTATTCAACTGTTTTTTGTTTCATTTTTCTTTTTTTTTGTATAATCTCTACCCCACACTTAAATTTTATTCTGTGTGCGTTTACAAACATACATATGAGACCCAGACAAGAAATAAAGTTCTAAGTAGTTCCGAGGAGCAATCAAACACACGACGTTAAAATATCTCAATATGCCGATGGAGCAACATTATGATATTGTTACCTGGAAGAAGTCATATTTGAGGAAGTCCCTAAGAGGTTTGTATGAGGGTACTGTCCACCACGCGTTGTGGTATAGGTTGAGCAGGGAGAGCACTACCACCAGCATCAGAGCAGACAGCTTGGTGCGGTAGCCCACCGTCACCAAGATCATCAAGATACTACCCAGCAGATCTTGCACGATCTGAAAACATTAAACATTGTTATGATAATCCCTTTCGAACTTTCTGTGAGATCATGAGCGGGACATCGTTCTGTTTTACGACCTTCATATGTATAAGTCTCTGATAAACATATGTGCTATCAAGCCGACAATGAATTTATTTGCAAAAATAAATTCATTGTCGGCTTGATAGCGGATATTCAAACATTGTAAAACAGGCCCTTAAGACTAATTAAATCAAAGTGAATTAAAACTGCCAGCAAAAGAAGGTGTAAAAACACAGGTTGCTTTTTCAGTTGGTACAATCGACAAAAACTAATTGTGTTTGGTATAATATGCTTATAAATTATGAAGAAACTTCATGATCACTGCTAGAAAATGTGTACAGCAGAAGAGATAGCGAGATCCTTAAAATAGCCACTATAAAATCAAGTGGCATTACAGCTTATACGGAAGAAGATTTTAAATTTAAATAAGCATTTTTTAAACCTGTTCTAGATTTCAAAACCAGCTAGAAATATGTATTTTTTTTTTATATAAAATAGCGGACTGGCTTACTATTTGTAGATAACCTTGGAGATCTTTATTGGTATTTATTAAACTGCTAAAATTATTTTAGAAAAGTAACATATTGAAAATAGAACATGGTGCTTGAATATGTTCCATAAAGCTGAACATTTTTAAGTTTAGTACTACAGTTAGGAACACATGTGGGAATTTTCATATCAATATTTGTATACAAATACGGGAACTTTTTATTATTGTGTTACAACTGTAAATAAACAATAAGTACTAAACTTTCCATGTCGATTACCTTAAAAAAAACTGTCCAGACAGCACGAACTACTAACTAAAAAATCGAAAGTAATTCGTGTATGCAAATAAAAAAGCCAGCCATCTATTGATAAAGTTTTTGACAACCGTACATTATGACGTCACACGTTAGCTTAGTATATTATTATGAAGACGTGTTCAATGAATTCGCCACCTTCATTAAGTCACCTAATTTAAATATTAAAATTAATTGTATTAAAAAGGTCACGATGTAAGATGTAATATCTGATTCATTGTAATTATGTAACTTAGTAATATGCGTAGGAGTTATATATTTTTTCACATTGATTTTCGACTTGCTTATTTAAGTTAGTTAGGCTCGCATTGTAGTTGACAGTATTTATATTTTGAATACTGGTTTTCCTTCATTTTATCCTAGTAAATAACATTTCACTTTCTACAAATCAATAGCTTTTGCGCGTTTAAGTGAGTAGATTAAATGAACACAGTTGGCAGTGTAAACTTAATTTGTTAATTGAACTATACAAAATTCTCTATCCTAAATCACACGTATGTCCAAATAAACAATTAGCACGCAACCCTACAGTTGGCGTACTAACAACTACCTAATCAATCTAAAAAAACTAAGTCAATTTAAAACTATAATGTGTACAAACCTGTAAGAATGAAATCTCGAATCTTAACAGTGTGATGAACATGAATGCCAGGAGTATTCTGCCAGCAAGCTGCAGGTAGGTCTTCGGCTTGTTCTCCCCGAGTGACGGCACTCCGGCGAAGAGGCTACGGCCTTCAGCACGGGCCTCCGCCACCACCAGCAGCAGGGCTCCGATGAGAGCCAGGTTACGAAGCAAGAATTGCATGTCCCATAATATACTGTAGGCGAATGTCTGAAAGATAGATAGATAAACACTATAGAAAATTTGTTCATTTTGGTGGTTAACTTAAATGAATTAAGATTCTATAAGTAAGATGCTAGCTTCCGCCCCCAGCTTCACACGTAAGTATATAAAAGTGATATGTCCCGGGATTTTAATAACATTAAAGCGAAAGCTCAACTAAAATAAAGGAATCAAGTATTGTTTATAGCCTATTATAGCACTCAGGAATATTGTATCAATTAGACTAGCGGTTCCAAAGATCACTCCTACATACAAATTTAAGTGTAGATAAGATAGATAGATTTAACAATATTTCCTGGCAGATATTAAGTCGCCAGAAACCAGAGCGATTATTATAATTTATTCATACGGCATCTAGGATCAACGAACAAATTAATTCTACGCGCTGCGAGCGTGTAAGTCGTCTGAAAACACTAAATATCTTCGACAGGCACATCAGCTGGTAGCATTAGGTTACTACAAAAAATACGGAAAACGACAGTAACATCTCTGTTCAAACTTAATGATTTGACATAGCGGAACTATACAAAATTTCGCACATCATGGCGATTAAAAATACAACTCAGCATGATAAGACCACGTCCTTTGGTAAGGTTATTCCAAATACACAAAAAAACGGCTAGTTACAGGAAATGTGACGGTCACATAAATTAGTTATAAAACCATTTCCTTTTGAAAATAATATTGGTCATTGTGTCTTCATGGGGTAACGACCCTGAAATCAGCCGACCGTGTTAACGCATTACTAAGAATCTACTATACAATAACATAATTACGAAGTAAAACGTCATGTGACGACCAAAAATCGTATAGATTATTTCCTCAATATTAAAATTTGTACTCAAATCTTAGCCAGGGCCAGTTGCTATATATATAAATAGGTACTTTTGAAACGTCATAATATAATTAATACAACAATATTAGTCTGTACCTACTCAGATCTTCTGGGCCAAAGATTGGAATAGTTTAGTGAGTTTAATTTATAAACTCTGCTCAATATTCAATTGCATCGAAATCAGTTCAGCTATTTTTATATAATTGGCACACAAACATACATAATTTAAATGCTCACCTGTAGTACAACAATGAAGAATAGTACTCCACACGCAATGTCCACCTTGAGCCTGCCCAGCACCATTACACAGCCGCCCAACTGTCCTACTAAGTTTACTATCTGTAAACAATACATTTAAATATTAAAATAATTGTCGTATATAGTCATTTATATCAAAAACATAATTGGTTAGGTACTCGTTCTAGGTAAAAAAGAAGACATTCAAGTTAATTGGTAATTGAAGTTGATCCAGATTTCGATGAAAAGTAACAGTAGTCACATGTAAACCACAGTTGTAATAAGCCTATGAATCAGAGGGCATACCTATTGACGTCACCAGTCACCACGTAAGAACATAATATTTTCTGCGTAACATATGTACATACATAGGTAGCCATATTTTGTAAAGAAACCGTAAAAATATTTCCTTTATAGGAATGGTAGAAGATTCTAGATACTCTCCAAAATACTTTATGTAAAAACCGACACAGCAATTATAAAGTTACGCACGAAAGTGGTGCGCCAAAATGGCGTGAAATTATGGATGTGTTACGACTTCAAAAGGAAAATAGAACATTACTGTGCGTACAAATTTGTAGGTTAATATAAAAACATAACATCTTATATCGTGTTGTGCTAGTAAAACAATCAAAGTGCTTATTGTAATATTTTAAACCCGATAAGCATGCGTGTACGAATTTCCTCAATGGTATAACAGTAAGAAAACTACACACGACGAGAGATTTTCGAGTAAAGTGAACTCGCTATTGGGTTGCCCGTTTTTACCAACTTGCTTAAAAGAATCAACAGACGCGCATAACGTGTTCAGCCTTGCAAGATGAACAAATCTCACAACAATACACCCTTATTGGGGCGATTATATATTTTACTAGTGTATTGATAAGTGATCAATAGTTTTTTGAAGAGTGTCTGTCCCATTGTGCCAGCAACATAAATGTTCCTATAATTACTTCAATATCATTGTAACGCTCCAGAATACGATATCATAAATTGGTTGATAAATGATACCACTAATTTCCCAAATTTACTAATGTATCAATTATCGTCGTGAGTTTTATTGTTCATTTAACCGTATACGGTTCAGATGATAAAGAAATAAACAAAACAAAACACAATAATCACAAGAATAAATAAATATAACGAAGCGTGCGTAGCAGAATAATAGGTGCAGTTTATGTTGGCTCTTGTAACGATACGAAAATATGCAAAATAAATATTATATCAATAAGTAATTAGTAACATGTGGTGCTAATAAACACGTGGCATACAGTGTAGGGAGCAGGTGCTGTGCCAACTTATTATATTATTGTTTCCACTTACAAACACGCGCTGCAATTTATAAACACTCTATTTAAATGAGCTATCTCTTTATCGTTCACATTTGGATGAGTGTTTATTTTATACAGGGCTAGGTACCACTAATCCTTAGTAACGGTACCTAATTACTAGATCCAGATAATTTTGGCCGGATTTTGAAATACTCGATTTAGTAAAGAGCTCGGATATACGGAGACGGATGTTGGATAATAAACTACACAAGACAATTGCGCTGTTTAGAGATTTCATCGTGATTTCCGTGTGTCGTTCAGTCACACGTTAAAAATAATAAAATAAACAGCAAAAAATCTGTTCATATGCTGATGAAAAATTACAAGATAAACACTTTAGTTGTGATTGGTACAGTACAGACTTAATCGTAAAAATCCCCAAATGAAGCGTTAATACTCCGCTTTGTACATATATTGAACTTTAAACTAACTTTAAGATAAGTACTCGGAATTTTATAGAAAAAAAGACGATAATGATAAGAAATGATAAAAAATTAATTAAATATTTCATTGACAATAGACTGGGTTTACCAGAAGATTAATATTGCCCGCCTAGTGATTGTGCGGATGGTATTCAAATGACCAAATCTGACACAAATAATGAGCCGGACCTTGAGAAATAAACTAGGTACTTGTTCACTTACAATTTCGATGGTCAACAATACTATGAAAGGCACACTTTGTCGGTAATTCAGCAGCTTCAGTGGACATTGATATTTATCTCTGAACGCGAGGAGCTAGTTTAGCAATACCTGATTTGTTCGAGCTAATAATTTAGTAGAATCACTGAAGTTGTCGAATGTGTGCGAGTTAAAGCTAAACTTCTGGATATGTGACGGTACTTACAACAAACATTGTGGCGAGGACCTTGCCGCAGCCCCATGACATGTCCATGTAGTCTCGCTGCTCTGACCATTGGAACCACATGCGGAGACCATCCTCGAGGAATGTGGAGATGAGGCACAGGCGGGCTACCGTGGGCAAAACATTCTTGCCTTTACGAACTACCTGAACATAAACATAAAAAAAGTTACAAATCAAATTATCGCAAACGAGAAGTTTATTCCAGACCGGGAATTCCAGACGTCTAATATCTCTTACAAGATATGAGGTCATGTCCTCATCTGACTCAATAAATATAAAAACCCAAAAATATTTTATAATTTGAGGAATCTGTAATAAATAAGGAAAAACTAGAGTCGTCGATTCTGATGTCGTAAACATGATTTTATTATTTTGATTTCGAAGAATATACGCAAGAAAGAAGCTAAGAATTGGCACCATATCATTAACTGAAAGCCAGCTAATTCGTACGTAACCACATGCTATCAAACGCCAATACAATTGTTAATGGATAGTTTTATAGGTTCATTCAATAACATATTAGGTAAATTACATAACATTAAAATCTAGAAAATCGTGACCGGATAAAACATTTTAGTACAACGTTTTTCTTGTGGGTTTATTTTAAATAAACCGTTTATAAATTCATAAGTACTCAAATTCCAGAAACAAATATGCATACTAGATGTCTGCAACTTATCTTTTGTTTGTGTACAGGAGGAATAAAAGCAAAATTTGTTTTTTATTATTTACTAGAACAGTAATGAGTGCCAACTTCCAGAATCTATGTACCTGTATAAATTAATAGATAATTTCGGCAAACGGAAGTACAGCTCGATAGTCGGGCGCAAATGATGAAGTAACCAGTTGTTCAACACACTTTCTCCTTTCTATCGCGCCTAAGAACTAGTTTCTTCTTTCATTAATATTATTATAAAACTTTGGTAATACAATGATAAGTGACTTTTGACATTTAAGGTAGGAATTTACGAGATTTAAATTCGCACATTCAGCATATTTTCATGGCGGCGCCCACTGCCTACCATCATCAGGCAATTCGAATGATTGTTTGCAGACCAATGTCGTAAAAATTCAATATCCTTATGATTAAAATCACAGTCAACATTACCCTAAACATAAAATTTGTGCCAATAGACCTATCATTCTGAAATTAGTTTCCACCACATCAGTAAACAAAGAAAATGCAAGTAATGATGATATGAAACATAAAAACATCATATTATCATTAACAGTTATTATTTCTTATTGTTTCAGCTACAGATTACACATTTAATAGTCAGTTTTTAGAAGAAGTATGTTTTGTAGTGTGAATTGTATTTCAATATTTTAATACAGATAATGAGTTATGTTTAAAAAACTTATAAATTATAATACAGCTCAAGCCACATTAACTATAATGTAAATTTCTAAAATCTCTGGTGCCCCAGGAACAGTAAAAGATATTGTCTAAAATGCTTGGTTACATTATGTTTATTTAATAACAAACATGTGTCAAAAAGTTTGTCCAAATCATCAAAACAGAGCCTATATGTTATTCTAGACTTCTTCTTAGATCTTTCTCAATGCCAAATTTTATTTAGATGGTTTCAGTAGTTCTTACGAAAGAGACATCCCTCCAAACATACTAATGTGGCATTTATTATATTAAGTAGAATATAAATGTTTCCATGTATGACCAAGAAGGCAAATAATATAAGAAAGTAATGATGACTTAACTATTATAAGATAAGGAAAATGAATACATAATCGGATACTTGCCAATACCCTGTGGTGAAGGGTCACCCTCATAAGCATTACATAATAGTATTTTTTATTATTTAGAATACTTAAATCTATCAGCTGATAACATGCTTATCAAAATTTAAGTACATCATATAGAATTACAAAATGTAATTTATTATTAATATTACACAAAACTTATTGAAGGATTACAAAATAAATATAAGATAAAAAAAAATTGATATTAAAAGCTACAACTGCTTTCAGTAGAATGTAATTGATATACATTTTATTAAAATGTTTTCACATATTTAATTAGTTTTATAAAGTGTGATTAAGTAAGTAAGTGTGATTACTAAACTAGCTTCCTTAGTAAATCTAGAATTATAGACTGTTTTTAAAAAAGCATATTAAGTTAAATGAAACCCTGCACAGATGAATGTCATAGTCATATGAAGTGAAAGGTGTTAAAAGTAAAAGTTATTAATCTGTGTACTGTTTATTTCAAAACTTTTAAATTTTTTATGTAAACTTTCTTTGACAATTTTATTATTATCCTTAATATTTTGTTTCACATATAAAATGCATTAAAATAGTACTTATTACTCACTAACACACAGCATGATAAAATAATTAGTGGCTACCTACTTTCCCAATAAATAATGTTTCAGTAAAATGTGTCTGTTATGTAAAAATATTTTATGGGCTGCTTCAAAGATAAAGAATGTTTTGCAATAATTTTATACATATTGGTCATGCTCCATAATGTTACATTACAACTTACAATGTAACAGATTGGTTATCTTAGGATTTGTGTTCAACTTAGGATATTAAGATTAGTTCTTGGCCTGGCTACCTGGTCCATGTTTGATGGGTCACCACATGTATACTAGTTGTTTACAATCTTTTTTTTCAACCAAGATTACACTTGCCAAAATTAATGTTAAAACCAATGCAAAAAATAGGAATTTTATTTTGTGATACTTATGCTGACTCATTAAATAAAAATAATTAATTTGGCGTCCATGAAATAGCCAATTTAACTGATGAAAACTTAAGATAAGTAGGTTAAAGGGTGAAATATTTGCGAAGCTACAAGCTACAAAGCTGTTACAGCTTTTTAACAGAACATTGTCGTCGCATTATGATCTGGCTCATTTCTTTAACTTGGCAGTCACGCAACTCTGTTGTTATACTATTGATATTAACTTATACATGTATTTCAACTCATTCAAGAAGCGCCAACAAGAAAATAAGTTCGGTGACGTGACAATCCTATCCAAAGTACGATTTCAATGCATAAATGTCAGGATAGTACAAAAGTTTACACTTGATTATAATGCAAGCATACCTGATCTGCAATATCCTCAGCAGTAGACACATATTCCTTTGGAATTTGCATTTTTCAAAACCGTATCACAAGCACATTCACTAAAAAATGAAATTTCACTGCCTTCGGAACCGTCACGTCAGTCCGTCGCCGTCGAATGACGTGTGGACAGTTGGAATACACTTCCTGTCCAACTAATGAACTTTTAAAATATCGTATCGAGTTTGGTAGCTGAAAACTTCAAGAAAATGGTTTTAATTTAAAAAATATATTTTGTTACTGTTATAGGATCTTTAATCTTAACACTTACTAGTATAACATTAAGAGTTAATAAATGACCCGGATGTTTTCATTTCAAAGCTTGCTTGGTTTTCGACTAATGTCAAACTGATATAGACGTTTGGTATCTGCAAAAATCGTGAGAGATTATTTTTTGAGAATTCATTTATACTGTTTTTCTTCTCCGAGGAGAAAAATATTTGAAATGTATATAAAATCAAATTGTTACATGACACCAAAAATAAAAACAAATCTACTTTTTATCATCTAAATACTGAAAAACTATTAGAGAACGATGATACGAACGATAGAAACTAAACGATGTATGTCATCATACAAGACTACAAAGTGAATGAATGAATTTGATTAGTTGACAATTTGACAATAGTTGATTTGATTGTTGAATTTATTGCTGAAAAACAGTGATATCAATATAATATTCTAAATATTGGGCAATAACATTATAATTTAGTAGTAAAGACACAGTAAGTGTACATTACTGGAGAAACTGTTAAATTTGTGTATTCGTAATCTGTGTTTGTATAATGTTTTGTGTCTAACCTATTTTTCAGAAGATGCTTGAAGTCACTTGTAACGATCGTCTTGGTAAGAAAGTAAGAGTGAAATGCAACCCTGACGATACAGTTGGAGACCTTAAAAAACTAATAGCAGCTCAAACTGGCACGAGATACGACAAAATTGTTCTAAAGAAATGGTACACAGTATTCAAAGACCACATCAAATTATCTGACTGTATCCTTTATCAAATATTTCTCTAAACTTTATTTTTGTAAGGAATAAATATAACCCATGTTATACTTCTAATTTTTGCTATATGAATAATATTTTTGGAAAACTAAAAGTTCACAAAATGAGGAATGTCACTAAAATAACATCAAAGCTAAAGTATAATATAATATAAGTTGTTATATTTGTAGGAAATTGACCTACCTAAAGACCTTTGGTTGTAACTTAGAAAATAAATAATGTCTTTTAAACCAATAGGAGTTAGTTAAACCATAGTAAGGAAAACCATGTCTGACCACTTGATTTAATAATGATGCTTGATTGTATATTTAATGTAAAAATATAAAATTAAATTTACAATACATCAGAAGGAATTTAAAGTAACTCTAATAATTCCTTAATTTCCACATTCAGATGAAATACATGACGGCATGAACCTGGAACTCTACTATCAATAGCTGAGAATGGAGTTGATACCACTAAATAATAATGTTAATTTTACAATTTTTTAATTGATTAAGTAAACTATAAGAGTAAAATTAGTTCTTTTTATTTCTTTTGAAGGTAATTCAACTAGCCAACTCGTCCTGTGATTATGAAATGCATTAAACTATTGATGAACTTCCTAAAACAATAAAACTACGAAAAAGGTTTTATAGTGTTTCATTTTGCAAATTCCAAAGTAGGTAGAATTCATCAATCATATTGTAGAGTTTTTTAAAGTTTCTTTTCCGTATACTTATTATTAGCCCTGACCCATTTCCATTGAAATGTGTTTTTTAAATTAAATCAAGAGACTTCTTTTTATAATCTAATAAACGGATTTTTTGCGATGTCACAGCTCCCTGCATTCGGGCGATAAATTTTCATCTACCTACTCATCTACTCCCTTATTTTATCTTCTACCATATTAGGCCGTCTACACACTATGCTCAGAATACAGAACAAACACAGATGTGTTAACAGACTTTGAAGGAAAGCGGGGTTGTGTTTTGCAAATCACTGGATTCCACGTCGATGACAATATAAAGCTGTCCGTCAGCGTAGTGTGTAGACGGCCTAATATGGTAGAAAAAGAAAATAAGGCGGTAGATAAAAATTTATCGCCCCAATGCAGGGATATGTGACATTGCATCTTGAGTATGCTTGCGACCACGACCTGTGCAACCAGGTCGAAACGTCAAGCATACCAAGGTATTTAAATAATTATTTTTCGTGATAATACCCTCGTTATTATAAGTTGTAAATATGAAACGCAAAAGTTTAAAAGTTAATAAATGATTTTTTATTGGAACTTTGGGCTTATGTATTATTAGTCCATCTGTAATTTCTTTAATGGACGCTTTTCGGACCAGTTCTGCGTGTAGGGTCTCTGGACGGAAATTTAAAGGCGAAATTACGTTTTTACATTTTATCTATCATTTAAATTAAACGATCCACATAATGCCCTAGATAATCATGATCAACCGGAGGAGCTTCACTGTTGAACAAAGGCCTCATTACAACAAACATTTTTGAGTAATTAGGGATATTGCCCTAAAATGTTCAAAAAAATGTTATCATATAAACAATAAGTTTAGTAGGTATCCTTTTGTCAGTTTTAAAATGGCCGTACCTAATGATTTTACTTTGGTACATTACTTAACTTCCTATTTTATATTTCTGAAAAATAAAAAACAATTATTTTATAATGGCAATATTAAAATGATTTTCAAGAAAGTCATTCACTACTTCCGTTTTGTTTATTTTCTTCCCCTGAACTGAACTTCCATCTTCCATTCCATCATCGTTCATTCATTGGCGGCCATTGTGGTTTACTTTGTTTTGTCAAATTCAGAAAAATCTAAATCATTTATTAGATCGGTATTCAATGTTTGAACCTCACTTATTTTTAGATTATTTGTGAAGACGGTGCTATTAGCATTATAAATAATATTTTACGTGATAAGTATAGTGTTATAAGTAGTATAATGTCTGAAGTTGAAGGTGAGTATCGTGGTTTTGTAAGAGTGATTAGCATTTGGACTGGCCCACTAATATTTGTTGATTTTCAGAGTTCAGCCAGCAAAAGCCTGCAAAGACGGGCAAGCAACATAATATATTACCAATATGGGGTAATGAACAGACTATGAACCTGAACCCACTAATATTAGCAAATATACAGGGCTCTAGCTACTTCAAAGGTAGGTAAGCAAACATACCAACGCACAGGAGCTTGGACTTCGTTTGTTCCACTTTTATTTACTTTAATTGGTTACCACAACTTTTCTGTTACTGCTTCTGACTAACTCAAGAAATTATTCTAAAAAACCTTGTCTAAACATTTTCCCGCTTTTTTTGTTATCTTTATAAAGGAAACAGGTTACAGTTTTGAAATTTTCTAAAAACAATACATACTTTTACAGTCACTTATGATAAGTGACTGCAGAAGTATGTCTTGTTTTTGTGAAGATATGTTACAATGCCTTTGGAATTGTACTGTTTATTAAATACAGTTAGATGAAGCAGTAACAATATCCAAGAAAAATGGAATATGTGTATGAATTTTATTTAACACTAGAAAGACCAGAGTGGTCAAATGACCCCAATGAAATTTTTGATCAATCATATTATCAAAACCATAGCACTGAACTCACTGTCGTTTTATGACTTTTAATATTTCGTCATTGTTTACATTATTCTGATATGGGTATACCGATAGCAAGATAAATACTAATTAAAAAAATATCACCTACCCAGAGAGACCGCTAGTGGTCATTTGACACCACTGCGTGCTTGCTAGTTACATTTCGTGGAATATACTTGTGTTATGGGTAGTTGAAATAAAATATTTTTTTCTTGTTTTATTCTTGTCAAAACAAAGACATATCATGGCTCGCCATAATAATATAATGCCTCATTATCGTTCCTTTTGCCCTTCAAAAATACTGGAAGTGTCGCTAAATTTACCGGACGATCAATCAGACTGTGAATCGACTGAACAAGGGAGGCACATTTTGCATTTAGACTCAGAAAGTCAAGAAAGTGTTTACAATATTACACAAAATAGTGATTCTTTTAGGGATGGTGATCCCACTCATATTCCGATTCTGATAGTAAGTGTATATTATTTTGTATATTGATGTAAATAAAATAATATTTTTTTACATTGAGAGAAAAGGAAACATTTTATTAGCGTTTACTCCACTGTTTCAGATTCAGTAGCTCTCGACTTTACGTAGGTAGTGCAAAACCTAAGAAGAGGTCGAGGTCGAGGTCCCATATATTTAGAAAGAAATGAAAGCCGTCGACAAAATCAAAGTTCAGGCGAGTGGGTCGTATTGCGACCAATGGACCCACTGGTCGAAATGTAACTACTGATATTTTTTTCACCAGTGTAAATATGGCAAAAAACCTAATAGTAACACAGGACAACTGTTTTATAATAATATTTTGGATTTGACAGCAAATGATTCTTGGACTTTGTACAAAAAACTATCGAGAAAAAAATCAGTAGAAAAAAGTTCATTCTTGACTTGGCCAGGGAGTTAGTCGGCCAAGATTCCCACTCCCTGATGACACCATCTACGTCACAGCCTGATAATAGCATACCCGCTTGCAAAAATGCAGAAATAAAACCAATAAATCGTAAAAATCGTATAAATTCGTTGTAAAAAGCTTTTGTGTGGCTCTTGTAATGTAAAAAATTAAATGTCAAAAATGTGCATAATATTTTTATGTTTTTATTACGTAATGTATGTTTAATTACTATTAAGTTCTTTTATTTACTATAAGATGTTAATCAATAAAACTTAAAACCATAATACATGAATAAAACATTATAACCCATGAATGGGTCATTTGACCCCACCTGGTCTTTATAGGTAGTTCAAAATTTCGGTCTTCCTAGTGTTAACATCTGTTTTCTACTATCTGCAGTGCACCTGTTCAAGTTGAAGACATACCACGAGGTGGTGGATGAGATCTACTACCAGGTGAAACACCTGGAGCCTTGGGAAAGGGGCAGCCGCAAGACTGCTGGCCAGACGGGCATGTGTGGCGGCGTGAGTATGTTCAACCGTGTCATACTTTATTTGTTACATTGTAATGTTTGAGACCATCTTGTACCTCTTCATGACATCATCATAATAATAACAAACAAGTCACAGACAAATTAAAATTTAAAAATGGACTTTCATATTATTAATAATATAACTGCATTTGTCATGGTTTCCTAATCACAAGTTATAGCTGAATTCATTATGACATCAACATTTTGTTATACTTACTTGTGTTTATGTGTGTAGTTTTTAAATATAAACAGTAGATGTTTTGTCGAAAGTTTTGAAAATCCAAAGTTACTGGATCATTCTCAGGTTCGTGGTGTAGGAGCTGGTGGCATTGTGTCCACAGCATTCTGTCTTCTGTACAAACTGTACACCCTACGGCTCACTCGTAAGCAGGTCAATGGCCTGCTGCAGCATTCTGACTCTCCCTACATTAGAGCTCTTGGTAGGTATGAGTATATTTATTTTTTAATAAAATGTGTAAGACTATGTCCTGGTAAGATCTAAAATCCTTTTTATCACAGGATTTATGTACATCCGCTACACACAGCCACCAGCAGATCTCTTTGACTGGTATGCAGACTACTTGGATGATGAAGAGGAAATAGACCCTCGTGCTGGGGGTGGAGGCTCCACAACCATCGGTGCCTTGGTGAGACAGATGCTCATCAAACTGGACTGGTTCAGCACATTATTCCCCAGAATACCAGTACCCATACAGAAGCAGATTGAACAGAAGTAGGTAACTTGGTACTTTTTACACAGTGGATATTGGAGTATTTTATGTTAAAGTAATGTTTTTTGCTTTCAATTGTGGTAACTCAAAATACAATAGGAGAACAACAACTGCGCGAACGCCGGCGTTCGCTAGGGGTTTCAAGAATAAATAAAACAATCAATGTGTTAGTCCATCATTATACATTTGCATTGTATTTTCTGAGACCCAAAACTTGTGATTAATGTGTTTGTACTACTTGTACCTGTTTCTCAATTAATTGAGATCATGATTCTAGCATGGCTTGCGGTCTTCGGTCGACACGTGACAGTCCCGAGCTGTGTGGATTTACAGGAATTTATTATATTTCACTTTACCATAAATAGTATCACTATATTGTAAAATTCATTTAGATTATGATCAAACCGTAAATAAATTTTGACCACATTTCAAATACTAGGTTAGCAGAGCACAACAGGCAGACATCAGCCACGAAGCCGGCGGCAAACTATCGCGGTGGAGGTGGCAACAACGGCAATGGCGGAAATAGTGCGGGCAGTGGGGGCGGTGGTGCCTACAACCCTAGCAGAATGGACTCTGATCGAAGAGAGCACGATGACAGAGACAGACGAGATTATGGCGAGAGCGACAGGTAGATCTAGTTACATTGTTGAAAAAATTTAACTATGGAACAATTTCCATAGTTCAATTTTTGTTTATACCTAGTTTATGTAAAATATTTTCATCCTTCAGGTATTCAAAAGACAGAACGCGCCGTGACGACCGCGAACGTGACAGAGAGCGCGATCGCGGTGACCGCGATAGAGATCGTGATCGGGAACGCGAAAGAGACCGCAGGGATCGGGACCGTCGCGACCGCCATCGGGATAGATCGCGGTCACGTGACCGACAGCGTCATCGATCGCGATCCAGAGATCGCCGCTTTAGATAATGTTCAGCAAAATATAGATGATATTATTGTGTCCTTACAAATGAATAATAATGATGTTCTGGATTTCGTGTTTTTTTTTCGATTACCTTTTTATTACCATTGTAAAAGAAAATTATGTAAAGTTAGAATATTGAAGATTTCTAGAAAGCATCTAAATTGATTTGTCCCATACCGATAGGTTAAAGATTAGAGATTATCATAATTATATCCAAAAAAATTAGTCATGAGACAAGTAGTTTCAATTGTTTATTCCATTGCAAAAATAATAGAAATGCTTGAAAATAGCATTGAACCTCACTGAACAGCAATTGACAAGCTTAGAGGCTACTAATAAATATTAGATTACATTTGAATGAAAACATTTTAGATTTTTGAATGATATCAGCCTATGCTGCAGCGCCTTTAGTTTCCTGCTGCTCAAACTTAGGATACTTCTGTTCCACATCAGTCCAAGAGATCTTGCTATTGGACAAATCTCTCACAACAACAGGTACATCATCCAGTGGTAGTCTCACTTGTCCCATACTGTCTCTCTCTCTCAATGTTACTGAATGGGGTTCTTTTATAGTATCGAAGTCGACGGTAATTGCGTAAGGCACACCCAGTTCATCAGTTCTAGCATAGCGTCGGCCAATAGAACCAGAGGAGTCGTCGACTTTGTGCGACACATCTGCGTTTATCAATCCCTGTGACAGTTCCCTGACAAATGGTTGGAATTCGGCGTTACCACTAAGAGGTAAGACTGCGCACTTCATAGGTGCAACTGTAGCTGGTAAGGAGAAGTAGGTCCTCTGTTCATCACCTTCTCTCATCCTGAAATTATGCTCTAGAATTGAATAAAGGATCCTACCAACGCCAAATGAAGGCTCAATTACGCTTGGAATAATTTCCTCAACATGAACAGTTTTTTGAGTTTTCTTTACACTGACAAGGGTTGGTGTGAGTTTAAATTCACCATTTGGAGTAGATAGGATGTATTCACCATCACCAGTTAACTTGGCTTGCAAATTTTCTAACTCAGCAGAGTCCATGGCAGCTAACCCATCATTGATAACTTTAGCATCTTTCTTAAACTCTTTGCCAATAGCGGCTTTATTAGGGACAGCTTCAACAACTTCTATTTGTTTTGGTGCAGGAAGTTTTTTCTCAGCTGCAAGCCTAATGCCTGTAGCTTTGCTGTGCTGAGTCAAATCATATGCAGACCTATCAGCACAGCCTACACATTCTACCCAGCCATAGCTGGTGAGACACTCAGCATCCCAGCAGTCACAAGCATAGTGAGCCATCTCATTACCCATGTGCTGTCTGAACCTTAGCTTCTTAGGATCAATGCCAACAGCCAACATGTACAAGTGGATTCTTGCCATAAAGTATCCCAAAGTTTCATTGTTCACAATTCCTTTAGTAACAGCATCACCAATGGTCATAATCTCTGCTGGTCTTCCCTGTTCCTGGCTATCAGCAGAATAGAACAGCATCTGTGTGTTCTTTACAGATTCAAACTTCGGGTGGTCTTTGGAGTCACAGAAGTGTTCAATTTCACACATAGTGAATTCTCTAACCCTGAGTAAGCCAGAGCGAGGAGATATTTCATTTCTGAATGAATTTCCAATTTGAGCAGCAGCAAATGGTAAACGGCCTTGGTTAAACTCCAGAAGTCGTTTAAAGTTGACAAATATGCCTTGAGCTGTTTCAGGTCTCAAGAACCCTTTAACTAAACCACTAGGACCAATCTGAGTGTTAAACATAAGGTTAAACTCTATAGGTGGAGTCAAATCATTGCCACTTATGGGTGACTTCATTTGGAATCTCTGCATCAATGCTTCCATTTGGTCAGCTGTCATACCATCAAGCTTCACTAAAATATCTTCAATCTCGGCTTTTAGTTCAGCAGTTGAATTTTTCTCACTTTTTACTTTTTCAAGGTGAGCCTTTATCAAGTGATCCAGACGGAAGCATTCTCCTGACTTGACATCTTTAGTCATAAGGTCAGCGAACCGTTCAACATGTCCTGAAGCTTTTAGAACTGGCTCTGGGGTTAAGATTGAACAATCCACCTCCAACATCTGCTCCTGCAGGATAAAATATTTCCGCCAAAGCTGGATCATGTTGCTCTTAAGGGCGCATCCCATTGGACCAAAATCAAATTGACCAGTGATACCTCCATATATAGCAAAAGATTGGTCATAGAAGAACCTTCTTTTGATAAGGTCCTCCATTTTAGCACGATCAAAGAGCTCTTCGGTGGGAGCGAGACTGAGTTCTTTATCCTCCAAAACCTTTTTTCTTGCCTTAAGTTCAGCAACAGCTTTTTTTATGTCAATTTCAGGAGCTTTTTCTTCTTTGAGTTTCCTCACAAAGTCGCCTTGTTCCTTGACGCTGGCGCGCAGAGGCGCTAAGATTTCTTCGATTTTGGGGTCAGCCATAATAATTTCTCTTAGTGGATTTGGTATTTTGATCTTTCTATGAAGTTTATTGCTGCCCCACTGAGTATGAGATAGTCTGACTTGATTGCAGAAGGCAGGAATTTGTTTACTAAATACACTACACTTATATAATAAAGCTACAACGTTTCTCATTTAAGTGAGAGCGAACAGTCTTCCTTTTAATTTATTAAACCATCTGTTAGCCGGTTATTAGCTTTTTGATCGCGTGGAAAATGACGAAATCCGTATCACGAACTTACAGTCACTTTTTCATTGCAGTAAGTCGATAAGTACATTTTGAGCATGAAAGTAATGCAATGAAATAGATTAGTAAAGGGAGTGAAACGTCATGAAGAAAACCAGTATGCTCAAAATAACGTTTAAGTGTACTAGAAACGTGACCTTTCGATTAACTTTGACTGAAAATTGTTAAATAAATGTCAAAAGGATGCCACATAAAACTGCGTTCATAAAAATTACATTATTAAAGAGTTGATAGTTCATTAACTTTACAATTTAGTTATTCTTTTTGAAAATTAAATGGGCACGAAGAGGTAATCAAGTATACTTCTATTATATTATGGATTTGTGAGAAAAAAACAAATTTACGCCAGAAATCTAGTCGTCGATATCACACAATAAAAAAAACAAATAACCTAAAAACAGAATGGCAACACTGTGATTTAGCATCTCTTTCGCACTCTAAATCACTGCGTAAATGATTGCGAGATGAAGCGTGATAGGAATAGTTTTAATTATTTGTTTTCTTTTTCAAATAATTTCAGATTTGACAGCACAAAGGAGGCGGCCATTTTATTGCTGGTTGTCGAACGGGGGTGAAGCTGTGGCTAAGTGCCCAGTAGCATTGTTGTATTTTTATTGAGTTATTTTTCTAAACATCCGTTCTTTAACAACGTACAAAACCGTATACGTACTTAGAGTAAGCTTAGGTGTATTTATGTATTGAGTTGGAAGAAGCAAAGCAATGGACGATCCAAATAGGATGATGGCGCATAGCGGCGGGCTTATGGGTCCGCAGGGCTACGGCTTGCCTGGCGGCGAGGGAACTCCAACCGCAGGCGAAGGCGAAGCTCGCAAGCAAGACATTGGTGAAATATTACAACAGATCATGAATATTACAGACCAAAGTCTCGATGAAGCGCAAGCGAGAAAACATACTCTCAACTGTCATAGAATGAAGCCTGCCCTATTTTCAGTGTTGTGTGAAATCAAAGAGAAAACAGGTAATCAACCTGCCGTATTTATATTAGTGGCTACTGGATTTTCTTTGCATGAGGTGGTGTTGTGTTTCTATTAGTACCATCGTGCGCCACGGCTTGAAACTTTTCTTCATGGACGTGAATTTGGACAAATAAACTTATTTTCTTCTATACACACCAATTATTATTTTATCGATTACAAGCATTCTCAGGACGGAATTCTTTCAAGATTGCCTTATATGTCTTCATTTGAGAGAATGTTATTTATTTTGTAGAACTTATTGAAATGCTTGCAATTTCTTGTATATATTCCTACATTTCCTTAGACATAATCCTTCATAATATTTATTTACTATATATAAAATAAAATTTTAAAATTTATTTAATAATGTTAGTTTCACAATCATCTTGATTGACACTAGTTTGATATTTAATTTCAACCATCACAGTGCTGTCCCTTCGTAACACTCAAGAGGAGGAGCCCCCAGATCCTCAGCTGATGCGCTTAGACAACATGCTTATAGCTGAGGGGGTTGCTGGCCCTGAAAAGGGTGGTGGTGCGGGCGCTGCAGCTTCGGCCTCAGCTGCTGCTGGTGAATGGGGTAAACAACTTCATATACATTACATGCATTTATAACATATAAGTCACAGTGCAATACAATACCAATTTCATCAGCAATGTTGGCCCCATGAATTGCTTAAGTGGCAAACTTACCCATACCCAGGATTACATTTTCTGATTCTTCAGTATTGTTGAGAAAAAATAATTCAAAACATGCTACACAAGTATTACAAAATTGTTCTTATCCTTCTGGTATTAAAAGAATGGCGCAATATAAAGATGTACTCCAAACCTTACTTTTAACAAAATGTCTACCAATAGTAATTTTCAAGCCAGTTCAAGAGAAATGTTTGTTTAATCTGTTAACAATTAATGTTGTCTACCTACAGTTATCTATAAGTGACATACAGTCACTTATTACATAATTGTGTATTTACTTGTTTACAATTAAATTAAACATTTCTCAAAATGCTTATATTGAAAAACTCATTTAGTTTACTGCTTTTCAATTGCCAGTAATGTAAACAGGCCATTAATCTGTCAAGGTTGTTTGTGTTAGGTTGATGTTGATAAATATTAGAAATAAAATTCTTAGTAAATAAGCTATAAGTTTGCCTGTACAGTAGTTATATATAAGACAAGGAAGACATGTGTAAACAATAAAATCAAATAAAGTACAATTCCAGGTTCCCTTAAATCTAATGAATGTAAAAATAATTGTAAAAACACATTGCATAAACATTCTTTTTATTCTTTACAAGTAAAATGTAAATAAGAAGAAGCAAAACAAGCAGTCTAATGTTGTAAAGAAATTGTAAAAATAGCTTGTTTTAAAAGACACAAAAAAAAAAAAATTGGTATGATTTATATTGGAACAACAAAAAAACTTGTTATAAAAATGGATATAACGGCATTGAAAAAAATAAAGATATTACAATTAAGAAGGTGTCCTGTTTTCCACCCTATCTTAATTCATTTCGACACAAAACCTGATATCTGTATCTTCTTTGCCATCTGTCCAGACAATGCAATCGAGCACTCGGACTACCGTGCGAAGTTGGCGCAGATCCGCCAGATCTATCATCAAGAGCTGGACAAGTATGAGAATGCTTGCAATGAGTTCACCACTCACGTGATGAACTTACTGCGCGAGCAGAGCCGCACCAGACCTATCACACCTAAGGTACACTTTGCTTTACTATATAATGTTTTATTAGGTTGCAGTATACAAATTTGATGTTATAAAAATGCAGAGGCAGACGCAGATCAAAATTTTTTCTATTTATTTCGGAATTGCATTGTTACGCCATGTATAAAGAAAATACATGCTCAAAGTAAAATGTTCCACCTTTCTTCAGTTGTTTGAAGTAATGCTATAATCATCCAGAGCTAACAAAAATTCTTGTTTTCTAGGAAATTGAGCGCATGGTGCAGATCATCCACAAGAAGTTTAGCTCTATCCAGATGCAGCTGAAGCAATCCACCTGCGAGGCCGTCATGATACTGCGCTCACGGTCAGTTGGTTACTCTCTGCTACTGAGTTAAAAACTGCTGCTTAGTTTGGTTACTTAGTTTCATTAGTAAGCATGTGTGGTGACAAAATGTGAAAGTTTTGATTTATGAAAATATTTGTCTGCATTGGTGCTGTGACAGCACTTTATTTGCTTTCATAATTTAAAATTGAAAACTCAATCAAGGACTAGAATGTTGTCGAAACATTTCGTACTAACCAGCTCAACTTTGGCCTCTTTAAAAGTATCAAAAACAAAATATCGGAATTCCCGCTTGCAGTTTCCTGGACGCGCGTCGCAAGCGCCGCAACTTCAGCAAGCAAGCGTCGGAGATCCTCAACGAGTATTTCTACTCGCACCTGTCCAACCCTTACCCCAGCGAGGAGGCGAAAGAGGAGCTGGCGCGGAAGTGCGGCATTACCGTGTCCCAGGTACCGTGACGTCACTTCCCCTTTCAGTTTCCTCGACTCGCGTCGGAAGCGGCGCAACTTCACCAAGCAAGCGCTGGAGCTGCTCAACGAGTACTTCTACTCGCACCTCGCCAACCCCTACCCCAGCGAGGAGGTGAAGGAGGAGCTCGCCAGGAACTGTGGGATTACTGTATCGCAGGTACTTGGGGTTGCCAAGTCTTAGAGGGGCATGATTCATCGTACAAAGAATATCTGCCACCATTAGAACAAGCTATTTGAATGCAATACTACGACAAATTAGTAGTAACATAGTCATGGACAAGTAACTAATTTGACATAAAACACTTGGTAAATTCAAATAGAGTTGGCAACCCTATAGTTACACGACACGGCTCCGCACTCGGACGGCCCTATTGTTGAACGTGAGAATAATGAAAACACTAGACGACATGGCTTGGTAATTTTTAACCACAAGTTGAAGTCTCTGCATTAATCTTGTTTAGAACTGTTAAACTTACATTCGCTAAGTAAATCATTGTGCGCCTCGTTTACCAATGAATAACAACTCTACTCTACATGCATTGTTCTTCCGTAGAGTAGAATTAACATGGGACACATTGTTAAGACTATGGTTCTTCGTCGATTTCAATTAATAACCATTTTCACTTTACACATCACTTTCTGTTACAATAAAACAAATAATTTTATTGTGTTTGTTTTACTTTACATGTAGTAATTAATATGTGTAACTATTATTAACGGTCGTATTAGATTTAACTAACATTGTCGTGTACTCTCTAGGTGTCGAATTGGTTCGGTAACAAGCGCATTCGTTACAAGAAGAACATCGGCAAGGCGCAGGAGGAGGCCAACCTGTACGCCGCTAAGAAAGCTGCCGGTATGTAAACTGTTTCATGTGGTTCTGATACAAAGGTAGTGTCAGATACTACCTCGCTTTACTAGATGAAACGATTGATTATTTTTGTTGTAGTAAGATTCAAATCGTGTAAAATATTTGAACAATGAGACCCCAATCAGTTCCAGTTCTAATATTAAATAATATCATGTTCTTCATACTTAATCAGTATATCCACATTATCGTAGATCTCTCACCATTGCACCTCCGTATCTTGATTGATAAGTGTGTGGGTACAGAGTGCGTTACATAGAGATACGTTTTCGCACACAGACTTGCCTTGGGTTGGCGCGGGGCGCGATGCTAGCTCACCGCCCGCCAGAGCTACGGCATATTACAGTAAATCATAGACATTAACTAGACTTAGGCTAATTCGCACTGATTGACGGTGTAGAGCCCGCCTTACAATCGCGTCTGGTGGCTAAAAGATATCAGTCGCAATGCTATATTTAGTCCTAAGAACTCGTGTGACAAGGGCCTAAACGGCTATAGCCTTTCGTGTTATCTGGCTCATTCATTTTGACCGCCCAGGTACTGTTTGAATAGCCAAGTGTCACACATGAGGCTCTAGACGTGTAGGAAGCCTCTCAGTGCGTACGTAGCCTTCACTCGGTATTAGAAAGCGCTCGGCGCTGACAATACACTTGCTCAAATCACTACTCCTTAAAATACCAATAATAATTCATTGTGTTGTGTGTATCTTTTCTCTGTATATTGTCTTGGTTTCTATATTGCTTATACATGCTGTTTTTTCTAAGCCATATTGTTGTAAACAAATAGCCCCCGATGAGAGGTTTCCACACCCGAGGTAGGTCCCCCGTGCTAGTAATACTCGTATACATGAGTGATGCGCGTGCGCAGCTGCAGGCGCGTCGCCGTACTCGATGGGCGCGGCGTCGGGCACGGCCACGCCGATGATGTCGCCGGCGCCGACGCAGGACTCCATGGGCTACTCGCTGCCGGCGCCAGGCTACGACCAGCCGCAGCCCAGCTACGACGGCTCCATGGGCTACGACCCCATGCACCAGGACCTGTCGCCGTAGGCGCACCGCCGCACCCGAACCTCAGGTAAACCAAACTGACTGTTTTATTGTTAATTTTGTTCAGAACTTTGTCAAGTAACTTGAAGCTAACCAGTTGGTTGTATATTGTTCCAGGTTACGGGCATGACACATGAATTGTGCAGCTTCCACAGAATTGCCATTTACATTTACTATTATTATGTTAAGTAGGTCAGACTATACTTACGACCGCTAACGTACCGCGCGACACCGGCCCGCGCGCCTAGCCTTAGACCATAGGACATTGTATACTACACGATATACCTTAGACTACATAATATTACTAGCGATATTTTTGGAAGGAAATGTAATGAATCGTATTTTCATTTGTATTACAAACTATACGACTGGCACCCAGTATTTGTTTAACAATTTATATTATACAATTTATTTTTATTATTATACTAATATAGTCATTTTATTATAAATTAATTTTCAATGGCAACTATTTTATAGTATTATGATTTATTCCGAGAAGTTGTTTTAAAATCTTTTTGATTATATTTTATTGTTTTTTCGAAAAGTAATTATTTGGGCAGTATTAGTAATTTATATACAAAATCATCACATCGATACGGCGGGGATCTCGTGTTTCTTCGTTCTAATAATCTTTTACTCTACGGTGGATATAATTATACGATAGATGTAAGTGAACCTAGTGTAATATTTAATTGTAAGGATTCAGATATTTTGTGCTGACTAGTGTCCTCTACGAGTGCGTCCGTGAGCTACTGCGCTTGGAAGCTATACTACTTACCGACAGTTCACGAGAAAATAACATGAACTAACGAAATGAATGCGATGCTTTCATACGACGATGTATACGCTGTATAAGTGAAAACAGTATCGTTTTCACTCTCCCGGTCTCCTCCAACAATAATATTGAACACGCATTTTATAATTATAAAACAATAGATAGTGTTGAATAACAGAATTCAGTACGAGCACCATCTATCATTACAAACTCATGTATACGCAACCGAATATATTTATAATTATATTTTTATATACATTTATTATTGTTGGATTATAAATTGAATCGTAAACATATACTTAATTGCCACGCTCTGGAAAGTAGTATTGTTCCAAGTATTAACATGTAAGCGCGGGCGCACGGTCTTGTGTGCAATTTTAATATTTTATTAGCAATGGTTGTGTTAGTATCGCGCACACGCAACTTGGCATGAACTGATTTAAATGTGGAATCGTTTTAAAAATACCAGTCTATTATTATTGTTATTTTCAAGCAGGTTTTGTATAAGAGGTCGACACAACAGACCTCAAGGTATGTGAGTCACGTAGTCGGTCTGTAACAAGTAGCTCGGCCTTAGTGACGGTAAATCAGGAGTTGTGAATATCAGAACAAAATATTTTAACTGTCGTGGTGCTATGATGTTGGTAGCACAATTTTATTTTACTTGTTAGCCATAAGTTGAATGTTATTTCATTTCGTCGTACATTTTCATCGAAGCATAACAAGATCTTAACGATTGTAACTTAAATTAGTTCCACTTAGTGATAGTTTGGATATGAAAAATGCTAGAATTAAGTTAATGTGTTCTAAAACAAAATATCTGAAACAGTATACGAGATAAAAACGAAAATTTAATTGATGTTTTAACGCTGTGGAACATTGTAATTTCGCGTGCCGCCACCGGTCGCACGTTTCTTACCCGTTCACAATAAATTATTTATTATAATGTTAACATAGTTCCCATAGACGGGCGGGGCGGCGCGACACACATGTATACGACGACGAGTTCAATGTTATTGCGACCATCAAATTGACTTAAATACATTTTTGTGTAGTTAAACAGTTGTTTTATTGTATTAACACCCTATATAACATTAACATATTTTCAGCAGAGAAGTAACATTTGGCCGGTATTACCAAATGTTATCGTTGTTTTTGTTTTAATTGCTGTAATTATTCGTATGATGATTTGTTAAATTACATTGTTTATAAAACAAACCTTATGTAATACATACCTAACAAGCTGAAAGATACTAAGTATAATAGCTGATAGCTGATTGAAGACTAGCATGCTCTCGCCAACGGATACTGCTGCAGAATGTCTTTGGACAGACATATACTTTGATTAATATAATGCAGGCAACTATAAAACGTTGTCCCACCCTAGTATTTTATTATGTGTCTGCGGACACAGCCACCCAGACCAAAAATTACAATTTGTGGATTATATTGGGCGTTGTTCCTTGCGGGATCCAACCTGCGACGTTTTGCCCAGCTACGGCGCCAACCGTGCAGTCAAAAGAAAAACAAATCCAAATACATATAATTTTATTTTTTTCTGGGTTACGCTGGTCAATACTACATGGATATGTAATAAAACATTTAAAATCGTTATTAGTGTTAAAAGATACAGTGTCTAATCACCCTACAGGTTCTATTCACCGTACAGGTCTTATTCACCGTACAGGTCCTATTCACCCTACAGGTCCTATTCACCCTACAGGTCCTATTCACCCTACAGGTCCTATTCACCCTACAGGTCCTATTCACCCTACAGGTCCTATTCACCCTACAGGTCCTATTCACCCTACAGGTCCTATTCACCCTACAGGTTCTATTCACCCAACAGGTCCTATTCACCCTACAGGTACTATTCACCCTACAGGTCCTATTCACCCTACAGGTCCTATTCACCCTACAGGTCCTATTCACCCTACAGGTCCTATTCACCCTACAGGTCCTATTCACCCTACAGGTCCTATTCACCCTTCAGGTCCTATTCACCCTACAGGTACTATTCACCCTACAGGTCCTATTCACCCTACAGGTACTATTTACCCAACAGGTCCTATTCACCCAACAGGTCCTATTCACCCTACAGGTCCTATTCACCCTACAGATCCTATTCACCCTTCAGATCCTATTCACCCTACAGGTCCTATTCACCCTACAGGTCCTATTCACCCTTCAGGTCCTATTCACCCTACAGGTACTATTCACCCTACAGGTCCTATTCACCCTACAGGTACTATTTACCCAACAGGTCCTATTCACCCAACAGGTCCTATTCACCCTACAGGTCCTATTCACCCTACAGGTCCTATTCACCCTACAGGTCCTATTCACCCTACAGGTCCTATTCACCCAACAGGTCCTATTCACCCTACAGGTCCTATTCACCCTTCAGGTCCTATTCACCCTACAGGTCCTATTCACCCTACAGGTCCTATTCACCCTACAGGTCCTATTCACCCTACAGGTCCTATTCACCCTACAGGTCCTATTCACCCTTCAGGTCCTATTCACCCTACAGGTCCTATTCACCCTACAGGTTCTATTCACCCTACAGGTCCTATTCACCCTTCAGGTCCTATTCACCCTACAGGTCCTATTCACCCTACAGGTACTATTCACCCAACAGGTCCTATTCACCCAACAGGTCCTATTCACCCTACAGGTCCTATTCACCCTTCAGATCCTATTCACCCTACAGGTCCTGTTCACCCTACAGGTCCTATTCACCCTTCAGGTCCTATTCACCCTACAGGTACTATTCACCCTACAGGTCCTATTCTATCTCGCCCAGCGAGAGAGAATGTCAGACTCTTACTGACTAAAAACAGCATTTTGCACATTCCTTCTGCTCCAGTACTTACCTTATTGCGCTTGATCCGCGACCCTAGCTAAGCAATATAACAATACCAATTAAAATTGATCCTAATCCATCCTTGGGAATCACGTCATTAGCCTGATAACACTGGTTTCATTGAAGTAAATAGTATTTCAGTTTGTTTATTTTTATCAGAATACGGATGACCTTGCTACGTATGAATCAGTTGAATAGTGGCGTCATGTTGACGTTGACTTCATCGTTAGTAGCGCGCCGTCTGTCGCCCGAGTAGCTTGACTAAAACTTTATGCTTGTTATAAATGCTAAAATCTGTTTTAAACTTAACTGGCTCTGTGTCCACGAGAAATTGTAAGTATCCTTTATACTATTACTACTTTTGTTTAAAAAAAATCACACCTACCTTTTTGTGAACTGTTAAAACATAGTTATGAAGTCATTTCAGTTAATTTTTATAGTAAACTAAAAAGCTTACGACGATCCTTGAACGTGACATGCGAATTTCATAATGAATTAACGATATTACAGTTTACATGTATGTCTGTTTACGTAGGTACAACCAGTCACTACTTGCTTGAGGAATAGGTGTCTAGTAATTTGTTGTTTAATTACTTAAACCTTTTCAATTAAGAAAATGTTTGGATGATTGCAATAAGGGATTTGCTTACCTAAGTATTTACCTATAAATAAGTACCTACTTACTTCCTAATATACATAATATCAAAGCATGGATTAACAACAATATTAATGCATGGTTCTAACGAGATACTGTTAAAATCACAACAAATATCTAATCACCAAGTACTGTTTAGAATGTGAAATTATCAGATAAAACACGATGGATATATTGTTTACAATCAATTTTTATGCGAAACATAAAACAAACGTTCTAAGAAACCTACCTGTTGGTACCAATTTCGTGTAGCCACTGCTATTCTACTTAATTTATCAAGCACTAAGTGTAAGTGAATTTTAAACATATATTATTTAGGTATATGTAATTTATTCTTCAAATTATCGGTTATAGCATCGAGAATGACGAGTGTTCACAGCGCGTACAAGGAGGAGGTGCATGACGTACCCATGTCGGTGATCATTAGGCCTTTCATACCGGAACTTACGGAGGAAAAAGTTTTATCACTTATGGAGACGATACAGGTATGAACGCCTCTCTAATACTTACTTACCTAAAGAATATAAAAAAGTACTAGGTACTAAATAGATGACTAAAGGAACTTGCTTATCTACTAATTACTTATCGACCCGAGTTGTTTGAGATTTTTCTTAGTACCTAATGTGGTTGTAGATAGTACACGAGCAGACGGATTACCTGATGGTAGGCAATCAGTGCGCCCATGGGCCCATGGACACCCGCAACAACAGAGGAGTTACGAGTGGGTTGTCGACCTTTTGGGGATTAAGGATTTGGATATTTAGGGATTGGGCCACCGGTAACCTCACTCACACGGCGAATCACAACGCTGTGATTGTTTCCGGGCAGTTTTCTTTGAGGCGGGGGTATCACTCCGGTCGAGCCGACCCATTCGTGCCGAAACATGGCTCTGATACACTTTTACTATGGAATTAACTAATCGAAAAATAAAAGTCTGCTCTATTATCTTTGCGTAAATATTAATTTGATAGATGATCAATATGATCATAAGCGTAGGGAATCCTTACTTGGGTGAACAATTGTACTAATATTTACGTGAAAGTTTGTATGGATTTTTGTTACTCGTTGACGTAAAAACGACTGAATGGATTTTAATAATATTTAGTGCAGAAATACTTAGATTACGTAGTCTGGAATATACATAGGCTACTTTTACCCATGTAATGCGGGTGGATCTGCTGGCAGAATCTGGTATTCTATATTGTTTCAAATTCGTATCTCTTTCTCTACTCATCTATGTAGATATACACTACTAGGTACCTACATATCTTAAAATATTCAAGATATCTTTAAGTCATTCATTTTAATCGAGATTTAAGTGCTGTAGTTCTAACAACCTACAGTTATTACATTATGAATACTTGTCTAGCGCCGGGGACTATAATTGGTCATGGTCAATCGCTAGCTAACATAATCAACTGAACCTACTAGTACTACAAAACCTAATATCTAGTTATCCTACATGGACTGTATCTACTTAACCTTATTCTTAAAGGATTTCAACATCATACAATAAAGTTGATTCTTAGCTTGAGCGCAAAAGGTTTTCCTTCCATTTTGTGTTTGTATTTTACTGCACATTGTTATTTCAGCAAGGGGAGACCAAAAGTTTATCATTAAAATGGTGGCATTTTTTTAAAGTTATATGTAAGGTTAAAAGGTCAGAGATAATTAGTATATCTAGAGGTGTCTAAGTTATCACAGATCGATAAAAATATTATTGTAATTCAAACGATTTATTTGATTTTATTATGTAAACTTTTCATGTGGGAACTGACCCGATGAGATATACTTAATTGTACCTAAAGGCTTAATTAGGTTTCGATAATGTGCTATTAATGTTTAAAAAAAATACTGAACAGATTGTTTTGTTACACTGCCAATAAAATAATAAATTCCAAATTGCACGAAAGTTGCACTTTTCACTACTGATAGATATGATCAACGGTGATCAAAATGATCGTCATCAAAAAAAAAGAACATTAATGGGCTCTCGGAAATAACTAAAATGACATAAATAATTTTGCAGAAGGAAGAGGAGGCTGGCAAAGTTCCTCCCATAGATATTTTATGGATCAAGGGCTCAGAAGGAGGAGATTACTACTACAGCTTCGGAGGTTGCCATAGATACGCTGCCTACAAACGTCTGAACCGACCGACTATTCCCGGCAAACTGATCAAATCCACCATCAGCGACCTTAGAACGTATCTTGGAAATAGTACACCAGACTTGAAGTAAATAGTTTTAAAGTAAGAATTAGTTTGAATATGCTTACACAATGACACGGTCGAGACAGTCTCTAGTCGATTGATTGAAGATTTACCATAGTTGGTCTGTCTATTCATTGTATATTTTTTTCTACGTATGATGATAGCATTTATATGAAAAGTTTTCAAACAATTTTAAACCCTAACATATTTATTATATGTATAAAACTCATACAGAGAATTATCTAGGCACTAAGTTGCCTAACATTTTTTTAATAATATTGTGAACTGAATCAGGAATGTTATTCATGTATATATTAAGTTACACACATAATTATTTTTATAGATCTAAGAGATAAACATGTAACGATTTCCTACAGCGGATGTGATCAATAAAATAAATAGTATAAATACAAATAGGCATATTACTATATTTTGAAATATGATTTAATATTTCCCGTTGGGACCAAAACTCGTTTCCTTCGACCTTTGTCAATCGAAGGACTAAATTTATGAAATAATATATTGATACTGGTTTATTTTTGTAATTAATTTATTATTAATGATGAGAAAATAAAACAAACTACATTCTCCAACGGTGTATTTATTTGTGGAGTGGCTTACCTAACTACAGAACAATGGATATGCCGTTTCTGTATATTTACAAACATGAACATAAATAATATCAAAATACAATTTATTACTAACGCAACGGCGGCGCACACATAAGCACTGGGAACGTAATGACAAATGAACACAACAACTATTTCTTAGCACCAACTTTCCATACATGCAGACATTCAACAAAATTTGCTAATACATGGTATGTTCTATATCAATTACAATACAATGGCAATCCTTGCGTACCCTGACCTTATTATTATTCATGAACTTGAATCAATAAAATATTCAAATAAATCATCCATAATGTGTTTACTTTTACGAAGACTTGTATTGTCACGTGTGCATGCATGCAATAACATCTCCATTTTGTATTCCATTCTAATAAAATAATATAAAAACGTTTTCAAATATATTTGCATACCAATATTCTAATTTGATTACATACAAAGTCTATTTATGAAGGTATCGCAAAGATTACCAATGTGCTAATTTACGTATGACATTGAGAAGTTTTGCAAACAAAAATAAAGTCGCTGCGCGCTTAAAACGATTTAGAACATTGCTAAAAAGGAATTCAATAAAAACTACTTCAAATTGTGACCATATTGCTACTTTGAGAAAGGCAACTTTTGTACTGAGAAACACAATACAAATAAGTAGACTTATCCGAGAGAAACACTCACATAAATGTTTGACCACCCAATAGGATGTATGAACTTAACACTAAAATATATAACGTATATGTGTAAATGGTAATAAATGAACATTCTCTAGTGCAGATAACAATGTAATCAGATATTGTTTGTAGAGTAGACATACGGCGTAATATTACAGAGATCATTTCATGCTTGCTCATAATTAAACATATTTTGGCACGAATCATAAAATTAGCGACTGCGGGAGCGGAGGAGCTAACAATACAATATTGTATATTACATACATACACACAACTATATAATCACTAATATTTAAATGGAAGTGTGCGCACGGTAATCGGTGTTCTCGTTAGCTACCATCTCCCAGTACATTTTAATAGAAATGCAAAATAATATTTTCTATATTGATCTATGTATCACACTGCGGCCGTGACTCGCCACGCCCGCCTCGGGCTCGCCAACTAAATAGAAAAAATATATATCTATTACTTTACAACAACCATATTTTTACTATGTCTCATATTTTTTTATATCATTTATAATTTTTACATAACAACGGCACCCTGTCGCCATGGACAAGATAAACTATTTTTTAATTAATAGATATATTTTTTCTTCACATATAATAATTAAAGCAGTGTTTAAACATTGGTTATCATAGCTAGATTATATTGAAGCATATTTTTAAAATTTATATTTTATTCTGTGGCACTAGTGTTTACAAGTAACATTTAAATCCATTTAAGTTTACATTTAGTTTTATATAATTTATTATGACGAGATGGAAGTGGCTCAGTGAACGAGAAAATATACGAGACTATTTACATTATTACTAACGAATATAATAAGTAATGAAGGAATAATTAAACAAAATAATATCTAGTATAAGTGCAATTACTTTGTCATCCTATTACGTAAAATATAGGTTAAATAAAGGTACTCTCAAATAGTGAGTGTACCTGTACGTATGTAAATATTATAACAACACATTGCCACTTCCACACAGCTTTTATAAACATCGGTTACATTTATGCACTAAGACTTATCTTACTTAAGAAAAACGTGGAAGGATAACATTCATTGTGCACGTCAACTTACTGGTACACTGAACAATCATTACACAAATAAATTAACAATTTATTTACATTACTTGTATGAAGGAAATGATAAAATATTTTGAGAAGTATTCCACAGTCTTGTGAAATCAGGAAGAGAGTTCGATCGAGTTAGTGTCATGAACGATCAAGTGTCAATTGAGTGCTAAGATTAAACGATACCGTTTATTTTTCACTTAAATTCGTGAACTATTATTAATTTGAAATGGATATCATTTTAAAGTTTCCTTATTAAATATTTAGATTTAGTTAACAAGAACAATAACTATTTTTCAACGATGGCTACTTTCAAAATCTATTATTATTAAATATTCATTAAGATTGTAGATTTCTATTTTTTTTTTACTTTAGAATTTTTAGGTAAATGAAGCTCGAATTATGTTAAATTTATTTTTTAAGGTTTGTGATATGTGGATGACCGTTTGGAAGCATCGAAGATTGAACATGAGTTAATTGAACATTGACAGGTGACTAAAAATATTTATAGAATATTTTCCAAATTAAAACGAAACTACATAAATACGACGTTGCGCTACGTAGATTTACTACGGCGTAGCAAATTGCTACGGCTTCGTTAAAAGTCGGAACCCGAAATAATATGTTTGTGTGACCATAATTTTGCAAATGTAGTAATAAACCTAACGGCGTATAAACTATTGCGGAAGATTAAAAAAAACAATTGTAAGTTGTAAGTTGTATACAAAATTGAACGTTCGTTGTTGCAGTAAGGGTACAAAATAAATTAAAATTATAAACTGAAAATTCGTGCAATTATTCAGAGTAGAGAAAAAATAATACTATGCATTGGAATGTAGACAGAACGGCTAAAATGAGGTATAGTACACTGGCAGCGAATTGGCATAACGTTTGCTTAGGCTAAACAACTGGTGTGTGTTTTTGGTATATTTTAATTTCATGTCTCTCTAGCTTTGCTACTTTCGCAGAGTACGAATGAGACAGAAACACTGCATAATTTATTGGGTCACGATCCACATAAACTATGCACTTCCGAAGCCTATAACAACGCGTTACAAATTGAGGCTTATAGTGGAAGAAATGAGCTACATTTTCGTTACGAAGCATTATGCCAATGTACAAAAGTTGGTTAAAAGTTTAAGTTTGGCACTTCACCTCAATCTTTGTATAAAAAATGAAGTCTTGGCCGATGTTGAGGTATTTTTATAAATTATATGAACGCAAAAGAAAATTTTGTACAGATCATAACGTAATACACACTCTTCGCCAGTTAGCTAATGAGACCTATATAAAATTGAGAACCTACTGACAAAAAAAAGCTTCAAGATATATGTTCTTCATTCTTTCGAAATTAAAGTAGTGATAAAATATTTGCTATATTGCACGTAAAATTATGGCTGTACTGAGGTGATAGTTAATCAAATATAAGTCTTATGCTGAACACTTTAAAGTACAACTAAAAGAAAACGTTAATACACAGTTTGAGCATTACTTTCCGTCATGGTGGGTAGTGCACGGAACGAGAACAATGATTTACGCAAGATCAAAAATTACAATTTGCTAAAGAATTCATGTGACATTGAAAAGCCAACTTTATTATTGGGAGTTTAAAGATAAAATTTCTCAACAACCTCGAATTGCATCGTTTCATAATCTTGTGAACCTTAAAGCGCTTGTAATAAGGTTAGTTATTCGTTGACATCAGTAAATTGCACGACGGAATCTCTCTAAGATCTTGCATAGATCATGAAATAGGTGAAGACAGAATTGTCCACGACTTATACAAATATAATGACATGAAGTATTTATAACAACAATCCTAAGTGTACGTTGTAATGCGCAAGAGATTCTATCCCCAAATAATAAGACTAAATATAATTTAATCCAATTTAACATATTTTAAACACCTAAAAAATGTCAAAGCGATTATAGCTATACTATATGTAGAATGCTCGCTTATTTAGAATATACAATGAAGAGAGCGAAGGCTTTGTCTTTTATATTATCTGTAGCATAATTTTCACGTCCTTAGAATAGTAAGATGATTGTTTGAGCATTACAACGTGTACTCGATCCGACACAGAGCGCGCCTGAGGCACACGTCCTACAATAAATCTACATTAAAGCATCGATACGCACCATCAAAACATTGCCGACCGCCATTGTGAAGAGAGCTTGTTAAAATTTCCAAGATCATATTTACTTTACTGGAAGAGAACAGTCAAAATTTAGAAAAGTTTTTCGAATTTAAAATAGGTACCAGTAATTGATCTCTTATTTTCGTGATTCAGTTTAGCGCAATTTGCGCAAACTTTGTTTCTTTTGCGCAAACATTGCCAATTAAACTTTAGTATTGCCTATACAAATATGTTTGACTAATATAAAAGTATAGCTAATATCTTCAGTTTTTTAAACGTTTCAGCGATATTTTTGTCAGTGATGTCACAGTTGTATTACCAACGGTAAAATATTTTTACACATAACAACAAATATGCACATGTATATATAACACATACCTTAACACCGAAGTGAGATTGCTTCGTAAAGCCCCATCTACACGACTAGAGATTTCTCCAAACTTAATTTTGAATAATTACATAATAAGTGCATTGGTAAATATTATTACAGTTTAAACAATAACTTTCAGAACACGTTTCTAACATTAATTATTTTGTAAGTGACAACACATCATTATTACTATAGCAACACCAAATATTTCAATTCCTTCGCTCCATTATTAACCAACTGTTTCCGTATCCATCATTTCAAATCAAAAATTCTCTCAAACTATGTGTCGTGTAAACTGGATGCCTTATCCAATATCTCTAAATAAATTTTCACAAAATTATTTTATATTTAGTAAATAACATGAAATCGTATAATAATATACTTTAACTCGCACAAATGCATTTAGCATTTCAAAAACAATAATAGACTGTGCACCACAGACTATGTTCATCTACACGTCAGAGAAGAGCGAAGTTTCTTCTTCCGAATCAATTAAATATTTGTCTATACATCAACTCTTTTAAAACTATTTAGACGCGTATATGTAGAGATACTCTTTTATCATTTTATATTTGTATTGTTCACATTTATAATTATACTAATTAGCACTTCTGCAGTCGAACATTCCCTCCCCCTTGCGGGGCGTCGGGCCACCTCGCTTTGCTTACCCCATACATCATTGTACATTTTATACACTCCCTCTATATATATTTACAGTTTTGTGGACATTATACACATCCCGTTGCGGGAATCCATTACTATTCCGTACAACCTTATTTGCTATCATTTATCGAACCGTTTAACATCGATATGAAAATATAACTGCGTCCCTCGTTCTCGCTCTCTGCTTCATAGTAAACACTCATTATTCTAAAACTAATTTCACCTCCCGGCCACCGGTTGGGGCGTCACCTACTCGACAAATTCTCACACGTTTGAACAACACCAACATAGAACATTCATGTAGAATATAACATCCTCAAAAATATGTAAGAATGTTTGTCCGTGGCATGAAGTATGTGTCTGGGTGTGTGAGACCGCCTACACGAGGTCGGCGGTGTCGGAGTCGTCCAGCAGATGCGGCGGCCTGGGCGACGAGAAGTGCAGCTCGCGCTCGGCGAGGCAAAGCTGACATCAGTCAAGCGCCCCGATACACTCCGGCTCCTCGCGTACACACTCCTTCGGGAAGTATCCCGACCGGTTATCACCCTGCAAATATGTTTGATTTTTGCTCCACTGATCTTGAAACTAAGGACGGCCTTTTATATCAAATGACAATATTTTATGAACTAATGAAACTGAGATTACCGGGATACCAAACAACAAGGATCATTTGATATACTGCACTAAAGTTACATACACTATTACTGAAGTTAATGACAGAGAAACAGATACCGAAGGGGGTTTTGCTATATGGAAGTTATTTATTGGGGAAGCTTTGTTATATGGAAGACAAAGAATTATTAGAATAATAATAATTGTCCCACTAACTCTAAATGATGGTGTAGCAGTACCTTGTCAAGTGTGCGTCCCTTCCACCAGCCCCGGCTGTCCCCCTCCTTGCTGAGGACGAGGACCTTGGCTCCGGGTCTCAGTGCCAGCTGTGAGCTCTCCAGGGGACGGAAGTCGTGGATCACCGTCGCTACAACGCGACGGAACGGCCAGCGGAGATTTGAGTTCAGTCTGAAAACATACAAGTTGTTTTTTTTTTAAATTGAAGAGGGGTACACACAGAAATATGCGACTTGACGTAATTTGTAGAGAGACAGCGGAGAATTTGTCTTTTAAAATCATCTTATTTCTAGTGCTTCATGTGTTTCTAAACTATCATTGTGCTAAAATTATGTTTTTCCATGTCATGGAAGTGCAAAAATATTGTCATAAATAAATAATCACCCAGCTCTAGTTATGACCTGGTAACTTTAAGTGTTTTCTGGAGTCGCTTACCCTTCAAAGTTCTCGGAGAGACTGGTCTTCTCGTAGTAGGTGATGAGCTCGACGACGCTGCGGAAGAACCGCGACTCGGACAGGTAATAGTGCTGCACCTGGTCTATTGGCTTGCGGCAAACGCGCATGTGCTTCACTGTGTTGTCTGTCCTACGGGAGCATAAGATGTTTACTTAATATGGAGAACTATATCAACGTGTTTTACTTTACCCCTGTTATAAAACGATACCACGGCCTCACAGAAAACCGGCGTGAAGCAATACTTAAGTTGTATTTCACCGTGTGAGTGAGAGGCCCAATTTTTCTCCTCTGCCCTATCTTCAATCTTCAAAACCCCTATCCTTAAATCCGTTATAACTCACAAGAGACCAGCAACGCACTTGTACTCGTAGTAACTCCTTTGGTACCAATAGTGTCCGTGGGCACTGGTGGCTTGTTTGCCAAACTATTGGGGGCGTGGGGCGCGTGGTACAGTGTAAGGGGTGTACGGTACATACTTGAGCGAGAGCGCGAGGTTGGTGTCGGTGGGGGCGTGGGGCGCGTGGTACAGTGTAAGGGGTGTACGGTACATACTTGAGTGAGAGCGCGAGGTTGGTGTCGGTGGGGGCGTGGGGCGCGTGGTACAGCGTAAGGGGTGTACGGTACATACTTGAGCGAGAGCGCGAGGTTGGTGTCGGTGGGGGCGTGGGGCGCGTGGTACAGTGTAAGGGGTGTACGGTACATACTTGAGCGAGAGCGCGAGGTTGGTGTCGGTGGGGGCGTGGGGCGCGTGGTACAGTGTAAGGGGTGTACGGTACATACTTGAGCGAGAGCGCGAGGTTGGTGTCGGTGGGGGCGTGGGGCGCGTGGTACAGTGTAAGGGGTGTACGGTACATACTTGAGCGAGAGCGCGAGGTTGGTGTCGGTGGGGGCGTGGGGCGCGTGGTACAGTGTAAGGGGTGTACGGTACATACTTGAGTGAGAGCGCGAGGTTGGTGTCGGTGGGGGCGTGGGGCGCGTGGTACAGTGTAAGGGGTGTACGGTACATACTTGAGCGAGAGCGCGAGGTTGGTGTCGGTGGGGGCGTGGGGCGCGTGGTACAGTGTAAGGGGTGTACGGTACATACTTGAGCGAGAGCGCGAGGTTGGTGTCGGTGGGGGCGTGGGGCGCGTGGTACAGTGTAAGGGGTGTACGGTACATACTTGAGCGAGAGCGCGAGGTTGGTGTCGGTGGGGGCGTGGGGCGCGTGGTACAGTGTAAGGGGTGTACGGTACATACTTGAGCGAGAGCGCGAGGTTGGTGTCGGTGGGGGCGTGGGGCGCGTGGTACAGTGTAAGGGGTGTACGGTACATACTTGAGCGAGAGCGCGAGGTTGGTGTCGGTGGGGGCGTGGGGCGCGTGGTACAGTGTAAGGGGTGTACGGTACATACTTGAGCGAGAGCGCGAGGTTGGTGTCGGTGGGGGCGTGGGGCGCGTGGTACAGTGTAAGGGGTGTACGGTACATACTTGAGCGAGAGCGCGAGGTTGGTGTCGGTGGGGGCGTGGGGCGCGTGGGGCGCGTGATGCGCGCCGTTCGGCCGGACGCGCAGCAGGAACGTGCCGTCCACGCGACGCTCCAGTCTCGCCGTCGCAGTCTCACGACCCATCTCGCCCACGTACCTACGGGTACAACATTCAAATTGTGTTTGTAGAAAATATGAAATATGTTTTCTTTTGTTTAGTTGTATAGCCAAGCTTCGGTACGAATGGGTCAGTTCGACCGAAATGATACCACGGCGTCACAGAAAACCGACGTGATACAACCACAGCGTTGTTTCGTCGTGTAAGTCCTCTCGCAATCCTTAAACATCCGAAACCCTTATCCCCTAAAGACCGGCAACGCACTCGTAACTCCGTTGGTGTTGCGGGTGTCCGTGTTTTACGTGTGTGAATGCGTCTGTGCGTGACCGCGCGCATGTATTGATGCATGTGTGCGCTCAAGCACTCTTGTGTGTGTATTTTTTGTGGGACTAGCCCACCACAACCTCCCTTAACCGCTGCAACTCCTGTAAGCCACGATCTACAATAGATACAACCATGAAAAGACCGGAACACTGAAGTCCGGAGCGTCAGAAACTTCTTCTACACTCCACAAAGTCCGTATAATAAACTACACCTGATGAGGCATTAAAATTAAAGTGTGTGTGTGTAGATAGTACGTACCACATGTAGTAGTGCAGTGCCTGGTCGGGCGCGTGATGGTGTGGGGGGAGTGGGGGCGCGGGCGCGAGTCCCCCGCCGCAGCGGCCCGACAGCGCGATGCATTCCTTGTGCGCACACGCATTGCACACTGTGCACAAGTAGCCCTGCACGTGCACAACACATTCACATTAACTCCAACTTCTACATAACTAGAACTTAGCTACAACTACTAAATCCTTAAAATAAAGTTTATTAGGTAACTAGCGGATCGCCCTTGCTTCTCATACCACTACTCCGGTGTCCGTCATTTGTATTGCAAGCTAACTGCCCCGGCACCGAAAAGGTTGTCAATTCCCGATATTCCCCTTTACTTTTCTAAGGTTTTCTTTCCTATGAACCTTCTCCTTAGAATAATGAACATAACAAAAAAAGAATTGGCAAAATTGGTCAAGGCGTTATTGAGTTAAGCGCTTACCAACACATTTCGCGATTTACAATAAGAAAGTAAAAACATTGCTGCAAATAGTACATTAACTAAAAACAAAATATGCTTATATTGTTTTTCTTTTTTTAAAGACGCTGCCCACTATGATTTTCACCTGTGTCGTGGGTGCGTTTACAAACATTCTATTTCACATACATACCACACCGAACAACAATTTGTGGATGACACAAAGAGTTGTTCCATGCGGGAATCGAATCCGCGACACGATGCACGACAGCCAGTATCCTAGCCTCCGCGCCAACCGTGCAGTATTAAAGAGTTACATAGTTACCTGAAATATCCTTCCTTTGAGGAACTTAGAACAATGGTGACACGTGGCGGGCTTCTCGAATGTATGTAACACGAACTTGTGATTCGTACTCCGACAACCTGGAGGCTCCAAGTTATCGCTGTTGACAAATTTTAATATAATTAGGAAAAACAAGAATGGAGAATATGCACAAAACCTAAATATGATAATTTTGGTTGTTGTTTTGTTACCTTCATTGCTATTGAAGGATCAATTATTATTTTTAAAGTTTATTTTAAATAAATAGTGAAATATAAAAAAGTGTTGTTTTTTTAGTTACCGCGCAAAGTTTATTAATGCTGACGTCACGAACAAGCGCCCCAAAAATGGGCGCTTTTAATCGCCCAAAGTTGACAGCGATTTTAATATTACATTTTAAATTGTTTGTTTGATAATTTAATAACGAGTAGAAACGTTAAAAAAATCATAAAAATTCCCTATTGGTATGTAAGAATCTATTAGTCAAAGAAACTGCATTAGAAATTAATTCTGCCTGTCCAAAAATAAAAAAATGGCCTCCCGAAACATCAAACGTGTTAAAAGTGCGTGTCTATAAGCTTTAAAAAAGAAGCTTTTATAACTGCGGGCAATACTTACATAGCATCTCTAATAGCTTTAACCCATTTGCGCTTGGCATCATCGGTGCGGGCGTACAGCGTGAACGTTGCGTCTTTGGTGCGTCGCACGAGGTAGAAGTGGGAGGCCCACCGCGCGTCCCCCCGCAGCGCCCTCCTGCCGCAGCCCTCCTCCACGCGGTACTCAGCCAGCCGCACTCCGACGCGGTACGAGTACTGATTGTCCTGCGAGGACAGGAGCTGGACTTGTGTTATTATACTGTAGTGACTAAGGACGATGGGGAATATTCTTTTTGGAGAAAATACACAACTAGCCGCGGTGATAATCTCGATTTAACTTTACATTTACAACTTACAACATTTATCATTTTTGAGAATTGAGATAGAGATTTTATTTAAGTGGCCTTGTGTCAAATGCAAACTAACGAATAAGTAAGATTTTATTCTAACTCTCCCATAACGGGTGTGCTGGAAGAGATTTCTGAAGAAATAAGCTGTGCCTTTGTACCTAATTGTTGTATTATTTTTCTTGTCCAACTTACTGTGTGTACAAAAATTATTAAATAAATAAATAAATAAGAATATGTGTAATCATTTAAAAAAAACCGATTTTGAGTATGGTAACATGAATTTGTCGTACTATAAAGATTCTATGATTGAAGGCAGCTTACCTTGACAGGTTTGCAGAGCAGCATGAGCTTATCAAACACGAAGACGTATCGCGAGCGCACCTTCTGGTCCTCATGTGCCTTCACCTTTAGCTCGCCGTCCAGCAGGAGGCGCCCGTATGCCGCCAGGCCTGCGCCCCCCGCACCTAGGGCTCCGCCCTCCCAGTCTATTATACTCTCCTTGAAAGGGACAAAAAATATACTATGACTTATCAACTTTCACAAAAAAAGAAGTAGTAGTAGTAGGGCCAATTTGAAACTACACATTTGCTTAAAGAATCGCACAAGAATATATTAGTGCGCTGTACCTGTACTTTAGCGAGTAGCGCTAGCACTTCGCTATCCCTCTTGACCTCATTGATGTACTGCGCTACGTCCACCATCGCCTCCTTCGCCCTTTCCAACCCTCGGAACTCCTCATGATTCTAAAAACAAAATTATTAGATATGTTTAAAATCTTCGTGTTTGTTTATATTTTTACTAGCTTTTCGCCTGCGACTCTGTTCGCCTGAAATAGTGACTTCTTGCAGATTTTTGGTATAAAAACTATCCTTTGTCCTTTCTCGAGTTCCAGACTATGTGTATACGGTAATGTACGGCAGCAATCCAAGGATTCCCACCACACATTTCAGCACAACAAATGAAGTCATGCGAGTACTTACGGGCTGCGTCTCATGCACGAGTTTGTCCAGCAAGAGATGATATTTGAGCACCCTCTGCATCGGCACCGACAGGATGTCACGCAGCTGTATCCGACCGTCGCTGTGCTCCTTCTGACATTTCTGTACACAAGCAACATTGCACATAAATAGTTAACACATAGGTATTTTAGGTAAATAACTAAAAATTAAATTTACTTCCTATATCATAATGTTTTAACTCTCATTGGTGTGTAACCGACTATCAGTGATTTGTTTTAAATAATTAAATATCATATAAAGTTTTAAGTAATTTAATATCTTTCATTCATATATTATTAGATTTATAAACTTTAAAAAAAAATCAATTATTTTTTTTCTTTGGAATTCAAATTCAGACTTCAGCTAACTCAATCAATACGCACTTTTTTATGAAATAGGAGACAAACGAGACCCGTTGGTTACCATCATGTGATGATCACTTGCTAAGTGACGATCACTTGATGGCAAGCGAACAACGACAGCTGTCTATCGAGGTCACAATCACAGGATATCCGCAACATCAGAAGGGTGACGTACTTACCGCTAACTGTTTACTGAAGGTAGAATCTCTAGCGTCTAAGTTTTTGAGCGTATCCTGAGCGTTGGTGAGGTTTGAGCAATAGTCTCCGTACAGCAGCAACCGTTCGCGCCACGCAAGGAACACGTCCGCCAATCGCGGCGCTCCATTGCCCGGAACGCACGCTTCTGTTGCTAACTTCAGCTGCCTTAGTAAGCCTGTGTGTGTCTCGTGAAGTTCCTGTAATTTGTTGATACATTCGGTTTAATAAATTGTAGTATTTTTGAATTTCGAATCAAATTATTCTAAAAATTAAAACTTTGTTTAAATAATTTCATTGATTTTTATTCTATTTCTTTTTTACAAAATATCTTAAAAGCAGACAACCACGCTGTCATCTTTTGTTCTTTCTCGGTTACTTTTTAGACATTAGAACTTATTTATTTAAAAAAAATATATATAACGAATCTCACCTTAATCCCGAAGAATATGACTTGCATATCCTGAGGTTTGAGGTATGGCATCAGCGGCCTCAGGAAGTATTTGATAATTTTGCTGAGAACATCCACATAGTTGTTCTCTGTATCGACCAGCTCTCTTATAACGTAATCTCTCTTTTCTAAACTATGTGAAGATGTCGCGAGCTGGAACATTTATTAAAAACGTTTTATAATTTGAATTACAAAATACGAACAAATGAGGGACAAACTCAGAGGGCTAAAAAGTCTAAGGCTACAATATTCACAACGATGATTTGATTCAAAATGTAACCCTCTAGATTTGTCCAGCAGTGCACATGAAAATAGAAGCGCAGACCAAAGCACCATAAACCCGTCTACCATTCACTATCTACAATTTACATCCATCATTTGTTTCTATAATGTCAAGTTCCGATAGGATATCGACCAAACCTTTGAAAAAAGAAGAGAAAGTTATTGCAAAACGTGCTAGTTTTAATGCACCGATGTGCAGGGCGGATGCGCGGCGGCTCATAGCTCCCAGATGTGCGAAACGTGCAAATTGGAGCGGCCAAAAATCCCATCTTCCGCAACATACGCACCGCGTTACTATATTTAACGAGTTATATTTAACCACTTACATTGCGATATCCACTTATTTTTATCATCAGGAACGCAACGCTATAGAAACTGGGTGTTTATAAAAAGAGTGATAGAAAAACTAATAGCGGCGTAAATACATCGTGATCGGAGCAGCAGCGGTGCCATGCCATGCATAATTCAATCGCCGTACGGAACGATTTGCTAAACTTTTACTTGTCCGGTTGGAATTTAATACGTCCGTCATCCGTGAACGGCTTTTTGTTGGGAAAATTGTATAGTTTGTACATTTCGTGGCACTCTATTATAACTGTGACATCTTTATCGTGACGGGAAACGTTCAACCAGTTTTTGTACTTACGGAGTATTCATTCTCTGTCTTACATAGAAAATGTATTGGTTAACTACGCTATGTAAATATTTATGACACGTAAAATGTCTTTATAACGGTCTTGTATGTCCAAACATACTGTATTTCACTAATAATCGGAAATCGCTCTCCACCACTACCATTAAACATTTAGTACGCCATTAAATATGAATTACTGATACAGTCGTCAGTGATGGCAATAACATTATGTCTACTACAGCCTTTCAATCGACTCTTTCGTATCGAAACATTTAGACCAATGCGGCAATGTTTCAGTTCTATTCCCACACGGAACAACTCCTTGTGTGGTACCCAAATTTTTGTTTCGTGTCTGGATGTGTATGTGATATTGTATATTTTTAAAAACACCCACTATACAGGAGATAATCCTAGTGTAGGGCAACGATTTTTAATTACAAATAAAACTTCTAAAGTTTTGGAAATTAATTTTGAAAAATAGAGAAAGTAAGATAAGGAATCATCCATGCAATAACCATTTCCCATGATTGTGTAACTAGTTTATTTGCTTAATATAATCCCAAATATTTTGAAAAAGAGTTTCATCGACTCCAGCACCGCTCCTCCTCCCAATCACAGAAAGCGAGCAAAGAAAACAACAGCAAAAATAAAAGGGGACCCGTAGCGTACTGTGTTGAAAGCGGGCGGCTGCACGGGCGGTAGGTCACGCACGCTGTTCTTCACCGCGCACAGGTCGTGGTAGATCTCCTCGTCGTGGATGCGCGCGCAGTAGCTCGCGTACTCACCCACGTCAGCCGCCGGAGCGCTCGCGCCGCCGCTGCGTTAGCGACCCACCATCGTAACGTTACATGCATAAGCTTACGTATCGCTTTTGGATTACTAGCTCACAGCCAATCCCATTAATCAATCTGCGATACTACACACTGTTTGATTTTGAAGTGAACAATTCTCGCACGAATAAAGGGATCTACCGTTCAATCTACTGGATTAAAGAAGCTTGTGACGTGAAACTAATATTGTAAGAGCTTCGCCCGTATTAGTCAGGCGCTCAGTAAGTGCAACATTTAATAAACTAGCAAGGTTTCGGGGCTCGGATGTTGGGATAGCTAATAAAACAAAAGCAAATACGAAACTAAAAATATTGATGTCCATCCAAAGTGTACACGTTGATATCTCAAAGTAACTTGTTTGGAAATGAACTGCAAAATTCTTAAAGAATCATCTTTGAAAGATAAACGTGTACAAAATTAGAGAATCCATGAATTAAAATTAAGAATGTAAAAAAATGTACAATAAATATCTGATTAAAAATGGTGCGTTCAGATGATTTTTATAATTATTATCGGCCCAGCGTGATCCAGATTCCAAATTAGAAAAGCGACCCAAGATTTTCCTGAACACAGCATTAAGTAGAAAAATAAAAAAAAAGTATGTGACCAGCTAAACAATTAGATGACAAAAAATTCTAACTACCAAATTATACGGAGATACATCATTACATAACAGGATACGCTAGCATAGTTTAACATTGATAACAAAACGAGTCCCAAATGATAGGGCCACTTCCAGAGATGGTATACAACCTACAAACATTTTATAGTGGCCATTTTTATTCCAACTCATCACACTCAACTAAGTAGTTTGTATTCATAGTAGCAATATTATCTATGGATAGTTAAAACAACTTGGATGGTACAGACTTTATGACAATCTAAATAAATAAATATTGTTAAATCGTAGCTAGCGTTTCCTAGAACAATTATTCACAAATCCTACAAAAAGACTACACCTTAATAGGTAAATATTGTAGTATCTAGGTGCGTACTGATAAGTTGAACATGGACCAATAGTTTAACTTTTAGCCTTCGTCATCAAAATGAGGCAAAAAGTAATAGTAACATTCCAGTATATTTTCTTTCTTTTACACATTTCCAGAGATGTATGCGAGTTTATTTGTACCTTATGTATTCCTATATTCCTACCTATATTCTATCAAAATATAATAGGGAAGGAAGAGACATTGTTACTAACATTTTCTCATTGAAAAATTTAAAAATTCCCATTGTCTTTGAGTTTTCAGTACAACTTTTCAAAGATATGACGACGTACTCCCAAACTTTCTCGTGTGTAAGTTTGGTTCGCATTATAAACTTCTATTACAACTTAGCAAATGCAAAAACTATACTATTTATACTTTTATTTAGAATAGTTTATCTTCTTAGTTAGACATAGCTAGAAATGTTGGTGCTTAAGTGCATTCTGTTTAATTTTAATCAATAAGTACATTGATAAACTCACGACGGATTTGATTTACGAGGGACAAATAGATTACTGCAATACAATTTGTTTTAGCATCAATTTTCTCATCCATTCGAGAAGTGTTTAATATACCACTATTAAATTATATAATATCCAAAAGTTAGTGAGCTAATGATGGTTAAAACTTACTTCAGACATACTGAAATTATAACCGATTTTAAATGAAAATTTCTGGATCAAAATTCAGTTTTTGTCAGAAAATCGCTTAAACAAAAATAGATTAGCCAAACATTTCGGATGGGGTCGGTTATTTATTTCTATCGTTAGAGAACGTACTACTAATACTAGCTTAATAATTATTATCATGTCCTAAACAAATCAGTACGCACTTTAACAATCTAAGCCCAATGGAAGCGTATCTACACGCCGATCTATTTGCTGGAAGCCGAGACAGCGATCACCCCTAATATCAAGACATCACGCTTGGCGATCTCATCCAAAGATTTAAACAATACACCTCGTAGCCACCCAGTATATTTACAGCATTATTAAGCTTTAAGTTTTTGGCGAATCCGCTTTTTATATAATCGTGTTTTACTCATATAACAGATTGCTTAGAGTAGGGGCTCAGATTTTTAATTTACTTTCAGATACATACAAGTATGTGTGTATAATCTACTTCATCAGTGTAGGGAAAATTTGCAAAATAAAACTACTAAGTTGCAACCACTCGTGCATAATAGCTGATTTTAAAACCTCTTTATTCTATCAAACTCGGTCCTTTTATCGACCTTTCTGCCTTACAAACATCATTAGTTCTTAGTATTTCCAGCCGTTTAAGCCGATAGCATATGCAAGCAGCTTCTAATTATGATGGAAAACTGTTTATATAGACCGTGGCGTCTAAACACGACTATTTAGGTAACATTGTTATTTCAAGCGCCTTTGTTTTCATTTCAGCATCGCTTACTAACAAGAAACGTTGCAGCCGAAAATACGGAAAACTGAAGACAAAACATTATTTAATGAAGGAGGAAACTTCAAGATAACTATTGATAGGCAAGGTTACTAATTTCATTCATTAGTTACTTTAATGTCGTGTTGCGGGCCTGGTTTAATTCCTAGTTCAGTTTCTACATCACTTATTATTGTAATAATGGAATGCCCTGCATCTAAGAAAGTATATTATACTTTCTTATTCAACAAAAAGTATGTAAGTAAATATTTTCTATTTTCGAAACGAATGGATCGAATGACTACCCAGCGGCAAAGTGACAAAGGTCAGGGGTAGCAAACTTCTGAAGTCAATTTCAATTACATCTGGAGACAGCGACAATCTAGGTCACTTAACTAACTTAACTGAATTAATATAGAAGCTATTTTGATATCTAACAAATATTTGTCATAGTGTATTATGAAGATCGATACTACTTGGTCGATCGTAAGAGTAAGCGGAAATTTCCAATTTCAAAATTAGTGCGCTAGGATACTTTCAGCTTAATCAGCTTTTTCTTAAAATGAACTCAAAGCTATATCTAAAACGAACCATTACAAACAGTGTATCACCTCTATGAGGGCGTCCTATTAAAGTTGTCACACAAATTGATCGATTGAAGCAACAAACATACATTAGCCATTTCATTCTGCTCTTCAAACCAATATCACTATATTCAAGGCATTATTATAGCTGATAACAAATATATTACGGGAAAGACTTATAAAGGTAAATTAGTATTACCAACTTAAGTGCGGCAGTGCACGAAAATCCTACTTTTAAAATGCTGAAAAACCCTGACTTTAAAATGGCTAACCAGTTTATGAAAAAGAAAAGCTATGTCACGCGCTTGTATTTTCTTTACCGTTAAGTGTGCGATTACAAACAACATACAGATCCGAAACAAATACCTATAGAATATGCAAACATCCTCCCACATGAGTAATGTCTTTGACTGAACTAAAACTAAACTGTATAAATCTGCGAGGGCTGGTCTGAGTTTAATAACTTCTGACCTTAACAAAAGGTTAACCATAAGTCTGATTAGAATAAATGAATTTTAATATAACGGAAAGTGCTACCCAAGTGAGATAAAATCCAGAAAATATGTCGTTTTATTAACCATCGGCACATTGGGATAAAGAAATAAATCGAGCGTAAAAAGATGTGGGAGGAAGTATTAGGAATTGGGCGCTATAAATAGACAAGCAAATGTTAGAGATCAAAGGGACGTCTCCCCGGCTCTCGTTTGTAGAACAAAGTTATTGTGTTAGGGGAACATATCCGAGTGTATGTCGACATGACTAGACATACGTAACTAGCAGTACCCCGAAGGCAGACACGAGACATATCAAAATAATAATTATGAAGGATTAGAGATTTATTTCAGTATTTTCAGCCAACCTATTTGTTTGTTTTATCTATACTATCTACACTAATATTATAAAGAGGTAAAATTTGTAAGTTTGTATGTTTGTAAGTTTGTATGTAGGGGGTAATCTTTGGAACCGCGGGTCGGTTTGCTAAAATTCTTTCACTGATAGATAGCTACAAAGTTCCTGAGTGTTATAGGCTATAAAACATCACGCTACGATCAAATGGAGCAGCGGGTGAAACCGCGCGAGTAGCTAGTTTATTATAATTTCTAACTACCTGCCCGAATTTTGGTACTTATGTAAATAGTTAGAATTTGGAACTGGAAAACTCAGTAGATAATACTAATCCAGCTTGGTTTATTTTCGGAATCGTATCAAGAAAGTTATTTTTTACCATATCTATTACTCATTCGCACTAACAACAATTAAACACCTAAGTAACAACGATAATATGCTATATTTATAATAATTATTTATTAAATTGCACTTATAAGGATAACATTTACAACCCGTTTCAAATAGAGTGCGTGGCAAAGCGGTGAAAACACATTCTTATGAAGTGTCTAGATAATTTTGACGGGTTATAGATAAAAGGACTTATATGAAAGATACGAGTATGACTAAACCATTCTTAGAAGTACCAAGTAGGCTTATCTGGTATTATCGAGTTCGCGCAAACTGCACCGCGGCGCGGGCGACCCATCCAAACTAATAAACGGACAGTCACAAGAACTCGAATTACGTCACCAAAATAAAAATGATTTCCGTTTCAAATAAATTCGCTACCAATTATAACAATGATTCAATTATTATGCTTCATAACTTTCTAGTGATGAGTTTTACCTAACAACAATGATTTCAAAGATTCGAAAGTGTAATTATGAATTATATTAATTGCTTGTTTGTTTATTTTATTTGTAAAGGAAAACTGTGGAATGTTCCGTACAGGCGCGTGTATGAACACGAGTGGGGCGGAATACAAAAAATGTATGTTTAAGGAAGTCAACACCAAATTAGTACAATAGGAATAAGTTTACATAATCGTATTTAAGGCAAATCGATCTTTTAGCCATTAAATGAGCATAACGCTTGAGAAGGGAGCACAGATACAAATAGTAATGAATATTCGCGGTTGGTACCAAAGATAATCTTGTAAACAAGAAGCTACGCAAAAACTCGTTTACATAAACAGAACTAATATAATTGTTATTATAATGAAGAGTTTGCTTTTTCAGTTACAGCATGGAGGCCTATTTGAACAGAGGTTGAATGTGGGATGAAGTTTCAACAGACAGATACAACTTTAGCTTGCCAGTTCGCATTTGTTGGGCCTAGTTAACCAGACGGACTATGTAGGCGGGAAAATACTGTAGCACTATGTATCTATGTACAACTATTATATTTTATAACCTACAATGACAAACATATGTGGAGTTCATTCCAGATATTGTTACGAGATGATTTTAATCATATCTAGTCTTATTTGATTCCGAATCTATTTGCGTAGGCAGGTACTTATTGTGGCCATTTTTTAGGTAATCAGTTTCTCTGTCGTCTTCTCTCGTCTTATAAGTTGAAACATAAGATTTATTCCAGGTTTCGGGACAGCAACCTAACACACAACTGCGGATATAGGTACCATCAATTAAAGCTGATTATTGTGAATTTTAACACATACTTTGGTAATTCAATCCTATCGATTTCTCTTGTTACATTCTAGAACTATCTTTATTCGGTTTCTGTAAGATTTTCAGGCATTTATGTCAGTTTTTATATATAGTCCACAGATAACTCTATTGTCGGACTGTCACGAACAGCCGACTTTAGCAAAGAGCAAGACCAAGCATAATAGGATGACAGGTTAAAAATAAATATTTTTCTTTTCCATATATATATAATAATGGATAATGGATATGGCTATGGTATGTAGATTTCCGAGAAATATCTAATCATACCTATAGCAATTTGTGTCGTTATTGAAAATATATAAGTACATCACGTTCACAACCCAGTAAATAGGATTTATGGCCTTTCGTGTGGGAAGTATGAAAATGATATTTATCCCAGGGGCATTGAAGCGTACAGAGATACACATTAAGTACTAACAAAAATATACAAAATATGTATGTCATATTTAGGCTTTCCGAAGTACTGAAAGGCCTCCACAAGATAACTGTGTTCCGTCACATTGGTATGACGGTAAGTACACTTTTTTTGATTCATCACCGAACGGTCACATACACATGAAAACATTTTCATATTCACTGAAAATTTTTCCCCACAAATATGTATACTTGCTGCTAGACTTTAATGCGACAAGTGAAATGTTTCATATGCATAATAACAGTTTCGAGGAGGAAAGAGAAACGTCATTAGGCATACATATGTATTTAGTAAAAGTCCGTCGTGCTTCCAGTACTTCGTAAACTTAGCAGCAGAGCGCCGCGTGGTCGCGTAGCACAGCGGGACTACATATTAAGACGTGCACGTTGTGTGTAGGCGTCGAGCTACGTAATCCGCTAAGGACTCGCGTATATTCCACGTAATAACACAATAAAGTAGAAAGTTCGTAGTTCGCAACTCCTACGCTTAAAGCGATTAATTAAATGAAAACTTGGACCACATTATGAGAATGCATAGCCGAGGTCGCTTGCGGCAACGTTGGGATCCCTCTTTGTTTCAAAGGAACGTTGATATGAGAATTAGGGCAAGCAAATAGCGAGAAGTTCCAATTAGGTGTCTCTCGATTTATGTCGCATTGTCTTATTCGTGAATACATGAATGTTTGTATTCGTACGAGCTCGCAAGAGTGACGAATGTGGAACGTGCTGCAGGGGATGCTATTATCATTCGGTACGCCGCTGTTTTTGTCTACGCAAACAGAGGACTCTCGTGGCGGTAACAGAGTGCGAAGAAAGTCATCATTTATTACAATGAGACGAGCTTACTTTCTTATTAAAATGTTTAAGCTGCAGACTACAAAATAATGATTGACCTTCGGGGATTTTGCGTCATGAATGGTATAAGAGCGATTTAAGACCTTATTTACACATAAAGAAACAACAAATTAGGCTTCATGGATATTTTCTGTTTAAAACCGTGGCTTACAAGAGTACATTGCATAATCATACGCTTACTTTAATATAAAACCGTTGGTCTACTTCTATTTCCAATAAAAACAACAATTTCCCTACGTAACTTCTCGCTAATTCATAAAGGACGTCAATTTCATGCTATTTTTATCTTGTCATTTAGAAGTTAGTTGCGTTGGTTCTAAGAAATGTACCTAATGCTGGTAGTCTGGTAGGTACTACATTGTCTGTTGTTAATGTATGGGAAACGCGGCGCGATGATATATTTAGATAACAAGAAATAAAGCAAATAATGCGAGCACTTGACACGCGCGCAGTTCAGCGGAATGAGTTGGATTTTCACTTTTTTATTACTCTAGACACTAACTACTTCATTGACCATGGCATCCTGATGTTCAGCCAAGATCATAAGCGTATTTGTTTGTATATACGAAAATATTTTTTTAAAGAATTATAAATGAATGAATGAATGCGTTTGCCACTTATCAAACGTGAAAACAACAAAACTCGGCGCCAGAAACAAAGTACTGCCCTAGACAAATTCCTTCACAAAGACAACCTTCATAAAAATGTAATATAAACTTTATCACTGAGGACACAAAGTTGTGAATAGTGTAAAACTTTAAATACAGCAGATGGCTGGTCAATTATGCAGGCAATTGTGAGTTGCACAATGATCAGCAAAGCGTATTCATTGATGAGCATTCAAAACAGATAAGTAACCGTTGATGCTGGCGACAGTTATGAATACTTCGTATTGCTGTCTATAACTTGGACACCAGTCAGGTTATTAAACTTAAAACTACCCTAGGTTTCAATGAACTTATGTTTTATTTGTATCATTTATTTATCCTCAAATTCTTCAGCAGTTTAACATCTAATCGTATCAAATGTCCTGATTATCTACAGATCGATCGGCAAAACATATAATTTTCATCATATTTAAATAATCCCTATGAGATGTATTTTTATATTTTTAAATAGTCGATAAATGGGCTTTCGCGGTAACATTAGTAGAAGTAATTTTGACACTTATCCGCAACAATATGCAGCATAAATTGAATATTTATCCACAATGAAATAAAAAGTAGTTTCGAACATTGCCCCGCACTTAGTTTTGTATTCAGAACTATGCTACACTCAACTGTGGACTATATTCAATGGCCCCTCACACTGACAGTAAGCCCATAGCGGCTGGTCTCAAACTTTTAGTTATAAATAACAAACGGATTAACTATTGTTGTTTGTGATAACGTGGCGACCGGGGGACATGATTTGAATATTAACAAGTTAGGTGAAAGTAAATCCTGGGGTTACAATGTACCAAGCGTGATGTTGCCAGACTAACCGAAAGAATGTACGTTTTACGGTCAGATATTGGATCAAGTTAACGGTTAATTTCGAACTCAATAGCTTCGATCAGGGTGCGCAGTTATAGCTAACTTTGCTAAGCAAGCTGATCCTTGCTAGTATGGTTTATATCCAATAAATATCTGGCCGTAAAATTCCCGAAAATAAAAGACTATCGAAAACAGCCACCTCTGGCGTCGCTGATGTAAACTTGACGTAACAGAGGTCCTCGTAAATCTCCTCCACTCGGTCCTCGCAGGTGGCGGAGGGTATCGTGAACTGCACCCAAGGGACCTCGGCCGCCGCCGGGTGCCCGGGGCACTCCTCTATCACGCTCGAGTAGGGGGGAGGCGCCATGGTCGCACTGGCGCTACTACAAGGGCCGTTAAATTACTTAGCACTTTCAAAGTTGTAACGAGGTGAGTTCCAAACTAGTTTGGTACTTACACAGATTGCAGATCTTTGTAGATGTCCTCCTCCGACTGTGTCCGTAGTGCTGAGAATGGTCTATAACAAAATTTTGTAGTTAGTAATTATTGGAATAGCAGTTTTACTACTTTAAATCCTAGATAAAGCACAAACTGTATTTTAATATGGAACGAGTACGAGCGAACGAAAACGAGTAACCTATGTATCTATGTAGATCGGAATATGGAATAGGTATTTCTAGAAAGATGTCTTTATTGCACAGAAATACTCACTTGATATTCTTAGCCAGAGCCTTGGGGCACTGGCTGAGCTTGGCCAGTGTACACAGCACACGATGGAAGTTGGAGAGGTCGAACAACATGGACGGGTCGAACAGGTCCGTCTCCCGCAGCTCAAACACCTCGTGACATGTTCGGAGGAACACTTTGATGTTCCTCATGCACAGGAACTAAGGAGGAAAATATTATGATTACATATTATTATCTAAGAGGAATTTATAACTAAAAGAAGCACTCAAGCAAAAGTAAATAAATGTGCTTTCATGTAAGTATTTTTGTTGGCAAAACTGGCTAAAAAATGTGAAGTCTCCATTCTTTAAACGTTTATTAAATTCCGATAAGATGATACACGTTAGTCCGACTTTTAAGGCTTACTTAAAGAATACGCTATTAAAATATTTGTCACGCTATAGAACTCTGATTTGATAAATTAATCGAACTCATAGTTCAACCCAATATTATACCATAAAACCAAACGGAAACTAAGCATACAACTTCGCAGGTACAGTGACCAACAAAAGTGTTATACAGTATCAAAACAAATTATTCATAAGTAACCCTGACGCCATGCGCCATCACAACTTGTCTACAACAACACATTAAATAAAGTATATTACATTAAATATCATTCTGTATTCATAAGCCACTTATGTTGGCGGTAGTACCTAGTTATTTCGGCATATTTAAAGAGAGCGGCGAGATCATTTGTAGTAGCTTCCTCTCTTACTCTTAAAGCGATAACATTATCTTGTGCAATTACGTGCCTCGTTATTTGACCACTTTTACGAGAGATAACTGCGGGTTTACTAGCCTTATTATGACCTTATATAAACAGTTTAAAGAGTATTAATAAACTGTTTCATTGGATCAGAAATAAAGACATTTTGAGTCAACACTTTTTATAAAATCTTGTTTGTTATAATTATATTATTTTCTTGTGCACATTATATTATTTTTCACATTGTCTGGACTTGAAAAGAGCTCGACCTAGTCCTCTAAGTTAGTGTCGGCATTTCTTTTCAGAGTAGTCAGATAGGAAATGCTGGCTACATCTTGTTTTATGGCCTAATTACAAAAATAAATTTAATTTTTGATTGTTATATCATTGCAAGGTTTGTACGGTGGCGGAGCAACTGGCTGCCGCGTAACGTGTGGCGGGTTTCATTCCCGCACGGAACAACTCTTTGTGTGATAATAGCTTTTGCCAGTGCCTTAGTATACCGCCACCAGGAGCCTTTGTGTTATTTTAGATTATAATCTATCATCTATCTACTTCTTTGCCACTTTTTGTTCAGATCCGTTCATTATTTTTTACTTGGAAGAGCTATTAAAACTAAACAGCCACCGATACTTTATAAACTTCGTGTTTATATTATTAGTAGGATTAAGTGAAGCAACTATTTAGCGGTCTTTAAAACTTCGTTTGTTTACGAGTTCAGGGGGCGTATTACGATCTCTTAATTCCAGTCAATTTACACCTTAAAATGAACTGCCTTGTTTATCTGTATTATGACGTCTTATTGCCAGTCAGTTAGCAGTCACGTGACACTTGACCGATTTCTGCACGTATATTGGCTGGCAAACCCGTATTATGACCACCAAACTGATATTTCTTAGCTTGCTCAAATGTCAAAAATTGTGTCAAACAAACCAGTCAGTTTACGCCGGTGTCGAGTAGCTTTTACTGAATTGTTTTAAGTTTTTATCACATACTGTTTACTACAACATTAAATATGTGTAATGAGTTACTAATCCTCGAGTTTCTTGAAAGAGATGCGTCACAAGATAACCACCAAACAAAAATTCAGAGGACGCGTCTTCGAGATCTTAGTGACCCTTTTGCGATTGAAGATGTTGAATTTATTTTATTATAAATAATGTAGGTAATACTTACGCCATTATCGAGTAGACAATATTTATAAACAACTTTATAACAGGGATCATGTAAACGGATTCCTTTGCTCAACAAAGTAAAACAGTTTTAGTTCTTCTTCTTTTTTAAAAAAATAAATGGACTTCATTAGTAAAAAAACCCTTATTATAACAAAAAACTTTTATTTTTGCCGGGTGAGCTGTTATCACCTATCCTACTTACCATTACTTACGTTCAGAAATGTAGCGTATGTCAAAAATGTATGTTGTGAGACAGTGCTGTATTTTCATATTTATGACATTGTACTTACGCATATAATACATAATTCGTTTTTGAACTCATTCTTAATCTCGATTCTGTTAGAAAATTACATTATATAATTTATTACATTCAATTTTCAAAAACCGTAATATACCAGTAACCCTTTTAGGATGTTTTCGAACGCAATCTTTCAAGACGGTGCAAACCAACCACAGACAATCATCCAGGATGAATCTAGTCAGAAAAACGTACGTCATAATACGAAAAAGAACCATGCAGTTTACGGCCTTATACTGACCTGCCAGGAAACAAACTGGATTTTAAAAAGGTTGTAATACGCCCCCAGAACGCGTAATTTGATACAAGTCGGTGTAAGCGTCAACAGCTCTGTTTGTTTAAAGTCCTTAGTCTTAGAAGAATGAAACACGCGTTCTGAACGTTAAAAAGGTGCAAATTATATTAGCAACAGGTATCAGTTTACTGTTTTTCACTAAATGTTTATATTAAACCTTTAACAGACATATGGCTAGGAAATTATCCGATTGCTAGCAAAATGGTCTGTAAACACAACATCATACAGTTCACATGGCAACTACTTTACTACCTATTATCACTATACCAGAGTAAAAACTTCAAATTACACAACCTATACATTTTAGGACATTATTTATGTTAATAAGTGTGAATTATACAGTATACACAGCATAAAAATATGTGTTTCATTACAATTACAAGCATTTCTATTGAGTATTATGACAATGGGTCCCCCATTAGCCCCCATAACATGTAATCAATGTGACATTGAAGTTCCTTTACACTTTTATGGTAGTCACATATACAAGTTGTTTACTAATGTTACATGGTGTATGTAAGAGATATAGATTTTATATCAATAGATAATCGAAGTTTATTTTTCGGTTCAAGTATTAAGGTATGATAGTAAATATATTACCTACATTGAAACAACATCAGTATCAATAATATCAATAGATATAACGAAAGTGCAAACAGATAACTTAGTATGATTGTACCCTATCACCCATCAAAATTTTTTTTTATTCTGTACTAGAGTCAGCAGAGTTCTTAGTTTAATTATCTGAACTTATTACTTTGAGAAATACATAGCCTATAGGTTATTTACATTCCTAATTTACTAGGCCATTAAGCTAGGCATGGCCAGTTGACAAATATAAACAAAGCATAGCTATTTTTACGACAGTGACCATAAAACACAGGGTGACTAGTTTTAATGGTTGTCAGTTGTCACAATACAGTCTATAGAGTAATAAAACTGATATACTTAGTGACGATAGGGAGTGGAATTGTTAAATATAACTGGTGACATAAGACACCTTTTTGAAGAAGCAAATAATCAAATGACTTCCCTTGTTATGGGTGGGGTCAGACTCTTGCTGTTTGAAAACCATCTTGCTCTGAACCAGTACTGTGGTATTTTATAGTGCTTATACCCACAACCTGGCTGACATAAGCCACTTAAAGACTGGTATCACTATCACTATCAGTATAAAATAACAGGAAAACTGTGTATTAAATTAAACTGGGGCTTTTCTAGTCACATTGATTATTTTAGTAGTAGTTAATAGTAATGCACCATCATAGGTATTATGGGTATCAGTTACCATTTATAAAAAGGATATAAGCTTGTTTTAAGAATGAGATGAAAGAGAAGGAGTTTGTAATAGAATAATTGCGAATAAGAAAAAATATTCTGAATACTCATCCAAATAGTAGAACCCGAAAAGCATTAAATCAATTTAGGAAACCTTTTCTTAATTAATTAATAGGCCAAAATATTTCTTGCACTTGTCTAATGAGATTAGTGTCATCACCTAAACAAATTATTCAACTAAAATACACATAATATCATATATATATCCTTAGTACACAGCACAAATTTCATAATGGAACAAAGTAATAAAATAGAGGACACACCAACAAGGTTTCTATTAGAATGTACAATTTATTAGGAATTTTAGAATTTCTATTGCAATTAACTAATAAATTTGACCATGACCCATTGTATGTAACAGGAAAGAGGTAAATACTTGTATTTTTTATATTCAATGACTAATATTGTGTAATGAAAAGCCTTACATGAAACATTAGTAATTAAAATTAATTTCTATTTATATTAGATATTATTTTTTAAATATAAAGAATTGAATTATAGAATAAATTTACATTGAGGTCACTGAACCTCATTGTATCTCACATACATTAGGCCTCTCCATGAAGGTACACATAACATAGAGGGATGTACTTGCATTATGAATTGACAGAGTAGTAAGCTCTGCCTGTTCATTCACAGTAAGTTTACGATGCAGATAACACCGGAACATATATTCAGTGACTGTTGAATACGCACATATCAATAGCAGAGGTCCATTCATGATTGCATGCATAATTAACTACACTTACACATTATAACTGTTAATGTAATGCTCAGCACATATTTCAATAATAGGAAGTACTCTTGTATTCCAAACACGAAATTTTAATTTATAATCTTCGAAATATATTTCGTAAACCAAAAAACACGTATTCATTAATGCAAATCTGTAAACCTTGTGTCAAATTTCAAAAGCATAAATCTCCGACCTAGGAATTAGTTCCACATAACATGCGTACAGCTATTATGTGCTAAATTTAATGGTTTTATAGTAATTAGAGTGAAGGTCGCGGCAGCGGGGGCCCAATTACCTGTGCCATCTGAGGCCGCTGGTTCACGTCCTTCATGTCAATGCAGCCTGGATGCAGCACATTAAGCAGGTTGCACAGCAGTACACCATCTCGCAGGGTATACGCCAGGTCATGAATTGAACTCGTTTCCCAGTTCGCCTTATGGTCGGGACGTAGCAAACCACATCTCGTCAGCCAGGACGCGCACTCGCGCCACAGATCCTCGCCACCAGCAGCCATGATTTACACAAACTTCGAAGTGCACATCGATAGTATCAGCACCGAGCACTGCTTTTTAATAATCAACAGGCCATTATTAAACGAGGGTTAATTGATAATTGACATACAAATTGATACAACAAACACAGGACGAGCCAAGCGAGAACAAGATTTTTTGACAACTAACGTATAGTGTGGCAACAGATATAAAATAGTTCGTTGACAGATAATAATCACTTTCATTATCTGTGTTTGTTTAATTTACCTTTTAATCACCGTTACGATTTTTTTATTTCTATGTTTATATAAAAAGAAAATACAAAGATTTGATCTGATTAAAATAAAATAAAAATATTGGTCTTCAAAATCTAGGTCAACAATCAACAACTGTACTGTCAAATACATATTTAATCTAGCAACATTGACTGTAAGTGGAGTGACGCGACTGCACGTCGAACGAACGATTTTTCATGAAAATTCCAAGATAAAGTGCATTTAACGTTTAAAATCAGTGTATTTATTAAGTCAAAGGTAAGTTTTATGTCAAGTGCTTCAATTTGTGGTTAAATATCTATAATAAAAACGATTTGAGTGTTCTTTAACTTATCTATGACACACCCATGTATCGGCGAATTCTTTACGAATGTCCAACTTTCCGAAAGAAATCAGTATCATGAATAAGGAGATTCGAGATAGAAAATCATGTTGATACCACCTAGTACCGTTTCTCATTCCAGTAATTTCTCCGGAAGTCCAAAATTGGCTCCGGCCATAATCCTTATTAGGTTTATTTTGGAGCATTACGTCATTGTACATAAGAGGGAAGTATGTGGGGTCGATATGTAGCGGTGGATACGCCGGCGGCGGCAGGCAGCAGTGTTACTGCGGTACAGTGTCGGCCGTGCGTGTCGGGCAGGGCGATAAAATCTGGAACAGGCTGTCGCCGTGTTCGCCAGTACTTTCTACGTCAGTACATAATCTAGACTTTGTGACCAGAATACCTAGAGTGTTGTTACCTCTGCAGTGTGTATTGATTTTTTATCATTTCTATGTTTATTTGAGCTATTTGAGTGGGTTGATATTATTTATTTACATTATTCATAATACAATCAGCTGATTTTGTATTTGTATTTTAGTGGAAGTGGGTATGTGTGTTGCTTTTCAATAATTATTATTGCCTGTACATATAATATGTTATAGCATGTCTGTTACATATTGAATTGCAGAAAACTGAAAAATTCTAATAGATTTTTAATGCCATATTTGTATTTGATAAATAGGTCACCACATTTTCTAGTGTTTTTCCATATTATCAGTCTTTCTCAATCCCTATTTTTTCAGTATCAATCCTGTTTTATATTTCCAAACATTCTTCATTGTTGATATAATGGAAAATGCCAATAAAAAACATGACAATTTTAGAGTAAGGACAAAGTCATGACAGTAGAATTAATAGTATTTTAACTTACTTTATTGCTTAAAGTTTGATATACATCAAGAATTTATTGTAATCCGGTACTTCCAATGCCAATTGAGCCCCACCCATAGCATGACACACATTTGTCTGTGCATGTGTGTGTGATTGCAGTGCTCTAGATCAAGTTGCACTAGTATTGATTACCTGAGTAATGTGTGCCTCCAAGTGTCACATATCAGGGACAGGTGTAATTTAAATTAGTTTTATTAAATATTGTTAAAAAATATATATTTTTATCAATTCATTTAGTCATGAAAATATGATGTTCACTGCATCATTCTTCAGATATTTGAAATAAATTACTTTGGAATGAGGCATTGATGATTTCAAATTGTTTCAGCCATTAGGTATTGATTTAATTAATATCTTTGGTTTCTACTTATCTGTAGAACTAATTGACTAGCATTGTACTTTGCACTCATAAAAAGAAAAACCTCATTGTGGTGGTCTACCTAGAAGAGTGACTACTTGATAAACAAGACAGTACAAAATATGCCATCACTGTAGATACCAATAAGTTATATGATTTATAATAATAATGGCCATATTTTCTAATTGCTTATCTTTTAAATTTTAACAATGACACTACCTGAGCTCATGGACTGATAAGTGGCAACATTCTACACTGATAAAACTAGCACAAAGGCAGAAAATGTATTTTAAAAATGACTGGCTTTAAATAGGTTGCTAAGTGCATTACTTTAAGGAGAAACAATGTTATCATCAGGTCCACAAAACATTACTGTAGGGTGAGTCACAAGGCCGTGTGATGTAAGCCTCGTCTGGCAGGTGCCATGATGCAGATAAGTCACAGAAGTAACAATCTGCTTTTATTAGTTATGATCATGTATCTTAATATGGAGAGGTTTCTCTATACTATTCTAATGAACAATCCTTTCCTGTCGAAAAATATTAGTTGATACACTGTTTATTAATACTGTAATGAAAAATTAAAAATCATGTACACAATTTTGCAAGTAGAAACAGTAACATAGTATAAATTTTAAAAAATAATGTTAATATTTTGATAGGATTACCCAAATGCGACGAGAAAATAAAATACCGTCATAAAAGATAACACGCAGAAATAGCTATATTAAATTATTTATTACGTTTAGCGAAAGAGATTCCAATAAATAAACATTGATTGATCGTAAAATACCCGTAATGATTGCCGCTGTCAATAATAGCCGTCCTAGTAAGCTAATGTAATAAACCTACTTTGAATATAATTCTAGTAAGTAATACTCATACTGCCTAATTGATATTTATACTGTAATTACAATTTTGGTCTAAACCATATGACATTAGCGGTACTATACCAATACCACACAAATACGGTATTGTATTGTGTGAACTGGCACTTCTGTTAGTCACTTATGGAGTGGCAAAGTCAAGTGTAGTTTGACCTTCATCTGAGTTAATGAATACTGTTTGATGAGATCAGGAGGATAAAAAATATGGCTGACGCGTCACTGATAAAGATTCAGGTTTGAATTTTAAACGTTATGTCGGTTACTAAAATCGGGTGATTGAAAAAATTCGTCTACAAGTAGCAGTTTAACGAACTCTTTGTGAAGTAATAGAATATCGTGGGATTCCAGTACAACCCAATAAATAAACCTTTTAATCGACAAATAAAATGGAATCATTTAATCAATTCTCCGTAATTATTTTATTTTTTGGAAATATAAACTGTCCTTTCCCAAGTTCCACAAACTTTGTCAGTACTATATTTTACACAAATTGGTTCAGTAGTTTGGGCGTGAACAAAAGACACACAGACAGAGCTGGTTTCGCATTTATAATATTAGTGTGGATAAATCAACTGTACACTTAGAGTGCTCTTGAATTTTCATATGCAGTGTCTTGTTTTTCGAATGTAACACACCAGTACTAATCCTTTTCAATGTATGGAAACTTGTGACCATCATTAGTTGTCCATATCTACATTTCGAAACGCTTCAACACGGCCACCTTCGTCATTTATTATCCAGTTTTAGATAGACATAGGTAATGTGAATGAGTAAAAATCGTTGTGTGCATTGTTTCAGTTAATTTGACGCTTCCATCATGGAACAGATACCACCACCTAAGGAGGTGAAGATCCTCGAGACTGCCGAGGATATTCAAGAACGACGTGAACAGGTAAATACGCTCTCTACATTTTAAATCGAAAGAAAGACGACTGTTTATGTACTGGGCATACCAAAGAGGTGTGTACGACGAATCGTACAAATAATTGAAGCTCATTATTTCGATACCAGCTCATTAGGTGTATTAAAATACTTTTAACATTCACGAGAATGTCTAAAGTCACCTTTCAAGTGTATGCAAAAAATATAATGTCACCGTTTTACTATTTATTAGTGACGACACTTTAAAACCCACAAAAATAATATAACGGTCAATTACGACACAATACATTATTTTAAATACTACCAAATTCCTTCAAAGGATAGAATATAATATAATGTGCTTGAAATTATCATACCCAGTGATGCTTTGAACTCTCAGACGTTCTCATTACATTGGAACGATGTCGCTTCCGAGATGAAGGCATCGTTTCCTCTAGTATTCGCATATACAATGTATCTGCTGAATAGAGGCACTATTGTAATGCACCATCCATTGAAGTGCGGAAAGCAATCACTCGCTTCGTTGTGCTCCACGTAGAACCTTGATTGTGAATACCCAACGGCTCTAAATATATGTATGTGTACATATTATTGAAATTGCAGACAGTAGTTTATTGCTAGTGACATTGGGGATATTATGGGTGCCTTTTTTATCCATTGGTAGGCGTTATTGAAGTTGATTTTCAGAGTCAACTACTGTGATTAGTATTGGAAAAATCATCTGTTAACCCAGTATCCTTATTTTCGATCGAATTCTCGTTGCTCTACCAGGAACACGATAGTTACACTGCATTGTCTCGTGTTTACCGTTCTAAAACAATTTGTATTCGTAGGACTGTACTTTTGACTGCACGGTTGGTGCGGTGGCTGGGCAACTGGCTGCCGTGCAACGTGTCGCGGGTTCGATTCCCGCACCACGGAACAACTCTTTGTGAGACCCACAAATTGTTGTTCTGGGTGTCATGTGTATTTGAAATTGTATGTTTGTATACTCTTGTACACTCACGACACAGGAGGAGATCCTAGGGTGGGGAAACCTTTTTTTTAAGCTTATTATTAATTAGATACTTTCGGGTCCAAAAAACAACAACAGAAAGAATTGTCATCAATCTTGTATTTTGAAAATCATCGAGTCTTTGAAAATGATAGAATGAAATACTTTCTAGCTATGGTTTCCCATAAGAGCTATTTAGTTAGTATACAAAAAGTAAATACTTGTTTCGCGTATCTCTTCTTAAGTCTTTACATAGAAACTCTGGTTTTGATAACCTGATAAAATATGAATTCGTAGGTACGGCATTGCGTGAATCAGTCGACGCCCCGCAGTTTGGTCACGTCGCGTCGCTTCAATTAATTTATATAATCACGATAATACCAAAGTAGACCACTACAGATAGGTAGCGAATAGAAAATATCACGTACTCGGTTCTTTAAAAGTCCCGTGTATATTATAAAACTATGAACAGACATTGACTATTTTAAATGAATTATGTTTTGTATGTATCTTAGTTTATTCTGAGTCAGACCCTAAAATAAATAGACTTAAAATATTTCTCCGTTTATGATTCGCCTCATATTCTCCTTTTACAAAAACATGCATATCCCCTCATTGTACTGCACCCGTGTTTCTATGAATAGATCGAATTTCTTTTGAGACTTTCTCCTATTATTTTATTTTTGTTCTGGTCTGCAAGTGACATTAAAATAATTGTGTCGTTTTTTCTACATGTTTTTAAAAATAAGTACATTAAGATAAGATAGTATCGACTTGTCGAAAGTAATACGTCATCATCGATAGCAAATAGCTGCCCTAGACAGCTGAAGCCGGTCCAAGAGGAACTGTATTGATTGACTATTTATAGGCGGAGCCCTCCGACTCTTCGTAACCTTGACCTGATGAACTATTGCAGACCTGATTCTGTATTACTTTGATAACCTGTTTTTGTTTTCTTTTAAGTAATTGTATTTTCTATTTTCAAGTTCTACTACTTGTACTTTGTTTTTTCATAAGTAAAACCATAGCCACTTTTGTCGTAAACATGACTGTCGAGCGAAGGATCTCGTTTTCGGTCGTTTATAATTAAATATTTGTAGCACACGATTAACCTCGTCTTTTTTGTCCAGGTTTTGAACCGCTATGAAGATTTCAAACAAGAAGCACGCGCCAAGCGTGAAAAACTGGAAGACTCGCGTAGGTTCCAGTACTTCAAACGTGACGCTGACGAGCTCGAATCCTGGATCCAAGAGAAACTGCAGGCAGCCAGCGATGAGAGCTACAAAGACCCTACCAATCTCCAGGCTAAGATCCAGAAGCACCAGGCTTTCGAAGCTGAGGTGGCAGCCCACTCCAACGCCATCGTAGTTCTTGACAACACTGGTAGTGAGATGATCTCTGCCGGTCACTTCGCGTCGGAGACCATCCGCCGTCGCTTGGACGAACTGCATCGTCTCTGGGAGCTACTGCTATCCCGCCTGGCTGAGAAGGGCATGAAGCTGCAGCAGGCTTTAGTGCTTGTGCAGTTCTTGAGACACTGTGATGAAGTCATGTTCTGGATTCATGACAAGGTGAGTGGAAACACAGTATCTATCGATGTATAATATATTTTAAAACGAAAGACTTATGTTTAGGAAAACAGGACATCATATTGTACAAGAGCTGTGTGCTCATAATGATGAATGTTATCAACGCTAGGAAGGTAAAGAATTCTACCAAGCCTACTAGTCATGTTATAAGGTTAATAAAAATTGTTTGTACGTGGGCGTAGCCTACATTAGTACCGCTGGGGCGGGGACGTGAACTCTGCGGCGATGTAGGTTGAGTTAACTACTCGGAATATAGACTGATTGTTTGTCTGTTAGCATTGCCAAAAACTCAGAAATTTTATATGTGAAAATGATGTCAGCACTTAGAAACAGTCGAGTGATGTGCTTCTATGTTGTTGATATGAGTATATCTAATGAAATCATCGCTATGAATATATTTCAGAAAATTAATAATGTGCAAAGAACATTTTATTTTGAATTGTTACTGTTGTCATCTGTTAATGTTTTTTACCTTCATGCTTTTCTTTATACCAATAATGAATCATTTGAGTTTTAAAATATTCTTAAAAATTCAATTATTATTATCATTTTATTTTAATATAAATAATATAATTTTGTTTTAATAAATATGGAGACAACAATAATCATGTAAGAGAGTAGTTCGAATTAACCAAAGTACTTTGCTTTCCTAAAAAAAACATATTTTTATCAACAATATAACATATAGGCTTCGTAACAAGTTCTAAAACAAATTCCTTTTTACAGGAGACATTCGTGTGCGCGGATGAATTTGGCTCGGACTTGGAGCACGTGGAGGTGCTGCAGCGCAAGTTCGATGAGTTCCAGAAGGATATGGCGGCGCAGGAATACCGCGTCACCGAAGTTAACCAGCTCGCCGAGCGACTTGTACTCGAGGGACACCCTGAGAGGGAGACCATTGTCAAGAGGAAGGATGTAAGTTCAATAATTTGATTGAAAGTGACACTATGACCGATGTTTATTTTGATTTAAGTTCAAAAAAGTATTAAGGATCAAATAAGAATATAGGTGTGAGTAGTGTATTACTTATTTATGGGTCAGAGTTGGTTTATGTGAATCTGGTAAAGACCCAGTCAATCCTAATTTTCATAATCTGACTGACAAATGGCATAAAAACGTTCTGTGACAATAAACAAAACTTTCTTGAATTTGAATTTGATACCTGAAGCATTAATAGCAGCAAACATAAGCATCAAAATTATTTATATAGGTAATTAATTCCATATTAAAATTTCTTAGGAGCTGAATGAGGCGTGGCAACGCCTTCGCCAGATGGCGCTGATGCGTCAAGAGCGCCTGTTCGGTGCTCACGAGATCCAGCGCTTCAACCGCGACGCTGACGAGACCATCGCCTGGATCTCCGAGAAGGATGTAGTACTCGGATCTGATGACTACGGCAGGGATCTCGCCACTGTGCAGACCTTGCAGGTAAGAAATTAACTTGTGTATTTATTACCCTTACATTGAATTTATAATTAAAAACAGTTATGTTACTAAAAGTGCCCAATAATAAATAACACTTATTTTTCTGTATAGCGTAAACACGAGGGCGTAGAACGCGACCTGGCAGCCCTGGAAGATAAGGTATCAACCCTGGACGGTGAAGCTGCGCGCCTGGCCGCTATTCACGCCGACCACGCCCCTGCCATACACGCCAAGCGGGACGAGATCACGCTCGCGTGGCAGAAACTCGTGCAGAAGGCTAAGGTAACATTTAGACTAAAAATGTTTTCTAGAGTTTCGGAAATAACAGAATCAGAATTAGACATAAGTATTTACATATTTGTTTATATATTTTTTTTACATTTTTAGGAACGTCGTTCGGAGCTGGAGTCCTCTCACGCCCTGCATCGTTTCCTCGCTGACTACCGCGACCTGATCTCCTGGGTCAGCGATATCCGTGCGCTTATCGCAGCCGACGACCTTGCCAAAGATGTTCCCGGAGCCGAGGCTCTACTGGAGAAACATCAGGAACATAAGGTAAATATTCTGTAAATAATGGTTTTTATCACTTAGTAACCACTTTGTAAATACCTATTTTTTGTGACTGCTACCTCCTTCAATAAAGCAAAAAACAGCATCATTTTATTCAGCTCGAGTTCAGTTGTAAGAGTAGCGAATATAGAATGTTGTGTCGTTTGTCAGGGCGAGATGGACGCTCGGTCGGACGTGATCCAGGCGTGCGCGAGCGCGGGGCAGGCCCTGGTGGAGGGCGGGCACCGCGCGCGCGAGGAGGTGTCGACGGCGCTGGCCAACCTGGCGCGGGAGAGCGCCGCGCTGCACCAGCTGTGGGACCAGCGCCGCGTGCTCTACCTGCAGTGCATGGACCTCCAGCTCTTCTACAGGGACACCGAGCAGGCCGACGCCTGGATGCACAAGCAGGAGGTAACTCGCACTCACTCACCTCGCTATATTATATAATTATTTTATACGAACATTCATTGTTAAATTGATTTAAATTGATTTTAAAAGAGCTTCATATATTCTAATAAATCGGGAATGTGATTTTCATTACATAATTCATAAAGTGGATTCTTTCGATAACATAGCTTAATTGATTGTTTGATTAGGTTTTTCAATTTCAATAACTTGTACGAATCGATGTTTCATTGATGACAAAACACAAATTAAAAATATTTGGGCTAAAATACACACATTTTTACTCTTTTCTGTAATCATGTGGTAAATAAATGAACAGATGCAAGATACAATTCCTAAACCTTTTCCCTGTCCACAGGCTTTCCTCGCAAACGAAGATGTAGGCGACTCCTTAGACTCGGTGGAAGCTCTCTTGAAGAAACACGAAGACTTTGAGAAGTCGCTGGTAGCACAGGAAGAGAAAATCAAAGCTTTGGACGAGTTCGCGTCCAAACTCATTGAGGGACAGCATTATGCTGCTGATGACGTAGCCCAGAGGAGGGAGATGGTAAGATCAATATTTATCGATCGATATTTATACTTTTTTACGAGCACCCTGCTACGGCAAACCATTTATTTCTTCTAACTATTCTTAAACATGTGCCGAGTATTAGAATAGTCGGAAGTGCCCAAACATCTCAAATTTAGGTTGATTCCTAAATATCGTAAAAGATTGTCATGTAATTCGTTGTTTGGCGATAATAAGCTGTAAATAATGCGCCAAAATTACACTTTTCTTCAATTGTTATTATTAGTTTCTTGACTATTAACATAAGCATTGCAACGGGCGCCTTTTTTACTTAGTCCTTTAGACACTAGAATCTTCTTATTGAGGTATCCCAAACTCAATGTTATTTCCCCTTGATAGTTGTTGGAACGCCGCGCCGCCTTGTTGGAGAAGTCCAGCCAACGCCGCGCCTTGTTGGAGGACGCGTACAAGTACCAACAGTTCGAACGTGATTGTGATGAGACTAAGGGTGAGTTTACTATGACGTCGATACAATTTAGAAAATCAATATATTAGTGTTGTGATTTTGTTATCTGGCGATATGGTTGCCAAAGCCTATCTAATATTAATAGTTAGTAGGCTGCTCTAAAATATTTTCTTTATTATTAATAATTTGGCGTCTCATGGAATACATTGATCGTCATCAAAACTAATAATAATGTAATATATCCGCAGGCTGGATCAACGAGAAGCTTAAGTTCGCGACGGATGACTCGTACCTGGACCCCACCAACCTGAACGGCAAGGTACAGAAGCACCAGAACTTCGAGCAGGAGCTGCAGGCCAACAAGCCGCGCATTGACGAGATCACCGTCACCGGGGCCAAGCTGCTCGAACAGGAACACTTCGCTAAACGTGCGTATACCTTACTTTGTTATAGTATAATACTACTTATTACAATAGTTCAGTAAAAATGGTGTTGTTAGAATATACTAAGAAAACGTACATCAAATCCGAAGTTATTGGTTATCTTTGTGTTCCTGTTCTAAACTTTTTAGCAATTCTCCTCCTACCCCTCTAATCTCTGATTACTAAATCCTTAAATGGTACTTGTACCGCGTACATGTTGGTAATTACGACAGCATACTTATGTAACTCGTATTTCCGTAGCTCAAATCGAGTCTCGCGTGGCGGAGCTGGCGGGTATCTGGGAGAAGCTGGCGGCCGCGTCCGAGCTCAAGGGCAGCAAGCTGCAGGAGGCCGCCGCCCAGCAACAGTACAACCGCGCCGTCGAGGACATCGAGCTCTGGCTCTCCGAGGTCGAGGGACAACTGCTCAGCGAGGACTACGGCAAGGTACGCCGGAAATAAAGGCCAAATTGTAACATCCCTTCATAGTACCTACAAGGGATGTTACAAGTAGTATTTACTAGGATATTCGAGTTTTAACGTAAACTGTTATATCTACTATGTAGTAGTTTTTATTTTTATGTCCATTTAAGTCTGGTACATGAACTGTATAAGCTATCTTTTCTATACAAATCAATACCCTGCATAACACCAAGTATTATACGTCTAACTCGCCTGATCTGAGCGCAAGCACCATCTTTTTTATGTGAAAAAGCTTTATAAACATTCTCTTCCACCCAGGACCTAACCAGTGTCCAGAATCTGCAGAAGAAGCATGCTCTTCTGGAAGCTGATGTGAGCTCCCATGCTGAAAGGATCGACGCCATCCGTAACCAGGCCGAGCAATTCATTGAGCGGGGACACTTCGACGCTGACAACATCAAGACTAAGCGGGTCAGTATTTATAGAAATTTCAACTGAACTGAACTGTTTCCCAAATTATGAAGAAAGTTGTATAAAATTATTTGTTATTTCATTAGGACGGCCTCGTCGGTCGTTACGCAGCTCTGGACAAGCCGATGGCGATCCGTAAGCGTCGCCTGTTAGACTCCCTGCAGGCTCAGCAACTGTTCCGTGACCTCGACGATGAGGCCGCCTGGATCCGTGAGAAGGAACCTATCATTGCGTCCACCAACCGAGGTACATTTTCATAATACTGTGGTACTTGATAATCAAAGTTAGTAATTCATTAGTTATTGGGATAAAACTAACATGTATCATGTTTTTGGTGCAGGTCGTGACTTGATCGGAGTACAGAACCTGATGAAGAAGCACCAAGCCGTGATGGGAGAGATGGCGCAGCACGAGGCCCGCGTGGAGGCCGTGCGGGCGGCCGGGGCCGCGCTGCGGGACGCGGGCCACTTCGCCGCCGACGACATCGCCGCGCGTCTCCAGCATCTGCAGCAGCAGTGGACCCAGCTGCAGGAGAAGGCTCTCCAGGTACTTATTGGTTTACATAACATAATGCCCAATCATAAAACATTTTGCCATCCTTTTTAAAAAAAATAGGGCCATAAAGAACTTGATGGATATGGATTCTTTCACAAAATACTTGGCATTAATTCCCCATCCCTTTACGAAACAGCGCAAACAAGACCTGGAAGACTCGCTCCAAGCTCAGCAGTACTTCGCTGACGCCAATGAGGCCGAGTCGTGGATCCGTGAGAAGGAGCCAATGGCCAACACTCAGGACTACGGCAAGGACGAGGACTCTTCGGAAGCTCTGTTGAAGAAGCACGAGGCTCTGCTCTCAGATCTAGAAGCCTTCGGAAACACCATCAAGTCACTGAGGGAACAGGCTGATGGATGCAGGGTAAGTTGACGATATCACTAAGAAATTTACAAGGTACTAAATTAAACGCAAGATTAGAATGAGCTATAGTTACTCGCCTTCGTTAATCATGTAGATGTCAATAGGCTAGCTTCCAACAATTGAAATTCAATACTTTTTCTGAAATATCAAAAAGGTCAATTTTCTAAGAATATTGTATGAAATAGCACGTTGTGACGTCATAGTGTTTTACGTCAAATAGCAAATTTATTTCTTTTGCATTAGGTATCTAAAAAATACGTAAACTTTTAAGTATATAAAATGAATGTAGGTGTGATTATTTTTAAGAAATTTTGTAGTTCTATATGTTGCAAGAAATTATTTTTGACTTAGGAAACTACCCAGCTAGAATGTTACTAACTTTTTAACCATATAATTTCTCCAACAGCAACAAGAGTCACCAGTTGTGGATGTATCGGGCAAGGAGTGTGTGGTCGCCCTGTACGACTACGCTGAGAAGTCTCCGCGCGAAGTATCCATGAAGCGAGGAGATGTGCTTACTCTACTCAATTCCAACAACAAGGTTAGTCACCTCTGTAATAATCTATAGGTCGCAATGAGAACTACCGTTTTTCAGTTTGCCACATGGCGTAAGACTGGCGTGAAATTATAATTTTGCAATTACAACAAACATTCGCCAAAGGGTTTGTTGCCCAAAAAACCTTGGGATACACTAGCGATCATGGTGGTAAACTCGCGGCACCCTTTATTGTTAAAGGGTGGTAAATCTTTACCTGCAAGTTTCTTAGTAATACTAAGTAGTAAATACTAAGCTTAAAAATTCAGTGTGGTAAAGCCTTGCTTTAGCATGAATGGGCCGGCCCGACCAGTAAATACCACGACCTCACAAGAAAACAGCCTAAAATAATGCTTGCAATATGGGTTGCTGTGAGTGAGGTTTTTTTTTAAACTTTCGCATTCATATTTACAACAAATAGTTTCGCGGGTAATTACGCGGAAAGTAATTATTTAAATACCTTGGTTTCGACCTGTTTGCATAGGTCGTGATCACAAGCAGACTGACCTGCTTGTGAGTGTGGTTACCGGAGACAATCTCTCCATCCTTCCATCCCCAATCTTCAAAAGCTAAACTCCCAAAGGCCAGCCACGCATGGGTCGCTTGTGCGGCGCCGGTTGGTTACAATAACGTGATCCATCTGCTCGGTTGTCGACGTAACACATAAAAAACCAGTTGGTGTTGCAATGGTCACAAAAAGTCACAATTTTTCATTTAAAGTATCTCCTAATATTGCAAAGATAAAGGTGACTTCGAAGTGTACCTAGTTGGGAAGATCAACACAACAATTTATTATAATTATTACTTCACATTCTGCTTATCGCTAATCGTGCTAATACCTTGTGAATGTAAAGACATACTGCAGTAGTTACCCTACAATCGACGAGATCATTTAGGTCAAACTGTTGAAAAATAAGTGTGGGAGAGCCATGCTTTGGCACGAATGGGTCGCCTCGACCGGAGTGATACCACGGCCTCACAGAAAACCGGCGTGAAACAACCACAACGTTGTGTTTTGTTTGTGTGAGTGAGGTTACCGGAGGCCCAATCCTTCCCCTCCCCCAATCCCTCCTCAATCCCTAAATCTCCCAATTTCTAATCCCTAAAAGGTCGGCAACGCACTCGTATCTCCTCCGTTGCGGGTGTCCATGGGCGGCGCTGATTGCTTACCATCAGGTAATCCGTCTGCTCGTTTGCCGATCTATTACAAATAGAGTGCAATGTTATGGCTAAGCTGAAGTGTCTCTTTTCGGTGTTATCATATTAGTAACTACAAAAACTTAGTCGTCAAATGAGTTACTTTAATAAAATACACATATCTGTAGACATGTATAAAAAAGGTACTGTCTCTTTTTACATAAAAAAAGATGTGAAGAAAGTGTAGGAGAGTCATCGACAAAATGGGCCAGTGATATCACGGCCTCCTAGAAAATGGCCGTGAAACAAAGCTTGCGTTATGCTTCACCGGTTGATTGAGCTGAACCGTAGGCCCAATTCTTTCCCCCAAATGTTGAGAGCATGGTATAATGTTAAATCATATAAAAATACAAAAAAGGTGCTGACGTCATCGCGAACGTTTATTAATTGATAAAAAAAATATTTATTACATCGGGTAACGCGATCTACCGTCCTTGTAATTAATTCTGTAATACATGCAGATAACTTTATTATACAAATATCACGTTTGTTATCTTTTATTTATCTAAAAATATTAAACCACATTTGCGTGTACTTCCCAACTTCTGTTTCTTTTGTGGTTTCATTAGATGATAACTGTATAAAGTCATATTTTTCATTCAGCAAATCTATTAGTTTAGACGAAAGGATTTAAATTCAAAAAATATGTTTTTACTTCTCTAACAGAAATTAACACAGTCTTTGATTCTCCTATAAGAATAGACACGACAATATTTATAAATTCTCAAAACTATACATTCGTCTGGCGAAATCGAAGTTAAATACAGTGAAAACAAACACTTTTATAATAAAGGAAGATCATAATATATTATGCTACAGATCACTGGTCATAATACTCATAAAATTCCGGTAGAGATTACGATAAACAGTTCAATTACAATAGTAAATCAGGCAGAGCCACCATGCTTTAGTATTAACCCACAGGCAGTAGAGAGCCATTGTTATCTGGCTTGAACCGCACGGCCGCAGGACGCGCACTAAACAGTATACGATGAACCACGCGAGAGGACGAACGCACTTACATAAGAACATATCATAGTGACATCAAAAGACAATTATGTTACGAACGTTTTGATCGAATACATATTTTTTATATAAAAAATGTAGTGGCTTGTTGTAAGTGGGCAGTGAATCGTTCTGTGATACCGAAGTGATACTAGATAATAAAATGATAGTTTTAAGTTGGTTAGCTGTTATACTGGTGGACAGTCTGTTTGCACAAAACAGAAGGAATGATAAGAAGGTTAAGCATGTGAGTTTTTCACTACAGTAAGATCTTATCATGTGTCATCATCATCAAAATTTTCGAATAACTATCTTTTTAGATATATTTCCTGTACTTTCTACTTATTTTCTTATCTACTGTATTACAGTATTTCCATCCAGATATCCACGTTAACCATTCAATCAGTCGCTTAATCAATACGATCTCTGTTTCAAGAATATTTTTGATGTCCAAGAGAACAAAACATTGCACGGAACTTTGTTATGAAAATAAAATATCTTGGAAAATATTCCGGGTTATTCAAATGATCGATTATGTTAATAATAAGTCGAGATATTTATAAATACCAACAATAATTTAAATATTAAGCGACATCCCATGAATGCGCTAACTTAACTAGTTACACATTGATATGCGTTAATTCGTGCTAAATTGTCGTGCACATTGTGACAGCCTTGTTAACCTAGTATGCTAACGTTACTATTCTACACGATTTTCTATTGTGGCAAATTTCGATGTTCATACACATATTAGACTCGGTTACACGCTTTAATATACAACACCATTATAACATTGAAGAAAATATTATTAAAATGGCATGACAAGTACTCAAACTCGAGCCCCAAGGAGGTCTAAGTATTAAAATACAGAAATACAGAAAATCTCCTACAAAATTTAAATGTAAAATGTATTTGATTGACGTAGAAGTATTAGACTTTTTAAATAGACCATTTTAATATTTCAGTATTCAGACCAGGCATTGATAGAATGAATTCGGGAAGTCTTCGCTTGAGTCTGCATACGAAAATACTTTTCTTACGTACTAGTAGAGATAATGTATAGATTCCATGGCGTGTTGGCATAGGATATCCGTTTTAACCGGTCGCGATTGTCAGTTGGGACGAGCTCTTACTACAGGATATAACATCAATCTACTACAAATGTTTTGACACAGGAAATGAAAATTGTTTGCTATAAAGAATTCAAACCATAATATTTTATCATGTTCTTGACTAGATCGTATTGTGATCAAATATAAGCAAATAATTATAAGAGGTCAGGAATTACCCTTTAAGTATGTTTTGAAATAAAACAATACAGACAAGAGATGTAAACGTCCACAGAACGAATGTTGTTTACGAATGTCTTGCAATATTATCATACCGGTAGCCAATCTTATCTGAATTAAATCATCATACATAATTCGTGAATAACAATAACTTTACGATTTCCACACCCCGTTCCTGTTATTTCCAAGCCGCATAAATACCTCCTATTATCTTCAGAAACAATGATCTTTCCGTTGTCTTTTATTATACAAATGCCATATGTGATGGTTTATTTATTGCCGCTATTGTCTTCACATCGTATAGGTTTGTCCTGATTGATTGCCATGTTGTTTCGTAACGTATGAATTGAAGCAAGGTCACGCGTATAATGGGAAGTCGAGAATGTTCCCATATTTAACCAGATCATCAGGGAATGAGCGTAGTAAATAAGATGAAAATGTACTGTAAATTAATAAATATTCAATCTTTCAATCACAAGTGAAAATTGGTAAAATATAATCGGTAAATCAAATTTGGTACACATACAAACGTTAGCTTGTCTATAAGGAAGAGCGGAGGCCTCCTACCACAATCTTTGTTTGCTTGAAACGAAGCTGCTTTCTTCACATGATGTACGTAAATGATATTTAGTGAAAATAAACATTATTTCAATCATTTTCATTAACTAGTACACGTGCTAGGAAACTCCTGCGTCACATGCATCGTGTAATTTAGATGTAAAGTTACTTTAAGCCGTTCAGTCCGTCTTATTGACGCTCAAAAGAATTTTCGGATCCTAATAAAATCGAAGATTAATTTTATATCCTATCTTTATTACGCTCGTGACTTTTTTTAGGATTAACATGTTTACCAAAAGAAGTCTTTTTAAACTTACTCATAATTATAGACGTGTCTGAATACAAAAATTCAATGTTTGTTAAACAGGACTGGTGGAAGGTAGAGGTGAACGACCGTCAGGGCTTTGTGCCGGCCGCCTATGTGAAGAAGATCGATGCCGGCCTGTCCTCCTCGCAGCAGAATCTCGCTGACTCCAGCTCTATTGCTGCCAGGCAGAACCAGGTAAAGCAATCTTACCATTTATTCAAACTATCTTTGACACGACTAGAATTATACAATCAAATTTTGACCGTGCCGGCTAGTACGATCTAATCAAATTGTAAAGCTTCATGCATAAATTGAAGAAACTATAGATTATCTGTAAGACTCAACATTTAGAATTGCAATATTCTCACCTGTGGCGTATAAAAGCTGTTCTCGCAGATTAGTTTATTTTTAAATGAAATTACGGTCCTATTAGATATTGAACAATACTAATTATAGCACTATCTACTTGTAAGAAATTAGTCATAATTTTATCAACAGTATAATTGCACCCGTTTTGACATATCCTTCAAAATAATGACTACTTTACATCACATTGAAGTAACCAGGCCCAAATTGACATTAATTTTGTTCTCAGATCGAAGCCCAGTATGACAACTTGCTACGCCTGGCGCGCCAGAGACAGAACAAGCTCAATGAGACTGTCAAGGCGTACGTGCTGGTCCGCGAAGCCGCCGAGCTCGCCACCTGGATCAAGGACAAGGTATGTTGTTCAAGGTCAAACATAACTTCAGAATCGTTTAGGTAATAGTTAAATGTATCTTATATTCAGTGAACGAATTTTGTTTTCAATTCCCAAATGATGAATATACTCAACGTCTTGTGATCATTAGCTTTTTTTAAAAGAGACTCGTAAAATGTGATTAGTTTATTTTTCCATCCGACCTTACCTTTGTAGAACAAAACACGTTTTGACGACATTCTATTATTTTGCAGGAGATGCACGCCCAAGTACAAGACGTCGGTGAAGACCTGGAACAAGTGGAGGTAATGCAGAAGAAGTTCGACGACTTCCAAAATGACCTCCGCGCTAACGAGGTCCGCCTCGCTGAGATGAACGAGATCGCCGTGCAGCTCATGACTGTCGGTCAGACTGAAGCTGCGCTGAAAATCCAGACTCAGATGCAGGTCAGTATTGAACTGTTTTTAAAGTTATTTACCTGCCGAAGAGGGCTTGCAGAGCTCAAATTTATTGAAATTAGTATGCCATAGGTGGCAGTCGTAGTAGCGAGAATTTATTTAAATCATTAATATTTTAAATTCTTAAGTAGATTTTGGCGATGGAAATGTTGAATATATACCTGAGTAAAAAATTGGTTCTAATGGTTTGCATTTTCTACAGAAAATTGGTGAAAAATTGTGATAGTATTCGTAACTCGTTCTTCACATTGTAGCAGTGGCAGTAACTAGTATATTTTCCTAGCCACCATTTAATAATTAGAATTAGAACACGGGAAACCCTCTTTACTTTTTATATTAATTGACAAATAACTAAACGCACAACCAGTCACGTACACAAATTTACAATATGACCACAGTATATAAGCAAACATTTACAGAGCAAGATTTAATAGACGGGACAAATATTGGCTGGTGTTATGTAATAATTTACATGTCTGCCATATGCGATGTATCTAGCAGGATCAATGTCACAATGCGTAGTTATTTGCTCTTATGTTATATCCACGAACATGGTTAATTACAACATGAAAAATCCCATATAAACCGATTAGATAAAACCACAAGTAGGGTTAATATGTTTTACATTAATATAGGTACAGGCTTTATATGAAAATTTACAAATGGAAAGCAATGCTAAAGTCGCAGTTATTCTAGAATGACTGTTTTGAAATACGTACCTACTAATCCGTCGCCAAATCCGTCTGTACTGAATTACGCAGTTACAGTATTCTAACTTATTTACGTTTTATACAACTACAACTTTAACAAAAAGCAACGAATTTAGAAGTAGGTACGGCACAAACTGATTTATTGCAACCGTTTGATTACTATGCGAAATAACTTTTTTCATTTAATATAGACGAGCAGAATGTTAGATAACATCTCTCAATTAATAACCTCTCACATCATCAGGAACTGAACTCGAAATGGACGTCCCTACAACAACTGACCGCGGAGCGCGCCGCCCAGCTTGGCTCCGCGCACGAGGTGCAGCGCTTCCACCGCGACGTGGACGAGACCAAGGACTGGATCGCTGAGAAGGAGGCCGCGCTCGCTACCGACGACCTCGGCAAGGATCTGCGCTCTGTGCAGACTCTGCAGCGTAAGTACAACATAATAATATTGCTTGTTCGTTTCAAGCAACCTTAACTACAAATCATAACAAAAAACAAATTGTTTTTGGAAGGCCTCGCGGAAATAGCTAATTAACAATAAAATTCACGTAATCCTTTATTAACAGGCAAACATGAGGGTCTGGAGCGCGACCTCGCCGCTCTTGGCGACAAGATCCGTCAGCTGGATGACACCGCCAACCGCCTGATGGCGACGCACGGAGACTCGGCGGACGCCACCTACAGCAAGCAGCGGGAGATCAACGAGGCCTGGCAACAGCTTCAGGCCAGGGCCAACGCGCGCAAGGAGAAACTGCTAGACTCCTATGACTTGCAGAGGTAAATAAATACTATATGAAGTACACTTAGGTGTAACATAAAACTGGGATGTCATTTACCTAATTGAAATCAATGTACTATGTGAGGGGTCATGTGTATTGCTACAAGTTTTATAACTAAGCTGTAAAATGCAATTGAGCATTTTCAATACAGATGCCAGAATTACCCTAACATACTATCATAATAAATGATTGTATTTTCCATTCAACAGGTTCTTGTCTGACTACCGCGACTTGATGGCTTGGATCAACTCCATGATGGCTCTCGTAAGCTCAGACGAGTTGGCAAACGACGTCACCGGCGCTGAAGCACTCCTTGAGAGACACCAGGTATGTGCCATATTCCATCATTCCACTACATGTAATATTATTCTTTGTACAATATACCCGTTTGGTCCACCAGTGACTAATTGAGTGAAATCATTATATCTTATTAATCAACTGTGATTGTATAAAGTTTGAATATAGCGATTAGTATCCTCTAATATCAAAACAGTCATATGATTTGAACTCAAGATCAGTAATCCATCCAAAAATCTTTTTCAAACGCCATGGGTAGTGAAAATCCTGTGTTTGGCATACCGGGAGCAAAAAGATTGAATTTGATATGAGATTGGCATTGATTGGGTGTACTTGAAACAAATATCACATGGTGACTGTGTTTCTAGAGCCAGCGTTTGGAGATAGACGCGCGGTACGGCATAATGCCGCAGGTCAGACGCATTGCACGCATGTGTGCCCCCAGCCTTACTACCATTCTTGCAACGCACGACCAATAAGACTTGTGTGTGTGCAGATCTGTTTGTACACGAAAATAAAAACACATCTAATAACACAAATACAAGTGTTATTTTAACAGTATCTAAGAACCAAATGAGTAAATAATATTATTTACATTTTACTTTGCTAATAATTTGCATCGTAAGTGTTATATGGCGCAGTCAACAACAATAAACCATACTTATAGGTACAAAGTACATTTACTTGATAAAAAAATCCTACGATCTTAACTAAAGACGCCACCCTGATTTTATGTTAAACAAATCTTTAGTTACATGCATAAGTCTTACAAATGTAATAATACTAGTGCGTTGCAAGAACTCTATAATATACACCCGTGTATGCAATAATACGCAATAATACACACTACACTCGATGTGCTGCTGTTTACAATCTAATTTATTTATAATTAATGTTCTTAGCGGCCGGGGTAGTTACCCTAACAGTTTAACTATAAAAAACTTAACAGGCAAATGACGGCAACTATTATTAACATATTTAATTGTTTTTATACTGTATTTTAGTTATTTTTTACATGTTGTGGTATAGGTTATAACCAAGTGATGTAGTGTGTTTATGTGAAATTGGTATAAAAGTGTTCTCATGGTGTAGCTTGTATTGGTCAATTAAATTTGCACTTATTATTGGCAATAACTTGACCAGTTGTAATTGAGCTACCTCATGAGGTAAATCCTATAGAAAAGTTCTTATTTTTCTTTCTTCCTAATACACTTTTTACATTGGTTGTACCCGTTTTCCGTGTGTTTTCAAGGTGTTTTAAGTTTGTTCTTTATGTGTTTTAGTGTGTGTGTACTTTTATTTGACTCTATGTATTTCTATTGTTTTTATTTCTGACACTTTCTCTCGACTATACCACCGATTATTTGATTCTTCTTGGTGTGTGTTGTAAAAGCTTTATTTTATAAACAAATTCACAATGCCTCTAATTGATATTATTTATTATAGTCGCTGAGGTATTGTGTTTAAAAGTTATTGATGTGTGGGTAAATATTGATAATAAATAACTAAACAGTGGTTGTAACTGAAATATTAAACAAATCTAAATAATCAAAAACTTATATACTACGATTGCAATAAACTTTACGAGATAGATTATAACTTTTAATTAGTATTTTGTCGTCATGTAAATATTTTTTAATTAAATTAATACGCCATTACAATTTGGCATCTACAAAATATGTATTATCACTAAAATAAATACTTTGGAGTGTTGCTAATAAATTGTGCGTAATATAGGAACATCGCACGGAGATGGACGCCCGCGCCGGCACGTTCCAAGCTCTGGAGCTGTTCGGGCAGCAACTACTGCAGGGCGGACACTACGCCAGCGTCGATATACAGGAGAAACTCAACAACATGAGCGACGCCAGGCAGGAGCTCGAGAAGTAAGCATACATTGCCAGTAAACTGTTGATTTACCGCCCTTGGCTTGGTGAGAGGAAGAAAAAGAATGGGCCTTCTGTACCCTACTCACATGTTTTTCATTTCCTCGACGATACTCAACACTTACCTTTCCTCAGGGCTTGGGTAGGTCGTCGTATGAAGCTGGACCAGAACTTGGAGCTGCAGCTGTTCTACCGCGACTGCGAGCAGGCTGAGACCTGGATGGGTGCACGTGAGGCCTTCCTCTCGCCCACCTCCAAGGACCAGGCCGATGCTGCAGACTCCGCCGACTCTGCACAGCCAGACAATGTGGAACAACTCATCAAAAAACACGAGGACTTCGACAAGGCTATCAACGCTCATGTGAGTTTCTAACTTCAATAATTGACACAAGCGAATGGCTACAATATAAAAGAAATATATTTAAATATAAAATTAAAACATTTCAATATTACATACCCAAACATTTGAAGATTTATGAATTATTGCTCTACTTGTATTGAATGCTCCCATCGGTTGTGGTGCAGGAGGAGAAGATAGCTCAGCTACAGACGCTGGCGGACCAGTTGATGGCGTCCGAGCACTACGCGGCCGACGACATCGACGGCAAGCGGCGACAGGTACTCGACCGCTGGCGACATCTCAAGGAGGCACTCATTGAGAAGAGATCTAGGTAAATAGGCTTTACTCAAAACATTTATACCAGACAACTCAGCTCTGTAGGTAAAATGCATTTTTAAGACGGCCAAAATAGTGCTACAGTGTTTCTGTTGTTCCTCTAGATATTTCATTACTTTAGATTTTATTTTTTTATCTTTAGTTTAATTCTACCTGTCTTTGGCACTAATCTAACACCCGGTTTCTGAAAGGCTTGTCAACGCTAAAATTAACTAATCTCCTATTAAATCTCTTGCCATCTGATTAGTTGTTGATAATTCAGTCAACCAATCAGATGACTTGACAAGAGATTAAATAGATTTTAACATTGATCGGCCTTTCGGAAACCGGGTGTAAGTCGAGATTTAGATTCAAATCATCTACTAGATCACATACGATGTATTACTATTTGCAGATTGGGCGACGAACAAACGCTGCAGCAGTTCTCGCGCGATGCCGACGAGATGGAGAACTGGATCGCCGAGAAACTTCAGCTCGCCACCGAGGAAAGCTACAAGGTAGTATTCGACTAATTAAAAAAAACATATTTCTTATATTGTTATAAAGTAGAAGTAAATCAAAATTATTGTACCTGAACCAATCAGCAGAATGTTTTACTTCTCACTCTCTGTGTCGTCAAACAAGCAGGGAGTATGTTATTAAGTATCAAAACGTTTCTAAGTGTTTTCCCTCTGGCAGGACCCTGCGAACATTCAGTCGAAGCACCAGAAGCACCAGGCGTTCGAGGCGGAGCTGGCTGCCAACGCAGAACGCATCCAGTCCGTGCTGGCCATGGGGGGCAACCTGGTGCAACGTGGACAGTGCAGCGGAAGCGAAGACGCCGTGCAGGTATATAATCACTATTAGTATCACAAGGACATGTAGGCACTAATTAGGACAATGGAAATCGGTTAATCATGCTCATCCAAACGCAAATATTTTCTCGTATGCTGATGACACTGCAGTAGTGTTTACGGGTGTTTCTTGGAGAGACGTTCAGCTTAGCGCAGAGTTGGGGTTGTCTATGATTTCTAGATGGCTGGGACAGAATTTGCTCACACTGAACATATCTAAAACAAACTACATATGTTTCAGTGTTTGCAATCGTACACAGCCTAGCACTGACTTTGCTCTAAAGGTTCACATATGTGGCGCTGGAGATCACACACAGTGTAGCTGCCCAGCAATAGACAAAGTATCTCACACCAAATATTTGGGTATTATAATTGACCAAAGATTGTCTTGGCACCAGCATATTGAGCAAGTTTCAAATAGAATAAGAAAATTAAGTTGGGTTTTCCGGACTCTGAGGCATATAATACCTAAAAAGATGTTTACTCCGTTAGGTAAAACCAAAAACCTCCTAAATTCATTATACTTGATATTGGCACAATCAGTATTGTCATATTGCATAGTAGTATGGGGTGGTGCTACCAAAACAAAGTTCTTAGAGCTAGAGAGAGCACAACGAGCTCTTATCAAGTGCATGTATTTTAAAAAAAGAAGATTTTGTACTGAAGAATTATATCAAATTAGTGACCTTCTAACAGTCCGGAAGCTATATATAACTCAAGCTGTTCTCTCTAGACACAAATCACTGAAATTTGATTCTAGAATATTGTTAAGAAGAAGAAAAGATATTATTTTAGACATACCACAAAGTAGAACTTTATTTGCCAGTATTCAATACCGGAAACGATCGGCCCAGCTTTACAATACCATTAATAAATACATATATATTTACTGTAAGAATTATTATGAATGCAAAAAAACACTAACAGAATGGATAAAAACCCTTACCTATAGCGAGACCGAAACACTTCTACAACAGAAACATTGACTTTAACGACACACACACACAAACACACACACACACACACACACACACACACACACACACACACACACACACACACACACACACACACACACACACACACACACACACAAACACACACACACACACACACAAACACACACGCTCACTCACTCTTTTCTTTGTTTTTAATTAATTAAGATTACTATAGTTTAATGTACTAGATACTATAATTCGCTTTAGAAAGAGCGGAGTCTCCTAATACAGGCATCCTATGCTTAAAAGGAGGCTTCAAACTTAAATACTATGTTTGTACAATTTTTGGTTTTTTCTAATAAACAATTTTTATTTATTATTTATTTATTTTATTATCCATACTTTTGTTAGAAAAGTAATTTACAAGAATTGGTTTAGTTTTACAAAAATATTACAATCATTGCCAGGCTGAACTAAAGTTAAAAAGTTTTTATTTTAAGTACAACATTTGTGATGACAGGCTCGCTTAGCATCCATCGCGGACCAGTGGGAGTTCCTAACGCAGAAGACAACAGAAAAGTCTCTGAAACTGAAGGAGGCCAACAAGCAGCGCACTTACATCGCCGCCGTCAAGGACCTCGACTTCTGGCTTGGAGAGGTAACGTATTATATATTACCGTACATAAATCATTGATCGTTAATCAGGTGATCAGCCAACCCTTGATTCCTTTCCTGAAATCTTGTATTATTATTTCCTCGTTGTTCTCTGATCATAATGTTACACCAAACATATATTTAACTCATATTTAATTTACATTTTATTTTTTTATGTTAACAATCATTATATTTGTTCAGGTTGAGAGTTTGTTGACGTCGGAGGACTCAGGCAAGGACTTGGCGTCCGTACAGAATCTCATGAAGAAACACCAGCTCGTTGAAGCCGACATCCAGGCGCACGAGGACAGAATCAATGGTCAGTTTCTTTTCTTACCTTTGTAAACTTCTCATTACAAATAATGTCTGATTGGACTTTTTTATTTTTATTTTTATTGAGTAGAGACAACAAACAGCTACATTATAAATAGTGTACACAGACATTATAAACAAATCTTGATGTAACAATGCAGCCCACAACGTTATCCACAAATTAACAACCAACCACAAATTGGCAATTTAAATTGCTATAAAATTACAGTACGATCTGCTGGGCTGAATGATAATTATAGAGTACTTATTATAGGAAACGTGAAAGCATTTTTATAACAATTTGTTAGCTGTCTAGAGAGCCCATATTATAAGGATATTTTTCCCCAGACATGAACGCGCAAGCAGACGCGTTGGTATCGAGTGGGCAGTTCGACAGCGCGGGCATCGGGTCGCGGCGCGCCGCCATCAACGAGCGCTTCGAGCGCGTCCGCAACCTCGCCGCGCATCGACGCGCCAGGCTGCACGAGGCCAACACTCTGCACCAGTTCTTCCGGGACATTGCTGACGAGGAATCCTGGATCAAGTACGTATTCTGCGCAAATACTTCATGATTTATTGTAGACTTTACCGGTTATTTAAACAATGACCTGCGTTGTAGTACTTGTAGCATACAGTTTTGGTTTTAATAAAATTAACCCCACTAAATTTTGACATCAATCAGGGAGAAGAAACTGCTGGTCGCATCAGATGACTACGGCCGCGACCTCACTGGTGTCCAGAACTTGTTGAAGAAGCACAAGCGTCTTGAAGCCGAGCTGGCTAGCCACGAGCCTGCCATCCAGGCCGTACAGGAAGCCGGAGAGAAACTAATGGACGTGTCTAACCTCGGAGTGCCAGAGATCGAACAGAGGCTGAAGGCATTGTCTCTTGCTTGGGACGAACTGCAGGCCTTGGCGGCAGAGCGTGGAGCCAAATTGCAGCAGTCTCTTGCCTACCAACAGTTCCTCGCCAAGGTTGACGAGGAGGAGGCTTGGATCAGGTGAGAATCAGGCTTAAATTTCTTATCATGTAAAAAAGTACTAGAGTGTAGGAATGAATAACACCGAGAGTCGGTATGTTTTGAGCAATCGGTTTGTATCGGCAGCGAGAAGCAGCAGTTGGTGGTGGTGGGCGAGTGCGGCGACAGTATGGCGGCCGTGCAGGGCCTGCTGAAGAAGCACGAGGCGCTCGAGGCCGAGCTGGCGGCGCGCGCAGACCGCGTGCGCGACCTCGCCGCCGACGGGGACGCGCTGCTCGCCGCCGGGAACCTGCACGCCGACGCGCTCTCGCATCGCATACACGCGCTGCAGGTACGCAGCCCTTACTCATTCTCATCATTTATACACTAACCTTTTATCATAGTAGTTCATTTTCATATGACACGAGCCCCTTAACTGGATTACCTTTCTTTTCTAGGCTAAGCTGGAGAAGCTAACAGGCTTGGCAGCTCGTCGCAAGGCGGCGCTGGTGGACAATTCCCTGTACCTGCAGTTGTTGTGGAAGGCCGACGTGGTGGAGTCCTGGATCGCCGACAAGGAAACACACGTGCGCTCTGACGAGTTCGGACGTGACCTCTCCACTGTGCAGACCCTGCTCACCAAACAGGACACCTTCGATGCTGGTTAGTGAAATAATAACATGAGAATAAAAATGTAACACATTAGACAAGTGATGTAGTTGCTAAAATCTTTACTCTTTATGCTCAAGAATCGCCTAGCTATTCCAAACTGTGTGTAATTCTCTATTTTATTGTTCATTCATCCAATTGTCCACCTTCCTTGCAGGTTTGGCCGCATTCGAGCACGAAGGTATCCAGAACATAACATCTCTGAAGGAGCAACTGGTGGCGGCGGGCCACGAACAGAGCCCCGCCATCGTGAAGCGCCACGCTGACGTCATCGCGCGCTGGCAGCGCCTGCTGGCCGGCTCCGCCGCCAGGAAGCAGCGTCTGCTGCAGCTGCAGGACCAGTTCCGCCAGATCGAGGAGCTCTACCTCACCTTCGCCAAGAAGGTATGCTTATATCAAACTATTGTGTTCTCTAACATCTAACGAAACAGTAAATAGTAGTAAAAAAATATAAATTTATTTTGCTTCTTTATAAAGTACTAATATGTTATATTGTATTTGTTTAGGCATCAGCCTTCAACTCATGGTTCGAGAACGCGGAGGAAGACCTTACTGACCCAGTGCGCTGCAACTCCATCGAGGAGATCAGGGCACTCAGGGATGCGCATGCGCAGTTCCAAGTGAGTACCGCCCTTTTTCGTAACCAATAAATACACCTATTTTTTTATATTGTTACGATCCATTTCCTACACGAAGGACAAATATTCAATAATATTCTCTAATCGCAGGCTTCCCTATCATCGGCTCAAAGCGACTTCGAGGCGCTAGCCGCGCTGGACGAGCAGATCAAATCGTTCAACGTGGGCGCTAACCCCTACACCTGGTTCACGATGGAGGCTCTCGAGGAGACCTGGAGGAATCTGCGCAAGATCATCGGTAAACTAACTTGTTCTCTAAGATATTCATACACGCGTTCCTCGATATGTTCTTTTAGTGTAAAATCTACATAACATTATATCAAAACGCGATGTGGACTATGCGTGAAAGGACAAGATTATAATAGACAAATTTTGCTGTCGCTTTTTATTCACATGATCGTCATCGAAATCGAAATAATAAATAATAGCTAAGTAATGTTGTGTATGTGTGTACAGCTGAGCGCGACGTAGAGCTGACGAAGGAGGCGCACCGCCAAGAGGAGAACGACAAACTGCGCAAGGAGTTCGCTAAGCATGCCAACGCGTTCCACCAGTGGCTCACTGAGACTCGGTATGTCAACAAAATTTACAAAATAAATAGCCGAACTATAAGAGGCTAAATCCCTTTTCCTTTCCGAAAGAGCTGCTAATGCACCTGTAATTCTTATATTCGGTGACCTGACGGCTTTTGTGCCACCTTACATAATCGACAAGAAAATAACCAATGCATTCATTTGTTTACCAGAGAGAATTTTAAGGATAGATTAATCTTCTCTGAGATTTTACGACTCTGGATAGTACAAGGTTTGATGTACTATGTAATGTGTATCAAAAATAAATATTTAAAATGTGAGAAAATGCGTACTATACAAAGGAAACAAGAGTTGACTCCCTTCGGCCGCGTACGAACCACCGGTTACTCGTCTTGCTACAAAACGAGATGTATTTTCTTCCTACCAAACCAATTACTTACTATATAAGAAAACTCACTCTTATAGGAAAAAATCTAAATTAAAAATGTTGAAAATGATCTTTATCTTTAGTGCAAAATATTTCAAAATAGTATGGAATAGAGATGTTGACATGTTGCTTGGTGTACAGGTACCGGCTGCTAGGCTGGGACGGGTAATGTATTCAGATTGTCGCGTGCATACTAAACTTGTAAAAACTATATGCTTGTGGACTTGGCAAAAGTTTGAAAGCAACTTTTTTAATATGTATACTATTGTCATAAGTATCTATCGTATCGTATATTTTCATAAGTTACCAGCAATTATAAATGCTGAAGAATATGTTGGTCTTAAATAAAGTGTTACAACTTTCGCCAAGCCAATATAATCGTTGTACGCACAACTACGTCCTCGATGTCTCTCTGTACTATGCAGCTTAATGATCGGCTTACAAGTATCTTCTGCCGTCCAGAACCAAATAAAAATATAATTATGATTACTTTTTACTAATGAACAAGATTTCCTTCCAAATTTACTAATCAATGTTGACAAACACATCTAATTAATGTATTAAATCAAGTCATCCATTCAATGTTTTTAATATAAACATTAAAACTCTAATGAGAACAGAGTACTTGTTATTTCATTAACTTTAATTTTAAAATTCAACGTGTTATTGGAATCTCTATGTCGTAAACTTTGTACGTAAAAAATCTGTTACTATACCTAATACAGTGATGGGCATATAAATGTATGTTGTTGACATCCGTTAATGTGTCTATAGTCACAATAATTTTCCGCATTTTCTAAAAATATCGCATCTATTAATTCTCGGTGTTAATGTAAACTGTGTTTTACCTCTAGCACATCGATGATGGAGGGCACTGGATCCCTGGAGCAACAACTGGCCATCTTGCGCCAACGCGCCGGAGAGGTGCGCGCGCGCAGGGTAGATCTGCGACGCCTTGAAGAATTAGGTGAGTAGATTGTTGTCAACTTCCATTGTATAAGGTGGGAGTGTTTTATAGTTTGATAAAGTCGTGCATCATGATAAACTGGCATAATTACAAAATACAAATTTTCGTTGTCTTTGCCAGATGCTACATCTTGCAGCGCATAAGTCTCCAAATTATATATTTTATTTTGTTGTCTTTAGGTGCCGCACTAGAAGAGCATTTGATCCTGGACAACAGATACACGGAGCACAGTACTGTAGGACTTGCCCAGCAGTGGGACCAGCTCGACCAACTGTCCATGCGCATGCAGCATAACTTGGAGCAACAGATACAGGCCAGGAACCATTCTGGTGTGTATACAAACAGATATTGTACTTCCTATTTGAATTTATATAACATTTACTGATTTACTATTTTATTATTTTTCGCAGGTGTGAGCGAGGATGCTCTGAAGGAGTTCTCGATGATGTTCAAACATTTCGACAAAGATCGCTCTGGTCGCCTCAATCACCACGAGTTCAAGTCTTGCCTGCGAGCCCTCGGATACGACCTGCCCATGGTTGAAGAGGGACAACCTGACCCTGAATTTGAAGCCATACTCAGTAAGTTATCTCTCACTCCCGACAAATTATGACCAAAAAAACAATCATTCATGATATTAATAAAATATATTTCCTTGCAGATGTGGTCGATCCGAACCGCGACGGGCAAGTATCCCTCCAAGAATACATGGCCTTCATGATCAGTAAGGAAACTGAGAATGTACATTCTTCGGAGGAGATAGAGAACGCGTTCCGAGCCATTACCGCGCACCAGGACCGCTCCTACGTCACCAAGGACGAGCTATACGCCGTAAGTAACGCTTCAAATTGTATAGCGATACACCGTAAGGATATTGCCCGCTTAACATATGATTTCATTCACAGAACCTCACCAAGGAGATGGCGGACTACTGCGTGGCTCGCATGAAACCCTTCGTCGACCCCAAGACGGAGCGCCCCATACCCAACGCCCTGGACTACATAGACTTCACGCGAACACTCTTCCAGAACTAAGCACGCACTGCGCACCTCGCCCGGTCCCGCGCAGTACTGCTAGCTTTTATTTATCGCATTAAATCCAGAAAAAGAAACTTGTTTTTGATTTTGTGTCGTGTCCCACCTCTCACGTGAGTACTGCGCGGACGGCCGCGCGATCAGCTTTACTATTTCTATATCAATATATAGCACTATTCGATGTCTAATTATTCCAAAAGTATTATAGACTGAATAAAAAAGCATTTCAATATTTCATGTTGCATAGCGTTAGTTGTAATTTGAAGTATAAAACCTTAAGCTGATGTCAGTGCGTCGTCGTGTCGGAAGTAAGTGCTTGTGTTCGTAGCCGAGCAAGTCGCGCCCGCACGAGTGTCGCAGTGTGTCGTGACGCTACTTGTGTAGTCGCTCCGTACCTTGTGGTATACGTAGTAAGGGTTAGAATTCCTTTTCTCTGATATGAGAGCAGAGAAATACGAAGCTGCCAGTCTCTACGACTTGTTGTCAGTTTGGTTGTCTACATACACGCATTTTATATTCCGTAATTCTCTTTGAATTTTCATGTCGATCATATTGCATTTGATAACAATAAATAATTTGCTAGATAGTGTTATAAGCTATAAATCTTATTTTATTATTCGTTTATTAAATTGTGCTAAGATACTATTTATTTTTTGTATCATCTAACAATTTTATCTTTTCAATAAATATTTATTCCCAAAGTTAATTGTTTATTTTCAAATAAAAGTCGTGGTCTATCATACAGTCCATTATTCATGTAATAAATTATCTGTAATTACATTATTTGTTCCTATCATACAAGTTACTAATCACATAATTATAAACTCTTCAATACAGTTACAGTGACAATATTTCTAATTACATTAATTTTGTTAGTTTGCTAAAGCCGAAATATAAAATAATTAAGTCATCTATAATGTCAGTATATTCAAATTATTTTTACATATTTACATTTTGCAAGCATAATTTGGTATAATATTCGATAGAGACTAAGTGCCTATTTCACCATCGTCACATAAGTTCCCGATATACTCATGTGCATATGAAGTACATACATATTAAAATTAAACTAGATAAATAGTGACTATCAATAATAATAATATTGTAATTTAAGGCTGCTATGATCACGCTATTATAGTTCAAATTGAGACTGCACTCACAAGACAGATAGACAATGTATATGTATTATATTTACAACATTATTGTATTTTTATATGGTAGAAGCTAATATTTTTAGTTTTTAATGGTAATATTTATGAATGGCTTAATTTATGGGCTAACCCGAAACAAAGCATTATATCGATATTGGAAGGATAATTTGATAAAATATTTTGTGAGATCTTATTCTACAAGTTACTTGTTATCACCATAAGTGTGATTAGGAAAGTCACACAATGTGACTGGTAGTTTCTTAATTTTAATAATGTTTATATGGCTTATTCACATATTGTATTCCATTAGTTAGGCACACCTAACAATACCATTGACCCACACATTGGGATAACATTTGGCTGCGCAACATAATAATTTCGTGCACGTAGGTCAAAACCATAGCTCGAAGCAGTCGCCATTGCCTCGAATATATTGAGTAAGCCGTATAAATATTTTTCAATTTACAATACGTTTTAAAAAAACAATAGTATGTTGCTACAGTTGCGCCCTCTGTAATAGTCTGAATTCGTTTGGCGTGACAAGTGGTTGCAGTTTGTCTAATAATGCTTGTGGTAGCGTGCCCCGTGCCGGCTGCAAGTATGGGATGGACAGCAGTTCGCGGACTGAAGGACGCGCGCGCGCGTTGTAGGTCAGGCACCATTTCAGCGCTGCGATCAGTGATGGAGGGAGGTCTGCAAGGAAGATACCAGAATATTAGAAGTCTGATAAAAATATCTCTATACAGCTGATAATAAATTGGTATTACATGAACACACGTCAGATAATTGTTATGCAACTTAAGATGCTCTAACACCTAAAGTTTTGAACAACTTACGCTCTACGGGCGGGTAATCGATGCGATGGTTGGGGTCGAGTATGGCGGCTAGCTTGGCGAGGTTGGGGATGTGGCCAAACGGGGTGCGCCCGTACACCATACTGTACAGGATACAGCCCAGAGACCACACATCTGATCGGAATGAGATCTGCAACAAAAGTAATAGTTAACAAAAGTCCAGACAGATGTAACCTTTTTAAATCTACGCAATCTCATAAGAAGTACTTAGTGTAAGAATGTAGCTATTACATGGATTGGCAAATGATGACAAAGATAGAATAATAGAAATGGATTTTTTTGTGTTAACTTACAATGACTTATTTATAAACATATAAACTGACATTGACCCAATAATAAATCCTAATCTTCCAAAAAAAGGTAGGAACTGTATAATGAATAAAAGATATTTACCTTAATGGGAGCGCTGCCTTCGCCATTAGCGACGCCATACCCCCCGGCACCGCCCATGAGCGCCTCGGGGCTGATGTATGAGTAAGTTCCTGTGGCTTGCGAGCGCACTACAGAGGTCGCGTCGCTACTGATAGCTGATGCAATACCAAAGTCTATCAGCTTCAACCTTCCGCACACCAGCAGGAAATTTGCGGGTTTTAAGTCAGCATGTATTACACCTGTCAATTATACAAAAACTTGACCTGCGGCCTGACAGAAAATCGGCGTGAAACTACGCTTACATTGTCTTTTTCTTTGTGAGTTACGGCAGACGGAATCCTACCCCCCTCATCCTAAATCCATGCATCTCTAATCCGCAAAAGGGTGGCAATGCACTTGTAACTCTTGAATGTTGTGGATGTCCATAGGTAGGGCTGATTGCTTACCAATATGAACAATCAGTTTGTTGAATGACTTATAAAAAACTTATTCTAAGGAAAATGTCTAATTAAATAGAAACACAGTAGAACATACAATAGTTATATAGGTACAATGCCAAGTAACGTCATGGTCCTTACCATGTTCATGTATATAATGCACAGCATGTAGCATCTCCTCCCAGTAGTGCAACACGAGGGCGGGCGGGAGACCAGCGCCGCGAGCCTTTAGGAACGAAGACAGGTCCGTCTCACCCACCTCCAACACCATACGGAGGAACTGGTTGGTGCGGTCATACTCACTAAAATTGAAAAAATATTGCTTTCAGTTTGTCATTACCCCAAATTCAAGCTTCATTAAAAACTTTAATCCAAGTCAAATAAAAGGAAGTATTTAATTTAGTGTAGTTCATTCAGAAGTTGGGTGTCTCAGCTTAGCATTCTTCATTAGGAATGTAGATGTTGTTTTCAAGAATAAAGATGAATTATTTTATTTAGATGCACGGTTGGCGCGGTGGCTGGGCAACTGGCTGCCGCGCAACGTGTCGCGGGTTCGATTCCCGCACGGAACAACTCTTTGTGTGATCCACAGATTGTTGTTCCGGGTCTGGGTGTGATGTGTATGTGAAATTGTATGTTTGTAAACGCACCTACGACACAGGAGAAAATCCTAGTGTAGGGCAACGTTTTATAAAGAAAAAAAAAAAAAAAAATCTGCAAATTAACAAATTCTTATATAGTACTTGACTACTCACTAATCAAATAGCCTGATCACTCTGTCAGAGTTCTGCAGCTCTCTCAGTAGCCGCACCTCGTTGATGTAGCCCTGTGCCAGCTCATGGTCCGTGGCCAGGTATACACACTTCACTGCATATTCACATGAGGTGCCAACCTCCAACACCTGCAGCAAGCAACACAAATAGTTGAGGTAAATTTTTAATAGTGTCTGCTGATAGGTAGTATAGCTTTTTTGAACAGTGTCCTATTAGAAAAGTTTGTAAACTTACAGAATATTCAAATAAGACTATAATAAAGATATAGGACAACACTTACTTTGTACACTTCACTAGATCCTCCAGTGCCCAACTTTTTAATGAACATGTACTTCTTGTCTTTTATACTGGTTGTTTTGAATAATATTTTAGAACTATTGGTTACCACTCCCTGTGGGTATGAAGGTGTCGCCACATATGAGGCCGGCATTGCCTTTCTGTTAAGTGGTGTCTCAGGTACTGGTACAGGCGCAGGTGCAGGAGCTGGCTCTGCACGTGGTGGTGGACACAATGGCTCATCCTTAGGATTTTGAGAAAACAACTCCACTCTCACTCTGTCTCTGTTCTGAATGGCAGCTTTCTGTGGAGTTTTCTTATGGCTGGGTTTCGACCCTGGTGTAAACCGTCTGATACCTGACTTTATCTTAGGAGTTGCAGATTTTAACTTCTGTGCACTGGTTGGCACTTTTTTCTCTGGAGTCTTTTTAATACATGAACTTTGTATTCGGGAATTATTACTGTTCTGTGGCATTAATACACTACGCGTCTTAGCTTCTGAAGTCGGAAAAATATTAGCATTTTTGTTTTGTGGTGCACTTTGTGAATTAAAATTATTTTCTTTAGCTGGATATGTTTGATGAGGCACCCAATTATCGTTTGCGTTCTCTTTGTCATGATCGCTATAAGAAAATTTCTTTTCTGAAGCAAAAGCTTTTATGTCTTTCGGTTTAGGTTTCACATTGGGCGTAAAAAAATCTTTGTTTATTTTCTTAGCAGGAGATGGTTTTTTCGCCACGGTTTCGCCGAAGGAATTATCACTATCGTCGGCTGATGAAAAGCTGGCATCAGGGCTATCTGCTGCATTCTTGAAAGGCATCAAATTAGCCAGCAGTGCCGACATAGGCATGGGCGCAAACTTGATGCTATTCGATGTTGATTCCGTGTTACCACTCATATTTACCGACGTTTAATGCATTTGTTGAGTAAATCTGAACATAAATTACAACTTTCAACAAATATTTCACTTAGTGTTATGTATAAATTGTATAATTTCTAACTTGTTTTCATACAAAAGTTTTAACTTTTAAAACTCGTATTTTAGCCGTTGAACTTTTATTTGAACGTTGACAGTTGTTTACAAATTTGACGTTTTTGGCTTTGGGTTGCCAATCTAATTCGTGTATATTGCCAATGAAGAACAAACTAAAACAGTTTTAGTAGATTTTAATATAATAAGAATCATCTAGGGAGGTCAAAGTCAGAAATCAGGCTGACATTGATAATGTCTTTATATCTTCTGATATTTTTAGGTAGGAAAAATATTGCGCGTTAGACGATTATCTAGATGTATTTGCAATGAAATTAAAATATTAAACTAAAACAAAAAACAAATCCCAGAGATACTCCTAAAGTTATTCAGACATTTTGGTACAAATACTATTTAGTTTTTTTATGTAATAGGTCGGCAAACGAACAGACAGGTTACCTGATGGTAAGCAATAAGCGCCTCCCATGGCCACCCGCAACGGAGGAGTTACGCGGGCGTTGCCGACCTTTTAGGGATTAGGGTTTTGGAGATTTAGCGATTGAGGAGGGGTTGGGGGTTGGGAAGGGTTGGACCTCCGGTAACCTCACTTACACGTTCTTTTAATTTCTGTTTTTATAATGTTTCATAAAAATATTGTGTATAAAATTGCTTTGGCACGAATGGGTCGTCTCAATCGGAGCCATACCACGAATTCACAGAAAACGAAGGTCCAATCCTTCTACTACTTCCATTCTCCTCATCACTCTCTCCTAATTCCGTTAACCAATAGCAACAACATGACGAGAATTTCAGCTTTGTGGTAAGTGATGGTGCGACTTACTATGGAGCACGCCTACCAAGTAACCTACATTCGGGCCTTGAAGAATTTTCAGTTTTTAGCGGTTCGGTTTTAGTGGGGGTGTGCCCGCTTGACCTGTTGCTCCCGGCCATAGTCGAGGCTATTCAGGGCGATACTTCGGGCTTCGGGGATCGAGAGGCGATCTCCGGCCACCAAAAGCGCGGGTCTGCGGAGAACCAGACCCGAGTGTACAGCGCGTAGCATTTCGCGTGCGCCTCAAAGATCCTGTAGACCAACACAAACGGGGCCCTACAGGGCTGATGTTCAGCTGGGTGTGCATGGCAAGCTCAATGAGGCACCGCGGGCTCGGCTCAGAGCAGAAGAAGGAGCGGGGGTTTTTTAGTCAGTAAGAGTCTGAAAGCCAGATCCTGGCCGGGAGAAATCATTGGATATATTCCCCATATAAAAAAGCGGGTCGGATTATACAACGGTGGCGAGGTGGTATGATGTTGGAAAGAACTGTAGCTCTCCCGATCATTCGTCGAAATGCATCTGATAAAGAACCGAAATGCTCGCAGCTGTGCGCCTGTGCACTTCAAAGCCGCACGCTTTGAAGTTGGGACTCCACTAATAATGGATAGTCGTTGATGAGCCTCTTGGCACGCCTCTCAATCTGTTCTAATGTGTCTAGCTGGTGTTTAGCCGTGCCGTCCCATATATGAGAACAGTACTCCATACATGACCGAAAATAAATTATACAAACTATTGAGATTGTCGACATGTGGGATGTAAACTCAAGAATCGTGACCGACACCTGAGCTGGACTCTTTAGCACTGTGTAGAGATGTAGCCTCGCTATTTGCTCTTTATCGCCTATACCACGGCGAGTGTTTCGAGATCTGATTCAGTCTGATTTTTGGCATCGACCCACGCGAAAACATTTTCAGTTGGCAGTCGACAACTGTGATTTTCGCTACACAAATTCTCTTTTTGCATCCTAACGAAAGGTTAATTGATGTGATTAAATGTATATAAATTTTATTTAATTTCGTAAGTCTTTGGTGTCGATATTGCAGGTTAATGTATTTTTTTTTATGAGATATGTCGGCAAACGAGCAGACGGATTACCCGATGGTAAGCAATCAGCGCTGCCTATGGACTCCCGCAACGGGCAACGCAGGAGTTACGAGTGCGTTGCCGACCTTTTAGGGATTAGGGTTTAGAAGATTTAGGGATTGGGGAGGGATCGGGGGAGGGGAAGGATTGGGTATCCGTTAACCTTACACACGGCGAAATACAACGCTGTGGTTTTTTTACGCCGGTTTTTTATGAGGCCGTGGCATCACTCCGGTCGAACCGAACTATTCGTGCCGAAGAATGGCTCTCTCACACTAATAAAAACAAAATAAGCAATATAATTAATTACTACTTTAATATTACTCAGTACATGATTACAGATCAATTGTTTATTAATTACAATCAATAACAATAAATATTCAATATTTATAATAAGTCATTTTAAAATATCACTTTATGGGATTACGAAGACTCCGTATCTTCAGATATGGTTGGGTATCTGCAGTCTACACTTCCACATTCACATTTCATCCACTTCGATTTCACGGACCAGAATTTATCTCCGTAGTCGAACCTGTCAACAAAATACATATTATTATTTAAATGACATGTCAACAATAATGTGAACAGATATTTAGAACTTCATTCATATTATATCTGAATGGCCATTATGTATCAAACAAATTTTCAAAATAGAACAGTTCATACAAGACCTGCGTGCCATATGATTTCATAAGATATTTACGAAGGTAGTGAATCAGGTGCGGTTTTATAACATCTGGCTGTGTGCACATAAAGCCAAGAGTACACTCTAACTCTTAGAGTACTGGAGGCCCAATCCTTCCCTGTCCCAATCCCTTAATCTCCAAATTCCTAATCCCCAAAAGGTCGGCAACGCATATATAAGTCATAACACCTCTGTTGCTGCGGCTGCTCAGAGGCGGCGCTGATTGCTTACCATCAAGTAATCGTTCAGCTCGTTTGCCGACTTATCACATAAAAAAAGAGGGAATGGACAGGACATGTAATGTATTAATATTTAGTGACTGACGTGAGTTCCTCGTCCTGTTGTATGTCGGTGATGGCGAAGAGGGCGACGGTGGGCAGGCGGAGGTCGCGAGTGTCTGTGAACACCCGCACGGGGGCCAGGTTGGGTCGGCAACTGTGGTTTATAAACCGCGCCGCGCTGCCGTACTGCGCCGCGTCCACGCATAGCTGCGTCTTGTCCGAGCATTGCTGGTAGAAAAGAGAATAGTTAGGTAAAGATTAATATAGCTTTTCATCTACTTTTCATCTGTTTGTTAAAGCGGCAAATAAGCAGCAGATGTATTGATATATATATATTTTTTTACTTGCAATATATTAGTGCTTGACTGCGATCCCACCTGATGGTAAGCAGTGATGTAATCGTTGATGGTAAGGCGTACTAGGTTATTAAGAGCCTATTCACTCTAGCCTTAAAGACACCTAAATTGTATTGTATATTATAGGTGACTGGTAATAAGTGACCAATATTTAAACGTGATTGTACTCATATACTAAATTGTACTGCGCTAGCGTATATTACCACCAAATTCCAGTGTTGGATATTATTTTTCTAAACAGGTAGATGCATTGTCCCAGCCTCTGTCAACTGAGCGAAGGCACAAGTGTGTAATTTGAACTCAAGTAGTAGTAAAGGTTTGAAATTTAATGTTTTATTGTGTTTTATAAAGAACTAGCAGCCCGCTCTCGCCTCGTATGGTCTTCTCTAACTAACGGTCTATCTGGCTAGCAACGAAAGAGTAACTTATTTCCATCTCAATATTTCCTAAACTGGAAATAATAAATACAACAAAAAAGAATTGGCAAAATTGATCGAGGCATTTTGCGTTTCATTTTTATAACTAATCTCACGCGGTTTCACGAGCTGCTCGGCTCTTAGAGGTCGTAGCGTAATGTTTCATAGCCTTCGAACACAAAAAGAATTGTTCAATTCGAACTAGTAGTTTCTGAGAATAGAGCATTCAAACAAGCTTTACAATATTAAGTACAGATTTTACTTTTTTTTCATGATGAAATAAAACAGTAAGCGACGGTAGAGCGTACCTCGAGCAGGTCGGGCTTGACGTCGAGCGCGAACATGTACTGGTCGGCGGCGCGCGTGTCGGCGTGGGGCAAGGGTAGCAGCTCCCCGCGGTAGAGCGCGAGCGGCGCGCCGCGCGGCACGGCCCGCAGCGCGCGCAGCCCCCAGCCGCGCGCCCCGCCCGTACGGAATACCTGCACGCGCACGCACACAGACCCCGCCGCCGCCGCGCGGCTCACCACGCTGTTGCTGCAACGACGCTGGACAAACCAAACATTGCAATTATACATAGACTAGCCATAAATACTGTTACAATTAAAAATAAACAAAATATTACATTTGAATTTGGAATCTGTCATTTTTATATAATTTTTCATTGTGTTTTCTTATTTCGGCGCCAATAAATTGTTCAATATTTTGCGATATTAAAATGGAGTCGGATGATAAAGAGAACCGAATCGCTGTGATTGCGTTACACAAAGTGGGTATGGAGCCAAATGCAATTTTTAAAACTCTCCACACGCTTGGCATTAGTCAAATGTTTGTGTACCGGGCTATTAATTGGTACAATGAGACCTCCTCCGTTTGTGACAGAAAAAGATCTGGCCGTCCACGTAGTGTTCGTACGATAAAGGTGGTCAAAGCAGTAAGGGAAAGAATTCGAATAAATCCTGTCCGAAAGCAAAAGATTTATCTCGCGAGATGAAGATAGCACCTAGAACCGTGTCGCGTATTTTAAAAGACGACTTAGGACTTGCAGCCTATAAGAGACGCACTGGACATTTTTAAATGATAATTTAAAAAAGAATAGGGTGATAAAATCTAAACAACTACTGAAGCGGTAGGCAAAGGGAGGTCACGGAAAAATTTTGTTTACGGATGAGAAAACTTTTACAATTGAGCAACAATTTAACAAACAAAATGACCGTATTTATGCTCAAAGCTCTAAGGAAGCTTCTCAATTAGTCGACAGAGTGCAACGTGGGCATTATCCGACTTATGTGATGGTTTGGTGGGGTGTTAGCTATGAAGGAGTGGCTGAGCCATACTTTTGCGAAAAAGGTATCAAAACATCGGCACAAGTGTATCAAAATACCATTCGTGAGAAGGTAGTTGAGCCCCCTAACAATACCATGTTCAATAACCAACAATGGTCCTTCCAGCAAGACTCGGCGCCGGGTCATAAAGCTCGGTCCACGCAGTCTTGGTTGGAAACGAACGTTTCCGACTTCATCAGAGCTGAAGACTGGCCGTCGTCTAGTCCCGATCTTAATCCGCTGGATGATCCGCTTATGATTTATGGTCAGTTTTAGAGAGTAGGGCTTGCTCTAAACGTCATGATAATTTGGACTCCCTAAAACAATCCATACGATTGGCAGTGAAGAATTTTCCCACGGCAAGAGTGTGTGCTTCTATTGATAACTGGCCTCAACGTTTAAAGGACTGTATTGCAGCCAATGGAGACCACTTCGAATAAGCTTTTTATGTTTTAAATTGTTTTATATTTATGTATTAAACTTACATACTGTAAAAGTAATAAATGTTATTTGCAACAGAAAAAATATTTTTTTTATTTGTTACAGTATTTATGGCTAGACTAGGTAGATACACTATTCCAGCAAAATACTACCCCAAAAAAAAGACACTACACTATTTTTATCCTTCTAAGGTTGTCAACTTGTCACCTATGTTACTGTGTATTCTTCGATATGTAATATGTATAATTACGCGAATATTAAAACAAAAAAAAATATTTTTTGAATACTTTGGAAGACTTGATGTTTCGACTTTGTTGAACAGACTGAACAATCTTTTAGTTCTTCTACATTTACAAATAAAAATCTCGTCGTAATTGATACATTGATACGTTATGTTCACGAAAAGTAGAACTTTCTTGTATAAAAGCATAACTTTTACTCAGTCAGAATAATAATTCGATACCAGATTTGACATTAGCCACTGTCATTTTGTGAAAAAATGATCCCACATATAACAGTGTAGTGATGAACACAAAAATCGATAAACAATCAGTGAATCAGTTTCAGGAAGGCATTTAAAAAATTACGGCTACCGAATGATCTAAATGCGTATTCTATGTTGTCATAACTATCAATATATATTGTCAATTAATATATCTAGCTTACTCATTTTTTCCTCTTCTTTGATAACATTTATTATGATTTGTCTGTACACTAATCATAATAAATGTTACAGAAAGTAACAGCGATAGCGATAGCGATGACGGCGACAATTTATAAAATAAATGATTACCATAAAAGATCACATTTTTTATTAATTTCACACACAATTATAAAAGAAAAGCATCAGATCGTTAATTAATTGTCAAAACTAAACTATCGGTTCAGAAATATTTAATTTCCTGATTAAATTAGTTTACGAGAGTAACTTTATAAACGAGAGTAATCGATTCGGAAATATTCGATTTCCATATCGAATAATTTCGCAACATCACTATTTAGTACTTGTCATAACGTTGCAACACTGAAATTGTCAAATCTGGAATCTAATTCAAATTCCGAGTATAGGAGAGAAAGAGAAATGGAAACTTAGTTTGTCAATGCTAAGTAACCTAGACAAGAAAAAGCAAGAAAGAGTAAGAATAGTGACCATGTTGCAGCGACAGGTCTGGTTGCACTCGAACAGCATGGGCGGGTCGTGGTAGGGGAAGGAGGGCAGCAGGCGGCCTCCGCTGTACCAGCCGCGCACGCCCAGCGCCACGCACGAACACGACGGGCCTCCGCACTCCCCCTCCGCGCACTGGCAGCCCTGCGGGACCAAGCCACGAATAAATCAAATTCAAAAATCATAATATTACGCCCAAATATCTCATTATTATTATCCTAAAAATACGATTTCGCTATAGTTTTACCAGCTCCCGCCAGCGGTTTCGCTCTCGTTACCTGAATTAAAAACAGCCAATGTGCCAAGTTTTGCATACATTTCTAGCGTAGTAAAGTAGCTAACATTATGAAATTCGTAAATCCAATAATTTGTAGGAAGAAGATCAAGTTTATAATATTAGTACGATACGATTAACCATCTGCCGCTATTTATCCATGCATCCATCTGTCTTTTAATGGTCAATATCAATTCCCATTAATAAATTCACGTATACATTATCTTACTAATATTATAAATGCGAAAGTTACGATATTTTAATGTTTGTCACTCAATCACGCCAAAACGGCTGGACGAATCTGGATGAAATTTGGCACAGGCATAGAATACACTCCCGAATAGGACATAGGCTACTTTTTATCAACATAAGACGCGGGCAAAACCGCAAACTAGTACTTTCTAAAAACAAAATCTTTCACCACATATTACAATGTGAAATAAACCATACTTTTTTAGTAATAGAATATAATATTATCCAACCTGCAGAGTGCCGATGGTGTTGTCTATGTCGATGGGTACGGGCATAACGAGCTGCGTGACGTACGTGAAGTCATTCGGCAGGGGCGCGTCATCCACTTCATTCACGCACGGGATCGGGAACGGCTCGCGCCCGTTTGAAATGTCGCTGGAAAACATCAAATAATATCAGACGTGGCCTGTTTCACAATTTTTAGATGTACGCTGTGTACCAGTAAAATTTGAATATAGAACATTATTCATATGAACTTAACTGTCACATGAATTAATACATAAATGCCGAATCTTATGGAAAATAACTCTGACGTGTCGCCATGACGCTTACTTTTTCTAATAAATAAGAATACCGTTGTAATTTGAAATTAATAGATCTTTCCAAGTAATTATTTTCAATTATTAGGCTCAGTAAAGGCTGATCTTTCAATAGTCAGATAAATGTTATATGAGGAATAAAATTGTTGCTGTCACTGTCTTAAACAAACATTCTGACGCGACAGCATCATAATTATTCCTCAGGTAATTTTTATCTAACCATTGAAAAATCAGGCCTAAGTAACGAAAGGATCACCTCGTCAACGTCCATGAACACAGGCAACACTTAAAGAGTTACAAGTGTTAAAGTGTTAAAAGTTTTTTTTTTATGTGTAGAAACAAAATAGTCTTATGTTGCTAGGTACCTGGAAAGCAGTTTGAACCGAGGCAGGTTGTCTTTGACGGCGATGGTCATCTGCATGTTGAGTGAGATGGCACTCTGGCACTGCGCCGTACAAACCTCCACCGGCAACTCACCCGCCGCATTCTCTATATCCGTCTGTGTAAATACATGATTATAATATCACTACATACTAGAAAACATAGTCGCTTTCTCTATCCGTATAACTATGCAACCATTTTTAAAGTGGTTTTAATCAATAGATTGGTTGAAAAGTAAGTTTTATATGTATAATAACATCCGTTAAATAATGGAGAAATTTGTGTGTGAAAATTGTGTATGTCTTGTCTATGTCTGTGTAAATCTGATGATGATTTGTGGAAAGGTAGGTAAAATATAACTATATGTACAATAGGGTCATCACATTTATGAAATCCCTAAATAGAAAGAATTGATGAAGAGCCTTATATGTAATGAAGCCACTTACCCGCGCTCCGCGAGCTAGTAAGATAACTACGCAGGCATAGTGACCTTGTCTTGCAGCTATGTGCCTGAAAAAAAATACTTAGTATGAGAGTTAGGTAAGTTACTGTGAAATTTAATAAAAATGAATGAATTGCTGTTCGTAAGTCTCGCTCCGTAAGTTTGGTCTTGAAATATTTGTGACAGCTCTGAAAACACTTTAAGACTTTAAGGTATTAAGGGGTTTGCTGGGACAGTTAATCTATACTAATATTATAAAGAGGTAAAATTTGTAAGTTTATATGTACGGGGTAATCTTTGAAACCGCTGGTCGGATGGCCAAAATTCTAATTATATTAATTCTAAGTGCTATAGGCTATAAATAATCACGCTACGATTAAATGGAGCCGAGCAGCGGGTGAAACCGCGCGAGCTTAGCTAGTCTTATAATATATTTACGGGAGGATTAAAAATAATGTTACGTGCCTCGTCACGTTCCTGACTATGCGGGCTTGGGTTACGGGATTGGATGAAATGAAACACTAATACCGGTTTTCAGACTTTCTATTGCACTTAAGTTACAGCGTCCACGGAGTTAAGTTATCGGCGTTCCTCTCCAGCAGAGTCCGGCCGACTGACACAACTTTGCCGTTCACGCTGACTTAACTCACTTAACTGACTGCACTTCACTATTTCACTGCACTTCACTATTTCACTCACTTTTCTTCTTTATCACTTCTTCCTTTTCTTCCGAATCGCTTTAGACTTAGAACTCAACTGCCAGCGGTGAGCCGCAGTTCCGCTTATATACCCCCGGTCAAGTTCTGGAACATTCAATTTCGTTATTCTTTTTGATCGTCATGCCTCCAGAACCTTCCAATAATTTCGTTATTCATTTTTATTTATTCTCCTTCTCGCTCTTTAATTTTTCATTTCTTTTACACAATAATTCCAGAAAGTTCGACAAAACTTCCATCAACTAAAAAACTTCATGTTTACGGCGGGACTCGAACTCGGGGTCTCTGTGGTGTAATCCACACGCCTTACCAATTACACCAACTCGTATTGACAATTCACGACGAAATTTACAATCTCTAGGCAACGTTTGACAACCATCCATTGACGTCATGATGTCAAAGAGTTTGAACCACTTTTCCGTCACACTGCCCCCCTCTTAGATTCGCTCGTCCCGAGCATCGTTGCTGCCGTAATACCTCGCCAACCTGTCTATATGGACAACTTTCAAAGGGCTCCTTGAAGTCTTCCGAATTCTGTAAGTAATGTCATTGATCTTCGTGACTATCTCATAAGGACCTTCCCAACTCGGTTGCAGCTTCGGAGATTTTCCCTTCCTTCTGACTGGATTATGAAGCCAGACCAATGACCCCTCTTCAAACCCAACAGAATTGGCTCGTCGATCATAGCGCGTTTTTGCGCGATCACTAGCTTGAAGACCGGCCTCCCTGATCTGCTCGTAAATGTTCAACATTTTTGCCCTTAACTCGCTTATGTAATCGCTAAACTCGGTGCGAGTGTCGCCAGGTGGACAGCCCGATACAAGATCTGCCGGTAATCTCAATTCCCTTCCAAAATTTGCAAATGCAGGCGTCTTTGCGGTACTTTCATGTACAGCAGTCCGATAGGCAAGCAAGAAGAGAGGTATGTAAGTGTCCCAATCTCTCTGATGGCTGTCAACCACCTTTGCTAAGTGTCGCTCCAATGTTTGGTTGAAGCGTTCGACCATTCCATCTGACTGTGGATGATAAGGGGTCGTTCGAGTCTTATGGATTCCCAAAAGTTTACAAGTTTCCTGAAAAACTTGGGATTCAAAGTTCCGCCCTTGATCACTGTGCATCTCCAAGGGCACTCCGAATCGGGTGAATACCTCATTTACCAACTTCGTGGCTACAGTTACTGCCTCTTGATTCGGTATGGCAAAGACCTCCGGCCATTTTGTAAAATAATCCATAACCACTAAAACGTAGCGATTGCCCGAATCAGTGATTGGAAATGGTCCAGCGATGTCTAAGGCTATTCTCTCCCAAGGCATACCAACATTGTAGATTTTCATCGCCCCCCTGCTTCTTGTTTGTGGACCCTTGACAGCTGCACAACTAGTGCATTTCCGGCACCAATCTTCGACGTCATATTTGCAATGCAACCAATAAAACCTCTCCTTGATCTTCACCAAAGTCCTCCTAATTCCCAAATGTCCTCCAGAAGATCCATCATGGAACGCTTTTAATACATCCCTTATTTTTGAACGAGGCACCACCAATTGCAAATGCTCGTCCTTGCCGTTTGTTGATTCCCATTTCCTGCACAGAAGTCCGTTATACAGCGTAAGGCTTTTCCACTGTGCCCATAAACCTTTCGTTACCGCGCTATATTGGGCGACGTCACTCCAACTTGGCTTGTTACCACTTCTTAGCCACTCCAGTATTGGTTTGATATCCGCATCTCTTTCCTGTTCTAATTTCATCGCATCATCTCCCCATGCCTCGTCCACAGTATCAGTCCTTATCACCTTAAGAAAAGCAATTTCCTTCTTGGCACAATGCTTGCAATCTTCCACGCATGGGCGTCTCGATAATGCATCTGCGTTGCCATGAATTCTTCCGCCGCGATGTTCGATTTCAAAGTCAAATTCCTGAAGTTGTTCCAACCATCTGGCTACTTGGCCTTCAGGATCCTTAAACTGAAGCAGCCATTTCAAAGCAGCGTGATCAGTTCTGATTAAAAATTTCCGTCCCAGTAAATACTTCTTGAAATGGTGCAGAGTTTTGACTACGGCCAGCAATTCCCTCCTGGTCACGCAATAATTCTTCTCGGGCTTGGATAGTGACTTGCTGAAGTAAGCAATAACCTTCTCCTGCTCACCATCGCGTTGTGAAAGGACACCTCCTATTCCAATATTGCTGGCATCCGTATCTACTACGAATATTCCTTTCGCGCTGGGGTATCCGAGAATTGGTGTGTTACAAAGCCGTTCTTTTAGTTCTCGAAAGGCTTGCTCACAATCCTCGTCCCAGATAAAGGCACGTTTCTCCTCTGTCAATCGATGCAAAGGCTTGGCAATGTCCGAGAATCCTTTCACAAACCGCCGATAATACGAGCACAACCCAAGAAATGCCCGAACTTGCGTTTTGTCTTTAGGTGTGGGCCACTCCTTAACAGCGGCAGTCTTGGCTGGATCAGTCTCAATTCCTCTCTCAGAAATAACATGTCCTAGATAATTCACTTCGCGCTTGAAGAAAGAGCATTTCTTTGGACTTAACTTTAAATTTGCTCCACGCAGCTTTTCCAGTACATTTTCCAATTTCCTTAGATGATCGTCAAAGTCCCGTCCAACAATGATGATGTCATCGAGGTAAACTAGGCAGGTTTCGCCCAGCAGTCCCGCCAGCACCTGTTCCATCAAACGCTCAAAGGTTGCCGGTGCATTGCATAATCCAAATGGCATCACCTTAAATTGCCAGAGTCCCTTCCCAGTTGAGAATGCGGTCTTTTCCTTGTCCTTGGGATCCAAGTCCACCTGCCAATAGCCGCTTTTCAGATCGAGCGTTGAAAACCATTTCATGCCACTCAGTGTGTCAAGTGTGTCATCGATTCTTGGTAACGGGTAGCTATCCTTCTTGGTTACATCATTCAATCGTCGATAGTCTACGCAAAACCTCGTTGAACCATCTTTCTTCTTGACAAGCACGACAGGTGAACACCAAGGGCTAGAAGAGGGCTCTATCACGTCATTTTTCCTCATATCGTCAATCATTTCTTCAACCTCTTTCTCACGAGCGAATGGTATGCGTCTGGGCCTTTGACGAATTGGCATTGTATCACCTGTGTTTATTTTATGCTTCACCAAACCAGTTCGGCCAATATCACCATCGCTTCTTGAAAACACATCAGAGAATCGAAGAAGTAAATTTCTAGCTTTCATAGTCTCCACTTTAGTCAGACTTTTGTTTTCGTCTAAGATTTTCGTTACAAAGTCTATTCCCGTACTGTCCTTCTTCACAAGATTCTCCGAGCATTTTCTTATCCAGGCCACTTCTTCCAAAACGCCCACAGGCTCTCCTTCTTCAATCGTAATTTTTGAATCACTGAAGTTGAATACCGGAATGCGGTTGACATCAGATGACCCCACGACAGTCCTTGCCGGTAGCCATGAGTTTACGTGTTCCGATTTATCAATCACAGCGCACCTTCGAGGTAAACTTCCTTCACTCCTCCTAGGTAATGCGATTGGTACGAGAGTCTGTGATTTTGGTTCAAGAACAGTTCTTCTTAAACAGCAAACTTTTCCCAGGGTTCCACCCTTCATCGGAATTTCCTCAGTTCCACATAGTAATACTCCAGATTTTAAGTCGATGTTACACTGGTGCCCTTGCAGGAAGTCAAGTCCCAGGATGCAGTCATCCAGAATTTTGGCCACAATAACCTCATGTCGATAAACACGTTCCCCAATTTTGATTGTTACGTGCAGTTTTCCACTTATCGGTATCCACTGGCCGGTAGCTGATTTCATTCGTAGGCCAACAATTGGTTTAACGTGTTTCCTGATGTTTTGCCCGAGCAGCCGAACATCTATCACCGTCCTTGAAGCTCCAGTATCTAATGTTAGCTGACTGTTTTTCCCATTTACTTGACCGTCTATCACCAGAGTATTTCCATCGTTAGTTTGCTTGATGTAGATTGTTGGGGTTATTCCACTACCGGCCAGCGCCCACCCCGCAGCCCTGGCTGGAATTAGTTTCCCTGCTGGTCAGAAGTTGAGACCGCCGCGTCCTGGCGGTTCACCTTCTTCGGGCAGTTGCTCCGCATGTGCCCACGCTCTCCGCATCCATAGCACATGAAGTTCCGACGGCGTGGAGGTACCTGCTCCGTAGTCGTCATTTCCCGCAGACATAAGGTACGGGAGTTACCACGCACAGCTTCCACTTCCAATGCATGGGCCAGAGCTTCTTTCATGTTCTTGTGATGGCCCAGATGAACAGCAGCTCGTACTTCGGGGTCCCGAATACCGTCAATGAACGCTTGGAGAAGCGTGCCTTCAATCATTGACGGAGTCGACCGGAAAGCTCGACGCACAAGTTTCTCGATTTCCACGGACCATTGCTGTAGGCTCTCATTAGCACGCTGAGTACGCTCTTTTAATTGCGCTCTGTACACGTGCTCGAGGTGGCTGTCTCCAAAACGTGCCTCAAGTGCGTCGAGGAGGGCACTTAAGCTGAGATCCCCACTTGCGCCGATAGCTTCCAGCACTGAGAGCGCTTGATCACGGAGGGCCAGGGTGAGGGCTGACTGTGCTTCCTTCTGAGTCCAACCATAAGCCTCCATAAGTGTCTCAAACTGTAGCTTGAACGCGTTCCAGGATGTTGTTCCGTCGTAATGGGGACTCTTGAGCCCTTTCGTTGCGCTTGAGGCCACACTTGGGGCGTCAAAAACGGCTGCAAGACGGCTTCGGCTCTTCAAAGGGCTTGGGCTTGTCACTTCCTGCTTGATTTTGGAGATCTCTTCTTTCACTCTCTCCTCTATCGCCATGACGCGATGTTCCAACTTGCCTAACCCTTCCTCCACTTCTTGTACCCGTTCGACAGCCTTTTGCAGTCCCTTCGTGAAATCCTTATGCATCTCTTCCAAGCGACGCGCTTGCTCCTCTTGGCGGCGAGCTTGATCTTCTTTCAGCTCCCGTAGCTGTTCCGCCTGACAGCGTGCTTGCTCCCGAAGCTGTTCTGCCTGACAGCGTGCTTGCTCCCGAAGCTGTTCTGCCTGACAGCGTGCTTGCTCTTCTTGGCGGCGCGCTTGCTCTTCTTGGCGGCGCGCTTGCTCTTCTTTCAGCTCCCGCAGCTGTTCTGCCTGACAGCGTGCTTGCTCTTCTTGGCGGCGCGCTTGATCTTCTTGGCGGCGCGCTTGCTCTTCTTGGCGGCGCGCTTGCTCTGCCATCATGTGCTGCAGCTGTAGCAGAAGATCCACCTGCACAGGCTTGGCTTCTGCATCGCTGGTTTGAGCTGCAGCACCCTCTTCCCTCACACGCTGCGCTTCTGACATTGAACGGGTACTCACTCCTCTTACGTCCTGCGGCACTAGCGGCATTTTTATCCAATCCCACTTCTGACACCAAATGTTACGTGCCTCGTCACGTTCCTGACTATGCGGGCTTGGGTTACGGGATTGGATGAAATGAAACACTAATACCGGTTTTCAGACTTTCTATTGCACTTAAGTTACAGCGTCCACGGAGTTAAGTTATCGGCGTTCCTCTCCAGCAGAGTCCGGCCGACTGACACAACTTTGCCGTTCACGCTGACTTAACTCACTTAACTGACTGCACTTCACTATTTCACTGCACTTCACTATTTCACTCACTTTTCTTCTTTATCACTTCTTCCTTTTCTTCCGAATCGCTTTAGACTTAGAACTCAACTGCCAGCGGTGAGCCGCAGTTCTGCTTATATACCCCCGGTCAAGTTCTGGAACATTCAATTTCGTTATTCTTTTTGATCGTCATGCCTCCAGAACCTTCCAATAATTTCGTTATTCATTTTTATTTATTCTCCTTCTCGCTCTTTAATTTTTCATTTCTTTTACACAATAATTCCAGAAAGTTCGACAAAACTTCCATCAACTAAAAAACTTCATGTTTACGGCGGGACTCGAACTCGGGGTCTCTGTGGTGTAATCCACACGCCTTACCAATTACACCAACTCGTATTGACAATTCACGACGAAATTTACAATCTCTAGGCAACGTTTGACAACCATCCATTGACGTCATGATGTCAAAGAGTTTGAACCACTTTTCCGTCACAATAACAAGACCAACTAACTACTATGAAAGATTCAACAATAATCCTTTCTGAGGAGAATTTATACTTATATACTGAATAAGTATCAAAAAACGGAAGAGTATTTATTTGAACGTGCTTATCTTTGAAACTAGTGATTTGAATTACAATATCAATTTTTTGGATAGTTCATTTATCGGTAAAAATGTACGTAACGAGTAGTAGGAGGCTAGTAGCGAGTGAAAGGACAAAGTCCTAATATCAGCCGAACATAGTACCTCCTCCTTTTTCAAAGTCGGTAATTATAAAATACATATGAAAGTTTGTGAGAATGTGGATGTATGTTTGTTATTCCAGCAAGCGGAAACAGCTGGATCGATTTGCTTGAAATTTGGTATGTAGTTAGGTGATATTCTGGATTGATGCATAGAGGTACGTACAGCGGCGTGTCCCCGTGCGCGTTGTGCGTGTGTGCGAGGGCGGGGCGGTGGTGTAGCAAGGCACGCAGCGCGCACCAGTGCACGGCGCCGTTGTAGAGTAAGATAGAGGTACGTACAGCGGCGTGTCCCCGTGCGCGTTGTGCGTGTGTGCGAGGGCGGGGCGGTGGTGTAGCAAGGCACGCAGCGCGGCGCCGGCGCCGGCCAGCGCGCACCAGTGCACGGCGCCGTTGTAGAGTAAGATAGAGGTACGTACAGCGGCGTGTCCCCGTGCGCGTTGTGCGTGTGTGCGAGGGCGGGGCGGTGGTGTAGCAAGGCACGCAGCGCGCACCAGTGCACGGCGCCGTTGTAGAGTAAGATAGAGGTACGTACAGCGGCGTGTCCCCGTGCGCGTTGTGCGTGTGTGCGAGGGCGGGGCGGTGGTGTAGCAAGGCACGCAGCGCGCACCAGTGCACGGCGCCGTTGTAGAGTAAGATAGAGGTACGTACAGCGGCGTGTCCCCGTGCGCGTTGTGCGTGTGTGCGAGGGCGGGGCGGTGGTGTAGCAAGGCACGCAGCGCGGCGCCGGCGCCGGCCAGCGCGCACCAGTGCACGGCGCCGTTGTAGAGTAAGATAGAGGTACGTACAGCGGCGTGTCCCCGTGCGCGTTGTGCGTGTGTGCGAGGGCGGGGCGGTGGTGTAGCAAGGCACGCAGCGCGCACCAGTGCACGGCGCCGTTGTAGAGTAAGATAGAGGTACGTACAGCGGCGTGTCCCCGTGCGCGTTGTGCGTGTGTGCGAGGGCGGGGCGGTGGTGTAGCAAGGCACGCAGCGCGCACCAGTGCACGGCGCCGTTGTAGAGTAAGATAGAGGTACGTACAGCGGCGTGTCCCCGTGCGCGTTGTGCGTGTGTGCGAGGGCGGGGCGGTGGTGTAGCAAGGCACGCAGCGCGGCGCCGGCGCCGGCCAGCGCGCACCAGTGCACGGCGCCGTTGTAGAGTAAGATAGAGGTACGTACAGCGGCGTGTCCCCGTGCGCGTTGTGCGTGTGTGCGAGGGCGGGGCGGTGGTGTAGCAAGGCACGCAGCGCGGCGCCGGCGCCGGCCAGCGCGCACCAGTGCACGGCGCCGTTGTAGAGTAAGATAGAGGTACGTACAGCGGCGTGTCCCCGTGCGCGTTGTGCGTGTGTGCGAGGGCGGGGCGGTGGTGTAGCAAGGCACGCAGCGCGGCGCCGGCGCCGGCCAGCGCGCACCAGTGCACGGCGCCGTTGTAGAGTAAGATAGAGGTACGTACAGCGGCGTGTCCCCGTGCGCGTTGTGCGTGTGTGCGAGGGCGGGGCGGTGGTGTAGCAAGGCACGCAGCGCGCACCAGTGCACGGCGCCGTTGTAGAGTAAGATAGAGGTACGTACAGCGGCGTGTCCCCGTGCGCGTTGTGCGTGTGTGCGAGGGCGGGGCGGTGGTGTAGCAAGGCACGCAGCGCGGCGCCGGCGCCGGCCAGCGCGCACCAGTGCACGGCGCCGTTGTAGAGTAAGATAGAGGTACGTACAGCGGCGTGTCCCCGTGCGCGTTGTGCGTGTGTGCGAGGGCGGGGCGGTGGTGTAGCAAGGCACGCAGCGCGCACCAGTGCACGGCGCCGTTGTAGAGTAAGATAGAGGTACGTACAGCGGCGTGTCCCCGTGCGCGTTGTGCGTGTGTGCGAGGGCGGGGCGGTGGTGTAGCAAGGCACGCAGCGCGCACCAGTGCACGGCGCCGTTGTAGAGTAAGATAGAGGTACGTACAGCGGCGTGTCCCCGTGCGCGTTGTGCGTGTGTGCGAGGGCGGGGCGGTGGTGTAGCAAGGCACGCAGCGCGCACCAGTGCACGGCGCCGTTGTAGAGTAAGATAGAGGTACGTACAGCGGCGTGTCCCCGTGCGCGTTGTGCGTGTGTGCGAGGGCGGGGCGGTGGTGTAGCAAGGCACGCAGCGCGCACCAGTGCACGGCGCCGTTGTAGAGTAAGATAGAGGTACGTACAGCGGCGTGTCCCCGTGCGCGTTGTGCGTGTGTGCGAGGGCGGGGCGGTGGTGTAGCAAGGCACGCAGCGCGCACCAGTGCACGGCGCCGTTGTAGAGTAAGATAGAGGTACGTACAGCGGCGTGTCCCCGTGCGCGTTGTGCGTGTGTGCGAGGGCGGGGCGGTGGTGTAGCAAGGCACGCAGCGCGCACCAGTGCACGGCGCCGTTGTAGAGTAAGATAGAGGTACGTACAGCGGCGTGTCCCCGTGCGCGTTGTGCGTGTGTGCGAGGGCGGGGCGGTGGTGTAGCAAGGCACGCAGCGCGCACCAGTGCACGGCGCCGTTGTAGAGTAAGATAGAGGTACGTACAGCGGCGTGTCCCCGTGCGCGTTGTGCGTGTGTGCGAGGGCGGGGCGGTGGTGTAGCAAGGCACGCAGCGCGGCGCCGGCGCCGGCCAGCGCGCACCAGTGCACGGCGCCGTTGCCCTCGCTGTCGCACGACGCGCACTCCGCGCCCGCACTCACCAGCGCGCTGCAAACATTTTAGGGTACGTACCTTCAATACATTGTTTAGCTCTAAAAAAATAAAAAAAGACCTTACATTATGTACAAATATATATTAATAATGTTAACATAACAATTTAAAATTTCGCACGTATTTCGTGAAAACGCGGCACACAGCGGACGCCATGATTGTTTTTTGATCATGACTTAATGACGTGAATAAAAGAACAACAGCTGTCAGTAATACATATTTTGGCAGCTGACACTTTTGTTTACTACCGCAATGACATCATTAGCATGGCGGCGACATTTCGTAGTGTTCAAAAGCAGACAAAAATCTATTTCTTTTTTAATTGCATTAAAAAAGTATACAGGGTGTAAGGGACAGCCCTCCACAAATTAACAGGGTGCAATCAGCTCCTTATTCTGAATCATATTCCAGTGAAAATTCTTTCAGGAAAATTTTCAATTTTTTTTTCGTTTTTCCAGTGTATGTATATCTCTATTTCAATGTGTAATTACATTCTCTGTATGGAGAATAACATTAATGTAAATAACACAGCTAAAACAAAAAAAATACGCAATGGTTGTGTGAATTCTCTAAAGAACTACGCATGAAATCAGCTGTTCAATTTCTACCTAGCTAGAGTCGTTTGAACTCACCGATACGGCGCCCACCGCGGCGATCGCCGCGCCGTAGGTACCTACGACCCCTCCAACGTACAGAATAGCTGCGTCCCTTTCTGTCGCCCGGCCTCCGCGTTTCCCCGATTGAACCAGTGTTGCCAACTTTTAACTTTTGTTACCTCAGGTAGTAAACGAAAATGTTAGAACTATCGAAATTTATCTAAAACTTGAGAACTCCTTTGCATTCATAATTACATTGATGAGATTTTCATTAATCAATTAATGAAAATCTTGTCGTGCACATAAATTGAATAAAAAATAAATAAAGATTAGTCTAGTTTTAATTTTAAAGCATTTACAAATACTACCTAATTTATTAATTGATTGTTCTTTTCAAGCGATTACTGGCTAGTTTTTAAACTACTTACAGATTTTTACATGGCTTCACAATAGCCATGAATTGATAGTCGAGCCAGAAATTAAACACAATCTCCCTGGAATGGAAGCACAGCTTTCTATCACACTGTACTTTTATTATTCTAAATTTACTAAACAATGAAATTGGAATTAAATTGATTTAATCAATTCATTTCTCTTTTTAAAAAAATAACAGAATGATAATTTACGACCATGCATAATTTTTTATTTTTTTCCCCGAAATTTTGTAATTTTCGTGTAATTGGCAACAACAGATTTATGTTTGTGTGTGTCTCATCACATGCAGTATTGTGTCTGCCAGTCAGTGCCTTGCTGCGATGTAGGTACTGTTTGTGTACCGCGAGCGTGTGTCGGGACGGATCGCTCGCGCATTCGCCTTAAAAGTTTTGTTGTAGGTAGTGTTGTTAAGTTTTATTAGTTATAGGAAGTGTAGTGAAGTTTTGTTGTAGAAATTGTGCGAAATTACTACCTACGTTTAGCGCGCGTGATTATGGGGAGATGATAATGTGTAGTAGTGTAGGTATCCTGACCGTCGACATCCATCGGACTCCGGGATAATTACTGGTGCCTATCAAATCAACGCTTGCTAGAAAACCAGCCCATTGTTCCCAGACAAAAAGGCGCCGGAAGACCAATACCTACGTGGAATTTGGATATGGTTCGCTAACTTAACGAGACGCTACCACTTACCAGTGCTGTCCTATTTAAACGTAGTTTGGACCGCAACCGTGGCCAGCACGATCCCCAGACCTAACCCATTTGGACTTCTTATTGTGGGGTTACGTAAAAGAAAAAGTGTTTGTGAGTGCATGTGCAAGTGAGTACGAAATGCGAGACCGCATCACAAATGCTTTCCTGCAACTGCGCCACAGCTGTAAAGAAGATCCCACCATGTTGCCCCGCTTATTTGCAGAGACACTGCGCCGTGCCAATCTATGTGAACACTTTGGAGGAAGTCACTTCGAGCCTTATCTCATACGACCGGAGCGATTCTAAGGTACGCATTTTTCTTTTTTTATCATTCATCAGTTACCATGTTATGATTGTTACATTGTCTTTTGTAAGTAATGCGGCTATCTTTTAAATAATAATTTATTGTTATTAAAACGTGGCGCGAGCGCGACCGTTTGTCCGAAAGGTAAGGTCGCGGCGCTGCCAATAGTGTAAACTAATAATACTTAAAGCGCTGCCGTTCGCTGCGTGCGTTTGCGGTGGTAGCGATACATTGCGTGTAAGGTAATGAAACAAATCGGTTTAATTGGATTCCCATAACGTTCCTAAAATAATTTCATGTACCGGTCAACTTAAAACGATATACTGAATTCACCTTATCAGTTTGCGGAAGGCCCTTACACCCTGTATAATGAAGTGAAACTAATATTTCCCGATATTTTTTCCTCTAAACAATCATTGTAATACACTTTTTATTTTTTTCTTATCTCGACTAAAAAGCCCAATCACATCAATCACCACATACTATAAACCAAACTTGCTTACACTGTCCCAATGCAACGTCATCATTTATTTACTTATTCAATAAGGTTCATCAAAAATACATATACATAAAATATTTTCTTTTTTAATTTTATGACCGAGACCGCCTTCTTGTAAGTATCATCTTTATCATCATCATAGAAAACCGGAATAACGCAATCACAGCATAGAGTTTCGCCGTGGGAGTGAAGTTAGTTACAGGAGACCCAATTCTAAAAGCTCCAAATCCCTAATCCCCAAAAGCTCGGAAACGCACTTGTAACTCCTCTGTTGTTGCAGTTGTTCATGGGCGGCGCTGATTGCTTACCATCAGGTAATGCGTTTGTTCGTTTGCCAACTTATCATATAAAAAAAACCTAGAGTACTCACTTGACGACTTGGCTGTGGTTATTCTCAGCGGCCCAGACGAGTGGTGTCCACCCGCCATGGTCCCTCGCGTCCACGTCTGCGCGCGCCAGCAGTATGGGCAGGACGCCAATCAGGCCATGCTGCGCTGCCAGGTGGAGGCATGTCATCCCGTCCGGACCCTGCAGTACCGAGCATAGCACACGCCCATTACAATCTTTGCTTACCATCAAATAAAATGGTTATCTGTCAATCTATCTCCACTTTATAGACGTTAACTCCGACCCAATATACATAACTAGCTACTCCCGCGCGGTTTCACCCGCTGCCGTCTCCATTTGATTGTAGCGTGATGTTTCATAGCCTATAGGACTCAGAAACATTGCAGCTATCGATCAGTGAAAGAATTTTGGAAATCCAACCAGCGGTTCTAAAGATTACCCCCTACATACATACTAACAAACTTACAAACTTTACCTTTTTATTTTATTAGTATAGATTATAAAGAAAAACACTGCGTGCTACGACAAGATGAAACGATTTTGCGATACCGAAAGACAATAAAAAATTGCACATAAAAATATTATTCACATTGTAAATTATTTGAAAAATAAGGTTGTTTTTATATGACCACCTATGGGGGTGGTCGTGAACACCGTTTTCACATTTTTTATGTTTTGTAATATTAATTCCAGTTCCAGGTATGACTTGTAGGTAGCACTAGCCAGCCTAGAAGATATTCAACCTTCCTCACTAACTATACAAAAACCCGTGCTACGAACGAAATATGATAAAAACTATAAAACACACACAAACAGGAGGTTTACAACTATTAACTGTATTATCAATCTCAAAATTTTTTTTATTTTTTACTTACGGGCAAGTTGACGTCACAGCCAGCGGCTACGAGATACCGAATGACCTTGATGAGGTCCTCCTCCTTGGCCCTCACATCCTCATCCTCTTCATCCGCCTTCTCCTCGCCCTTCTCATGTTTCTCACTCTCCTCCACTTTGTCATCATCCCGCTCTGGCTCCTCAGACTTGGAGCGCTTATTACCTTTCTTTTTCTTATTCGGTTTTTCGACAAGAGCTGAAAAAGTACATTGTCGTTTAAAATATAAAAATGAATCACCAAAAGTGTTTTAAGCGTTAATCTCGAAAAAAGATGAACCGATTTAATATAATCTTTTTTTGTGCTTGTTTCAGTCTGGAAAAGTCTCTACTTTAAAACGTCTCTGCTCTCGAGCAAACTTTTAACACCATGGCGGTCCACTAACAAAACAAATAATAACAGACACTGAACCACAGAACAAATCAAAACAGTTTTTTCTGTGGTGTTCAATTGGATACCGCTGATTCGATTCCCGTACGGAACAATTCTTTGTGTGATCCACAAATTGACGTCCGGGTCTGGATGTGATGTGTATGTGGAATTGATGTTAGTAAAAGCACTCAAGATACAGGAGAAAGAAATCACATCATATTATAAGTGCCCATCGCTGAGCAAAGGCTCCTCACACGGAGAATATTTGAGCATTAATCAACAAGCAGGGACACAGCACAATCAACACTTTTCGTTGTAATGTTATAACTCAACAATATCATTACCGATTTGGCTAATTTTGGTCTTGAATTATTCGTGGAAGTCCAGAGAAGGTTTGAACGTCGAGAAAATATAAAAAAAATCTTGAAAACGTGTAAAATCGACATCCACGTGGGCGGAGCCGCGGGCGACTGCTAGTAATGATAATAATAAAAAATAAACTTTTTTTACGAAGACTTACCAAGTATGGCGATCATGAGCGGCGTGCGCATGTGGTGGTCGAGGTGGTCGAGGTCTGCGCCGGCGTAGTGCAGCAAGTAGAGCGCGGCCACGTGGCCGGCCCGCGCCGCCGCGTGCATACAGCCGCCCCCCGCCTGCCCCGCCACCGACTTCTTCAGGCTCGCACTCGACACTGACACAAACTTTACTTTCATACTTTTCTTTATGAGATAGGTCGGCAAACACGCAAACGTATTACCTGATGGTAAGCAATCAGCGCCGCTCATGGACACTCGTAGTACCAAAGGAGTTACTAGAAATGCGTTGCCGGTCTCTTGTACCCACAATGTGTATTAGGGATTTCAGGATTGAGCGGAGGGGGAACAATTGGCGTGTTGCTTCACGCCAGTCGCCATAGTTTCACTCCGGTCAACCCGACCCATGCAAGCCGAAGCATTCTTATGGAATACGAGACCAACGAGTCGACGTTCCCGCCTTTTAAGAAGGAGTACGCTCGCTTCCTGTAGGTTTGAAGACTTTGACCTTGTAACGCCGCTTAATTTTTTTCATCATAGAATGACATCTCCCGCTTAGTGTGGAGCATGAACAAATGTCAGCCTCTGACTGAGTAAAAACCATCCTATTCCTTCTCTTGTTTCGACCTGCGCTACTTCACATCATTGCACTTGCAATTTCTATTCTTAAATAATTATAATGTTTCCCAATATGATTGAAGTTGGCTATAAAAAAACTGTGATTGCTGCAATTTTCACAGTAAATGCGTTGCATAGTAGACACCGATATTATTATTACAAAGTCTACACATAAGAGTTTATAAATGAGACATTACGACAGCTTATCTATACACGAGTATACATAGATAAGCTGTCGTAATGTTATTTTATAGCCTTCAATCACATTGGAAAACATTATTTTATACCCTTTGTAATTTGTAATTATAGATATAGACTTGCTTGAAAACTGTTTGTGAAAAGCTCTACTAGTCTCAAGCCTAATTAGGACTCTTATTCACGAGCAGCGTGCGCAGCATGTACGTTGCGTGACCTTTTCTCAATTATAAATGCACAAAATAATAGAGCCTTACCAATTTTAGGTAAAAGTTGATCAACAGTCTCTCCCCTTAAGATGGCGTCACAGAGTTGTTGCGGCGACTTGTTGGGGGCCTGCGCCGCCTGCTGGCAGAGCTGCTTCAGGTCTATTGGGGGCGAGGGGAGCAGGTCTTCGGGGATGATCGGGCTTGTCTCGGGCTTCGGCTCCCGCACGGCAAACGAGAGGTAAGCTGGTGTACTGGTAAACGAGGTAAAGTTATCTCTATATTATATATGTCCAAAATGGCTCATGATACTATTGGACAATAAATGATAATGTAGACTGATTAAAGCTAAACAAAAAAAAAAAATTTTGCTACATAATATATTGTCTACATATGTATATACAGGGTGTTTAGTCGAGTTGAGCTTAGAATCTATGGTCATGCAAACTTATCGCGTACAAAATAAATATGTGGTATACAAAATTTTTGCACAATCGATTGAAGATATTTGCTACAAAATTAAGTTGTAAGATTCCACTTGATAAACATAATTATAGAGCTTATAATAAACATAAGTGAACCAAACACGGTTTTTAAGGGTGTTACAAAATTTTAAGGTATTAGAAGACTTAAAAATCAATATTGTGGTTTATGAAAGCAAGGAAACAGTGATTGTGAACTGTAAGGCCATACAACTAGTATAACTTTTCCAAACTGACTTACCACTGTTCTCTCTGGTCGGGCAGGAAGATCCGTTTGTTGCTGCACTTCATTTCGACCTTGACCTTGACACAGTTATCGTTGACCGTCTTCCAGCGATACGAGGACATCCCGCAGTGCGGGCAGCCTGGAGGCACCTGCTTCGTGTCGTTGTAAGGCAGGCCACAGTCCAGGTGGAACAAGTGACCCGAAGAACACTGGTAGAACGTACCCTGTGGGAGATTTGTGTGTCAAAACGCAAAGTCGTCGCGATAAAATGTTTTTACAAGTAGTCTTATGGTGGATGGGTGATCACATCATTTAAAAACGTGCCTCGTTAGATTAGTGATAGCTCTTTTTTATTTGCCGACCTATAATGGTCGGAAAACAAAAGCAGACGGGTTACCTGATGGTAAGCAATCAGCGCCGCCCATGGACACCCAACAACAACGGAAGAGTTACGAGTGTGTTGCCGACCTTTTGGAGACCGCGGCCTCGAGAAAATCCCTAAGATTTTCTCGAGGCCGCGGTCTTCTATTCCACTACGGTCGAACCGACTATTTATGCCGAAGCATGGCCCTCCCACGCATTTAAAGCTTAGTTATTATATTACCTGAGTGCAGAAGAGTCCGCAGGCAGGGCAGCACATGTGTTTGGCGAGCTGCGCGGCGTGCAGGTTGCAGGCCAGGAAGTAGGGAGCCCTAGGGCCGGCGCGCACTAGCGCGGCCAGCCCGCTAGGGTTGCCACTACTCACTAGGCTGCGGTGGCGACGTGCGCTGTGGGAACACCCGACTCGGACTCCGTCTACCAGCTCTATTGCTTGACAGAATATTGGCTCTGTAAAGAAAAAATTGAGAATAATCTACCAGAATTTTCAGACATTTACGGGTCTACCAGCTCTATTGCTTGACAGAATATTGGTTCTGTAAAGAGAAAAATACCAGAATTTTCAGATATTTACGCAGCCTTATTCTTATACCATTAAAAGATTTGAGGGTTATTTTGTATATTTAATGGATCCTCGGCCAGAAACTCTTCAGATGATAAGCGATGATGTGGCTAAGGATGGAACACGCCTGCGTATAAGCAAATTATTCACTAGGTACTTGAAGATATCCAGGGCCTCGAGTCTGCTATTACAATAGTGTCAGAATAGTAGATCATTGGTTTCAAAATTGTTGATTTTGACAAGTTTGGTAATCTACTAACACGATAGCGTGACTATGACTTTCCAATGATCAACCAATTGAAATAATTCTTTAGAACGGTAATCTCGTACATTATGACAAATGAATATTTTACATAATGCGGTAAATTAATAAAAAAAAAATCAGTTCCTTTATGAAATGATTTACATTTAGAATATTAATGTGCAGTTATTGTTTATAATTCGTTACAAGACAACTCGTACTACAATTCTATTACGACATCGCCGAAAGCCAATGATCAGCCAATTTGAATTAACAGATTACGAACTTTTAGCAAAATGACAAAGGAATCGTGTAGGAATGACAACACTTTGAAAATAGTAGACTCGGGCCCCAGGTTGTATGGTTTTGGAAAACTTAAACTCTTGCAATATGATACTTATTACAGAACCGGTAGAAAAGTGGTTGTTTCAATTTCAACATTCACTTTTACAGTGATAAAAGGAATGGTATCTTACCCGTAAGTTCTTCAGGCGCAGCGTACACATTGCTTGGCGTCTCGCAGAAGCAGGCCGCTATTATGGTGGTCTCGTCGGTCGGGCAGGCAGCCTCGGAACCTTCGTCAGCAGCGGCTGGATTACTGTAAGGTAGTTACTGTTGAGAGTCTGACAATAGAGTCAAAGCAAGGGACACATATACTACTGGTATAGTAGTACCTAAGTACACATCAAATTTCGCTATTTGTATAATATGTAGGTACATATGTATGTATCTACTAGCGGTCGCCCGCGTCTCCGCTCGCGTGCATGTCAATTTTACACTTTTTCAAGACTTTTTTAAAATTTCTCTATATACAAACCTTCTCTGGACTTCCACGAATAAAATAATTCAAGACCAAAATTAGTCCAATCGGTAAAGGCATTGTTGAGTTATAACATAAACAACGAAAAGTGGCATTGATTGTTATACATATTTTTATATTTACTTATATTCCTACGGTCACGCGTGATCGGCTAGACCGATTCCTTTAATTATTTTTTAGTGTGTTTGTTATACATGTATTACACATATGAAAGAAAATTTTAGAAAAATGGAATTGTAAGATTAATAGAGGGCGAGCAACTATTTTTCTATAAAATTTTAGGTATTTGTAGGGCTTACAAAGTGGTATATAGTAATAGTAAAGTGGTCTCGTGAAATGTTAAGTTTTTGAAGCATATCATAGAACATTCATGTAAAAGGAGGTATTCCTGAATAATTTTGTTTGGAACTTCAGGTACCGAATTTCAACCTTTTATTGGATGGGTAAACTGAGTACAGGAAAAAAACGTTTTGTTCGGCACCGGACATAATGCACTAAGAAAAATAATAAGTAACAATTACTTTTTGCATTGAAGTTTTTAGTGTTTTTTTTTCTATTGCGTTTACCTGACCACTTGTAAATTGTGTAAAGTTTACCCGAAAGTTCTATAAGACAAAATTGCACGTAATTTATTTATTTGATATAACTAGATACCTTATATCTTCCACTTCAACTTCTGAATGAGGTTCATCCCCACCAGATGACCGATGCCTCCTCCTCTTACGATGAGTCCTGGTAATCAAAATGGGCAAATTATATATCATAGCTAACCATACACAAGCCAAAGGTGAAAGAACTAAGTCTCACCTTTCACTGTCGTCCACGTAATTGTGCCTCGACCGTTTGGACGAGCGCCGCGGTGACCTGGCGTCAAATTTATTTCTTTATCATTTATTAAAAGCTACTTACTATATCTAAGTTGGTAACAGGACAGTGTATCTTTTTAACTATGATTATTTTATTTTTAAACGACCGCCAAGATGGTAAGTTAACATTTTTTTTACGAGCTTGTAATCTCCCACTCCTGGGCAAAGGCCTCCCCATCTCGCTTCCAGTTTAAATTTTATGCAGTAAATATGTGAGAGCCATGTTTTGATTTGAATAGGACAGCTCGATCAGATTGAAATCCGCCCCTAAGACAACACACTGACCAAGTAATACACCGGTTTCACAATAAAACCCGCGAATACCGCGCTTGCTTTGTGCATCGCCGTATAAGTGAACTGATTGGTGACCTAATCCTCAACTGACTGACCCTCAAGAAGGCAACAACGTATTTGTAACTTCTCTGATGCTGTAGGTGTAGAGGCTGATTGTTTTTTTAAAACCAGGTGAACAATGTGCTTATTTGTCACACTGCATCATAAAAAATATTCACAATCACACTTTTTTCTATCGATGCAGATCTACATAATTATATGAAATTAATTTCTGATACCGAAATTTATTAAACCGAATCATATTAGCCAATACACATAATTATACGAATACACAAGGTAAGACTATTCAAAAAGTTTCTCATAAATAACTATGTATCTATATATTGCAAACTAGTAAACAACTTACTTATGTTCGTCTTCCCCTACAGGTGATGATCTATCACTGTCATTGAATCCAACAGAGGAGCACAGTCTAGTTGACCGTCTTGGTCTATTCTTTGAAGCTACTTCAACGGAACATCGGAAATCAGCATCACTTGAATCGTCAGCCTCCATCAACTTGCTGAGGAATATTGCATCCTCCACTTCCTCATCCTCGTCTAATTCATCGGCTTCTCCATCTTCTTCAGCTTCTCCTTCTTCATCCTCATCTGCGTCTCCCCTAGGTTAAAGAAACATTTTAAGATTGAGATATCTGACAGTTACAAAATTAAAAAAATAGGAACATACAGACAAATAGTTATTAAAGGTAGAGAGAGAAACAAACATATCTAAAAGTGGGTATTTGCATATTTTAGTAGCCACATATATTTAGACATTCTATTATTTTTATAAAACCACTAGTTGTGAAGGCTACTTAAAAAATGTAAAAAAACATAAATAAAAAGGATATTCTGCAACAAAATATCATTGTTAAGTTATGGTTGTTGCTTCAAAGGCTGTTCAATCTTAATTTATTTAAAACTGTGTCCACTTTTGAATCAATAATGATGCTTAACTCTACAGAGTTTGATTAGAAAATTATTGTTTTTGTAATAATAATACCTAGTTTGAAATCAAAAACATATCTGTCAATATAATACCTGTTTTCATTTCCACTTTCCTCTGCCTCATCTGGACTGATAGCTTTCAAGCCCAGCTCACACAGGTGCTTCAACTTCATCACAGTATTCTGACTTTGGCTGTCATCATCCTCTCCTAGCACTGCCATCTCCTCTTCTACTTCCATCTCTGGCTCTTTCTTCTTTTCTATCTCCATTGCCAAAGGCCGAACTGACCTCCGTGTCCTCACACCCTCCTCAGGAGACTTCTCATTTATCCCTAAACGGGCATTGTTCTGAGATTCCAATCCCATTCGTAATTCTTCATTGGCAAGAATCTTAGCTGTAGGTTTAATTCTACGGGACAATCTTTGAGGAGCTTGCTGGGTTTCATATGATTTCTCCTTTCTGGCAATGGCATTAGCAAGGACGTTGTCCGAGTCCTTGCTGCGTCGCCGCGTCGACCGTTTGGGAGTGGTGTGTGAGCTGTCTGACTCATCATTCTCTGATGTTGTCTGTGTGCCAGACTTGTTTTTCTTGGGAGATGTGTCGCTGTCGCAGACCCACTCCCACTTACCGCGAGTCCTACTAGACCGACGCGGCGCCTCTTCCTGCTTCTCCTCGTTAGTAACGATCTTCATATTGCTACTCTTGGCACTGTTCTTTTCCGACCGAAACGTTAGAACAATACGCGGCTTTGGCTCCTCGTCGCCTTTCTCAGATCGTTTTGCATCTATCTTGTCTAGAGTTACTGTTAGATTATCAGTTGGTTGTTTATCGACTTTTTTCTTAATAGGAGTCTCTTCATCCGTATTCATGGTGCTACAAGGCTATTGATCAAGTTCTCAAGGTTTTAGCTCTTTCACTTTTATTTTAGTTCTTTATTACTACACGCCACTGCACTTATATGTATAGACTATCCAAGTAGTGTTGTATTCACTAGAATTAACAATATACATTAGATATATGAAAGGAAAATAGGATGTAAAATGTAAACAATAAAATAATAAAGGAAAAAAATGCGTTTGGTCACACAGGTATCATTCTAGTAGTAATTGTATTTACTATTTGATACTTTACTCATAAGTAAATTAAAAAATCATGATAATGAGCAAGATATTTTTGAAATAAAATGATAGATAGATAAATATATTTTGCTATTTTCTATCATTCAATTATTACATTTGACACCTGTCGTAATAAACTTGTAACCATAAAGTACCTAAAGGTCATAGAGGAGAGTACATGCCACAGAATGTGACAAAATGCACATTGATAAGACTGTCTTGTCTTGTCTTTGATTGAAACGATTTGAGACTGCTAAAATTGGCATCTGTAGTTCATTGTCATTTTGACATTGACGTTATTTTGTTTGTATTTGAAGCATTCCTTCCCTAAACACATCACATAACAAATGAAAATAACATTTATTTGCTTTCTATCTTGCTTACTCTTAAAAGATTTTCATAAAGTGGTCGCAGTTTATGTTACTATGTGTAAGATTTAATAATCAATAAGTCATTGACAACAATGACGTATGAGTACTCCGATAGTATGAATATTTTATGATCAAATAATTAGTGAACTACTGATAGAAATCAATTAAACTTCACTTCAGACGGTAACGCTTGGAGCGTTATATCTGTTACTTGAGTTTGAGTTTATAAAGATAAGATGAATCAATTATTTTTGAGCGCCGAACATGTCCTGCAAGGAGGGTACTTTCACTCGACTTTGAGGAAATTACAAGAACCTAACACCACTATCGAGGCTCATAATATTATGTACCCCGTGTTCCTACTGTAAGTACTTAGGAAGGTTGAAGGTTCCTTATACACGATAACTTTCACATTAGTAGTGTAAAAAATATTATAAAGTATAAAATTGTGCCATCTATTATAGGATATTCAAATTGATTAGATTAGCGCTACTTGATAAACGAATCCTAATCATTCAAATAAAAAAAATAATTAATCTTAGAATTTGTTTCTAAATTAACAGGGAAGATGACAATCTCATTCAGCCAGTGGCAAGTATGCCTAATGTGTGCAGATATGGACTTCACCCTCTGATTTCCCACCTGGAAGAACTAGTAGAAAAAGGTCTCAATTCCATACTCATCTTTGGAATTGTTACAGCTTTACCAAAGGTATTTTAGTTAAAGAAAAATTAAGCTGTTCTAATGTTAATAAGATCAACTGATTTTAAATTATATTGTTTCTCTTCAACAGGATGCCACAGGATCTAGTGCAGACTGTCCAGAAAATCCAGTATTGAAGGCCCTGCCTAAACTGAGAGCCAAATTCCCAAATTTACTTATAGCATGTGATGTTTGTCTATGTCCATACACTTCTCATGGACATTGTGGACTCCTTACTCCCAACGGAGCCATAGACCATGCTGCATCAGTTAGAAGAATTGCTGAAGTTGCCCTAGCTTATGCTAAAGCTGGTAATACACTTTGCTAAATTTATTAATTAAAATTATAATTCTTTTATTTTTTTTCACAACATGGCCTTTGAACTGGCCTTGTAAATGAAAAAGATAAGAATAGTTCAATATCTTTTGTAAAGTATGACTTAGCATTTTGTTTTTTTTTTTCAATTAAGTAATTTTTCTAAAATATTTGAAAGAGTGTGTTATATAAGTTGCAAACAAAACAGGATAAAACTCTAATTCATGTTAACAGGTGCCCAAATTATTGCACCCTCTGACATGATGGACAACAGAATTAAGGCTATAAAGGATGCCCTGGTGTCCTGCAAGCTGCAGAATACTGTAAGTTCTTCACTCACATACTTAATAAAATAATTATGTACAAGCTCATTGCACTGTACATCCCATCCCAGTTAAATGCAATCCAGGTGTGGCAGCACTGTGTGTGCGATCATGGTGTGGGGCACCCCAGTCTTTTTAAATAAAAGGGCCCCATCTGTCACCACCTTATAATATTAATATGACTAGCACTGTACTTTACAAAATATTTGTTATGTAACAAAGAAAGCTAATGATCAATTTTATGTGTAACTCATCAATTGAACCACTTTTTTGTTGTATAATACAGAAAAAAGAATATTTGACACTGAGAGTTAATTTAAAAATGTTAATTGATCTATTTCAGGTGTCAGTCCTGTCATATTCGTGCAAGTTCGCGTCAGCTATGTATGGCCCGTTTCGAGACACTATGAAGAGTTCTCCTATGGAGGGTGACAGGAAATGCTATCAGCTGCCACCTGGCAGTGCAGGACTCGCTGCTAGGGCTGCTGTAAATACTCAACATTTTAATTCTTTACTTTAGACAGAAGTATTTTAATTCTTTACTTTAGTTTATTAATGTACTTTTATACCAATATCTATAAGAAAGATTGTAGACAATACACATAATATAAAGCAATGTGGTTGAAATACCCAATATCAGCTGAATAAACAGTCATAACATAAGAAACTAATAACAACCAACAAACTTCCTTTGGCACAATAAAATTAAGGTTGAAATTAAGTTAATGAGCACTAACTTCCTTGCTTCGCATGGTTGCTATTCATAAGTGTTTCTTACATTATATCCTTCCTTTTACAGCAAAGAACACAATAATGCGACTTATTGAGCTAAAGTAGTCTTACTCCAAATGTTCTCGAATTTTTGGTACATTTTTTTGTAATTGTTCTACTTCAGGCACGAGATGTAGCTGAAGGTGCAGATTTCCTGATGGTCAAACCGGGTCTGCCGTATCTGGACATAGTCAGGCAGACCAAGGACAAATACCCTTACCATCCTTTGTTCATATACCAGGTATACATCAGTTGCTGCCTAAAATACATAAATTTATTATTACTAAATTATTCGATCTTTGAAACTATGTGCTCATTATGCCATTTTAATAAAAAAAAAATTTAAATATGATTTTATCTTACCACCCAGTTTTCTTTCCTAAATATGGAAGGGCCTTATCTGGCGTATTATTACGTACCGTATATTATTTCATTCAAAAAAATCTACTTATGCTAAAATAGTAAAATACATCCATAAAAACTGAATACAAAAACAAAACGTAAAGTACATGTACACAGTTATCTTTGGACAGTGTAAATGTTGCAAAGTTTACCTACATGGTATTTCTTATAACTCATATTTGTATTTGACAACAGGTGTCTGGTGAATATGCAATGATCTGTCGCAGTGGAGACAGCTCAGAGGTCCAGACTATTCTTATGGAGACATTGACGAGCATGCGCAGAGCTGGTCTGTATCTATCTATACTATATTATTACAAAGCGGTCACATTTTTAAGTTTGTATGTAGGGCGTAATCTTTGGAACTGCTAGTTGGATTGCCAAAATTTATTCACTTATAGATAGCTGCAATGTTCCTGAGTGCTATAAGCTATAAAACAGCACGCTACGACCAAATGGTGCCGAGCAGCATGTAAAACCGCGCGAGAGTAACTAATTTAATTATAATGATATAAACCAGCCGATCTGGCAATATCCGATTCTCAAGTTGAAGGATTGTGCCTTCTGTGTTTTTGTTACTTTACTTTCCAACCTTCAGAATTAGTTCCAATAATCTTATGTTCTACAGCCACAAAGAATTAAGACAAATGTTTAACAAGTAAATATCTTTTTCAGGAGCTGATTGCATCATAACATACTTCGCCCCTTTAATTTTGAACATCATAAATAAAAAACAATAAATGGACTTCTTTGTTTAGTACATTTTGTGATCTGTGGGGTTGGGTCTATGTTGTATTTTTAATACTTTTTTTACTTTTGCTCAAAGTGTCATTACATTTTTTTTTAAGTACAGACTGCCAACTGTTGTCGTAGTTTCTAAGTTGAAAAACATGGGTTGTTGTTATTTCTTTTTTTATTATATTTGTTATGGATGTGACATTATAAACTGTACCTAAGCCTTATGGTGATGTGATGTGATAGAAAATTATGAAATTTATTAAATAAATTCTATGTATTTATTTGACTGGTTTTCTTTCTCACCCGTTTAGATAGGTATGACCGATAACCGTTTGCAATTCAACATGCAGATCTTTTAAAAGTAGGTATTTTATGTGCAATATGTTTTTATCAAACTGCACAAATATAAATTAAGCTGACGTGGCCCTGTCGTATATTGGGAAATATTAAATGTTGTAACATAATATGTGATGCAATCTTTTTCAAGAGAATAATGTGGAAGTCCGTTATTACTCAAAATAATTTCAAGATTACAGGGTTATTTTTAAATTCGCTATATTTTACATTTCGATCTTCGTCATCAATACATATATGTAGATATATTGCCAATTGTGAGTTGATCCATTCTTAGCCATTTTGTAAGAGATCTTTTGCCCCCATATCTACTTAATATAACTCTTTGGATAGTCAAGATTCCTTTACGCGATATTATTTTATACTCTATAACATATGAGAGTAAAAATTGAATTATAAGACTCGTTTTCATGATATCTTACGAATTCCTTGGAACATGCAAGTATATTATTGGTTTAATTATTATTGGCAATATGGCAGTAGGCAAGAAGCTGGCATAATATTCCTTGCAATTGAGGCTTGAAATGAAGGGTATTAGAAGACCGATTGTTCCATCAACCAAATGTAATTTTTATCAATAAAATACATCGTCATTTCTACAGTAAAATTTAAATATGTACCCTCAGAATACAGAACAATCTGTATTCTGAGTATGTACTGAGCAGAATGTCCTAGAAACTCTAGTCCAAAGCTCTCGAAACCCAACAATTTCAACAAGACTGGGTTATGGATGCAATACAATAAGTTTTGGTTTCTATAATAAAAGTTTAAATTATTTATTATCTAAGAAATATTTTGAAGCTGTTCATATACCTAACTCTATTCCAAAATTTCGAATCATTTTCGAGTTAGAAACTTCTAGAAAATAAAACAAGTATGGTCATCTAAGACATTAATTTCTGATAGTTGTACCTTATAAATATTCATATTAAAGTAAAACAAACCATTTTTTTTATATTTTTACCCTACGATAAAAGTTTTGTTGGAAAGATTTTGCAAATGATTGACTTCGCTTCGATATTCGTCCGTAGGTAAAAATTATGATAAAAACATTTTGAACAAGCTTTATTGTATGCAAGTTAATATACAAACACGTATTTATTGCATCGATGCGTTAGTTAAACAAGTTTTAAAGGCAAATTATAATAAAGTTAGTATATTGTAAGATTAAAAAACCTATTTTACAAACATTAATGTGGCATTAGTCTTTGTTTAAATTAAGCGCCATAGAGAATGTTCTATTAGGGGCCAGTTAGGAACGTGGGCCAATCACGATGCGCCAAATACGTATACTTGGATCAATCGCAGGATATTATTTGAAACGTCATTGAGTTGTGGACCAATCACGTTAGCCCACGATGGATACTAGCGCTAAATAATAGCGACGGCCGCGTGTGTAACTTCAGTTTTTCTTGAAAAATCGAAGGTGAAGGAACAGCGTATTTGTGAATTCGTTCACGAGTGTCTCATTTAAAGTGCTTGTATCGTGGCGGTGAATAATATTCTACTGGAATCAAGTCTAATTCAATCATCTGTATATTAGAGGTAATTATTAATAATTTTTTCTCATAAATTCTGTATCGTTTTTTAACACATTATATTTAAAACTATTTTTTAACCTCTCCCTTTCATGGTTTGGTACCTGACTTCTGACTTTAAAGTATTTTATTTCTTTAAAGGATGCTACTTTTGATACTATATCAAATAGAAGCTAATAGATTTCTAATAGGAATCATTTTGATCCCGCTTATCATTTAAGGAACGTCAGCGAAATTTCTCGACGCCGAGTGGGCCGGTGGCGTGTCCTACATCTCTCCTGGCCGTTTCATGATACCGTTAGGTTTCTCGTACCGCTACCAATAGCTAGGTTGGAAAACTTTCCTTTTCTATGAATCTGAACCGGTAGCGTTTGGCCCGGCGCCTTATAGTGACGTGTCCCATTAACGATTACGTGTCTCCTACGTATAGTGTCATCTGGTACAGATTGAGATATTTTAACTTTAAAACATGTTAACACGATGCGTTTAAATATGTTAAGGGTTTCCTAACTGATTTTTATAATTATTTGTTTCAGAAAGTATCATTGCATGATCAAAATGCGGTGGAGTATTTTAGCGTTGGCCTGCGTGGTCGTGGCGGTGTACGCCGACGACAAGAAGGATAAGGAGAAGGACATCGGTACCGTGATCGGTATTGACTTGGGTACCACTTACTCTTGGTAAGTGAAATATTTCTCAATACATATTAATACATATTATGTTAGAATTGTCAACCATTTGAAATACTGAACTCTATAATGAATATTTAAGAAATTTGAAGACATCAAGATAATCTTGAATAAAAACAATATTTTAATACTTTAAGTAAAAAATTTGCATAAAAATGATCTTGTATAAAGCTGATGGAGGTCATGGAGTTCAAATGACTGGTCAATGACCTGCCTATTTAGTTAAAAGGTTGCTTTAGCTGTATAAGTATTAAATATTCATCTATTGTTTGAGAAATTAATATTTAATTTACTAAGCTCAAAAGTTACAGTAAAAATGTGTCACTGTAAATCTAACTAAAAACCTCTTCTATTTTAGCAAAAGAAAATGTTATTTGAACTGAATGTTAAAATGTGATAAAGAGATTACACAAATCTAATAGAATTGTTTTATTTGTCCACAGTGTTGGTGTGTACAAGAATGGCCGTGTGGAAATCATTGCTAATGACCAGGGTAACCGTATCACTCCCTCATATGTGGCTTTCACTGCTGACGGAGAGCGTCTTATTGGTGATGCCGCCAAGAACCAGCTAACCACCAACCCTGAGAACACAGTCTTTGATGCCAAGCGTCTTATTGGTCGTGAATGGAGTGACTCTACTGTTCAACATGATGTGAAATTCTTCCCCTTCAAGGTGGTTGAAAAGAACAGCAAACCTCATGTTTCCGTTAAGACCTCCCAGGGTGACAAAATCTTTGCCCCTGAAGAAATCTCAGCTATGGTGCTTACCAAGATGAAGGAAACTGCTGAAGCTTACCTGGGTAAGAAGGTGACCCACGCCGTCGTTACTGTCCCTGCTTACTTCAACGACGCTCAGCGTCAAGCCACCAAGGACGCTGGTGCCATCGCCGGCCTTCAGGTTATGAGAATCATCAACGAGCCTACTGCTGCCGCTATTGCTTACGGTCTTGACAAGAAGGAAGGCGAGAAGAACGTGCTCGTATTTGACTTGGGTGGTGGTACCTTTGACGTGTCTCTACTCACCATTGACAATGGAGTGTTTGAAGTAGTAGCCACTAATGGTGACACTCACTTGGGTGGTGAGGACTTTGACCAGAGAGTCATGGAGCACTTCATCAAGCTGTACAAGAAGAAGAAGGGCAAGGACATCAGAAAAGACAACCGCGCCGTACAGAAGCTTCGTCGTGAAGTTGAGAAGGCCAAGAGAGCTCTGTCCTCCAGCCACCAAGTCAAGATCGAAATTGAATCTTTCTTCGAAGGTGAAGACTTCTCCGAGACTCTTACCAGGGCCAAGTTCGAGGAGCTGAACATGGATCTATTCAGGTCTACCCTCAAGCCTGTGCAGAAAGTATTGGAAGACGCTGACATGAACAAGAAGGATGTTGATGAGATCGTGCTTGTCGGTGGTTCTACCCGTATTCCCAAGGTACAGCAACTGGTCAAAGAATTCTTTAATGGAAAGGAGCCTTCCCGAGGTATTAACCCCGACGAGGCTGTTGCCTATGGTGCCGCCGTCCAGGCTGGAGTACTCAGCGGTGAACAAGACACTGACGCCATTGTGCTGCTCGACGTTAACCCTCTTACCATGGGTATCGAGACTGTAGGAGGTGTCATGACCAAGCTTATCCCCCGTAACACCGTCATTCCTACCAAGAAGTCTCAGATCTTCTCCACAGCTAGCGACAACCAGCACACCGTCACCATCCAGGTGTACGAAGGTGAGCGTCCAATGACCAAGGACAACCACTTGCTCGGAAAGTTCGACTTGACTGGCATTCCTCCTGCACCTCGTGGTATCCCACAGATCGAAGTTACATTCGAAATCGACGCCAACGGTATCTTGCAAGTATCTGCTGAAGACAAGGGCACTGGAAACCGAGAAAAGATTGTGATCACTAATGACCAGAACAGATTGACACCTGAAGATATTGAAAGAATGATCAAGGATGCTGAGCGATTCGCCGACGAAGATAAGAGGCTCAAGGAACGCGTTGAGGCCAGGAATGAGCTGGAAAGCTATGCTTACTCTATCAAGAACCAGCTCCAGGACAAGGAAAAGCTTGGCTCTAAGGTTGGTATTATTATACTTTCTATTGAAATTATTTCAAATTATCTTTTCACATATTTATATTTATTTATATGAATCTCTCAAAAGATCTCTTAAAACACCATGAAAAATAGTAGTTTAAACTAATAATTTTATTTTGTTTGTCAACAGCTGAGCGACGACGAAAAGTCAAAGATGGAGGAAGCCATCGATGCCGCGATCAAGTGGCTCGAAGACAACCAGGATGTCGACTCAGAAGAATACAAAAAACAGAAGAAGTCCCTGGAGGACGTCGTTCAGCCCATCATCGCCAAGTTGTACCAAGGACAAGGAGGCGTGCCCCCGCCTGGCGCGGGAGGTGATGATGAAGATTTCAAAGACGAGTTGTAACCAAACAGACTTTAATACGTGTGATCATAGCCAAATGTGATCTCCGATCGTTGCTGAGTGTGCACCGTGACCTACGACGTCATGTGGCACAACCTGCAGCGAGACACGGATGCGGAGTGTTTTAACTCGTGTTGTGTATATTTATTGTATGAGTGTGTGCGAGCCTGGGGTGTGCGGCGGGCGGGCTGCCGTCACAGAGCCGAGATTTGATCGTGTTTCTGCCGCTGCGCACGCGTCTGACTGGTGCGTGGAGTTAATTGTAAAAAATGATGCATTTTTATTTTTAGTGAAAGCAATAGTTTGGCGTTTGAATAATTGCGAGAGGCCTGATTCCATGACTTTCTCAATGCCGATTCATTAATCTATTATTGCATCAACTAATGAATCGGTACGTGTCTCATTTCATCCAGGAGACTACCTCAGTGTTTTTGAACTGTGTATGTATGTAATTATTTTGAGACTGCAGAATTGTTAGTTCATAATTAGCAGAATAATTAAATAATTATGTAGAAATTAAATAATTTCAATTGAAGTACGGAGGAGTACATAAATAAACATTTTTCTAACGACAACATCTTTTATTTAATCAGTATAATGAAAATGCCTAATACATTATTCACCACAAACGTTACGTAGTTGAGAACAGCACTCGATGTCGAAGTGAGGCGCAGAGATCACGGCAGCTTGTACCTTCGCTTGCACTTTATCTAAACACAAAACATTCTACTTAGACTTATGTTCATCACCTGTTGTTGTTACTCATTGAGCACCTTGGATCAGCCTGATGAATTCTTATCGCGATTTCGAACACCTTCATGGAGTTCTTGATAAACTTACGAGGCACATAGTTCATAAAAATTACGTTAATCTGGTAGGTACGTGCGAGTTAACGATGTGGAACAGAAACTTCAGCCAGCCAGCAATTTTGTAATTACTAGTATTGTGAACCAAACTTTAGTTTGCTTAATCCACGCGCATCGTTCATGAATTTAAGTCCTGATTTAACTTGAAAGTAGTAGAGCTTTTCTCGAACTATGTCAACATTACGTGAGGGAGGCGTATTTTTTTAATTAACTAGGGAAATACATATTACATAAACCTAGGTAATTTTGATAAAATTGGGAATAATCTCTTATGATTGTAATATCAATATTAATTGATAATTCTATCCATGATTCCGTTATCAAATCTATCTATAGGTATTATAATATGGAATTTACTAGAATAAGGCCTCCGGTAAATTGAAACAATATTATCATAGTACCTACATTTGCAAACAACACGTTTTATAGATAATTGATAGGCGGAGTCGCGGTCCTAACAACGAGACTAAGATCAATAAAAAAAGATTCTTATTAATGTCACGATCACAGAGTCACGATATTTAAATGATGTGTATGTGTAACACGAAGATATGAATGATCGCGATAACTGTTTTTGTATTTGGAATTGGTCATGATACCACGATGACATCTCAAAAGTATTTTGCCTTTCGAATTCATTAATGCGTCCAACCTAGCTTAGAGAAAACTGCTGAAGTCACCAATACCTATAGGCTGTACCTACATGTTCAAGTACAAACAGTACATACCAAATGATTCACAGCCATCAATCTCCACAGCTGTCAAGCCGGCCGAGGCTCGTAACTCTGCCAACTGCTCCGTGAAGAATAAATCCCACTGTGGGCAATAATTTAGGAAATAATTCACAATCTAGGTTAACTTTTTTTAATTCTTGTAGCTTTTAATTAGGTACAGAGGTACCTAAAATACAATGGAAAAATAAATTTCAACTATTAAGATAGGTAGGTACTGCCTATACCTACCTACCTACTTGTAAATTGCTCTCTTCTATCAAAACATGATATTGGACTTGAAATAGGTATGAGAAATAGTATACTTGTTAAAACAAACACCCAATATCTAATACTTATTTTAATATTTTCCTAGAATGCACCATAAGAAACATTCGATCCTACTAATTTTAGACTTAAATGTGAAAGTTTGTGAGAATGTATGGATGTATGTTTTGTTTTTGGTTCCCGCAAAACGGCTGCACTGATTTGGTTGAAATTCAATGATCTGATGATATATCGAAATGGTATGTATCTAAATTAGTAATAGCCTGGATTAACACAGGCTTCTTTTTATCATCATACCCCGTGCGCGGAAGCTAATATCTAGTAATATCGAAGTAAATGAACCGCAATCTTATGTAGATACTTTCACTACTCATTCAAGATAGGTATCGCGAAATACATGTAGCTATCATTTAATAACGGCACGACACAACTACCTACTTACAGTAACCTACCTATTAACACATTCCCGAAAAAATCAAAGCAAACTGTTACTTCTTATTCGTGTCACGGTCGGTAGGTACCTAGCGGATCGTAACAGTTACCTGTAACCGACAGTAACTGTGATATCACACGTCATCGGGCCTAAGTTTCGGGGCGTCGCACCTCGAGTCAATGACTTGTCAAATATGCTTATTTTATTAACATTAATATGTTACTAAATATGCGTGCTATGTAGGTAGCACATATGTCTACAGTTTGGTGCTCGGTATCTTCTAGATTTTCTAGAATGTAGGACAGTGAACCTACCTACCTACCTATTAGGTAGAGGTAAAGGTGTCATCAAAAGAAATAAAGCAATCATTTACTCAAGTCTCTGTCTCACTATTCCATACTTAATCCACGGTGACACAACTCTTATCCAGTTATCACTCTTGTGACCACCATCAGTGATTTCTTACCTCTCTTTGATGTAAATGCACTTTGTAGGTACCTCATATTCTCTCCGCACTTCATCGTGATCAGGGTGGCGAACGACGTTTGGTCCAGATCCCATCGGTGCTTTCTTGCCAGTGCATATGTCGAAGCCCTCGTTCTGGGTCCGACGCCGACACGTCTCCAAGTCCACGTTCAGAAACACTAGGCTGCAGACAGACTTGTCAACATAATGGGCAATATACATTCAAAATAATACGTAGGTACCTAACTAATGTCGGATTATAATAGTTAGTATCTGACACGGATAAACTAGGCCTGAATCACAAAACTTAGATATTGTTCTACGGAGGCCAAACCTTAAATACAAGTAGGTACCTATAGAACCTATCTTAGTCAGCAGTTATTGTTATAGAAATTCAACATCAAAGTATACCTATTTGTACCTTATTGTATCAGTGATTCATCATTATCATCATCATCATACCTAAAGACGTCCATGTCTGAACAAAGTGCCCTATCCTCTACGTTGAACGACAAGTCGCCATTCGCATTCATTGGTTTCTCGCGATTTTGATGACGTCGTCGCTCCACCTAGCAGCCTACCTAAGATCAGAAAACGTAGCCTGCCTACGCTACGTTTTCTGATCTTGGTTTGTATCGATTTTCAACCATAGTGATTTAATGCGCTTTTTTCGAACACTCTATTAGGTATATATAGGTAAAAGAATTTCAGAGAAGTACTTAATCTTATAATATCTAAAAGTAACAATCGCTTGGCAAGCTTTCACTTAGAAAGTAGTTAAACTGGAGCAACGTTAATAAACTGAACGAAATGAAAATGCAAGTTGCAGTTGTCTTTTTTGGTCTGTCTGTAAGTAAAAGTTCATACACGGCACAGATTTGGCATAGTTGGATCTAAGTCGCAGATCGTGATTGTCCAAATCAACATCCGCGATAATTTTTGATTCCAAAAAAAAAGAAAACCTTTTGCCTATGTAGGTACCTACTTAATGTTTAAAATATTGTCATCATCCTTAATATTGGTAACTACTTAGGTAACTAGCTACTTTCGCGCGGTTTCACCCGCTGCTTAACTCAGATAGATCTTAGCGTGATGTTTTATAGCCTAAGCCTTCCTCGATAAATGAACTAACAAACACAAAAAAGAAATCAATTCGGAGCAGTAGTTCTGGAGATTAGCGCGTTGAAACAAACAAAACTCATTAGCTTTATAATATTATAATAATATAATTATACAGCTGATGAGTTATATACATATATAGTAAGATGTATAAGTATAGATTTCATCTATTACTCACTACTCCTATGCGGCTTCATCCGCTCACGGAACAAAAAACGGGTTGTTTGCTTTATGCATCCGCTGCTCGCCTCTTGTTGGTCGTAGCGTGATGTTTTTTTTAGTCCTCGATAAACGCACAAACCGACACAACAATAATTGTTAAATTCGAAGCAGATTTTTTAAGATTAGCGGGTTTGAATAGTCTCTTCAGGTTTCTATTTTAACATAGATTAAGTAGGTACCTACTTAAAGTAGGTAAGCGCCTACCAACTGTCAAGTAAATATTTTTTTCCTCATTATGATTAGGCTCTGCTAGCAATTCTATTGGGCATTGAGCTGAGTATGCAATATAATAACTAGGTATATAAATAATTTATAACATACAATAATTATGTTCTTCATTGGAAATATTTGACCTCGTTTTACCGTTCTACATTTCGACCACACTGTGCAGTTTATTAAAGTTCAATAAGCTGCACTCACCGATTCGGAGGAGTCGGCATCTTATCGAGTATTTCGAAATCTGTCCCGTTTGTTGGATATCCAATCATCACCCAGCCGTGGTCAATACAATCCTGCCATTAAAAAGACTCTAGGTATTAGCAGACATCTAGGTATAGGAAGTACCAACAGGGTTAACTAAGTATTCATATTTAGACTTTGACTACCTATTTATTCTGTGCAGAAAAAGATTGAAGGTTGGTATTACGGGGGACAGCAATCACAACACTAATCAAGTAAAATATTGAGATAAGTGAATCCGAATATTGATTAAGAATGCCATATAATTGTTTAAAAGAGCAGTTTCTTACCTTCTTTAGAAGTCGGTCATTAATGATATCTCCTCTGAGGCTGATGCTAGTTCCGTACTTACGAATTCTTTCTCCTATTTCGTTGTCTTTTGCCGCATACTCTCTGAACAAGGCGTCAAAATGCACTATGGCAAAGAGGAGGATTGATCAGGATGAATCGAATTTGTTTGTCATTCTATAGGTAGCTACTAAATCCATAAATGGCACTGGTTAGTTAAAGTGATATATAACACTTTAAAGTAGGTACTTACAGAAGACTAAACCGAAATGCTTGGCTAGCGCTAGTGCCTGGGAACTTCGGCCGGAACCCCGGGGCCCAAGGAGCAGCACTCTGTAGACGCTAGGGGCCCCAACAGCACAGATCCCCTGCTTTGGTCCTTGATGACCTGCGTTAAACGCGCGAATCGCGTTGAAACACTTCGTTTGTATCTCATCCAAATCATCACCAGGATTAATATGTACTTCCTAAAAAATATTACTGCATTATTTAATCTTCTGATATTTAAAAATAATATTATAATATTTATTTGGTTTATTTCTACCTTAAGCGTAGCTTTGTACGCATACTTGAGACCTTCAAAGTCTTGCTGGAAAAAGTTTCTGGGGGGAGTGTGATTGCAGGCAGCTGGTGGTGCCGTAGGAGGTGTCGCCATCAGCACCAGGGTTACCGTGGGCAGGACGCCATCTTGTTGGAGGTAGCGCGCTTCGCGTAATGTGCAGGGATGATCTACATAGACCAGTGACATTTGCCTTTATTGCGAACTCTATTTTGATAAATTTTTAAAAGGAAAATTCATTAGGCACGTTGCCTCACAAAAATGAAAGATAGAGTGGGTTGCTTGAACATGTTTGTATTGTTTACCTAAATACCTATGTTTATTGTATTACCATACGATGAGATACACGACTAGCCATAAAAGTTCAATTATCGAGCTAGAGGTTACTGAGATTGGTTCTGTCTACCGCCACGGGACATGTGTGGGGACACAATTAGTTGGTGTTACTGTAGGTGTGCAAGGGTCAGATAAACTTGATGACAGTATTACCAAACATCACCCATCCAGCTTGTGGAACGGGCTCCTTTAGAGTCAACGCTTTTGTGACTTCCGACATCAATGCTATGTTTACACATCCGGGCTCGTATTCGTCATGCTGTGTAAGAGATGTGAAATCGGTTATCAACATCAACGATAACGACTAAAAATGTGCAATATACATTACTTTTTCATAGCGATCCATCACGCAGCGACGTGTTATAACGAAGCAACCAAAATCTTTTATCAAACGCTTCACCAGGCCGTGCACATCTAGGTATCAAGAAATCGTGATTTTATTCATCGTGATAAATAATTATGAAGCTAATCGACCTCAAACATTTGATTTCTATTATTATGCAATTAAAATCGACCAACGCGACAGAACTTCTATCACCATTGTTTAGATGTTTAACGAGAAAGAACGGAATTTTTCACGAAACTTTCTGCCTAGTGCAGCAAATTTTGTAGTGCAGCAGCTTTTATTGAACATACTACATCTATTATTGAAGATATAAAAAATGCAATCCAAATCGAGCTTAATACTGCTACAATTAAACTTCAAAACCAGGTAGACCAAATCACAACCAACCTAACTAATGAACAGGAAATAATAAAACAACAAATTACAACAATCGACCAAAACATAGAGAACATTGAGAAACAACTATACCAATTGAAGAATTCAAAGAAAATAGTACTTTATGGACTCACAGAAAGCCACCGGGAAACCGAATATGAACTGATAGACCGTGTCTCTAGAGTGTTCCATGAAGTAATGAACATTAATATCAACCCCTACATAGAAGAAGTAAAGCGCATTGGAAAGAGAGAAGATAGAAGACCACTAGCAATTGAACTAATGAATAAAAGAATGTCAAAATATATCACAGAAAATGCAAAAGATTTCCAAAATACTGGATTAGGAGTAGGACCATTTATGGATCCTCAAACCTTACAACAGCGAAACGAAATCAGGGAAGCACTACGCAAAGCAAGGAAGAGCGGTAAATACGCCATTATCAAAAACAATAAACTTTATATTAACGGAAAGGAATATATAACAGACCCAGCGCCATTAATAAACACAACACACGAGTCACCTATCGACAACAAAAACTATGATACGACGACGAACCCAACAATCCACTACGAAACGATGAGCAACAACACACAAGAAGTTACGCCAGCGCCCGCAGCCCCGTCTGTGTCGATGCAAAGGAACACACCACGGAACCGGACATTTCGATATTGATGTAAATGTAACTTTTCAAAATATCCAAAGTATAGGTAATAAGTTAGATTTAGTTGAACAAGTTATGTTAGAATATAATATTGATATTTTATTATTGTCAGAACTATGGAAGAATAAGGACTTCTGTGATTCTATTTTACTACCGGATTATAAATTAGCATCTACCTATTGCCGTAAAACACATGACGGAGGAGGAGTATGCGCGATTGTCAAAGATACAATAAATTATATAGAAAGAAAAGACATTAATAACTACTCTAAAGAATTTATTATAGAAATTAGTGCTATAGAAATACCAAAGTTGAATTGTATTATAATAGGTTTATATAGAGCTGATCGTAACTTTGATATATTTTATTCGCAAATGGAAAAAGTTTTATATAAATTGAACACTAAGAATCTAAGTAAATTTATTATTATAGGAGGTGATTTTAATATAAACATTTTAAACAAAAATAGAGAATCTAAAGAACTTATAAACTTAATGAATTCACACAATCTTAAACAATTAATTACAGAACCTACTAGAGTAACAAAAACGTCATCTACATGCATAGACTTACTGTTCACCAACTACACACCTCTCATATCAAAAGCTTATGTTCAAGACTATGGCCTTTCAGACCACAAGGCGATAAATATAAAAATAAATACAAAAAATATACACAACAATGATAAAACTTGGATAGCCAGAAAAAGAATATTCACTAAAAATAAAATATCAAATTTTAAAAATTCGCTAAAAGATAAAAAATGGCACGAACTATTCGATCAAAATGCAGATCTTAATATAGACTATAATTCATTCATAAATATAATTACACAATTGTTAAACGATCACATACCAATCCAAAAAATAAAAATAAAAACGAAACCGAAAAAACATTGGCTTACACCAGCCCTCAAAAAATCATGCGTCCATAAAAGAATGCTAAAAATAATATTAAACGATACAAAAAGCGAAGTTATACAAAAATACTATAAAAAATACAGCCAAACACTTAAGCGTAGCATAAAAATATCTAGAAAACTCGATTACGTCAAACAAATGCAGAAATCAGACAACAAAACAAGAACAATGTGGAATATAATTAAACAAAAAACAAAAAAGCCCCTAAAAAATATCGGTAAAAATATATCACTAACACACAATAACCAAACGATAAATTGCCCAGAAGCAATCTCAAACATATTTAACGAATATTTCACAAGTGTTGGTGCAAACCCCAGTGATACAAACCAAAAGCACAACAAAAAAGGTAGACCAGTACTCGACTCGCCCGAGTGTTCAATGTACCTTCGTCCTGTCGACCGGAAGGAGATTATTAACATAATTCGCTCAATTAAAAACAAACATAGCTGCGGAGTGGACGATATCCCTCCAATCCTATTAAAACAATGCGCAGAAGAATTGTCTATCCCCCTTACATATTTAATTAATCAGAGTTTTCAAAATGGCCAATTTCCCGACGCTTTAAAAATTTCTTTAGTCAAACCCATTCACAAAAAAGGCGACACAGACACTCCCAGTAACTACAGACCCATAGCCTTATTACCCACATTTTCCAAAATATTCGAAAAAGCAATGTGTAACCGCCTATACAGCTTTTTAGAAAAATTCAAAATCCTAGATGATTCCCAAAACGGATTCAGACGCTCAAGATCCACAACACTAGCTGTTTATAAATATGTGCAAACCGCCCTACAGCATATTAAATGACAAGAAGTATGTAATTGGCGTCCTACTTGACATGACAAAGGCTTATGACAAAGTACTATATAACATACTTCTTGACAAACTACATGGCTCAGGCATTCGTGGTCCGGCTCACTCTTGGTTTAAATCTTACCTACAAAACAGATCCCAAATAGTCCAAATAGAAAACTATGACACAAAAACAAACGAAATAAAAACAACTCGATCACAAGAAATAAAAATAACTTGTTCAATACCACAAGGTAGTGTCCTTGGATGTGTATTATTTTTAATTTATATAAATGATCTACCTAAAATTCTAAATAAAGATCTAACCCTGCCAGTGCTATTTGCAGATGATATATCTATTTTAATAAAATATAATAAATCAGAATTACCTTCACCTATCTTGCAAGAAACCTTGGAATCAGTAACACGATGGCTTAACGACCACAACTTAGAGATAAACTATACTAAAACAAAAACAATGCAATTTAGATCTTATCAAACAGCCCCCCTAAAAATAGACACCTCTTTTAGAAATATTACATTACAAAACGTAGACACATTTAACCTACTCGGCATAAACATAGACACTCATATAAATTGGAAAGCCCACATAGAACACATAAAATCGAAATTGTCAAAATTCACATACGCTCTTTTCCAAATTAAATGTAGTACTAATATCGAGACGGCACTGTCAGCTTACTTCGCATATGCGTCCTCGTGGTTGAGGTACGGCATAATGCTATGGGGCGACAGTGTTAACTTTCACGACCTATTCCTGTTACAAAAAAAATGCGTACGAATCATAGCACAAATAGATAATCAAGATAGCTGCAGACCCTATTTTATTAAATACAATATTCTAACACTACCATCAATATATATTTATGACATATGCAAGTTTGTATTTAAAAATAAAGATAACTTTACTAAAGTAAAAGACACCCATAATGTAAATACCCGACATAAAAACAGACTGTACCTACCACCATCTAGAATTAAAATGCTTAACCAAAGTCCTTACTACATGGCAGTCAAAATATTCAATAGATTACCGAAAGACTTTCAAAACGAAAGGAAGGAAATAATATTTGAGAGGAAATTAAAAAAATTCTTAATACAAAAATGTTTCTACTCAACCAAAGAATTCTTCGAAGGAAAATAGATCACCAACATTAATGTTAAAACCCACCTCATATACACACAAACACCTATCTACTAACTCAACTAACTTATTTTTTTTTTATTTATCTAATTCTTAACTTTTTTGTTTATTTTTTTCTCTTATATACAATGTGATGTAAATTAAGTAATTTAATATTATTTTATAAGCTAGTAATAACCCTCTTTGCAACGCCTGAAAAAGGCCGTTAAGCTGTGCCTGCTATTTTAATTTAAGATCCTTGTACCCACCTTAACATGCAAATAAAGAATTTGAATTTGAACTTTAGAAAACACTATCGTCAGTGGTGTCCGAACTTCGAAGCTTCAAAGAAAGAGCGTAATAAGAAGGTACTACTTAAGTCTGGCAGTGCTCCTGTGATTCCTTTGATTTTGCGGTTGTCCATCGGCGGCGCTGATCGATTACAACAATTAAGGGATAATACCTAATGTCCATAAAAAAAAATTGCTGAATCGCTTTTGCTCACGGACTTTTTTAGCATTTATGATTACAAGTCTGTTATTGTATTTTTACTCATCTTTAGAGTCCGGATTGTTAGTTTACTGATACCTGAATATTCTGTTAGTATGTAGGTATAATCATAAACAAAATACCTACCAATATTGAGACCCGGTTCAACAAGCAAAATCATACGAGACGCCTCACTCGTGTGTATGTGGCGGTTGGCAAAGATCTTCATCTGCTTTATATGATCCTTAGGCAGGTATATTATGATATTCCTGACCATATCCTTAGGAAGGAATATTGTTAATTACAAAAAGGTATTAAAGAAGTACTAGATTACCACATAGCGCTGTGGCTGTGACCGATACCTTTTCTGAGCATTAATAAAATATTAAGTTATACCTTCATCATTAAGTAAACACGATACTTCTCAAGGTAGGGCAAGAACTTTTCAGGCATTTGCAGTGGTCGTTTTGTACTGTCGGTTTCCGTCATGTTTTAAGAATTGACACTCATTAGTAGAAACAAATTGTAAATAATTTATTCAGTAATTCAAATACAATCACAAGTTCTCGAAGTTGTTTTCCACTCTTGCAAACCAAAGAAATCGGGTTGAATCGGGTATAAAAACGCTTGTCAAATTGTAGGTATGTTTTTTATTTTTCATATTTGGTTTTCAACCTAAGTGAGTTGTCAGTGGTTCAAACTCAAAGACTCAAATTAGAATTAGGGTTCTCTAATGAAATAACAGGCACAGCTTAATGGCCTAGGGTAATAAGTAGTACATTGTACAATTTAATTGTTATGTTTTCGTGGGTTGTATGGGGTTGGTTATTTCCTTTTCTTAGGTAATGATAATGCGTTCTATAGGTACGATATAATTATGAAGGTTATCGAATAATAAAGTAAGTAAACTCTAAGAAATACTGATACTCTAAGATGGTAATTTATTTCACAAAATAAAATGAAATAAAGTTATACTACTAACTATTACTAAACGTTTTTTGTCTTGTCAACTGAACGCCCGTCAGCTGTCTGAGAAAATGCTGTCATATCACTGTCACTGTCAATACCACATGTTAAATGAGGTTATGTTTAGTGTTTACGTAATTTTTGTTTGGTTCGAGGAAGCGATTATGCACTAATTACCGGCTCAAATCGGTTTGATGTTATGACAATAGCCAGTATGAGGGTCAAATGTCGTATGCTTCATCGATAAGTAGAAGGAGAACAAGAAAACCGCCATGTGATTTTATTCTTTCGTCGATCACGACGAGGTCACTGCTTTTTCATTTATTTCTAGTATACCTAATTGCGTTGTAACCGTCCATTGGACGGATGACGCACTGATGAGCAGCGTCCGCTTGCTCCGTAGTTGTTTAGCCAGTAGTGTAGCTGTAAGGATGTGTTCGACGAAGACAAGTTACGAGGTACGGGTTCTGACGTTGTATTTGTTTTATTACTTTACTTTTGGTGCATTCATTGCGTAAGCGATCACTTAAGTCATGGTTTAATCGTATTGAGACGACATTTATTGCCACATCACGGTTTAGAAAGTCTCCTGGAAGTTTTTGTAAACACTAATTTTCAGCTTGACAAATTTTTCATTATACAAGAGCATAGAGGTTTGAAATTATGTAGATATTTATTTTGATTGTTAGTAAATATTATGTTTTGTGTTTGTTTAGCTTTCACCAACTTATTTGTTTTTGGTTGGTTCATATTCCACAATTTTCTAAATATATTTTCATTTAATTATTGCAACTAGTTTAATTAGGAATTCCTTCTTAGTTTTTTTTATATTATTTGGTATTGTCCTAATAGTAGGTAACAATCTAAATATTGTGCCGCACCCTTGAATGGATTTCATACTTGTCCACAAAGTTAAATAAATAATACATCTGTGAAACCCATTATAAATATCATTTAAACTACAGCTATTAGAATGTGACAACAATGTGAACCGCGGTTACCGGTTACAATTACCATAAATCACTGGAAAATATAAAAAAAAATGTTGTTTGTGTAATGTTAACCTAATATTCTGTGTGTGGCTATTCCCTCTTTTCCCAGTGATGAATTTCCTCACATGAACATTATAATAGTTCTAGGGAAAATGTCAATAACAAGTCATAAATTCATTATTATATTAACAGCTAGAGAAATTGGAAAACCAAGCATACATTGTCATACATAATGTTTACGGAATAACAAGCAAAAATATTTCATTTTAGTGTCCGAGGAGTATAGAGTCGAAAAAATAATTTCTCAAATGCATTAGTTAAATGTAATATTTTACATTCTTACATACTCTAGAACTGTATTGTACAGTACAAATGCATATCGCAAGGATGCCCCCAATACTTTAATTTTACATTGCACTAGCTAGTACTAGCTACTCTCGCGCGGTTCCACCCCCTGCTTTACTCCATTTCATCGTAGCGTGATGTTTTATAGCCTATAGCACTCAGAAACATTGTAGCTATCTATGAGTAAAAGAATTTTGGCAATCTGAAGTGGTTCCAAAGATTTCCCCCTACATACCAACTTACAAATTATACCTCTTTATAACATTAGTATAGATATAAATTTTATACATACACTACCTGTACCTTTGCCAAAAAATCTGGTTGGTTGTAGTATTAATACTTATATTATCTGAACATTTCAGGAGGCTGTGCGCAAACTGAATCTGCTACAGTCTAACAAGGCGACAATAGAACAGATCAGAAAAGATATAAAAACTGGCCAAGTGAGTATAGCTCAAACTCCCAGTAAAGAGGTAAATAGTTTTGTTTGTGACAGTCTGTTTTTTTAAAGTCACAGTTACCAATTCATCCTTAATAATTTACTTGTGATTGTATAGTACTAAGAGGTTCTATGATAAGTACCTACTTATGAAAAAAAAATTAAAAAAAAGTAAAAAACTAATTATGAAACTATTTTACTTATTATTTTTTGTTTTTTTTTATCTTTACACAAATCTTTACTAACATTTAAAAAGTTAAAGTTGAAACTTTATTTTTTTTACCAACAAATTAATTTACCTATTTATAAAAATATTATAATGGAGATACTTATTGTCTTACCAAACCGTGTAATGAACATTTCAGAAATGCACAAACATAGAGGATATGGAGTATTTTCTGTCCAGGACTGGCGTGTCTATGGCGAAGTTGGATGAACTATCTGTGATACATATTGCTGGGACTAAAGGAAAGGTAATTGAAGTGTTATGTTTTTTAAAACTAAAACTATGGTGTATGTCTGCTTGTTTGCTGACCTGTGCCATGATAAAAAAGATTTCAAACCAAAAAATACTAAAAAGTAGGTTAGGCTAATGACTACATTGAGTTATTTTACTATAAATTTTAAATTATTATTTAAAAAAAAATATACAGCGGATATAACAGCATTACACCATATATTGAGAATAACGACTTATTATAAAAGACACTATTACGTAAATTAATGAGAAAAGCTCGACTAGTTTCGAGTCGCAACGGGACGCTTATTCATGAGTTGCCGCGTTTTCGCACAGCCGAGCTTTTCTCATTTAATTTAAAGTGAGTGTGTAGTTTTTTTTAATAAATTTTGTATGTCTCAGGATAATAACTTTTCAAAAACAATATATAACTTACGAACTCAAAGGGAAATCATTCAAGCCGTCAAACTACATCAGATATTTCTAAAGACAACTAGGTAAGTATATAAATTGTTGATAATACTATGAAACTTGTTTCTTTTACTGATTAGGATGAGTGAATGAGTCAAGAATTAGAGGCATGTATGTCCTTATTTGATCTATTTAGCAGTAGGTACCTACTTAAAGTAAGTAGGTACGGAAAATTATATAACAGAGTAAATACTTTCTGCAAGGTCTTTTGTCATTGTTATGGATAATGTAATATAATGTACAATAAGAAGCGTGTAATCATGATTCTGAATGTTGCGTCATTCAACACTTATTTCCATAAGTTTAAGGCAAATCGAATCTAATATTAATTATAAAGAGGTAAATTTTGGAAGTTAGTATGCTTGTAAGTTTGTATGTAAGGGGGTAAACCGCTGGTCGGATTGCCAAAATGATAATCGTTCACTGATAGATAGCTAAAATGTTCCTGAGTGCTATAGGCTATAAAACATCACGCTGCGATCAAATGGAACCGAGCAGCGGGTGAAACCGCGTGAGTGTAGCTGGTACTTAAAAAATATTAAACTATTATTTACGATAAGAATTTCCAGATTCTGAATCACCCAGCCAGGATTACGGCGCTAGTGCAATAAGGTACCTACCTACCGCGGCCTCAGCCTAAAGCAGAAGGAACGGGGGTATTTAGTCAGTAAGAATCTGACATCCCTCTCGTCTAAGCCTAAGCAAGAGGATTCTTTTGACGATATTCCAATATTAAATCTAATACGATGAAATTAACAATACGCCTTAATAAGTTAGCAGTTTATACAGAAATCACAGTTTTAAAAATATCATTTCCAGGGTTCAACGAGCGCGATGTGCGAATCTATACTTCGACATCATGGGTTTCGTACAGGATTCTACTCGTCGCCGCATCTAGTGGCGGTGCGCGAGCGCATCCGGCTTGATGGACGCGTCATCACCGAAGAACAGTTCGCGAGATATTTTCATCAGGTCTATGATATGCTGGATGGAACCAAGGTAAGACTGGCCAAGTAATCTATATATATAAAAATCAAGCCACTGTTCGTTGTCATGTTATAACGCAAAAATTTCTTTACCGATATGGCTACTTATGATCTTGAATTACCTATTCGTGGAAGTCCATAGAAGATTTGTAAAAAGAAAAAAAACTTGAAAATGTGTATAATCGACATATTTATTGAAAATAACGGTTTACTCATGTGAATAAACTAAGAAAAGCTATACTATGTAGTATAAAGTCACATTGAAACTCTTTGCCAAGCGTTGGCTACGTGACGCGGCGTCGCGCACGCTGCTCATGAATAAGAGTCCTGTTGTTATTTGAAACTAGTCGGCCTTTTCTCTGTTAATTGAGGTAGTAAGTCGTTATTATATAAATTAAGTAATGTTTCGTTTTAAAAAAAAGTACTTTTGCCATGACCAACAGATCAGGTTCCATCTCCGTATGTACATAGGTAATAAGGATTTAGATTTAAGCTCTTTTATTTGCAATGGCCGGCGTTTGACCTCTATCTCCCTCAAGTATTGTTCACAATTTATTATGCAGCTTACGATGGAGTAGGTACTTCTGTTCATAAAAACTCAGCAGCCTTTAGCTAGCCTTACTCAGACTACTATTACAATATAACGAATAAGATTTTTATACAAAAAAAGAAACGTGGAGATGTTTATCAAATTAGCGTCTGTCTGTCTGCGTTGTGGGTTAAGAACATCGTCTATAAAGACGAACGGCAGGATTTGTACAGTATACTTTTTTCGTTGAATTGTTATAGAATTTATACCACTTATTAAGCCAAGTAAGCCCTTTATTTTCGTGTAAGTATAATATTTTTAGGTAGTCTGAATAATTAGTAATATCAATAAAAATATTTTAATTACTAAACGTAATATAATCCTAAACTGAACGCAGTTGTCATTTCAGAAGTTGCCATACGTAATATTACACAAATATCAGAATGAAATTATTTAGAAATAACAAAAAGTATATAAAAACACATTATATCTGTACATAAAAATGCATTATTTTAGCATAAAATAATAATAGTTTTATTCATTGTTTGATATTTATATAGTCAAATTCGATTTTTTATATGAATGATTTTCGTCTTCAATATTTTTTTCTTGTTATGGCAATTATATTTTATTGACAGACAAAGAAAATCCCTCTGTCAGTTTCTTTGCTGTTGTTTTGGATTGTGGTTTGTGACTGCAGCTAAGCAATTTAGCGAATTACCTGGCTGTTTTACGTTGAGTTGAGCATTGCTCGGTATATGGGATGTATATGGAATATATATATATATGGCACGTAAAAGTCGGTCCTAGATGTAGTCATCTAACACCACTGGATCATGCTAAGTTACTTGAAAGCTTTGACACTAAACATAACATACGATACACAAAACATACGCTAAAATGAAGTTGGTAAGTAAAACGCTACAAAAAAAGCGACAAGGAATTTAGAGCATTTACTTTATTACCAAAACAATGTTTAAATCCACCTATTATGTAACAAACTACATCGGTTCACTTGTACATAACCTCAAAAAATTAAACTGCTTATAACTTTTTTGTCCTGCTATCTATAAATCTAAGATATTAGGGAGGGTTAGTCTATAATATTAACTACCAAATTAGAACAAATACTATCCCAAACACGAAATTTTTATGCTGTACAAAACTCCCATATAAGCCTGCCATTCACCTTTTACGAGTAAACAGAAATGTACTTATAAAAACTACACGTTTATTTTAATTATTTCAGGCGTTCGAAGGTGACATGCCGAAGTATTTCGCTTTTTTAACTGTGATGGCATACAACGTGTTCCTGAAAGAGAAGGTAGATGTCGCTATTGTAGAAGTGGGCATCGGCGGTATTGTAGATTACACAAATGTTTTAAGGTCAGTATTGATAATTTGTACTTTATATTATAGATATTAAGTTTAAGTTTTAAATTTGAATGAAATTATTATTAAATTTTTCTCATGATTGCATGGTCTGTTTGTATTAATTTATTTATTTGACACTATGCATGTTTTATAAGACATAAAATCATCTAACTGGGATTTGGACTGTTAGTGCAATCGTTGGGCAACTGGCCGCGCCGCACACAACTACTTCTGTCCACGAATTGTCGTTCCGGCTTTGGGTGTGATGTTTATGTGAAATTGTAGTTAAGTTTAGGAGACAGTCAAAGTCAAAGTCAAAATCATTTATTCCAACTAAACCATAAATAGGTACTTTTGAAACGTCAAAATAGAGAAGTAGCCTGTCAGTCTGTTCGTCTGTGAAGCTAGGTGCTCATTCCAAATTGTAGATTCGGATGTAGAGTCCTAGTGTGGGGCAACGTTTAAATAAAAAAAGCCATAAAAAGTCTTGGTAATTTTACAGAAAAGTTCCTGTGGTCGGTATAACGGCCCTCGGTTTGGATCATACGTCGATATTAGGCACTACTCTACCCGAGATCGCGGCCGCTAAGGCAGGCGTGATGAAGCCGGGCTGCGAGGCTTACACTGTCACACAGCCGCCTGAAGCTATGGATGTGCTCCGGAGTTATGCTGATAGAGTGAAGGTAAGCTCATCTTTTTTAAAATCGAAAAAGCTTATAGCTTCTACATGACATTTACTGATTGCAATAGCGAACACTCTTAAATATCTATAATATAAAATTGAATTGCAAAAAGTAAGCGCATAACGCACGACCACTTGGACAAATTTTGGATTTTTTTTTTTTGTTATGGTTATTTTTGTTAGGAGAACGTTGGTAGGGAATATTGTGAAATAGCGACCCTATATCGTTAGCGAGATAATTTTACACCCGTGTGAAGCCCTCTGCTTCCATATCATTAAAACAGCATAATAAGCAGCTATACTTAGTAGTAATATGATGTAAATGCTCACCTGCATTTTATTACGAAGTGAAGACGAAGTTAATTGGGTTGGTATTAAGTGATAGCATATTTTCTTTCAGTGCCCCCTAACGGTAGTGCCAGACTACAAAACCTACACATTCCCGAATACAGAACCAGCTCACTTACCAGTCAATGTAGAAGCTTACCAGACCAACGCGTCTCTTGCCATCCAGCTTGCACACGCCTGGATGAGAATCACTAAACCAGTGCACAGGAAAAACGGCCTTATTAAACATGTTGTTAATGGTCAAAATGGGCTGACCAAACCAGTATTAGACACCGTAGTGAAGTGTGTCACGAAAGAGACTATGACGGGGCTAACTTCATGTAAGTGGCCGGGAAGATACCAGGTTGTGGAATCAGATTATGCCAAGTTCTACTTAGATGGAGCACACACTAAGGAGTCTATGGAAATATGCGCGCAGTGGTTTCAAAATATTAACAGGTGGGTTTGATCAACTTATTTTATCCGACGTTATGATAAACGGTAGAGCAGTGTGACTTTCTTATCAAAGGTTAGAATCCCAAATATATTCGATCCATAAAACTTTCAGACAACTCACTTCTCCAAAATAAATAAATGTTATATTTGAAAAGTAACACAGTCTATTTATTTTCAGATTACATGACAAAATTCTGATATTCAGTGCCACTGGCGATAGAAATGCCGAAATGTTACTCCAGCCACTAAAACATGTGGGTTTCAAATCCGTCTATTTCGTTATCCCGACCGCCTACACAAATATTGGACAGAACAACGACAACTATTCTTTAGTAGAACAAGAAGAACTTATTGCAAGATGTGAAAAACACGCAGAGATCTGGCAACACTTTGAAAAAAGTTGTACAAATGTGGCTGTTGCCAGTTGCGTAGCAGATGCCTTGGTCAGTTTGAAGAAGAATAAAAACGTCGATAGATCGTCCGTTTTGATCACAGGGTCCTTACATTTAGTTGGTGCTGCACTGTCGATATTAGATCCTAATTTAAGCAGTTGATAATTGCAATAAATCAATTTTTATATAAAGTTTATTTGCTCGTTTTTCTTTTTTTACTACTAAATTTGTGTGCGAGAGAGAGTAGAGCAGTAAAAAACAATATTAATAAATTAAGTATCATCATTTATTCTAGAGTCAGTTGTGTATCACTAGTATCTAATAGTCTGTCTATATCAGTAAGCCAACATATAAGTCTATCCAAATAACCACCATCTTGCTTGTAACTAAGCAATAACAGCTGCATGTGCTGGTATGCAGTAGGTTGCTCTAACAGATGTTCCAGCCTCTTATCCCGTAGAGACAATAGCTTTATAAATATAATGGCTATCAATGTCCACTGTATGGGCTTAAACATAATATTATTTGCCTTTAAATTGAAAGTATTCACTAACAAACGAATATCAGAACTTATGGAAAGACTGAGTAGACCAAGAGACCGGAGGATGTCAGGTAATGCTTTGTTCAAGTGTTGACAAACTATTCTTCTACGCAAAGCATTTTGAGAATTCTTGTCTACTAAGGGTAAGTTTGTTGTGTTTTCCTCATCAACTAAATCTGAAGACTGGATAGGGTCTTCAGCTACTGGTTCTGGTACTTCCAACTCTCCAGAGAAGAAAGCTTTAACTTTCAGCTGCATCTTCTTACTCTCTTCCTGCAGCATAGTATAGTCCGGCAAAGGTTTGGTCTCTCTCTTCAGTGTTTGGTTGTCAAACTTCCTATCTTCCAACTCTAGCATGTTGAGTTTCTTACAAAGGGCTTGGTACTGGTCGTAAACATTAGAATTGTAGAATATCCCTTTAGCATAATTATTCAGATATTCCCTAATACAATCTCCTTTATCTGCTACCATTTCTCTTACCTTTTCTTCCCCAAATAACAAGAGGAGAGTGTCCAATGTAAACCATTCACCCAAACATTTTTCAACTTCAATAGTTAGTGCTGTTACCAAAGGTTGCTTTTTCTGTACCACCTTTTTACTGGGTTTGTTTTCTTTTTCAATGTTTGGTATGTTAACAGGGGTTGTTAATATTGGGTCAATTTTCCTTTCAGGTTTTTCTATAATTTCACCAACTATATTTAGCGGATTTGTTTTAGGTTTGACAACTTTATTAGTGGGTTTGTCTTCTTCAGGTTTTGTTGAATCAAGGCTAACTTTTTTATCTGCTTCTGTCTCTTTTTTCTCTTGGGAACTATCACTAACACTTTGTGTATCAGATGTATTTTTGTTATCATTACCATTTAGGTCAATATTCTCAATTCCCTCATTTATAGAAGCAATAGCTTTAATAACATCAGCCTGATAGTTACTGTCAACTCCTTCCAGCTGTTTATCGGTACTTGTTTCTTCATTAGTTTGTTTGTCCATTGATGGACCCATTTCATTTAAACTTGCATTAGTGAAATCATTGATTGAAGTAAATGTTTTGTTTTCAGAGATTTTTACTCGTTCAATGAGTGTCACATCCACTTCCTCACCCATTGAACCAACTGCATCAAGCTTCAAAAGGTGGAATTTTGGAATAACTTCATACTCTCTGAACCATAGCGGGCTGGTCAACATCTGTTTCTTGACAAACATAGCAGCATTGTAACAGGTGTTGCTGCAAAAGTTCTTCCTGGCAGTGATGTCATAAACTTTATTAGTTTTTAATGATATTCTGTACTTCTGCTTAGGTATATCTTTCTTTGACAATGTCTTCGGGCAAATTGGATAGCCACACAAGTGAATAATGGACCGTTCTTCGAAGATATCTTCGAAATGAGTTTGGTTAATGTCGGGCAGGCATTGCAGAAAGTATGTTTCCGTAACGCTCGGTTCCAAGAGGCTTTCGACAATCTGTTGAGCTTTTGCATTGCACTCTCGTTTCTTCAGAATAGCTTGACGGATTTGTTCCTTAGTCATCTCTTCTATTTTCGTCGGTCTTTTCTTTGGTTTCTGGTGGCCGACTTCCATGTTTCTAGTTTTAATTCAATATATTATTAAATGAAGTTATTATTTACTGCGAACTGTCTTTTTAAATAGGATTTTAAATCATCAACATTGAAATTTCTTGGGAAAAGCACAAGAGCATCTACAACCAGTCATAACATGTATGTGACAACTGATATTTGACGTTTATCAGTTGTCAGATTTGACAAATCACTACCTTAGTTCTCTTTTTTTAGTTGCCATTTAAGAAAAATAGTCATAACAAACAGTCATATATCAAGGTATATAGGTGTTTTATGTTGTTTATATGTATATAATCATTGACGAAATTGTTCAATACATAATACCCCTCTTTTTCTTTTGAGGGTTAATAAATAAAATCGTTGCTTATTTTGATTCGGCGTTTATTTTTCACAAGTTCTCTTAATTGTCAAGTTGACAGATCATTAGTTGACATTGGCACTTTGACAAACTTGAAATAATTTTAGTATTTTGCTGAATGTAGTTGACGATATAATTTGTGTGCAAAATTATGCCTATATAAATTCACCTGTAATATACGTACACTTGATTCAACATTTAAGACTATAAATTGGCCGTAATATTTGGAACGATTCATTTCTGACATAAAATCTGTGTAACGTTATAAAAGTAGTGTGAGTTAAATTTTATCAGGTGTTTGAAATAATTATTTACTTTCTAATTTATCAATAAAATGTGTGATAACGATGTACATTTAGTGTGATATCTTGGATAAAGTTGGTAAACAAATTCATGGATCGTAGGGATTTGAAAAGCCCTAGTTAAACACCCTTCTCTTCAGGTAAGTGCAATGTTACAAATGAGAACAGCCTTCATTCTAATAATATTTTTATTACTTTCGAAATGGTTTTATGTAACAATTAAAAAGTTTGTTAGGTGATTAGAGAAAACTTGTGAATAAATATTTAGGAATTTAGATTTCTAAATAGATTAATGATTTTTTTTATGTTGATTTGCTTCCATTTAATTTGAAAAAGTAGATCAGCATTTTAATTATTTCAATTTGAATAAAGTATATGCTTAAATGAAAAAGTTATGATGATTTAATATCATACTAGTATAACAAAATTCTTTTCCATTATGAGTAATCATTAAAACTCTATACTTATTCTATATCTTATCTTTGTAACTATCTTCTAGTCTTCTAGCTAATATGTACACATTTGTATATTTGTATCATTTTGTTAGGATCAATGTGCTTTCTGTGCCTAAATCTGGTAGGACCAGCTACTTCAACACTGTATATTGCAATTAGGTACATTTACATTGCTTAAACACAAGTACATTGATATTTAAATAATAACACAGTTATCAATTACCATAAACAATTGTAAAAGTATGTTATCAGTCAATATCTTAACAAGCTTACCTAATTGACTAATGATATTGAATGGAGATAGACTCGTAAACACTTAAAATATCTCCATTTTCTACATGATTGATGTTCAATACTTTACCTTTCAATACTTAGATGTTTTCCTTTTCTCTGATGTATTGTATTAAAACGATCTTAAGTGTCACAACTTAAGAACATTTTTAAACTCCCCTTGAGAGTTTGATGACATAAACTCCTATGTGCGACTGAAATAATTTTATAACTTAATTTGAAGGCATTAATTCATCAACTTACAATTAATTTATCATTATACTTTATCAGTGAATGTCAAAGTCATACATACCTACAATAATTGTAAGGAGGATTATTTAACTCTGTTTTGAAAATTTTTGTTGAAGCATACAATTAGTGTTAGCTTTACACTGTATTTGCAGCTAATAAGAAGAAGATAATTGGATAAACTAAAGTTTTGCCCTTACTTGAGACTTTCAGCATATTTACTTATTGTAGTTATTTTCATGTACTGTATTCTGTTTCTAATCTTGACTCAGTTTTGTTCTATTTGGTAATTTGCAGTACAAGGAAGGAGTTGGAAGCTATGCTTGATGTATGACAATAAGTTTATCAGGCAAAAATAAGGGCATTATTTAGAGTGTATATCTCTTTTATTTCTGCCTTGATGTTAGGAGATGATTATATTGAATTGATTTTTACTCTACAACTTCTACTCTCTACAATATGACTCTCTACGACTCTACAATAGCTTACGTCTGTAGGAAAATATTTTAATAATTAAATTTAGCTCATTTCTTCAAACACAACTAAGTAAATAAGTACTTAAATTGAACACTTGTAACACGTAAGAAAACAAATATCGTCAAGGTTTCAGGAGAATTGAATAAATACGTACATACCTTATGTGCTACCTAACTACATCTACCGGTGACATTCTTGAGTTTAATAATTAAACATTTCAAAAATATATTGCAGCGATATTTTCACCTATGCACAAACCTGTCGTAGGATTAATTGTCGTAAATAGATAGATGCGACCCTGAAAAACACTTGAGTCAAACTTTACGACACAAAAACGCCCTTTGCAGGCTCTGCTTTTCAACTTAGGACGTATTTAAGTAAAACCCCTTTTATTTTCCTGTTTGTAAACGAATTTCTAAGAATGAAAAAACTAAATAAAACAATATTTTACCTTACCAAAATAAAACTTATTGTAAAACCAGTTTGTCGGCGATTCGTATGTACATTCAACTTATCCCATTTTTATCTCGCGAATTACACGCGAAGTCTCATACTTGTAGGTTTGACTAGCTAGTCTCATGCGGTTTCACCCGCTGTTTGGCTGCTACAGATTGTAGCGTGATGTTTATCCTATGGACTTCCTTGATAAATGGACTAAAAAACACACTAAGAATTGTTCAATTCCAATTTCTAACCAGTAAGTAGTTCCAGAGATTAGCGCGCCCAAACATACCTACAAGCAAACTTTGCGGCTTTATAATATTATTATAGTATAAATAAGTTCAAACTACCTACCTCTAAGCACTTTACTTGTGAATTAACTTTATCATCGTCAACAAATTATAGTAGACTCCTATGTACAACCTGGTCTATAATTGAATCCGGTGATTCGTAAATGGGTTTGACCCCAATTAGAATAGGTCTTTGCCTGATAAAACTAAGTACTGGCGAAAAATAAAGAGACAGAAGGTATTAATTAGCATCGTAATAAACTTGAGCCTTAGAAACATTATTAGTATGTATAAAACTTGAGATATTCTTAAATACTCGTATGTATAGTCTTATCGTAAAAACTGTATTCCTAATTTCGCCGCTGTATTTACGCAACGATCAATTAAATAATTATTATATCAATTAGATAAACGTAACGAGATCGGAAGAAGACATTTGATGTTTTTCCTCTGGAATAGGACAAAGACTACTTTTTATCAGCATACCACGCGAGCGAAGCCGCGAGTGGAAGCTAGTTTGAAGCATAATTTAAGCTTTTTTTAATATCATTCCGGATATTGAAACAGATACGTGATTAGGTATCTAAAACAACTGCGTTCTAAACGCCATTCTTTGAAAATGTGTTTCTGCAACCACTTCTTGCACCTGCAACACCAGCTGAATATTATTTGGTCTCATCATTGGTAACAATGAAAAAATGAATTATTTTTTGTAAACAAGCCATAAAACAACACTTTTACACTTCAAAATTATATGTTAAAAACTAGACGAAGCCGATATTTCCTATCTGACTACTCTGAGAAGAAATGCCGAAACAAGCTCAAAGGTCCGTCTCTTTTCAAGTCCACATAATGTTAAAAATAATATGATGTGTGACAATCGTGCTAGTTCATTCGGTAGTGGTCTTTTAAGAAAAGAACAATACTAGTTTAAGTGGTGGGTTCGTTCTGAAGAAAGGCTCGCATTGTGTCAGTTTACAACCAGTTAAACTAACGGGTGTTGCTGAGGTATAGTTCTTGAAAATTTGATTTGAAGATCGTATCGGTTCTGAAATATTTAGTGGTATTTGGTATATCCATAGTTTTGGTATCTGAAGCGAAAAACGCTCTTTCACCCGTCTAACGTATGATGGGAATAGAAGTGCACTTGCGAAGGTCGTAAGTTTCTGAGGAGTCCTTGAGATTTGGGCTTATGTTCCAATAATGAAGGAAGTTTGGTTATTGGTTAGATAAAAGTGACCTAGGGAATAAATATGATGCTTTCGCGTCAGAATGTTTGTGTAAGACAGCAACAATTTTATTACTCAAACATTTATCTGACTATTGAAAAATCAGCCCTAAAAGTACTTATTTCATAACCAACCATCAACAACAGATATTTTGATTGAGCAATAGATGCCATTACTATTTGATGTTACATAAGACATTATCTAAATGAATGAGTAGTAAGAACAAACGAATCACGCTAATAGATTATCAAAACATGATTCGATTCGTCCTATTATTTATATGCACAACTATCATTGAGTCACTCGTAAGGCGACCATAATTTGGTCATTATAACTCGGACAGATCCACTTTCTTATGCGCTAATAAATCTTATAAACTACTAGCTAATTTAGCGCGGTATCACCTGCTGCTCAGCTCCATTTAATCGTAGCGTGATGTTTTATAGTCTACAGCACTCAGGAACATTGTAGCTTTCCACCAGTTTAAGAATTTTGACAATCCGATCAGCGGTTCCAAAGATTACCCCCTACATACAAACTTACAAATTTTCCCTCTTTATAATATTAGTACAGGTATAGCCATCCCTGCTTGTCTGAAGATATAAATTATAAGTATAGTCTTTAATATAAGTACAGCCTTATTTTTACCAATTAACTGTACATATTAAATTATATAATTTACTAGTACACTACCAGAAAGTACATATGTAGAATTCACATTGAAAAAGCTTTGCATTATATGTTTCTAACAAGATGATATAAAATACAAAGTCGCTTTCATTGTCCCCGTGTGCGTAAAAGTACGCAACGGATTTTGATGTGTTTTTTTTCAATAGTTTGACTGAAGAGGTATTAACAACCATTAAGTTTTTCAAGAATTTAGTATTAGCATTGTACCTGTGCGAAGCCGGGGCGGGTCGCTAGCGAGGCATAGTATGTTTTTTGAAAGTAGAACAAAGATTACCCAACTGGTTAAGTAGCTAGTAAAGAAGTAGGGTAAGGTAACAAAAGGTATCTTATCACATACAAACAACCTAAAAAATGATGTAATTAACTTATATACTATAAATTAATGTAGTAACTGTGGGAAAGCCGTGCTTCGGCACGAATGGGCACCATGGATGGATACCATGTGGCCTCACAGAAAACCGACATGATCAGAAAACAGTAATGTGTTTCGTCGTGTTAGTGAGGTTACCTGAGGCCCAATCCTTTACCTCCACTCCATCCTCCCTCCCTAATCAATCACTTAATCCCCAAATCCCTTTTTTCTTAAAAGGCTGGCAAACACTTGGAACTTGTTTGATGTTGCGGGTGTCCATATAGGCGGTGCTGATTGCTTGTCACTAGGTAATCAGTACGGTCGTTTCCTGGTGTACCTATCAAAAAAAAAAGATGATGATCAGATTGTTACTGTTTGGGTACATGTAATTTACTAATATAGATGCCTTATTAGTTTAAGAAAAGAGCACCTTCCTTTTTTTAATCTTTATTTTATAATTAGGGTTTTTTTCCTAACAGAAGATTTCAGCCCTATTATTGAATACAAAATTCAGTACTTACTTATTTACTAAATAAAATCTAAACCATTGAAGCGCCTTCCTTTAAAGGCTGGTATATAATGCGCTTAAAATTGCTGTTGGTTAAGATAGATGGCGCTCAAAACTTACCAACAGACGATCCGACTGCACGTTCCTATAAAAAGTTTAGAATTAATATTGAATAAAATCATAGTCACTCTACAGATGACAGATCGCCTAATCACAATGCGGTTTGGCGAAAAATAATTTCGAGCACACATGTTTTATAATTAACACCATTGTTCGAAGGTGTTTACAATAACAGTAGTTCAACTGCGAGTAGTTACGGCAGGTGATGGCACTTGTAGACTAGCCCTTGTGTTTAGTCGGAGTAGGGTACAGTGGACAGCTATTTTGGTGTTTGTGCAGTAACTGCGGCTTTCAGGATGGCATACTTTTCCATGCAAGTTGTAAGTTAGCTTTTTATATTTTTCTGTAAAGGTTAGGGAGCTAGCTGAAAAACCTATTTACTACGACCGTGAAAAAAAATGTTGAACCTTAACCATAGCTAAGCGCCGCAGTAATTCTAATTTCAAATTATTCAAGTATTTTCTGTTGTTGTTTGTTTGTCGCGCTAAAACTCGAGAAAGGCTGCACCAATTTGGCTTATTGTGGTCTTGAGGGGGAACGGGGTAAGCGCAAGGAACGGAAGGGTTTTTAGTCAGTAAGAATCTGACATTCCCTCCCGCCCAGCCCCGCCCCGGGCGCGAGAAGATATATTTGATGATTTTCTCCTCATAAAAAAAGGCCCGCGACCATGAAACAACGTATGCGCTTTTCGCCTCAATACGAATGTTGCCAGGTCAGCTAGTAGATTATATATGTATTTCGGATCTGCACTAAAATGTCTAGATACGTACATAATTAAAATTATAACGGGTATCAATTAAGCGAGAGATCGATAACTGCGCACAGTTCATTGACTGGAACTTTGTACACGATTATCGAATCTGACGCCGGCTTTTGCTGATAAGGAAATACGCACACTTTCATACATAATGTCCTAGTATTTACTGCCATTGGTCAAAAGTATATGTGATGTTGAAAAACAAACCTCATTGTCTTTACCTAAAGCTAAGTTTTAATTGCAACTTTAGTTGTTTTAAGTTTTTTTTCTTTTTTAAATGAAAATTGAGTGCATTTTGTGTCTGTATATTATAATGGAGGATTGTTTAACATATGTATTCCTATTATTTTAAAAAATGTCGTTGTTCGATAGTGAATGGTGACGTCTGGGAGCAAAAAGTCGCTATTCCCATCTCCCCTTCTCATCCGTACGTGTCATGGGTACTTAATGGGAGGAAGCAGTTTTATTTATAGGCGGAAAGGCTGAATTGCAATGATGTTATGTTCCATTTGACGTAAAATGGTATACACTTAGTTGGTCCTTGTGTTAGCAGTTATGCCTAGCCTACTCGGCACTTAAGCGACTAGATTAATAAGATATTAAAAGTATAGCGGCTGATTATTGGTATTAAGGGGTCATTGAAATGTAAATAAGGCGTTCGTTTCTTTCAGTTCTTTCAATTCAATGCTTATTATCAAATTAACAATGTTAATCGCGGATCTTTCTTACTTTTTACTAAAAACAATCTTTTTATTTTAAAAACGTTGCCCCACATTTGGATTTTCTCCTGTGTCGTGGGTGCGTTTACAAACATACAATTTCACAAACATATCAAATCAAGACCGGGAACAACAATTCATGGATCACAAAAAAGTTGTTCCGTGCGGGAATCAACCTACGACTCGTTGCGCGGCAGCAAGATGCCCAGCCACACACTGCGCCAACCGTGTAGTAAAAAGTCAAAATTCTAGTTAAACTTTCTGTGGTGTTATTCGTCGCTTATCGCAAATTGTTACATCATAAGTAATAATTAACATTCTCACTGCCCTTTAAATTCAAATTGTCAACTTTTCACTTTCACCTGCGCAGCCGCATTCTCGCGAATGTCGCTCACGCACAGCGTTCCACTTACAAAAACTCTTCACTTATCAAACGCAAACGGCATCGGCAGTATCACGCAGGATATATACATAATGTTACTTATTAAATTAATTAAAATAACTTACGTAAATAAGAAAATAATTAACTGAGAAAAGCTCTACCGTTGTGTCATGAAACTAGTAAATTCTCAAATTATTAACGTGAGTGAGTAGCAATACTCAGTAAATTTAGTACTTATATCTCACGATAGTCACTATTCAAAAACCTCTTTTATCCCCAGACGGAGTGTCAGACTCTTACTGACTAAATACCAAGCTATTCTAGAATGCTACTCGTAGGTAAATTATCGATGTAAGTTGGTCACTAAGTACCTTCTTTTCGCCAGAGCAAAACAATTGAATATCAAAATGAAACTAGTAATTACCAAAAACTTATAGGACTATATCCTATAGGACTAAAACAGCCTCACGGCGTGAAACAACCACAGCGTTGTCTCCCTGAAACTCATTCTCAGCCAATCCCTCCCCAATCCTAAAATCTCCAAATCCCTAATCCCCAAAAGTTCGGCAACGTACTCGTAATTCCTTCTTTGTTGGGGTTCCATGGGCGGCATTGATTGCTTTCCATCAAATTGTCTGTTCGTATGACCACTACTGCTATCCCTCTGGTATTTCCAGTATTTTGTTTACACTTTACTCTTTTAATCTGATACTGTCAAAGCTTGAGAATTTCTTCTTATTACAGTGAAGGGGATTGGCCATGGCCGTTTTAATGTACACGGGTACCTACTTTGAAACAATGCGGGCACAGACTTAAGTGGAACAAATTTTGTATATTCATAGACCATTAATTAACAACAAAATATTAGCAATTACTTAGTTTTATTTAAAAAGTGTTAGAATATCTATAATACTAAGCTACTCTCGCGCGGTTTCATCCGCTGCTCGGCTTTATTTAATCGTAGCGTGATGTTTTATAGCCTATAGCACTCAGGAATATTGTAGCTATCTATCAGTGAAAGAATTTTGGCAATCCGACCAGCGGTTCCAAAGATTACCCCCGACATGTAAACTTACAAACATACAAGCTTACAAATTTTACTTTATAATATTCGTATAGATTGAATTTAGTAGTATCAATTACTTCAGTAATCTGACTCAACGCCATGTGACATAGGCAGTTCTTGTGCTTTGTTAACTTTAAAAAAAACAGAAGCTAGTTGCCCAATCACCACGCAAGCATCTACAGACATCTTATGGAATGGCTGAATTATTGGAATAGCAAAATGTTTTGGTAAGCGAATAACTCGAAAATGCCTGGATCAATTTTGCCAATTCTTTTTTGTTGAATTTATATTTATTTATATTTATATATACTTTATTGCACACATACACCAAGTAGCAATACATTGGATACAATGACCGAATGTTGTTGTTACAATGGGCGGTCTTATCACACAAGGTGATTTCTTCCAGACAACCTTTAGATGGAATGTATAAGAAATTTATTATTGCCAGACAAAGTTTTTATCAAAGAAAATATTAATATAGTTAGTCTTCAAGGCTAGAGTGAATAGGCTCTTATTAAACTAGTGCGCCTTACCATCAACGATTGCATCACTGCTTAACATCAGGTGGGATCGCAGTCAAGCACTGGTTTATTGCAAGTAAAAAAAAATAAAAAAAATAAAGTAGAGCGGAAAAATGGGAAAAAGTGACCCTTTCTTTGTTAACGTGATGCAAAGCGGGACCGGGACCCGGGTTGCTAGTAAATTATAAATTAAGTAAGTAGTCATAAAAAAATGCTGCTTCAAATACAACGATAGGACTTAAAACCTGACACACAGTCATCGCTCTCCATCAAAGAACATTTACTACTTTGACTCAGTTTAAACTTTGACTTAAATGACCTTTCCCGCCTGGGTTGGGGCGAGAAGGAATGTTAGACCCTTACGGTCAAAAATCACCCCGATCTTTCTTCTGCTCTAGGCCGGGGGGGCGATACACTATGACGCTCAAAGCCGCAACCCTGATATCAATTATGTACCTAGTAAGGTATATCTAATTTATCCTGATATTTTCTCAGGTCCAGTAGAGTCGGCAAGATGATGCACATGTGGCTATGGTTCGGCTACGATCTCGGAGAGTTTATGTTCTCCGGGCTGAACATAAGCTCGCGCTGGTCCTTCGCCATCACTTGGATAGTGCTGTTCTTTGTGGCGCTGCTCTTCGAGGGGTCCAAGGTAAGGCTATTAAGGCAGGATGCTCTTTTTCCCGCGATGCAGTAAATAAATCCAAGCTAATATTATAAATGCAAAAGTAACTCTGTCAGTCTGGCTGTCTGTCTGTCTTTACTTCACGCCTAAACTACTGAACCTATTTGTGTGAGATTTGGTATACACATAGTTTAGAACTCGAGAAAGGATATATGATAGTTTTTAAACCAAAAATCTGCAGAAAGCCACTATTCCACGTCAACAAAGTCGCGGTCAAAAGCTATTTTGGAATAAGGATCCATGTTGAGTCCCTTATTTACATTTCACGTGCAAATAACGACATTCCTAATACTGTAAAACATCTTATGACTTGTCTAAAATGATAGCCATATCTTTTATGGTTTAACCGTTTGAATAGATTCGTGTATATAAGAGAAACTGCCCTAAGCAACAGTCGTGACTGGTAAACGACCCTCGATATTCTTATACTGATAATAATTCGAAGGGCATGCACACAGCCGTCCAATAGTAATACATAAATATAAGTAATGAATTATATGAATAGGCATTATAAAAATAATAACTAAGACTATTAGGTACGGTATTGTCGATCGCATTTACGACACCCAACTGCCAGCCAAGTCCGTAAATAAATAGTACAAGACAATGTAGTGGTACTTCAGTCTTTTGTTATCTTCACACATACGTACCTATGTATAATGGGCACTTGCCTACTATGCTTTTGTAACCTATTAAGATCTTTCCTTATTATATTTTGAAGTGATTACTGATTACTTAGGTTTTCTATGATATGGTCTATATGGTTTTAAATGTTTCCGCTTGAAATGCTCTATTTAACTTATTTGTCAATTTATTGAATTAATAGTGGTTTAAATAAGCAATGTTCTTTTCGTTTCCCCGCTAGAAATCAATCCGCTATCTATGTATACGAAGCTGGCTCGATGTAGTGCTGTGTGCAAACGTCCTCCGTACTATTTTCTCTTATCTTATCCCGCACGTTTTGCACACGACCCCAACCAAGAAAATGAAGTAATTCACCGGTGACCGTGCGCAAAAAATACTACCAACTGAATCTTGTATGATTTTTTCCCATCAAGGCAATTAAAATGTCCAAATACTTGAAGTTTTAGCCATCATAGTATTTTTTAAACGTGCCCCACATAAGGATTGTGCCGTCGATAAAGAACTTGTTCTTTATTAGTTCTAGTTCTTTATTAGTGATCGATGGTGCAAACTCATTATTCAATATTTATATTAATATATCATGTAATGGTAGCTTACGCAGAACAAATGGTTGATAAATACTAGTTTAAACCTTTTTAAGGGGGAAATCATCCTTAAATTACCTTCCATGTCCTGTGTAGAATAGGGCGAGTCATAATCTTACTGGCTAAAAACACCTTTTTCCTTCTTCTTTTCCGGGCCTGGGCGCGGTAAATCATTACGCTTGCACCTGCAAACCCGGTCTGATTACACATATAAGGCCAAATATTAAATATTAACAACAGCACCTAAGTATATCGATTGTATTGCAGGTTTATTTGGCAAAGGTACAGCGCGCAGCCCATAAGAAGCTGTACCCATACAGGTCGGATGAGAGGCGGAACCTCCTGTGCGATAGGTAAGCTCATCAATTAACACTCACACTAAAATCATTTATTACCCTCTAAAACAAGTAAAAAGTTGTATGTGTATATGTCGCAGGGATATGATAAAAACAGGGATTTGGCCAAATCCCTAAGGGATTTGATTAAATCACGGAGGATGTTAAAATAACAACAAGTTTTTATCATTTCCCTAAGCAAATCTGGTGATTTGACAAATCTCAGTAAAGAAATCTAGTGATTTGAACAAATCCATATACATATGTGTGGGAGAGCCATGCTTCGGCACGAATGGGTCGGCTCGACCGGAGTGTAATCACAGAAAACCGGCGTGAAACAACGTTGTGTTTCGTCGTGTGAGTTAGATTACTGGAGGCCCCTTGCCCAATCTTTTCCCAGTCCCTTTTCCAAAAGGTTGACAACGCACTCTCACTCGTAGCTACTCTGGCGGGTGTCCACTGGCGGGGCTGATTGCTTACCATCAGGTAATCCGTCTGCTAGTTTGTCGACAAATCACATGAAAAAAGGAAGAAAAGAACAAAGACTAGCGAGAGTATGAATAAAAATATTTTACTCTGAATGAAAAATACAAGAACAATGTATACCAAATATGCAAAACAAACTCATACACGATTAGTGACAGCGTCTTTGTTGTATAGACATATAAATGGATGCACATTGTACTCTCTTATCTCAGTTCTGAACCGCTTTATGTAGTAAACTAGAGTAAATATATGTTGTACACTGTATAGGTAGTCACTCGAAAGTATAGTCTAGGTAGGCAGGTCGCGGTTGCTGAACAACCACTTTTTTTTAAACATAAATTTTTGTTTTGGGCCTGGTTTTCATAATATGGTTGTCATTTTAACTTAGCATAGTAAGTTTGCCGTTAGTAATAAAACTAATGAGTGTAGAAAAATTGTTTATTTGGGAAAGTTGTTTGGTATCACGAGTACAATCACGTGTTTAAATATTGGGCATTAATTACCAGTCACCTTATTTTCTTTTTTTATAGCCTATTGTGTGTCCCACTGCTGGGCAAAGGCCTCCCCTTTTTCCTTCCATCCTTCTCTGTCTGTCACCTTATAAATATATAAAATTTTATACTTGTAACTGCACCTCGGTTTTAGGAGGATAGATAGTGTCCTGTGATTACCTTTGCTTATTTCAAATCATAATAAGTAATTTAAATAAGCAACGCCACTGATAAATCCAAAAATGTTGGCTTCGATCCTTACAATAAGACTAAGGTCTAGAAAGGAACTACTAAAATTAAAATTATCATTGCATTAGATTTAAGGCAATTACTGAGTAAAATCTCCTACATTAGTAGGAGATTTACACATTGACAGAAACATTGAGACTGTGTTGCCATTATCAAGATTTCCCTTTCCCGCCATTCCGCCCCTTTCTGATTTCTCCAATAAAAAATGTTTAGTACATGTCACAGAAAAGTATAAATTAAAATAAATATTATGCCTTGTATTCTATGTAACAGACATGTATCAGTGAACATTATAACACGGATAACAAATTGTGACTGCGTTTACAAATGAATCAATATTTATTAGCTACATTTTATTTACATAAAAGGCGCGGGTAATCAACACTTGGTATTGTTATCTTGGGCTCGTATTTAATTAACCTTATTTCAACGAGAATTTGTAAGTACCTTAGTAAATTTTACTGTTAACGTACGAGAATAATTAACAATTTGATAGAAAAGTATTTTAAATACGCACCTCGATATTAAATTATTGAAATAAATACTTAGATACACATGTAAGAAGACCTAAACAACAACACCTACTCGAATTTGAGTAATAATAACAGCCTCCGTTACAACTAAGGTCATCATCTTATCAGTCCTGAGCAAAAGCCTTTTGACACGCAGTAGGAAGATATTACCATTACCTAATCACCGCATCGACCACGCTTGGTCGAAGTGAGTTGGCGAATTCAAACTTAGAATTATAAACCCTTATTTTTTGTCCGTTCCTGTCTGTCATTTGGTAGGGGTGGTAAATAATCTTAAAAAAATCTGTACTGTAATTATGTACTTGCTAGGTCTCATATTGATATGGACCACCGCGACATTATAATTACTTACACTGTCTTTTTTAGAAATGGCCACATTTAAAAACATAAAAATAACTTAAGTCTCTCGTTTTTCTCAACCGGATATGGTCGCGCGTAAGCGGCATACCAATCTAACATAAATAAATTAATCTGTGATGAAAGGCGAAACTGGGACAAAGCCTTGACAATGTGTAACAATTAAGTATTTTATCGTTAACTATTTTCTTATGTAATTGTGGAAGTGTGTTAAGTGTGGGAGAGCAATGCTTCGGCACGTAGGTACGGGAATGACACCACGGCCTAACAGAAAACCGTGAAACAACCACAGCGTTGTATTTCTCCGTGTGAGTGAGGTTGCCGGAGGCCCAATATATAAGAAAGAAAGAAAGAAGAAAGCAAAACCATTTATTTAACACACAAATGACGCAAGAAGCAAACACACACGAATATAGCTAGGGACAAAAACAAACAATGAACATAAAAAGAAAAGCGCTGCAATTGCGTCACTCATGCGTGAAAAGGGGCAGCGCTCAGCATAAATGCTGTCTCGCGCACGCAGGCACAAAACAACAGCGCTGGTTTTCAGCGCTGACCCACAATACTTCCCCTCCCCCTATCCCTAAATCTCCAAATCCTAATCCCCAAAAGTTCGGCATCGCACATGTAAATCCTCTGTTGTTGCGGGTATCCATAGACGGTTCTGATTGCTTACCTGGTAATCCGTAGGCTCGTTTGCCGACAAATCACATAAATAAATGTACCTCGAGTGTGTATAACAAATTAAATTCTTCCCACGTGTGTGAAGGCTCTTGGCCTCTCCACATAACACATTCATAAGGACAATATATGTAAAGTTTTCCTTACAACAAATAAATCGATCTTTCATCAATAAAGTAATAAGTAAGTCTAAAGTCTAAGTCTAGTAAGACTAAAGTAATAAGTCGGCAAACGAGTGCGTTGCCGACCTTTTAGGTATTTGGGATTTGGAGATTTAGGGATTGAGGGAGGGGAAGGATTGGGCCTCCGGTAACCTCACTCACACGGCGAAACACAACGCTGGGTTGTTTCACGCCGGTATTCTGTGAGGCCGTGGTATCACTCCGATTTTGGAGTAGATAAACTTGTTATTAAGAGTATTCTTACTTTTCCCAAGTTATAATAGAATATTGCCATTCTATACTCATACTAAGGAAGTTTTTGTATTCTATTAGGTCATACTGAAAGTAATTTCCATTTGTATATCCTCCTTCTCTTCCATAAAGTTGAATTTTGCACGACCTGTCTTCGAAGGCAAGTCTTCAGTTTCGTTTTAATATCGACAATCTTTAAAAATATTACGGTTTACAAGTTTTTATTACAATGTAAAGGAAATATAGTTATCAGATTGTAAAGAAATCATAAGTTTAATGATGATCTAAGTTGCAAAATATTTAAACAAATTTGCACTTTATCGGTAACAAATAAGCGTTAATTCAAAGGTGACGGTTATATAAAACTATAGCTGTTATAAGAACCGCATAAGTGAGAGTTGATTGAGCATGACTATCGAGCTATCGGTAATACGATAATCGCCATAAAACAATCACTCAATCATATTTTCCGCGTCGTGAACACATTCAAAATATACTTGAGAATTTCTTGGAAATGTCACTTAATTTTTAATATCGTGTGATATTTTTAATGGGGTATAAAAACGGTATAATTTTACCTGTAAAACTAAATGAGTTTACTGCAACTTTTATTACTTCATAACATTTTTACAATCACTTACATTTACGCGCATTGGCACCTCCCCGATTAAAAGAAGAATTAATATTATGATAATAATAGGATAGTATATGAATATTAATTATATTTTTATGAATGTCAAAATAATATGTTTTAATGTATGGTTTAGTTGTAATTTGATATGTAGGTAGGTGATATAACCTGGATGAACACATAGGCTACTGGATTAAGACTAGACTTTTATCAACATACCACGGTACTTAAGTCCCGCGTGGAAGCTATAAAAAAATATATGCCACTTTCAGTCCAATCAAGAGAATCAATCGGAAAAATCATGGTCTGCAAGCAGGCTCGCTATTCGTTTATAGATGTGGTGTTTGGTTGCAGGGAGCAGGGCAGCATGGAGCCGACAACCAGTCGCAACGCCAGCTCAGGACAAGTCAGCAGGTGGGCGTCACTTAGAGTACGGTAAGTTTTTAGCTTTTGGCGGGTAATTTAGCTCATACGAAGGAAGTCGGAGGTCTGTTGAGCTTTTAGTTCGTCTCATTGTAATGTAATTATTTATTTCATTGATTATAATACTTTATTGTAGACCACGTTGTTACATAGAACAATATATAAAAACTCTCGCACAAGACGATCTCTTGTTATGATCTTCATAAAACAGTGGCTTGGTTCGTATTCGTGTAGAAGACTACATCATTTTGCAATTATTGTTTAAAGTATTAAACAGAAAAGGGGGCAATTTTTACAACAATGCTTCACTCCAGTATTTTCCCTAAACATCGGCAGATACTTAATACTAAAAAGTATAATATAAAAAAGTATGTAACGTTAGCTCTCTGTTTGCAGCGCGTTAGTGAACACATATCAATCAGTGGTGTTCCTGGTGCACAACGTGGTGGGCTACCTGCTCATGTTGGCCGTGATGGTCTACAATGTGCATCTGCTACTCGCTGTGGTCTTCGGGATGATGCTAGGTATGTCCTTGTGCCTTTGTTTTGCTTTCGATCAGGTTCTTTTTGCCATTATGTTCTTAGGCAATGAAACTACCGTGGTCAATTTTATAATGCACTAGCTACTCTCGCTGCTCGCTCCCGCAGCGTGATGTTTTACAACCTTCCTCGATATATGGAATATTCAACACAAAAGTAATTCAATTTGAACCAGTAGTTCCGGAGATTTATGCGTTCAAACAAACAAGTAGACTCTACAGCTTTATAATATTATTATAGATAGGAGAATTGGAAATCGGGAACCTAGTTACAACTCAGTATACTTCTCTAGAATTCTGTCGTTAGTATCTACTAGTCCGTGACACCTTATAATTTTTTTGTTCATTTTAACAATTCTTACTAGTGTATCTTTCATCTTCAGGTTACTTCTTGTTTGGCACGAAGCTGACGCGGCTACAGATGCAGTGTTTCAGCAGAAAGCGAGTCGTCATCTGCACGCCGGAGTGTGACGATACTGGTAAGCGTGATGTTCTACACGTTCTCAATTATTTCATTTCTTTGTCTGTGTGTGCTTTATAGCTATTTTATGTTTTTTTTTTTTATTTGCAATAAACTAGTGCTTGACTGCGATCCCACCTGATGGTAAGTGATGCGATCGTTGATGGTAAGGCGCACTACTTTATTAAGAGCCTATTCACTCTAGCCTTGAAGACATCTAAATTATATGATCGGACGTAAAGACTGCAGCCGGCAAACTGTTCCAATCCCTCGATGTACGCGGTATAAATGACGAGACAAAATGCTTAGTCCGGGCCGCACTAGGTGTCTCAACAACGTAAGGGTGGATATTTGCCGTAGGTAACTTAGTTAAATACGAAGCATCGTGGTAACAGAATGATTTATATTTGCGAATTTAGGTGTGACAAAGAACTAACAATCTTTGTATATTGTTATGTCAATATTTAATTTGAGACCAAAATGGACACAAACATGTTAGGTTTTGCCTAGTAGTGTTTATAGTCATTGTAAACGTGAAATGTAAAGTCGGGAACCAATCGAATAGGGAAAAGGTATTGTTAGAGTCTTAAACTCCTAATTAACTAACTAATCACAGTACGTAGCAGTTTGTGATGTATATTTAGCAATAAGGAGATTGTCTCAAACTGGGGACTAATGAAGTTGATATTCGTGAATTCACTATTATGTGCCAGGACAAAATGGCGTTATTGGGGCTTTTATAAATGTCATTTTTAACATGTTGACAACACTCGTTCCTGTTTGGGGCTTTACCGTCTCAAATGTGAGCTATATTGGGGCGTTTGATGATTAAGGCCTTTTCCCAGTAATGGACAGAAACGCGCTGGTGATAGTGAAGACAGAACATTGTCCAGGGTTGTAGGTGTACGCGCAATTACGTAACGAGAAACGGAGTATTTTTTAGTCAGTATGAGTCGGACACTCCCTCTCGCCTCACCGAGGGCAAGAGAAGTCGTTTGCTGATTTTCACCCCTCAAAAAAACATGCTGCAATTGTGTTCAACGCGCGTTAATAATAACATTGTATGTTTAGGCCCTTCTGCACAAGTGGTGGCCAACGCAGCTAGTATCAATACATAGTGGGCGTTGTATAACGAGTTAACAATATAATCGTTATGACTAATGCGATTCAATATTATTAGAGGGTCACACGGCACGAGTTGTTTTACTAACAAGTTCTATATCTTCACAATACAGTGTTGGTGTGCATATTGTCAGTTCGTGGTCGCGATATGTATTTTGTATTGCGCAGCACAATTATTTCTGCGTTTCTTACATTTGTTTCTACCGGCTTAGTTCTAAAAGTTCAGTATAATTTGTTTTCACAGACATTTTTATTTAAAAGAAGCTGTTTTCTCGCCAAAAAGACTCAGCGGTATACCAGCCTTTTAAGGAATGGTATCCTTTAGGTATATACCTCAGTCAAAAATAATTGATAACACTGACTTATATCATCATCATCATCAGCCCTTTTCAGTCCACTGCTGGACATAGGCCTCTCCTATTGCACGCCACTGGGATCGATCTTCGGCCACTCGCATCCAGCTCCTGCCAGCCATCTTGCGCAAATCATCACTCCACCTTGCCTGAGGACGTCCTACATTACGTTTGCCGAGACGCGGTCTCCACTCAAGAACTCGTCTACTCCAACGGTCATCGGTTCTTCGGCTAATATGGCCAGCCCACTGCCATTTCAGCTTGCTAATCCGGTGGGCTATGTCGATTACCTTGGTTCTCTGCCGGATCACCTCGTTTCTGATTCGATCTCGCAGAGAAACGCCGAGCATAGCCCTCTCCATAGCTCGCTGAGTGACTTTTAGCTTGTGAACCAGCCGCACCGTCAGTGTCCACGTTTCGGCTCCGTATGTCATGACAGGTAGGACGCACTGATTGAAGACTTTCGTCTTTAGGCACTGTGGGATCGACGACGTGAAGACTTGACGCAGCTTTCCATATGCTGCCCAACCTAGCTGAATTCTTCTATTCACCTCGTTCTCGAAGTTGTTTCTACCCATCTGCAATGTCTGCCCGAGGTATACATATTTTTGAACGACTTCGAGAACAGCGCCGTGTACTGCAATCGGTTCCGGTAGTACATGTTCATTGAACATGACCTTGGTTTTATCCAAGTTCATCCGTAGGCCGATGCGCATAGAAGAGTCAGCCAGGTCATTCAGCATCCGTTGTAGGTCCTGCAGCGTTTCTGCTACGATGACGATGTCGTCTGCAAATCGCAAGTGAGAGATGTACTCGCCATTTATGTTGATGCCGCGTCCTTTCCAGTTCAGCGTCTTGAACATATCCTCCATTGCATTTGTGAACAATTTCGGGGAGATAACATCCCCTTGTCTCACACCTCGATGCAACGGTATCGGCCTTGTTTGCTGACTTATATGCCACGTTAATAACTATAAAAGCACCACTTTAACGCTTACATAAGTAGAAGTAGATACCTACTAACGTTATCCCTTCCAAGATCGTTGCAACACGGAGAAATGTAGCTGGGACGTGTGCGAGGGCAAACTGTGCAAGAAGATGGACGCGGTCGAGCTGCAGCAGACCGACCACACGCTCTCCCCCGACGAGTTTAATAGACACTAACGTAAAATCCACCTCCGTTTATACGTAGCGTATGTAGCTTGGCATAGAAGCTTCTAGAATGTTCTAGTTAGATTGGTTAAGGTAATCGCGATTATGTTTAAACCTGCGTCCAGTACTTGAGAAGCGAGATTTTTATTTTTCGGTGCATTTGTAATTGTCCGTTGCTAAGCATGGATTTGTTTGCAAACCCTGACCCCGCCTCTTTTCGTATTAAGAAAGAGGCGTTAGCTCAGCAATCATCGTATTTCAGCTGGTGATTATTTAGAGATTGTATTGTATTTTCGGGGTTGACCTGTTTGTAGTTAGACTGCTTTTGTAGTTTTAGCTGCAAAGATTGGCTGGTACAGAAAAAAATGTTAAGTTTCCTATATATGTGAAGTTAGAAGTAGAATAAATTGCCTTAGTTTTCAAGCGATTGGTATCGTTATAGTGGGTAACGAGGTCGGTTCCCTAGGACGTACTGAAGTTGATTTTTAGGTATCTGTAGTGAGTTCTAGCGTACCTATTCAAGATATCAAGTTTTTTTATAGTTAACTTGCGTCCATTCTTCCACGTGATTAACATTATTATATTAAAGTATTTTTAGTTGGTTTCTATTTGAAGTACCTATTAGTGTATACTTATAATAGAATCAGACGTGACTTGCATAAATGTATACAAATTTCAAATTTCAAATTTATTTATTTGCAAACTAAGTGTATACATAGGTCTTATTGCTAGTGGCACTTAAAAACTTAGTAGCCTTTTCCAGGCATTGCAAACATACTAGAGGGTAGATACTTGTTACTAATATTATAATTATTAATAATTAATTAGAAAATAAATTTACACAATTAAAAGAGATCATTTTTAGTGGATCGCTGTATTAATATTAAATAATATTTCTGAGTAGGTAGGTACTATTATAAAATTTATATGTTTGATCATCATAGATATGTATATTATTTTCTGCTTATTTAACTAGTATTTTTTTATATATTTACGTGTTTTTATAAATTAATATTTATTTAAATTATCGTTATTTATTTATAGATATATTTAAAAATTCCTCTACCGAATAAAAGCATTTGTTTATTAGAAAGGATTTCAGTTTTCTATCAAATGTTATTAAGCTGGTTTCCTTTTTTATATCTTGTGGCAGGTTGTTATATATTTTTATAGCCATATATTGTGGACTTTGGTTTAACATTTTAATTCGAGAGGGTGGAAGATATAGTCGGTTTTTGTGGCGGGTGTTTATGTTGTGTATATCTCGTATTTCAGTGAATGTGTGAATGTTTTTGAATACAAAATACTCAGCCTACACTAGGAAAAAATTGCTTTAATTCTCCTATGATACAGCGGAATTAAAGCCAGATATTTTTTTCTGTGATAATTACGTCACTAAGTCTTTTTGCTTAAAATATTTAGGCTTATAGATATATTTTGCATATCAGCTCTGTTTAACTTTGTTAGATTTGAAAACAATTTTGAAAAATGATATTTTAAGTATGATCTTCTGAGTTCCATTTACGTTGCGACACTAAAATACCTACAGAACATGACTATGTAGTTTTTATATGTATACATAAGTTAAATAGTATTTAAATAATTATTATTACACCATCTGTTTATCCAAGGTTACTTAGTTGACACAGTTGTAGTAATTAAAATAAGTAGTTTTGTTTTTCAAAATTATACTTCCATTAAGTACTACCTTATTCAAATTGTATTTTCGTAAAACATTTGATCAGTTGTGTAAGTATATAAGATGTAGTTAATAGCAAAATGTTGTAATGACAGAATTACATAAATAAATTATCTACTTATTTGCTTTATATTGTAGTTTACAAAGTAATTGTCTTGCTTGACAAATTAATGCACAGCATAGATAAATACAGGAATTTCTTTACGTCTTTTGACACGTATTCAAATTTTGTTTTCATGTATTAATTGCTCCACGTCATATTATCGATTTCAAAAACGTAAATGAAGCATGAAAATGTTGCTTTTAGATATATCTATGTACGCAAGGCATTTATGTAGATTTACAGTATAATAAAAGCTGCTTTTCTATAACCGAGATGCGAAGCATTTTCCATTATAGACATATAGTGTTATATACATACAGTACGGTATAACTATTACTTATAAGTCAATTTGTTCACCACGTATATTTCTCCCGCAGCTGAGAACACAACTCCGCCCCTACTGGATTCCTCGCTGAGCTCGGAGTCCGACTTCTTCATTTGCCAGACTCGCACCTGCATCCAGCCCTCACACTACTTCCCCGCTTCCTCACAAGAGGGCAGCACCAGCGAACAGAACGCCACCTGCTTCTATGGCGCAAAAAAATGTCCCTCCAAGGTGGCGAGAGCTAAGAAGATTCAGGCGTCCACATCTCACTGCCATCACGAGAGTGAGAAAGAAGATAGTCCTAGTGTAGAAGATGTCCAGCTACTCCGGACGGAGCGGCAAGGCTGCTGTAAAAAGAAGCAAGAGCCGCCACCCGAGGAGAAGTGTTGTAAGAAAGAGACGACGGTGATAGTTCACGAGCCCAGCCAGGGCTGCTGCAAGGATGAGAGCCCGGAGGAGCCGCGCCAGGACGCTCGCGAGAAGAGCCCGCAGATCACCTGCTGCCACAACGCCAAGTCCGCGCCCAGCGACAGCCAGGAACAGATCATCAAGTGAGTGACAGACAGAGTGAAGTGACATGAGGCTCATGTATTACGCGTCTCGCTGTAGTGGGTGTATGTGCGCGCGTTTGTTGCGTCTATAGCGTGATCGTTCCTTGTTTTATATGTTTTTAGTATTTTATTAAAGAAATTAAGTCTTCCAGTGAGTCTTAATGTTGTTAGAGCGAGACAAACGTGCCCACAGTATTCTGTGATACCTTCTTACTATTCTTGATGTCTGACTGTTAGAGAGTTAAGATTCCGACTATGCAACACACCCAAAACAGTGGGACGTCGTATTAGTTTATAATGAATCGGTTAATAATGACAAATAAGTTTTAGTATTTTTATTTGTACAGGAATTAAATATATTTTGTTAGTTGTAGATTTATAAGTTTTTTGTATCGGCATATCACTATTTTATATAGACTTGTGTGAGGACTAAAAGTTGTGTTTCAAAGTGTACCTGCTCTGGCCAACATCGAGACATGCATTGGTGTGAAGCTTGAATTATTGTACAGTGCGAGAAACCATTGCAATCAAAATCGAATTTTTGCTGCGTAATTAATGAATATTATTATGGCCATATGCCACTAGTCACTGACGATTGCATTAAAAATAAACCAAAACCGAAATACAGCAGTAGAACCTTAGATTTGTACTGTGCAATAAAACATAAAGTGGACTGTAACATATTTTTGACTGAGTTTGCCGCAAGTTGTTATCTACGTTAAAAACACAACGCCTTTTCAAAACACACGCGGCTCTAATTCCTTAAGTATTTCTAAAACATTTATTTAAATCTATGTAGACTCTTTTTTATTATTTTTTAAATATGATATACCTGTTTATGTTACGCGGAATGTGTTGTAAATGTTAAAATGTTTTGTAAGAATCCTTTTTCTGGAATGCAAATTTCATCATCCATGATCCTATGGTCTAACGGTTTTAGTGGTTAACTAAAAGGTAAACAATTCTGGAATTAAAGAGGTCGTATAAAATAGACCATAGGATGGGTGTGCGCAGTATGAACCAGCAACATTGCATCCCAGACGAGGGTTTCAAGCTGACTGTATGTTATTAATAATTTATACGTAATTGTGTTCCTGGCGACAATATTAGTTAGTTGTAACCTATAGTGAAGGAAGTGCCTTACGATGAGTTGCGTTGTGCCAAATTTTGTTTTGTTGAAAAAAGCACCTGTTTGTAATGTATTGTTGTTGGATAATATAGACGAAATATTTTAGTTAAAACATGTTTCATTGTGCCTATATTTAGGTGTGTGCTACATTCGTAATAAAACGCAATGTTAATATTTTTATAATACTTTATTTATCGTCATGAATATAATAATAGAACATTAAATGAATGACATTAAAATAATGACTTAACCTAACTTACGTCTAATATTTTTGTTTCAACATAATCACAATAGATGCGGCGGGCGCGGCGGCTAACTCCTTATCCCCGTATAAATACGGCCTATTTTAGCGAGATTCTAAAACATTCACTGGTGGGGTATCTATGGTTAATATACGGCCGGTTTGAATCCTGTACACAATTATACAGACGTGGAAAAGTCTGAAAATTGTGTACAAAATATAATACCGTCAATACTTAATACGGTACATTTTAATTTCACAGTAAAATTGGTATAAATATATTCTATTACTCTAACATGTGTTCTAACCAAAGCTGAAATGTTGAGGTAAAAGTTTTGAACTTAGTTCCTTGGAAGTACTTTGCTTTCTGACATTTCCTTGGAAGCAACTGTAAATAGTAGTATGTCTTTGTGAAACATGATTTAGGTATAAATAACAAGACATTGTACACCTGTTTCAACAATAATTATAAATGTCGTTTTGTACTCGGACTAGAATATTGTAAAAACGTACAAAATTTTTCGAACAGTATTGCACTATGTATAATAATTCTTATATGTATAACACATAACAAAATCATATAACTGGCCAATATAAGAACGCCATAGCAATTCGTAATACGATTATTAGTAACTGACAGTTTTAATTCCAAATAAATGTTTGCTATATAAAACTAGTACTGGAAATAAGGTAAAAAGTATGATAGAAAACATTTTCGACTTAATGGCTTATATCTCTACAAATTTCACTGAGACATAAACACTATACATTTAGTACAAGAACACATAAATTGGCCTATCTGTCCAACATTATCCGGATGTCCAGCCGCGCCCCAATCTGCGAGGCTTCAATCAACTAATAATAACAATTAAATTTAATAAATATGGCGGTCTGTCACAATACCAAATACAAACTTGATCAACAAGTGATACAGGACAATTTTTTTAGCTGTTTATCTCACGTAGTGAAGTCAGGAATCAATCTAATCATTTAAAAAATTATGTCAACTACATAAAGTTGACTGGCAGAAATGCTTTTGGCATCAAGGTCAACATGATGCAAAGAACAAATATAAGTTTTTAATATTGTTTCTTTTCATTCTTTGTGCATTTATAAAACACCCATACTTAAAGTGCAGTTTATAGATGTACAGTAGAATCCGTTTATTATGACTCCGCCTATATTGACCAACCGGTTATTATGACGTAATTACACTACGAAATTTGGTTTTCATATAAAATTCTTTATAAAAAAGTCGGATATAATGACTTCCCTTACAGTGACATGTCGCTTATTATGACCCATTTTTAATAAATTATGTCCGGTTATAATGACCGACATGATTCTTTACACCTTCGGTAATGTTCGTTGATTCCCGACGACGTTCGGCACGTGGCTCGTTTTTGTTTTGAATCTCAGTGAGTAATTGACGCTTGAAGGTCACGCATTGCTTTTCGTTTGTTACTGTGAAAAAAATGTCGTCTCAACGACGTAAAGCATTTACAATTGAGGAGAAAGGTGCAATAATATGCAGATTAGAAAATGGAGAATCTAACTCATGTCTCGCAAAAGAATTTGGCGTGGGTCATTCGACAATCTCAATGATTTTTAAAAACAAGAACCGCATTAAGCAATCGTTCAATTCTAATGTTTTAAAACCGAAGAGGCTTCGAAAATCACGACAAGAAAATGTTGATCAAGCATTAATTCAGTGGTTTATAAACATGAGAAACAAAGGAATACCTGTCAGCGGCCCTATGCTACAGGAAAAGGCAAATGGTTTTGCCGCGCGTTTTGGTATTCTCGACTTCAATTGTTCTGCAAGCTGGATCAGTCGTTTTAAAGTTCGACATAACATTGTGGCGGGAAAAATTGTCGGTGAATCTTCGTCTGTTGATCAAAATTCAACAACAAACTGGTTGATATCTGTGTGGCCGAATTTACGAAGACAATTTTCCGATGATGAGATATTTAATGCTGATGAAACTGGACTTTTTTACAAATTAATGCCGGATAAAACTTTAAAATTTAAAGGTGAAAAATGTAGTGGAGGTAAGTTGTCGAAAGATAGAATAACTGTCATGGTAGCAGCGAATATGAGTGGCACAGAGAAGAAGAAATTGCTCATTATTGGAAAGTCACAAAAACCAAGATGTTTTAGAAGTGTCAAATCATTACCTGTCGATTATGCTAACAATCGTAAAGCTTGGATGACGTCAGAACTTTTTGAAAAATGGCTTCGTGATTGGGATCGTGATTTGGTAAAGAAGAAGAAAAAGATTCTATTGCTGGTTGATAATTGCCCGGCGCATCCAAATGTTACTGATTTAAAGTCTATAACACTTGCTTTCCTTCCGCCGAATACAACATCAGTACTACAGCCAATGGATCAGGGAATAATACGATCACTCAAAACGAATTTTAGGAAGAACCTTGTGCTCAAAATGATTAATTGTCTTGATGCTAATGAAAACAACTCTTCTACAAAAATAACGGTGCTAGATGCAATTCTGATGGTTAATGATGCCTGGAATAAAATGTCACAAAGTACCATTCATAACTGTTTCAAACATGCAGGATTCATTGAAAGCCACGACGGTTTACCTATTCAAATATCAGAACATGAATTCGATGAAGAAGATGACATTCCTTTATCTTTGTGGTCACGAAACCTAAATTCAGATTCTTTAGCAGCACCGGAAATGTGGGAAGAATATGTTGACATCGATAGCGCTCTCCTCACATTCGAAGAACCCACTGATGAAAATATCGTACAGAACATAAGTGCTAAGGAACAACTCGAAAGTGATGGGGAAGAGGAAGTCGAGGAAGCACCATTACCTACCGCAGAAGAGGCATTAAAAGCTGCAGAATTATTATCACGATTTGTTCACAGCAATATTGAAAATGATAATTTGACCATAGCCATGTCCTCTATACACAATAGTATTAGAGTCTGTTTTTACAATAAAATGAAAAAACAAAAGCAGACAAAAATTACAGATTACTTACAGTAAAAAATACACTTGTATGTGTTATGATGTGCTGATTACGTGCAATTTTGATTTTGATTTAATATGTATGTATACATATTTAATTACTATGTTTCTGTATTAAAATACTTAAGTACATACATATTTACATAAAAAAGATTTTTCATTTCACAAAACGCTTTGTATGACGTCCGCTTATTATGACGTGTTTGTCAATTCCTTTCGATGTCATTATAAACGGACTCTACTGTATCTATAAACTCGTCTAGTTTAAGGCTTTATTTAATTTATCTATTTTATAAATTTTTGATGCTTCAAATCATATCACTAACCAAAACAATAAAAATAGCATTTCACATCTTTCCCTTTTAAACACTTGACTTCACTACATAAAGAGAACAGCTCCAAAAGAAAAAATAACAAAAATAAATTTCTTAATTAATAAATGTTCAACAAATAGTCAAGGAAGTTCTCATTGGAATGAAACTATAATAGTTTAGTGCGGGAAGACGGCGACAATGCACGTAAGTTATCTAACGGACCAACCACAGCGATCCATGGGAATGCACGTGTCAGGTGTGATCGAATTTGCTACCTATGCAAAAATATACTAAGTAATGTAAACATGAAGCTAGATAAAGCTATACACTATAGAAGAAATTAGAAGTATTTTCCAGGTAATCGTGTTAAACTGAAATCTTCGGACCAGCTAGGGCAGAGAAGAAACTTCAGGCGCCTAGGAAGCGAAAAGGCTGGACCCTGAAGGTACCAGCACCAAAAGTTCTCATCTTCACATGCCCTCGACTCAGTTGCACAGGGAATACGTCGTCGTCACCCTCCATTCAAAGACTATAACTATTATGAAATTTCAAAAATACCTGTATATTGTTTAGTTAGATTTAATGTATTTTTTTTACTTAGTTTGACGGCACACAACTGCCCTGCCCTGCTGGGACACGGTTATTACACCGAACTTTGCAGATTTTAGTTTCAATCGATCGATATTATGATTATTATAATTAAGAGCTAATTGTTGACTATATCTATAGCGATCGATATTTTACCACCTGTTAAGGTTATTTAATTAAATGAGATTATTCATTTTGTCATGGAAATGTTATTATTTGGGATAAAATGTTTGTCCACCCTGACACGCGACATTCACGAGCTATTCTATAACAATCTATGCGCGGCGCCAGCAGAGTCCACTCGAGCGGCGCACGCGCACCCGGGTGTCGGTAGTAGCCGTTAGTAAAGGTACACTATACACAATAAGTTAGTTAATACTTAAACATAAAGAATATCAGACATAATTTACTTAATCATAAGGATTACTATTACCTCTCCTACAAAGAGTAGATATTCTATTAGCGCTAGTCTATCTATACCCACACGGATATACACTTACGTTACTGACTAAACACTTTAAATAAATAACCTTGTAAATGTGGCTCGCCATCGACACCCGGCCCAACAATCACAGACGTTCGAAGTCATTCGTAAAAAAATAAAATTGTAACCAAACTACAACAAACATCATCTACATTAGGTTTTTAACATTACAAGTGCAAAATGTATTCAAAATCTTATAATTACAGGTTGTACACTAATATATCATATCTTGTGTATTTAGGAAGTGGAGTTGCATTCACTGGCAATACTTTCAAAACGTTACCAAATCGCAACATCTTTCTTTTAAACAGACAACTGTATATAGTGTATATACTTACATTTAAGTTACATCTATTAACAGTTTATTTGTAAAATATGTGGTTAGCAACAAAATAGCTACACTGCTAGGCCTAGTACGGTTCTGTCCGTGTACTAAGTGAGACATATAGTGTACATAAAGTGCAGTGCTCCATTCATTTGTATCGAAATTGAATGATCAATGTACGTGTCGATCATACAATTTTGACGACGGTTGTCGGAAGACGAATATATTTATCCATATACCTTATTTGGAAACTTGCAATCATGTAGGCAACTGTTTATTTTAAGAGTTTGAAAAGACCGGCAATGTCCCTTTGATATAGTCTTTTGTTAGCTCTGTGTATTTCTAATTCGAGGTTAGTCCTGAAGAGTATAAATATACACGTCTCGAGGCTTATTCCAACAGAGTTGTAAAGTAACAATAATAATAAAATACTTCTAACAACCAGACGCAATAATAGTCACTATTCTAGTCATATCTATCCTTACAACTCTGACATCAACTAAATTCGCAAGCAACGGGGCCTGTACTGAAATCAATGTGTCAGACCTACAGGCGACAGGATTTGGTCCGACCAACCAGGTTGGGGGCAGATCAAATCATGTCCGATTTGGTCTGTGCCGCTTAGCGGCGTGGTCCTCTCACGTGTGGGGTGTTCCATAAATGCGAGTCAACAGCGTCGTTATTCTTACTGCGGTATGGATTCAGGCCATCAGCTCCCAGTACTGCATCACTCGCTCGCCAGATGGAGTAGTCATGCCTTGTGGCCGAACGAAGTTCATCTCTATAGTCTTGAACCTCTTCTTCAGTTCGGCGTCGAAGGACTGAGGAACAAATATTCGAAATCATCATTCGAGTAATAAAACTAGGTAATTAACTATGATGGGACCGTATGTATAAAAAGAGCGGTCCGCTATAGAAGCGCGGGGCGCGTAGTTACCGCGGCTAGGTCGGGCGCAGTAAGCGCGAGCGGCGCGGCGCGGTCGGCGGCGGGCTGCAACACGCGCGCGGCGGCGGCCGACAGCGCGGCCGACGGGTGTCGCCGCAGCGCCCAAACCTCCCACAGCGACGACCCCAGCGCGCGGGACGACCGTGCACACGTCTCCTCCATCACGTACGGGTCGTTCGACACTACGAAAAATAGTGACGCTATTAAATGATAATCCTGCTTTACTTTTTCGATGTATCTTCTTGGAATAGTCAGATAGATTTTTTAAACAAAGTATAGTTTCCTCAATGGTAGCGACATTTAGTACTCACTGATAGCAGGCGTATCTTCATAGCAAATCATGCGCTTGAGCGCGGGATGACGCAACAACAGGTTGGCGACGAGCTGCAGCAGTCCCACGGCGTCGTCAGGGGACGCCACCAGCGCCAGCCGAGACAGACGCTTCGCGAACGCCGCTACTAGGCTCTCTGGCAAGTGGCTGGCGAAGGATACACGTAATATTATAATGTCATCGTCCTATAAAACAAGTTTCATAAGAAAGATGACATCACAGATCACACATACTTGTAACAGTATTATAGTTTAAACTCCACCACACAACTTCAGCAGAATACTGAGTATTCCATACATATAAGATTGTTTGATTAATCATGTTCCATTTAATGATGTTTCTGTATACCGATTACAATACAATCGCAAGAAACTCATTGTAATTAGAAAAAGAGAATTGTACATATAAGACAGTCATATAATGTTAACAATACATATGATACTGATAAAAAACTTAAGTAGATTCCTATAGGCCCACGCGCCAACGTGTTAAAAACGTCACGTCATCATACGACGGCATGTAGGTGATGTGTAGTTGATACACAACTTATCATATGAGTATATGTCGAGAATGGAATGACTCATGCATATTTTTAGCAGAGATTTAGTCTATTCGTGTTTTTAAAAGGTAAGGACAAAACATTCAGCAAAGTATATGTATGTATACTTACGTGGAGCTAAGGAAGATGTCTGCGAGATGCATGAGCCGTCGCTTGTATCGCGTAGCGAACATCTCGGGCTCGAACATGGCGTACAGTCGGTCGTACATGTCGGGGTAATCAATGTTGTGACGACGGACCAGCTCCAATACGCCTTGCAGGGCCAACATACTGATAGGCCCACCTGTGGATACAACAACATGACGTTTTTGTCTCATTTTATTCCTTGCTGACTAATTCAAATATAATTTATAGAATCAGGCGTTACTTTGCGGAAATCCATGACATTAAATGTTAGGGAAAATATTTAGTTTTAGACACTATATAAGAGGCGAGAGCTGTCGTACTAGCTCATTCGCAGCCGAGCGCTCGTCGAGTCAACATCTCCTGAGGATGCCCTGTGGAGGGGCGAAACACGTGTCGAGTATAGGTTTGATTGCGTGGCATGTTTTTCCGTTTTGTGTATGTGTGCATATGCATGTGGGCGGGAGGGTGGGACCCTTGCTGCATGTGCATATGCATGATTGCATAGGAGTGGGATTGCATCCTGCAACAAGCCTGGATTTTTGTCGCGGAATTAAAACTAAATATTTTCCCTAACATTTAATTCAAATATAGTCAAAAGAGCCAATCTTAGTTGAAAATAAATGTTTTCAAAAAACTATTATGCAAAGCCAATCTGTCCCCAAATCGGTTTGCTTAATTTGCGACTGAGGCGGGATGAGGTCCTTATTAGGTATATACTAAGGCTTTAAAAAATGAATTAAATGGCAGTAAACTGACCAGCATCCAGACTGTCGCAGAGCATATCAGTGGCGAGGTGTGGTCGGGACAGGAGCGGCATGAGACGCTCGACGAGCAGTAGCAGCGCGCGGCGGTGCGTGCGCGAGTCCTGGCACAGCGGCCACTGGCACGCGAAGCCCCAGCAACGGTTGGCGTAGCGCCGGCACACGCCCGGGTTGTACGGGAATGGGGCCTTGTCTGGAGTACACAAACAGTTTTAATGTATGGAAGTAAAATTAATAAATCTATGAGTACAATGTTATGAACTCTATCCCTACCTTCAGTGCCACACAGAACCTTCTCGTCCTTCTCTTCTCCATCCCTTTCTTTACCCTTGATTTTGGTTTCTGTGGGTATCTCACATACCAGTAGTTTATCAAGTAGTTCCAAGTAGTTCTGCATGTAAACAGATGTTGGTGATCTGCAACATTACAATACAACTCATGAACCTTGCCAAAAATGAATAATTACTAATATTTACATGTTATTTATTTTAAAGGGACTTACTTGCGATAAGCGATTGTGGAAAGTACTTTTAGTCCATATTGCTGTACGTCTTTGTACTCAGTAAATTCCTGGAAGCGAGCTATTGGCGCTGACATGGATATTTCAGGATCCAGCAACACATTGAATATGTTCTGAAATAAAAATAAGACATTAGCACACATATTCATGTGATATATAGCAAATTTGGGTCAGAATTATATCATAGCTTGAGTGAGTATAGAGCAGTCATCAGTAGCAGTAATAACAGTTTACCTTGAGCCTGACTGATGGGAAATAAAATCCAGTGGAACCCTCCAAAGGGTGCTTGCCTTCAGCCTGCATGAGCTTGCAAGCCGTAACAAGAGCCTGCAGCCGGGAGCTCATGCGACCGCGACGAATACACTCTAGGATGCGGGTCAGAGCCGCCTCGAAGCACTCGCGCAGCCATCGTTTGTACTGGGCTTCAGGACTGTTGTCTAAAAAAAGAGAACATCATTAAAAAGCTGTAAAACTACTTGTGAGAAAAATCGAGAAAAAAGTGCTTTCGCATTGCAGAATAATGTGATGAGACATAGTATTCAAACAAACACATTAAAGCAGTTTCATTATAACATGGCATGATCACACTTAATTGTAATATACACAGATTATAATATGTACATAGAAGTTATTTGCAAGTAAGTATCATATTACAACAGCTATGACAAAAGTGGTGAACCAAAGTGAAATATACAAACATTTATTACAGTGTTATTTTAAAATGATGTCCTTTTTGTGTTTATTGACCTTTTATATCTAAAGTTGTCATCATCAAAGGTTAAAACACAATGAACAACACTACTGACTCACAGCATACCAACACAATTAGAACTTAAACTTTAAGTTTTATTTGTTGATAATGACTTATGTTGTATATCTTCAACAATGTTCCTAACTTATTTTATAATCAACCTAATTCCAACAAAGAGCATTTTTTTTTTAATATTTGCAGTTACAGATATAAAATCCTCTTTAGTCAGCCATACAAATATGATATGATAGATAGTTAGCTATCAGAAGCTACCTATAGAATTTTTGTATTATAACAGCCATGTCATGCCAGTATATCTCATCTCTATCTGTATGCAGTTATGAGTGAATACCTCATCAACTTTAGATATGGGAATTGTGTATTAGTAAAGATAACTAATGATAATATCCTCAATGTTTAAAAAGGTTAAATGTGATTCAATAATCTCTGGCCAGACCAAACTTTTTATGTGCAAATTAAATTTGTATTGATATTCTGTCATAAATATGTTGTTTATTAACACTTGAATAGATACACTTATATTGTACTGATTAATCAAAACGGACAGAATCATGTTACATTTTATCAATTATGTACTAGTAGCCCACCCTTTTTGTGCAAGTCTGTTTTTTGCTTTCTCTTCTTTCTGAGTTTTGTTAGCATTATATGATATGCATGGTTAAACACATGGTATTTTTAATGGATTACTAATCTTAGTCCAGTCATTCATTCATGATGTGATGGCCAAATAAAATAGGGTGTTATTTGTTGAAATGAGTAACAATAACAACAGTCAAACAAGGTTTGTTTATATGTAACAAACCATGTAACAACTACTAAATACCTAATACAAGTTTTGAGAAATATTTAGTATTGCAAATCAGGTATATTTATTGATATGAAGTCATTAAAAATGCAAATAATGATAGCTGTCATTTAAATAACAAGTAACCTGGCAGTTTGAAAAGTAAACAATGTGATAAACATTCACACCCAACATACTGTGTACATGTGAGGCACACAATAGACACATGGGTGACCTTGAGGCTGTGCCCAGCAGCACAGCACAATTGATAGTAGCCAAACATAGTAACCCAAAGCCAATGCAAATCAAACTTTGTCATTATGTAAAACTTATTTATATAAAAGCACTGTACATAATGCAGTTCGTAACAAGAGTAATTACACAAGAGTGCGGCTCTTCGGCTGCGGTCGAATCACCCGTTTATATAAGCAAATAACGTCACATGTCGCAAAATGTGACCACACAGGACACATCCCACACAACAGTGGGCAGCAAGGACTGCCCGCTGTGCTTTTTGGCATAAAACTTGGCACTCAACATAATTATTAGGCAAATATGGTGCCTAGGTACAGGCAAAATCAATATTAATACTACAAAAATAATCTATATCATGGTACACCACTTGGAACACTTACCTGCTGGTTTAAGGGGGACTATTCCCTCTAAAAGTTCACCTCTTCGCAAAAGTTTTGTGAATATCACTTCTACTGTAAGTAGTAAGGGCGAATAATTGTCCGTTTCAGCCTGAAATAAAATAAATAACCATCATTAAAGATCGTAACCTATGACGCAGTTTGGATATTGAAGGTATTATTAATCTGAGAAATATATGCTTACCTCAAACATCTCTAGTATATCAGCAAGATTGTTATGAGTTGCTTTATTACGAAGCTGCGCCGAAATCATTTTTGCAAAATTTTGATTTGGTTGCACAGCAGCCATTTTTGTATTGAAAAGAATGTGTCAGTGAGACAGTCGAACGGATACGGAAATGCAAGAACTAAAATCATAAAGAAAAAGATATAGAAGTATAGAACAAGATGCGTTCAGTATACGCATGAAAAGACAAGAAAGACCATTCAATTCTCTGTGGTTGAAAATTCTATACTCTATGATCGCAAACAACTCGATTGATGACTGCAGTGCAAAATAGGTTATGTGTCAAAAGTATTAAAGTTAGCGGCGGCATTTGTTTTGAAACATAGTCTCTTTATATTAGAATTTATATTCCAATAAAAGTTAAAAAATGGACGGCGATTTGTACGATGAGTTTGGAAATTACATCGGGCCGGACTTAGAGTCAGATTCGGACGACGAACAGAGTGTGTATGGACAAGATAACAGGGATGCGGACGAAGATGCTATGGAGGAAGACGAGGACGCGGATGCGGAGCCCGAGGCGGCTCCTATGTCTGTTGTATTGCATGAGGACAAGCGGTACGTTCATATGTTATCAACTTAAGCATCGTATAACCACAACAAGACAGTTTTTTGTTAGATTACAAATGAACTTTCAACTCCTTAACCAATGAGTACTGACTAAAATTCAAAACAATACTTACCCAATACCCATTATTATGTGGCACAACAATTGTCATTGATACAATAATTTACTTATTTATATTGATGTGTGCTAAACACATACACAGGGAATTATAGTCAGTGGGTAGCCTTAGGGGTGGTATGAGAAGTTCGTTGTGTTGATGTGTGAGTGAGGTTACTGGTACTAAACATTGTCCACGGAAAATCATTCCCAGTCCCCTTATCCTAAAATTTATAATAACACCTTTTTTGTTGCCGTCGGCATCAAATGCTTACCACAATAAATATGTTTGTTCATTTGTTGCCCCGTATCATAAGTAAAGCAACAAACCTCATCAATGATCTTACAGCCTATTTGTTTGTCTTAATAATTGTTGATTGTATCTTTAGAATGAAGTTCATTTACATTAACTAACATTTATTTTCAGTCTTAGTTGCATAAAATACATTAAAGCAAAATACTGAATTGTTAATTACATCCTAAAACTTATTCCCTATACCTTTCTCTTACCAGATACTACCCTCAAGCAGTAGAAGTGTATGGGCCTGATGTGGAGACAGTGGTTCAGGAGGAGGATACACAGGCCCTGGACAAACCTTTGGTGGAACCTATCAAACACAAGAAGTTCCAGGTCCAAGAGCAACAGCTTCCGGAGACCAAATATGATATGGAGTACATGGCGGACATGTTGGACAATACCAATCTCATGAGGAATGTCACTCTTATGGGACACTTACATAATGGTAACTATGAAACTATACCTTTTTTAATGTTTGCAATTAATCTTTGTAAATTTTTTAGTATGCAAGTCTGTCTTTGTTGACTGCAATCTAAGTATGCATGATATTGCTCAAAGTGTGTTGAGTATGAAACTTTGAGATTAACAATCTTCAGTCAGTTTGTATTTTGTACTGTATTTTGTAGTAAGTAAGATTGATAAAAAAAAAATAAAGTTGGAATTTTACATGGGATAAACTGGGATTGAGTTAAAATTGACAAATTATTACTCTCTTGTTATAGCAAAATTTTTCACCTATTTGCCTTTTGTATAACAACTAAGTAAGGTGTCAACCTTAAGTATTTGCTCCTTACGATAACAATTATTATATTTCAATTTTCCAGGTAAAACTTCATTTGTTGATTGTCTGATCAGGCAGACACACCCAGGCACAATAAACACAGACACAACAATACCAATGCGGTACACAGACACTTTGTTTGTGGAGCAGGAAAGAGGGGTCTCCATCAAGTCCATGCCTGTCACCTTACTACTGAAGAATATCAAGGGAAAGTCACATCTCCTTAACATTATGGACACTCCAGGACATGTCAACTTCAGTGATGAAGTTACTGCTGCTTTGAGGATATCTGATGGTCAGTAAACAAGTGCCAAGTCCATTAAAAATAGTTTTGTAATCTTATAAAAGAATGTATTAACTAATTGCATGATATACAAAGCATTTTAATTTTTATAACAATTAAAGAGAAGTCATATAGAATATCACAACATGCTGTTACATACAATATTCATATAAAAATTAATAGAGTAGTTGGAACTATCCATTTATGAATGTGTTTGACAATTTGTCTTGGTGTAATGCAATCTGACAACAAATAAGCAAGATACTATCTACTAATTATTTTACACCCTCCACAGGTGCGGTACTCTTTGTAGACGCAGCAGAAGGTATAATGTTAAACACTGAGCGACTCCTCCGCCATGCAGTCCAGGAGCGAGTGCCCCTGACGCTCTGCATCAACAAGATCGACCGCCTCATACTGGAGCTAAAGCTGCCGCCCGCAGACGCGTACTACAAGCTGAGGCATATCATCGACGAACTCAACTCCATGCTGGAGACACACCAGCCTCAGGACAACCCTGACGAACCACCTATCGTATTTTCGCCTTTATTAGGTAAACTCTTAGTACAAAAATTTTGTTATTTTTTATTTTAGTTCTACATAGGATACCAATTTATTCAACAGAAACAGCTACCAGTTTATTATAATTATACATATTCTACATGTTATAACTTCAGTATTTTATTATACTATATGGTATACCTCTAATCAGCAAAAAGTTTTCTCCGACTAGACAGCTGGGAAATATTAGCATATTAGCTTGACTATCAAACTGAATAACAAATACTATAATGTTTTTTGACCTGTTTATTAATTTATTTTACAAATTATTATTTCCCCAGGCAATGTATGCTTCGCGTCTTCGCTATACGACGTTTGCTTCAGTGTGGAGTCGTTCGCGGCGATGTACGCAGCGGCACACCCGTGCTCGGGGCTCCGCGCCGCTGACATGGCGGCCTGGCTGTGGGGAGATGTCTACTTCAACGCCAAGAACCGCCGGTTCACCAAGAAACAACCGCATGCATCAGCCCAGAGAAGCTTCGTAGAGTTTATTCTGGAGCCTCTGTACAAGATTTTTGCACAAGTAAGACAAAATATTAAAAGAAGTGTTTTATCCAAAAATTATTCTTGATAAGTAATCCATGTAAATATGACATGATCACTTAGACTCAAAATAACCATCTCAATGCTGAGAAAGGGGCCTTTGTCCACCATTAAGGTAGCTACTATGGAAACATATTTCCTTACTGACACGTGTACGGTCCCCCCAGGTGGTGGGTGACGTGGACGACACCCTGCCGGCGGTGCTGTCGGAGCTGGGCATCAAGCTGACGAAGCAGGAGGCCAAGCTCAACGTGCGTCCGCTACTGCGCCTTGTCTGCAGCAGGTTCTTTGGAGACTTTTGGTGAGATACTTGTTTCTATTATTCCTATTTATTTTTTCGATAATAGCATTTTGGTTACCAACAGTCAGAGCATTTCGTTTCAAATGGCAATTTTTTTTTAATAATTTGTATGTTTTAGTTTGCAGTTTTTTTCTAGTCTGTACGAATGATATGACTGACCCGTACAACGTGTCGCGGGTTCGTTTCCCGGACGGAACATCTCTTTATTTTGTGTTTCCACAAATTGTTTTTCTGGATCTGGGTGTGATGTGTATGTGAAAATATATGTTTGTAAACGCACCCACGACACAGAAGAAAATGCAAATGTATGGCAACGTTTATTAAAAAAAGAAAAGAAATTAAGATATAAGTATTATTAAGCCATTAAATGCTGACAGAAAATTATTGAAGGGACTTCTTCCGCTACCGTCGGTCACCGGTGACCTCCGTGGCGATAAATGTGCCAAGTACAATATAGAGGGGTGTTGTGTTGCAGTGGGTTCGTGGAGATGGTGGTCCGTCACGTGCCGTCCCCGCTGGACGCGGCGGCGCGCAAGGTGTCCCACACGTACCGCGGCACGGCCGGCCCGCTGCTGGACGACATGCTGGCCTGCGACCAGTCCGGCAGGCTCGTCGCACACACCACCAAGATGTACCCCACCGATGACTGCACTTTCTTCTTGGTAAGTTTATTTTACATAATAATAGCAATAAAAATGTTTGTCTATCTATACTTTTTTTTTTTTATATTATAAAGCTGAACAGTTTGTTTGTTTGAACGCGCTAATCTCAGGAGCTACTGGTTCGAATTGAAATTTTTTTTTTGTGTTTAATAAACCATTTGTGGAGGAACTTTAGGCTATAAAACATCACGCTACGATCTGTAGAAACCGAGCAGCGGGTGAAACCGCGCGAGCATAGCTAGTTTGTGATAAGCCTAAAGAAATATTGAACGAATTTATTATATATTACGCCGGCCCGACCCTCTTTCAAAATAATTATCATAATAATTGGTATAATCGTTCCATTGCGTTGTTGATGAAAATAAATCGCAAAATATGTTGGTTAACGAATTATGAGACTCATTTTTATCAAGAATACAATGTGAAAATGTATAATATAAACAGTATATAAAATGATTGTAGAAAAATGTTCCTGTATGAGTTTCTAAGAATGCGTATTCGTGTTACAGGTACTGGCGCGCATAATGTCGGGCACGCTGTACGCCGGGCAGACCGTGCGCGTGCTGGGCGAGAACTACAGCACGCAGGACGAGGAGGACTCGCGCCTCATGAACGTCGGCCGCCTCTGGATATACGAGGCGCGGTACAAGGTGGGTAGCGACACTCGTTACATAAGTACTTATTACATAAAACACATTATCGTACGTTTACACGCGTGCCGAAGCTTGGCAAACGTCAACAAAAACAGGCGCGTGAGCAGGGTGTTTGGCGTGGCTTGCATGAGCTTTGAAGTGCTTGTCGGCGATGCGATCCGGTGTCGGTTTTGACACTGTACTAAGAAAATTTGTGACAAGCGTTTGCGATATTTTCCGTACCGTGTGACCCACGTTCACGGAGTATTTACCTTCAATAGCAACACCCTAGAGTTCGCGAAAAAAAAAATTAAAATTAAACAAGTACCTACAAAATAAATACTTATTGCATGTCGTGGTTGCCCGAAGGTTAAAGCGTTTGCTTGTCATCAT